GCTGCTACCAGTCCTGCTCCCTACCCGCGATAATACCAATCATTATCATCGCTTAATAACAGACATTACTGCCAACATTGAAATAATGTGTGTACCCCCTTCGCTTTCTCCCTCAATCTTATTCACTCACACATCTCTTTTAACCTATACTTGATTCACTTGCTCTCTTTCTCTTTTTCTCCACAACATCACAATCTTTGACTTGTTGCCTTATTCTTGATTCTATTGCCTTATCCGTTATTATACTTCCATCACTTATTTATCTTAGCATTTGTCCACAACTTTGTGGGGTGAATGGACCCACATGTGGATGCAGCTTGAAAAATTACTATTTATAAACTTGAATGAATCTTTTTTTCATCTATTAATAAGTTGATTTAATATTCTAGTTTTTAATGCCTGAATTTGAACTTCATATTTAATCAATAAAATAATTTTTTTTTTAATTCTAAAAATAATTAAATTACTCCAAAAATGGAAACTACTCCGAAAATATGATTGACTGTGGGAACAAATCGGTTCATATAGCGAATATTTTATCCAATACTTGGTTTTTATTTTATAAAAAAAAATTTTCAAGCCAATGAATCAATATTTTTAGCTCTCACTCATTCATTCATAGTCTGTTTTTAAAATCATCTTTTGAATGATACTGTGATTGAATTCGAAATGTCTCTGAAGTAGTCTCAAAATACTCTTGATGTTGAAGATGGAGAAAAGAAGAATGAGAATAATATAAAAAAGATACCAAGAGCTTTAAAAGGCTCTCCAAACAGGGTCCAAACGTTCGAGTCTGTTTTGCGCGAATTCTCAAACTCTATACCCATGGTTCTCTTGCTTGCAAGATATATCCACATCACCAGTTGTTGTCTCACGGTCGCAATCTCTTACTCTTTCCTCAAGTTCTCATGCAGTAATTACTCTTTCTGGATGGACCCAAAGAAGCCTTGGAATCCAAACAAAAGCGGAATTGATTGAATCCAATCGATACTTTCTGAGGATTATGTCAGTTTTTCTAATTCTCATGAGTACAGTTGTTGAATATTTATTGCAGACATTTCAATTTACTAAATATTGGGTACATTTATTTGTAAACCAACGATACCTCAGTGAATCCAAAGAGTATTTTTTACAATGGACAAGACATTGTTGAAATTAATTATGAGACTCAAATTAATCAATAAAATAACTTGAATTAATTATTAAAAACAAATAATGATGATAAACATTTTTTTTAATCAATAACAGGTATTTGTTGTGGAGCTTATTAAAGTTTTTGTTCAATTTTACGAAAGAGTTATTACAAAAAGAAATTGAAGTAAACAACGCAAAAAAAAGACAAAAATGTCAAGAAGTTTAGTAAAACTAAAAACACAATGTACAAAAGATGTGACTTGAGTAATAATTTTTCCACAACAGTTTTGAACATACTGGACTACTTTTATGTTTTTATTTTCATGTAAAATTATTTATAAACTATCACTGTATGACATATGACCTGCACAAGCCACGCAAGCATTGTTTTTTTATCCCTTTCCTGTTTCTTTTTTATGTGCTTTTTAGTTTTATTATCGTGATTTACTTTTTTCTCTTTTCTCTAACATCATAAACATCAGACAAAACTTTAAAAACTACATTTTTTGTTCATATTCGTACATACAGGTTTCGAATAATTACACATAAGAGTTTTTTCTTTTTTTTTTTTTTCAAAAATTGCATCAAGTAAACAGAAACTCAAAGTTGATAGCAATTTCATTATTGTCTCAAGCAGAACAGGTACATATAATATTCGGCTTCTAATTCTCCACTATAAAACTTCTCTACAACTGATTATTTATACGCACGCATGATTCTCGTTTCCTAGAGCACAACCCGAAAAATGATGATAATAAAATAAACGTTGATATATTTTATAGAGTAAGCTTTCGAGAAATTAGTTGATGGAGGAAGCAGTTGAAAAATGAAGACAGATGAAATAAAAATAGAAATGGTTGGTGATTGAATCGTAAAATATAAGACATCTACAAATGAAGTTACATGGTAAAACGTCATTGAATAAAATTCTTCTGTCGTGAATGTCCCGTCGGATGACAATCCATTTAAAGTCTTGACAAAACGTCATTTTATCAGACATAAATTTAATGCAAATGTCCTTTCTCTTGTTTGATCTGCTTTTTAGGTAATCTAATCATATTTGAAAGTCTAAATGATTCGTTTTGCTATCAAACTTCATTGCTAGCATCAAGCACAGGTGTGCCAATCAGCAAATAATATACTTAATAAATGATTTATTTAATCAGAGAAATTTTTTAGTGTTCTAGGAAAAAATTAATTCATTAATTTATGTCATTTTTTCTGTAACAGTATCTATTGCAAGTGCAAAACAGAGAATTCTTAGTTAATTATATTATTACGACTAGTTAAGTTTAATAATAGTGTTAGAAGCATGTTCTAAGACACCATTCTTTGTAATTAATCTTCTCATAATAACCGAATGATGATCGAAGCCTAGGTTGTGGACATGAGAAAAATAATGATAAAATAAAGAAACAAAAATATGATGACGATGCAACAAGAAAAATTCTGTCGTGATCAGAGTGAATGAAGGAAAATCATTGGATGAATATAAATATAAGGAGGTAGATGTATGAGCATGGAAGTAGAAATAAAAAAAGCGAGCACCACGCCCAAGGTACGTGGTAAGAACGCAGACATATAAGAAGGTGGTGGTACATATCAAGTGTGTACTCCCACGGTAGTTTTATATACCTATCTTTACTCTGAAACACATGAGAGCTGGTGATGCAGACAAGAAAGCAGACCAGGTCGGGGCCAAAGAAGTACAGCGGCCGCTACTGCGCTCTCGTCCTCGAATTCATGCCCCGGGGGATAGCAAAAAGGGGAAACAAAAGGCGAAACAGGCCAACCGCAACCACCAAACAAAGAACAAGACTTGAGTGAAGGAGAGAGACACAAGTAGGCGCCATGTTGGTCATGATAAGATTGCTCGAAAGTCGAAGGTTATTCACCTTTTCTCTGTCTATGAGCGGATCAATTCTAGATGACATGTTGAAAAGGTTGGAAATGAAGAGCAAGAAGTTGAAACAAGCTCTCAAGTGTGATGTTCACACAAAAAAGCATTCCTTTAAGTAACGATTTCACTCGAATTTAAAAAACCGAGCAAGTCATTAAATAAATAAATAAATAAATAAATTAGTTTTTGATTTACTTTTTCTCATAGCCATTAATTTTATCATTTATTTCCAATCAATCTTTTTTAATCAGAAAATTAAGTTATGATAAAATGAATGTTTTTTTTGAAAATTTTATTCTGAAAATTAATGGTCTCAATTAAAAGATATAGGATGTAGTATGGATGTAAAAAATATGTATCAGGTGAATGCTCAGGTGTAAGTGTCATGAAGGTATTTTGATTGGCCTATTACCAATTCTTTATTCCGTTAATAATACAAAGAAGACAAAATACATATAAAGATGTAAGAAAATATCGTAATGAACAAACCGCAATGTTGCTGAACTATTTTCGTTTCCAGTCGGATGCTGGTGGGGTTTCAACTACCAGTTAGGGAGATCTCCTGGGGTTCTAATGAAATTATCCGGTCTGCAACCCTTCGTACACATGCATCAACAACCGCCTGGTTATCAAACGATCACGTATGCTCGTCAAGCTATTTACTTCTCTCACTTATATGCTTACTCAAGTTCTATAAGTATAATAGACTCAACAGATCCTAATTTGATTCAGTCAATTGTACACTTTGGTACATTTCTGGGTCAATATTCACTATCGAACATAAATCGAGAAAAACCTATGATTAGGAAGTTTATGAGATAAAAGAGAAACAGAAGTTGAACTCTCAGGTGACGCGAGAAAATTTATAGTTGGCTCGTTAGTGGCCTGAGCTGGCACCGGACACTCTTGGCAACCCTATCCTGGATGTCCAGGGCGTGGCGGATCCGTGATTTAGCGAAGTCATTTGTGCCGATAACGTTGACAGATGCCGTCCAGTGGGAGATCATATTCCCATCGCGAATTCTTGCTCTCATGCAACGTGAGATATTGTGCTCAGCTAGATACTCATGTAAAAAACTTGCCTATTATTCTGATCAACTTTGCGAAACTTTGTGGGTGCAATCAAAATGAGGCCTTTGAAATAGATATGTGGGACTCTTCAACGATTTATAGATGTCTACGTTAATTAAGAGCTTAGATTATAGCTTCATGAAAAGAAAAATGTTTCATAAAATTTCACATATAGTGTTTCTAAATGATTGTAAAATTATCTCTAACATAACAGCTCAAAGCAATAATTCACTTTCAATAATACTATTAATTTTTTTTTTTTTGATAACAAATTGGAGAACAAATAAGAACATTCAACATCAGTTTTCTGTTATTTTTTATTCTCCATCATCTAGTTTGTTGCATAAAGCTTTTTTTTATATAAAATAAAATAATTAAACAATAATCTAATCAAAAAATAGCCATTAAATTGAATAAAACATTGATGATGAAAAAAATGAGTTATTTAATAAAAGCAAATTGCTTGTAATTTCTATCTCAAGAGCAGCAACATTGATTGTACATGTCAACTTGAGATCTCTCACAGATTTACAATAGACAAGATTTTTTATGACAGGTTTCTCACGTAACGACTAATCATTTTAAATATTTATATCAAACTGGAAAAGTCTATATGACTCTACAATAATATAAATAAAGAACGAACATTCTTATCCTAGCTTTGATTAGAATATAACATAAATATGTTTGTTGTGATTCCTATCACTTCTTTAATGTTTTTACTGTTGTATTGACACAGATAATACACGATCACGTTTATTCAGATTCCTGTCGAAGATTACACGTTGTATTATTGAATGTATTTAAATGCTAATCTTTTGCCTGATTGAACCATCAGTACAGCTCACGTTTTCACGCATAAATAATTAATCAACAATGGAATATTTGGACTCACCTGTGTCTGCGTCAATCCCAAGCTAGCTGCTAATTCTGCTCTTTCAGGTAACGCCAAATACTGTGTCCTCTGGAACCGCCTGTTCAATTGCTGCAGTTGGAGACTGCTGTAGATAGTTCTGGGTTTCCTCATCTTTTTGCCTTTGCCATTTCTCAGAGATCCTCCACCACCACCGCCAAGCTCGTCTACAAGGCTGCCACCTTTATCACCCAAGGGCGAGAGGTCTGCGAACATACACCACCCTGATATCAACCTTCAGAATCCCGGTCTATGTGGGAGCAAAAATTAAACTAAAAACTAAAAAAAAAAATAATCAACAAAAACCTAAGAATATTTCAAACTATGTCTTTATATGATCTGGGTAGAATGATGCTTCCTCTCGTATTTTAATTAGCAGATTAAAATGGCGATGAATGAGATAAGAATGGTGAAGGCGTATAAAAATAATCGATAGTCTTCACAATGGTTGTTTGTAGTGATGGGAGCGGTGGCTTATAATAATTCACTGTACATTGATGAGTACTCGATACCATGTCGATGTAAACATTTATTTAGATTTTTTTCAAGTATATTCAACTCCTTCAATGTATACCTTGTTTTTTACATTTTGCTGAAGGTAAACTATTGTATACCTACTGTAGTGTATGGATATTTTATTTAGTACTTGCTCATGTGGGTATATTTTAATAATACGATTTAATCGCCTCGTTAATTAATGATCACTCATCACGAAATTAGTACAGATAATTATCCTAGAGAATTTAAAAGTTTTCACAATCATCACGCAAGAATAATAATATAATGTATGTCAAAGTATCTATTTAAAACATAAATTTGAATATTTTATTTTTAACAATAAATTTTAAAAAACCATTAATTATCTAAAGGAGTCAAAAAATAATTTTTGTTGAGAAAGGTTATGGTTTGGTTGAAAAAGAAAAATTGTAAAACACGACTTTCACGTAAATCTGCTGAAAGGAAGATTTTAAAATTTGTTATGGGAAATTTTTTTAATGCTACAAATTTACCGAAAACCCTAAGGCACCTAATCCTTATGAAAACAAGCATTTAAAGACTGATCCATCATCCAGACTAGTCACTGTCTTACTTCAAACGGTTCTGGATTAATTTGCCATGTTGCAGGTTAAGCAGGTCGGTGACCAGAAACCGTTTTTCCCAACTGCTCGGCTGAGTCTGAACCCTACTAATTGGATTCTCTCCTCTTAAGCCCAACGAGTTCACGCATCAAATATGTGCAGTTTAAAATTCAAACTTTGAACTTCATATTCACCTTTTTAGCTTATTTGTTAAATAGGAATTACGTGATAAATTCATGCAAAACTTGATAAAAAATTATTCAATTCTATGTTTACTTTATATCAAAAACTTTTAATAAACTATAATTAAAATAATTTATTACCGCATAAATCATAAATCAATAAATACTGTATACTTCAATATAAATATTTTTCTAATTACAACTTTTACATTTTTATGGATAATAATAATAATTTATTTTGCAATAAATTTAGCATTTATTCAAAAGATGAATGAATTTATTAAACTGCTGATAAATGAGTTGAAAGAAAAGGACTCATAAAAATATTTAAAAATTAAACAATATGAATTTGATTAAACTATTTTTATTTATTAGTTTGAGACACGAAAAAATTAGTTGTTTTCATCAACCGTTAATGTTTTTTTTCTCACATCACAGTTTTTTTTCGAAATAATAATTACCATGATAATATTATGATATCTTTACAACATTTTTAAACATAAAAATCCAGTATAGTGGAAGTTAACTGACTGTCGGTTTGGATATCGAAGAGAAGAAGAATAATAATAAGATGAAGAAGAAGAAGGTGCACCAGAGATAATATCTTGTACCGATACGCGCGTCCGCGATGTTTGCCTGGCGCCGAGTTTAACCGCTCATGTACACCAAGTTGGATCACGCGATAGCTACTCGATCTGTTCGCCGATCCTTAGCTTCTTCTCCACGGCCTACCGCCGACATTTCTTATCCCTGCAAATCTCTCTCCCGTTGAATATGAAGAATTCAATTCCACGCCAGCGTTTACATGAAATCGCTTTGAAAGACTTTGTATATAACTGTAGTATATCTTGACTTAGGGGAGATTATCACTTACGTTTATAATACTTAGGGAGCTACCAAGATAATAGACGATATTTTTTCACGCAAGTGGTAGCACTCGCTAGTTACAAGCCTTCATTCTCACCAGTCAATTTATATGCTACTTAATGTCATCACTTTTGATGTAATAAAGTCATTACGTCAGATTAAAAATTGGTTAGTTTTTGTTTGATGTATTTTTCTTCTTTTGTTGTTAATTGAATCAGTAAACTAGTGGCTTGAAAAGTCAATTGTCGAGCAAATGGCGCGTGCACACACTAAAAGAGAACGAAGCGCAAACAATAGCGTGCCCGGTGGCAATTAAGCGAATCGCGATTGCGATGCGATATTTATTATTTAATTAATCAAATGACGCCGCGAGTGTATCGGCCCGTGATGATATTATATAAAAGGACCTAACACTTGATATTATTGCTATAATAAATGCAAAAAGTTCCATAAACATAACTAATATGTTTATGAGTATACAAAAGCATATTAGTCACATCATTATTTTATTCATTCATAAATTATGCCAATTTTTATCTTTATTTTTTTATGTCCTCGTAGGCTACAATCACTGCACTATCATGTCAGTATTTAAAAGTAAAAGTAAACAAGTTGTCATGGTAAAAAATATGTACGTTACTATTTTATTAAAATTATCACCAACTACTCATGCTTAACGATTCGTTTGAAGACGTAATCAAACAATAAATATTGATTGTATTAAATAGCTGAGTTTATTAAATACCACAATAAATTTTCATGCTACTTTTAACCCGATCTATATACTGTAGTTAAATTATTAAAAGTTAGATTACAGTAAATGAATTAAGATACTTTTGATAATTTTCTTCTAGAAAAAATGAAACTCTTTGGTTTCAACATAATGGAAAATAAATCACTTACAATTAGACAATTTTCTTATTTTTCATGAGCTATAAGAGACAACTTTTAAGTGGTCTGTTGTTAACATGGAGTATGATAAACACTAGGGTTGGAAAAAAAAGTAATGAAAAACAGAAATCATGCAATGACTGTTAATGTTAGATATTAAACCCTTGCAAAATATGATGAAAAAAAAATAAGTGAAATTTAGAAACTTTTTCTTATTATATCCAGTTATTTGGGAGTAAAATTATGGGAGTTTCAAGTACTTTGAGAGCTGGAGGAAAGAAAAATTACGGTTCGACTTTGTAGGGAGTGAAGGAGAACTGTAGGGGAAGGGTTGGAAAAGCTGAGAAATGATTTCATCAAGGCCATTAGATGTAGCTACAAGGACCCAAGTGGTCGCGGTTGTCTCGGCACATTATGAATTTATAGACGACGAGGGTGAAAAGCCTTGCGTGCTTTCTAGGACCTTCTATGCCCCATCCCTTTGACAACGGTCACTTGAGGGATGAAAGTTATGGCCATAATCAGGCTTGTGGACACTCGTTACACTTTTCTTAAACATATATATTCATATCGTGTAAAAAGCTCAGTCGCTCGTTGCTCTTTCGTGATATTCTAGGGGATTCAACCCTTTTTTTACAAGTGGAAAGTTAAATTTTAACTTTTTCTGCTTTACAACTGTCTTAGACCGCAACTCTTTTTTTCTCATGTGCAACAAACTTTACCCGATCATTGCTTGATGCGTCATTGACAATGGATGAGTGTGTGCATAATAAGAAAATGATCGTGAAATTGATGCAAATTTGCATTGTGAACTGCTATTGGACTTGAAAGTAAGGGTGACAGTCAGGGTCAGTTTTCTATTATCCAGACAACGACCGTGCTTACCAGCTGACATTTAAATGTATCTTTAGTAGGTATAATTATATTATTCCAAGCATGATAAATTATGTATAACATCAACGTCTATCGCCAAAGATATGTTAAAAAAATGCCAGTGATATAAATTTTCCTACTTGTATTTATTTTTTTTTTCTAGAAAATTACTGACATAAAAGCTTTCAGAAAATATAACAAGTTGAAATATTCATCAAACCTAAAAATAAAATCTCCAACTCAATCATTCAATTTATTTACTAAATATATTTTTTTAATTGATTATGAAAAATTCATGAAGACAAATTATTGTAGAATATTATAAAAATTAATTTTTAAAAGAATGCTGATAATTTTTTTGGTGTTTCTATGAAATATTTCAGTTCTATTTGAGTTTCCCTATTATCATCCCCTAAATATTCAAGTCTAATATATATTTATTCTTCCTTGGGCAGCACGGGGGCAACCAGTGTTAGCCGCCGGACGAACCACATACTACCTGCTACTCCAGATTCTTCCGTTTTCTTTTTTATATTCCCTACTGAGTACCTCATTCTTTCTCCACGACTCTATTCTTCGTATTCTATCCAGGGATAAAAGTTTTAGAACAAGTTTTATTTACGGTCCTTCGTTACAGTTACAGTTTCAACACTGGACACTTTTCCACTTGATTTTCTTTTTTGAAGAAAAATATCAAAACCAATAAGTATATTATTCTACTGAGTAATTACATTTATATATCTTTCTATCTTCAGGTATAAATTAAACGGTTTTTTTTTACCAATAAATCAAAATATTGAATAATCTACTCAACTATAACACTGTATATTTTACCACGTCGGAAAAGCTTCTATAATTCTTAGGGAAAAGACAGACTAGCTGGCGCCGTGTTGCGTATACGTTTCAATCTCCCTACGTCTGGGAAAAAAATAGCAACCCTCTTCTTGTCCTCATGTATTTTCTCCCTTTTTATCAAGTTCACAACCACAACATAAGTAATCCCAGTATTAGCATATACGCACTGTTATTTAAATTCCACATTATATCTATATACTCATGTATTATAGCAGAAGCTTCGTGAACGGATGACGTCTATCTTGACAATTCTATGATTAAGGATATGTGATTTTTCTATTCAATTGATAGTTGTAAAGTTAATCGCACCCTCCCAATCCTACAAAGCAAACAAATATACTAGATAGTCTACAAAGCTATGTATATTTAATTTTTTTTTTCAATATTTATGATAATTTATCTATTAATTCTTAATTCTAAATATAAAAAGTAGAAAAGTTGGAATACATACAGTTGGGGTACTCACCGTCCTTGGGCGGCGAGGGACATTGTGGTGCGTATGATCCAATATGATATCCATAGGCATTGTGTTGATGCATTGGCGCGAACGGATAACCGGCAAGAGCTGATCGCGGACTTGGAAAACCAGCGTCTGCATGTTGTTGATTACCACTACCTGGGCCAGAACTTTGATGACCCAAAGAGCTGACTTGGTGTGAAAATTGATGACTTCCTGGGACATTATGTCCACCAGAATATCTTAAGCCTGCAGGATTATAAAGATTGTTGTGTTGTAATTCGATGAATGCACTTTTTCCTGATTGAGATACTGGTGTGCTAGATGCGCTGTCACCACCATTACCAGGTGGTCCAGGTGTTACTGAGCCCAATCCTCCATGGTGAAGATGTTGATCCATGTCAGAACCTCCACCAGCACCGGCGGAACCACTGCCAGCACCGGTTCCCGTCGCAGGACCACCCGACATGCTGTTCGGGGTCGGGGTGCTAGACGGACAGGGGTCGCCCGCCCCGAAGGGGCTCCCCAGATCCGTAAAATTGAGCGTCGTCGTGCTGCCTGGACGATCCACCTTTATCGCGACGTCGACGTCGAACACGGCACTTGCCGACGTCGCCGCGACTCGAAAGCCGCACGGAGCCCGAATCTTGGGGCTTGCCGATGCTCTCGCGTCGGCTGACACTACGTAAAAGATTTAAATAATTTTACTCCTTGTTGTAGATTATGATAATGACATATCAAGGGTTCTTTAACTATTTTTACACTCAATCACTTTTCTTGTCAATTAGTTGAATTACTTTGTTACTTAATATTCCTCAGGGTAATTCACTGATGGATGTTCATGTCACTAGACACTTGCAACACTCGCGCACTAATGAAAGGATTATTGGAATATGTGATAAACACGTTTATTATTTCACACGCAATAAATTTATTTCAATGTATCTAGTGTACGTCGTGTTTTGTCAATGAATCCCAAAACTGCGTACACTTAATTCAATAATCTTCAGTAGTATGATAGCTAGTGTACAGTGTGTTTAATATGATAGGTCAGCTTTTTGTCCAGGTACCAGTCTGAATGGCACTATGTAAAAATGTCGACATGATATTAATTAAAACTCAAGTGAGTTAAAGAAAATAGCACACTAAATGTTGAAATCACTTGATCACTGGCTCCAAAATCCAAAGTGATAGTTGGTTATGATCAACAAGACCAAAGACCGTTCGTCAAAGATCCACGGAAAATAATAACTATCATTCACGTCCCAACCATTTGTGCTAATTGCCCGTCGGTCAACCTCAAGTGTGATCACAAAAGCAATTACGCTCCAATTTTATTAGCGAGCATATTTTCCAATTGATGTGATGACAGTGTTTTTTATAGACCAGTTCAGTTATAATTTTTAACACCTTACGTCCACTGAACTGGTATGATATCCACAGACTCACCAATAACTACACTCTTATCAACTTGATAGTAAATCGAGATGTATCCGTTGAATCTTTGCGACACGAAATTTTCCACCCTTTCAATGACACCAAGAATAAGAAGAAAAAGAAGGAAAGAATATAAACGGCGTGTTCGCGGTTTCGTTCAAGCACGTCGTAACGTTTAGAGGGAAGGCAGGATACGGAACCACACACGCGCGTCTATACCAGTAACTGCAGTGCACACCGCGCGGCGCGGACCGGTATAATGATACATAATGAAGCTCGAGCCTCTCCCTGAGTTAGCTCGACTGTTTGTGACATTCGCCACGACGCGGAGCCACTGTCAACCCCACCTACTGGCTCGACCAGCACAATGAAGATTGGATAAAACTGTGTTACCCCACCAGGCTGCTCGTGACGTCCACGAAGGTGATTGGAGTTGCGGAGGCCATTATGGTGTCCTGAAGGCGTAGTTTGTATTGACTATGCCCACGTTTCAACTTCAGACTTGCCAAGAAGTGTGCTCGCCTACCTGGATCCCAACTCCGTTCGTCACACGCGTCCTCACGCATCACCGAGGATATTCTACGATGAGTATGTTTCTGAGGGAAAACTGGGAAATTTTAAACTTGCGCACTTTCAAGCTCCAATTCCTCATTCTACTGCTGCCAACTCCAAAATAACAATTCCTTCACAATGTTAAACTTATCCTGAAATATTGCTCCGGAAGTTGAATGGAACCTGTAGTTATTGCATCTGAGATTTAAAGTCTATAATGATTACAGAAGGTCGAATAATCCTCGAGATAACAAACATGACAACAATATTCAACTCTGTACCATTCATACTACTGTATGTTGTAGCAAATGATAGTAGATAAAATTACAGATTTTTTTTAACAAAAAAAAAATCAATAGTCGTGGATCTAGTTTAACGTGAGAGTTCAGAACCACGCCTTTAAAGGTTGAAGGTTTCGATCTTTTCTACCAACTTTCTTGTCTCACGTGTTTACACAGATCAGTGAAGGATTTCGCTGAGAACTCTTGAGACGAAAACTCTTGAAGATTAATCTATAAGTAGACTAATCGGGGGCAATATTTTCCCCAATGCTGCATCAGCTTTTATAAACCTGCATATCACCTTGCTGAACTGTTTGAATCGTGTGTTATCTCTGGAATCTTGCAACAACAAAACCTGCATCTTAAATGTTTGCCCAGAGGACTAGTGTGACCAAGTGCTAACCTTGACATCTTTGTCAAAAGTGTCCTTGTGCAAAACTTGTTCACCTGTACTTTAAAGCGCTTGGCAGACTTTCCTTGTGTACAGTGTGTTGACGCAGTTGGAGCAATTAGGTCGACAGTCACATCATGCTTGGTCAATCTTTGCTGTAGAAAAGACAACTTGTTGACTCTAGAACCTTATCTGATGGTTGATCAAGCCGCTAGGCAATTTACACTCTCTACTTCACCTCCTCCTCATCATCGACCAATCCTCTAGTCTTTTTCCTTGGTCTTACATACTCTGCTGCTACCACACACCAGCTAGTCGACTATCTCTTCAACCCACTCGCTATTATTAGTTGTACATGAGCGTGTACCTTCACTCCTAGCTAGAGGCACTCGGGACTTCTCGTGAGAACCGGAAGTGACGACTAGACCCGCATTAGCCTCCAAGCACTCACGCATCCTTCTAAGAGACATTCGATCGAGCAACGGATCACGACATCGTCATTGCCACTGCCTTTTTCTCTTCCTCCTCATGAAGACACTATCTGTAAAAGATAAAATATGTTATTCTCTCCCCACAGCACTTTCTCAAAAGCATATAATATAAAAATAGTGGGTATTATCCATCACTATTTTTTATTATATGACATTGCTAATTTTATATTAGAATTTTTATTGACAGAAATATAAAGGTTAAACCCTTTCTTTAGATATGACTTCAAGTAACCCCTGACATTGACTTACTAAAGGGTAACTAAAAATCTTACACGCTACACAAAATTACATCAGAATGTCTAATTGTACGAGGGTTGCCCAGCAAACACGTGTCATCAACGACTACAGCAATGATTGTACTTCTATTTTGACGTCAAAACCACCATCAACATCATCCTTCTGCTGTTCAGTATGCCACCATACCATAATACACTCTTCTTCACCACCGCAGTCGTTTGTGTATGGTGAATTACATAATTGAGGCAAATAGCTGCAATCTAGAGTGCAGGGAAGTGTGTTAAATAAAATGCTATTTAATTAGAACTGAACTGATGTTCATGTTGATTCAAGCAGAAGCTATCAATGATCTATCTTAAGAATGCTCATCAATTTACTTTTTTAACCATTTTTTTTGCAATACATTGATTCTAAAAAATTTTCCTGCATCAATATAATTACAATTAAATAAATTATAATAAAAAAATTGAAAATATATTTTGTTATTAATAAAATTGAAAAATGTCTTATTGAATGAACTATCATAAATAACAATTTATTGACATTTGAATGAATAATTCTAACGTTAATTGAATAAATGTATTTTATGATCTGGCAAAGAAACATGCTAGTATAAATAAAAAATAATAGACTCTAAAAAATAATAGGTCCATTTGTAAAATTCTAAAAATTAATTTTCAACACCAATTGATAAACATTATTGATTGAAATATGGTCGTAAGCTGAAATAAACAATAAAAATAAAAAATAATGTATTGCACATCAACTGAAATAATTAATGGAGTATTTTAGAAGGACTATTGAGCTTGAGTTTTTGCCCATCGCCTGAAGCATTGACAAGAGCTTGAATCATAATTTTTGTAGTTTACTGCCGAGCAGTAAAAGCCAGGACGAATATGGGTGGGCGTCGCCAGCAAACGATTCATTTGACCACGTTCCCTGAATGTACTATCGCGGTGTTCTTAAAGTCAAAAGTGTTTCCTATATTTAGCTGACTGGTGTGCGATCAACCTGGACTCCCTTTCCTACATAGCTTTAATAGAGTATGGGGTGGAGTTGACGCAAGAGTGACACTACTTTTTTTTTTGTAAAAATATAATTGACTGTCTCATGGACACTCAAAAAGTCATTGAAGTTATCCAAGGTTTTTATCAAAATTGGGTAAAACGATGAAATTCCTTCGAAACTTCCGTTTTCATATATTCCCACATTTTCAAGCTTTTTACTTATCAACAATAAATCCAGGAAGTTCAATTAGCTGATCTTCATATTTATTTTTTTTGAAAATAATAAATCTTTTTATGAATGTTTATTGTATTGATGTTTTCTATCAGATGAAAAGATTGAAAACACATAAAAGCCAATAATAAAATTGGTTAAGACAATTTGTTGTTAGTAAAGTTCAATAATAAGAATCAAAGAAAAGAAGGCCAACATCCGGCGGTATTTGCGCTCTTTGATCCGACCAAGGGTCGATGTGGCTTCTATATCTACAGACAGGGGCGGCCACACCCTTTACAGTTGCATCCTTCCGCCCTTAGCTCATCACTTTTTGACGTTCTGTTTTAACTTTAGCTTTTGTTTCGCTACCAACGATCACCTCAAACGACGACTTTTCACCCTCGTAATTACCATTTTCAGTTTTGCTTATTTTTTCCCACAGGTTTAACTTGCTACTCTCACCTCTTTTTAACGGAAGCTTCACAACATGTACTACCATTCTTACACACTATGATGAAAACAAATGTATAAAAAAATACTTTTTCAAAAAAAAAAAAAAAAATTAAACAACATAAGAACCAATGACCCACTTTTTGTGATTTTATCATACATTAATATTATATACACAGAAATCAATATTGACGACATTAAATGATTATTTTTTATGATATATATTAATCATCCTGTAATGATGGTCAGAATGTATATAATCAACCTATCATCAAAATGGAAAATGATATGAAAGAAAATTAATTATTTTGTTAATCTTCAGCTGAACAAGTTTGAATTTATTTTTTACTAATTATATAATTGTCGATCTAATTATGAATCGTCAGTTAATTAAAGTTATCATATCGTAAAAAATAATTATGTTCATCATGATCAAGGATCGTTATTGTTCTTTAAAATGTACTCTTGTAATATATAAAATAATTTAAATAAAAAAAATTTTCCAACTATTTTACATACGAGTATTAATATACTAGCGGGAAAAAGATTAAAGTAAATTTAATCATGATATATCAATACGTCATGGAAAATTTTTCATTTTTCAACCACTCGTCTATCACACCATATCGAATAACCCCCGATAAACCCTATCATTCTCTAGGGAGTTACCCCTTTCTCTCAAATCCATCATATCGAAGTGGTGGTCGTACATATGTATGTACATTCAGTAGTGTAATGAGTATTATATGGCAGTAAGGTGGAGGTTTGGACGCGTACCGTGTAGTCGGACTCTAGCCACAGTAGAAAAAAGAGCGAGAACGTCAGCTGGCAGCGTTCTCGCGTGACGATGCGCCGACGTCCTCGACGTTCCCGCAGCAATACGAGACCCGCCTTATATCTCTGTCCCTCATTACTATTCCATGCCGTCGAATGCATGGCCAGAAGCCGACGAACACGACGGCGCGCGAGTTTCTGCCGCCGGGTGTGTCCACGCGCGCGCGTCCCACGGACTCGCGTTCTTATCCGAGTGAAATGCTCACATATGTACGTATGTATAAATACATGTAACATATAAAATACATAAATAAGTACATATGTATCTACCTACATGAAAAGAGAGAAAAGAAAGGGAGATGGTTCCCTATGTGCGTGCTGCAAACACGGATGGACGTGCGTGAGTTCTATCCAGTGGGTTCGTGCGTGGTGAAGAAGAGAAAGAATAACCCATACGACCCACGCTAGCCCGCAGCGTGCGATGTCAACTCGTTGCTATGCATCTGCCTGTCAGCCTTCGGCTGTCACGCCACTCTTAACTTTTTGGCCAAACGAATATTTTTTATACTGAAAGCAGAAAAATAAAATATTAAAAAAACTAAAGGATTTTTACCAAAAACCGACTATAACAAAAATGATCCTTTGGCTCCAATTTTCATATTGAGAGCGTTTCGTGATAGAATGCAAACTAAATGGATTAATCTCAAGCAGTGACCTGGACTTTGGTTTAGCAATTCTTATTTTGTAGGATGCTGAGACAGTCTACATACCGTAATCGGCCCTTGTGGTCCTTGGCTCCATCCAGTGCCAAAGGGATTTCTTAGAGTTTGGGACCAACGAATTCACTCTTGCCTCAGGGAGCACAGCTAAAGTATACACGTGTATGGATACACCCTCTCCTGGCTTTTTGGTCCTTTCGCGCTTTTATTTTACCACTGCTGGAACCTCAACGTTGAAATATGCCGTAGGCACCGTTTATTGCTGGTTCTGTAAAATTTTGGCATTTTTAAAACGTTGTAAAAACTGATGCATAGAATTTTATTTTCATGCAGAAGTCTAGACTTTATAGACAGTCTTCAAACTTTTTTTTCAAAATTACTCAATTAAAAAAAAAAAAGGATAATAGCATAATAAAAGTAGCTTAATTTTTAATGATATTGAGTAAACAATAAAATTTTAACTACCGAAGAAACATAATTTTAATTTAATTTCAATTAAAAATTATTTAAAGATAAAGATTGGAGACAAAAATAAAACTTAGATCAAAAACCAGATTTTTAAATTATTGCTCTTAAGCAAAACTAAGAACTTTTCCATTAATTGAAAAATTTTTTAGGAACTATATAAAGAATACTTCAAGCATGTAATATTTCAATATAAGTTCGATTCTTGTTATTATCTATTCTTTTTTTTATTTATAAATCGACATCTATTTATCTCTTATGTAAACTGTTCGTCTGCATTTATACATACATTATTGTTCTATACTTCTGTAGAGCTCTAATAAGCTTCTCTTGAAGCTTCTATTTGCTTAAACAGAAAAAAAAAAATATAAAGAATAATAAAGATACAATTCATAAAATTCAGAATAGACTATAAATTTATAACTTCTGACCATGATCCAGAATAAATTTTGATATTTTTTTTTATTTCTCTGTACTTGATGTCGAAACCAATTCGGATCTTTTGATCGATGGTAATCAAACAAAGAAATTTAGATAGACGAATATGGAGTGCGAGAAGAAAAAACTCTAGTAATAGGGTTGGAAATAGAAAAATAAGAAAAAAAGGCTTTCGTGAGAAGAGCCAGCCCCCCGGGGCAAAGCGCGAGGAACAAAGGGACGAAGTATAAGACTCCCGAGAGTCAGAGTGGAAAGGTTCAGTAAAGAGTCGAGCGAGAACTCGATGAGAGGGAAAAAGAAAAGTAGAAATCAGTGAGGAGGATCGGGAAGGTCGGACGGAAGGTCGCGGCCAGGAAGCGGTCCACTAGACTCTGTGATCTTTGGCAAGTCATAAGGGGTCAGCCTGTGTGTGTTTTACCTGGTTTTTGCGGGCGAATGTTACTCTCTAAGCAATTAGTACTGACCTGATGGCTCATTAGTTACAAGCCAATCAGTCAAGATGCAAGGGAGTGAATTAAAGTCAAAAAAATTAAAAATTCATGTTGATAAAAAATTAAGGAGAAATTGAATTGTTTATTTGCTAAAAAGAATCCCTGTTGGCTTAATAGGTTCATTAATGATTTAAACTGAGATTCTTTTTCTTAATAAAAAATTTATTTTGCATTAAATCATCCACTTAATTGAAATTTAAAGAATAAAAGAAAATATTTAAATAAAAGAGAATTTTCCCATTTTTATTTACACAAGTTGACCTTTCCTACTCAAAGAAGTGTGAGGAAAAGGGAAATGAGATAGCATCTAAAAATCGACTCATCTGCAGGTTCATTAGTCAAGCGGCTAAATACCTGTACTGGTGTTCATTCTAGCTAAGTGAGTCATAAGTAAAAGAAAGACTGTGCAAGTTAATGCAACACCTCAAGGGTCCCGCATGTTCTTTTAAAACCTATTCGTGGGATGAACCTAACACTCTATATCCTTGGTGAACATGATGATAAAATCCTAACTCTCTAATTCTTTCACACTTGAAGTATTCTAGCAAGTCAGGGCACACCAAGCATGATTGTGCAAAATTTCCATCATCACTCTGCTCTAATAGACTCATTCTAGAAGCCAACAGTGGCAATTGGTCACTTAAAAATCGATTAATTATCTGTCAAGTGTGATGTGGCTTGGTTAATTTTAATTAGATTGTTCCTTCGATTGAATGAAACAATGAAGACATCGTCTGCAATATTTATTAACAAGTTAATTGCAACTATAAACTTACGTGCATTATGAAGATTAATATTTATTCAGTTACTTTACCGACCAAGTCAATGCTGGAATAATACAGACAACAATATAGACAACAACTGTAGACATGAAACCTACAATCAGCAAATATAAATATTCGCTCTACTTGAAGTTGCAGTGACCTCATCACGTGGTTATAATACATGGTCTTTCCCTTACTTCGCACCCCAACTAACATCCCTGAACGCACCGTTGAATCGTGTAACGTGACGTACACCGACGTCGTATCGAACGTGTTGTAGCTGAATAGCAGCAGCTCGAGGGGTTGATGGTATAGAGTGTGCAATGTAGACATGTGAGTAAGTTAGTATGTAAGCTCACCTAACTCTGTGTCTCTCGTCTTCTCTACTCAGTACCATGTATGATGTATACGGTGTGCGAGCATTGGGGCGGAGCGGAGACAGATGGGCGTGTGGAGGATCCCTTTGAGGCTGCCGCATGCGGCGCCAGTTCCTCTTCTTATTCTTCGTCTTCTCCTGGCATTGACTTCTATCTGGAAGAAGAAAGTTACAGGATAGACATCAGCCTACGATTGTGAATGAAAAAATAGCAACTTGTGTGTTAGTAAATAGCCTGCAAGGCAATCATACAACAAATGAATTTTTTAGTTCTAGAAAATAATTATTAATTTATAACGTATTCTTCAATGTATGTAATTCAAAAGTTGTATTAAAAAATCTTTAGAAAATATTTGTTAGTATTAGAGTAATTTTATGGTAATGATATTCTAAGAAGCAACAAAAGTTGGCAAATAAAAAATATATTCAACTTTTGTTTTATGTAGCAATTATTAGACTAAAAAAAAAAATGTGTTTCGTGTGTAGAAGGTGAAAGAAATAAATTGTAAATTTTATGAAATTATCAGTGGGCTATATCTTGTTTGAATAAATATTAAGAGGAAGGAACGCAGTCTCTGGTAGTCAACAATTTCCCGGCAGGCTCGCGTGTCCCGGATTTCGAAGGGCTACAGTGCACCTCCGGCATTCTTTCCTTTATTTCTTACAGTAACCTCTCAGCCTCTTTTCTTCTTTCTTTCTTTCTCTTTCATTTACTCTGTATTTTCTCTCCCTCTCAGCATTTCATCATTCTTTGTCTATACAAGTATGGGTATATATGACGCTCTGTCTCTTCCCTGTCTTTTTCAGCGAATTGACTCTCGGTAGAATCTGCAGATCACGCGATTCGTGGCACGAATGCATCAAGATATCTCAGAAATCTGTGAAGAAAAAAAGAATTTAATATTTAAAAAATACATAAAATTTTTAAATAAAAAAATATATTTCTACTGGTTTCCTTTAGATTTTAGAATTTATTCCTTTTTTAAATATTATTTTATGTGTTATGCATTATTAATTAAAGAATAAAGATAAGTACAATAAAATAAAGCATAAAAAGATAAGGTACAATAAAGTTGGTTAAAGTTGGACTAACGAGCGCATCCAACGACCGATCCCAAAGACCGATGGCGCTACGAATGGCTTTAGCACCCAATAAAAATGTGTAAATATTTGATGCAAAAAACACAACGATCCCGCTTTAGACCACACGAGTTCATATTTGTACGACGAAGATGTTACTAGGAAAAGAAATGAGATAGAAAAGAAGGTAAAAGAGGCAAAAGGTTGGCATCAAGTCTAGATGAGTGCACGGGAAGGAAGAAGACGGTTTAAGCGGTGAGAGGAAGACGACCCTTTGTAGTCCCCCGCATCTAACCTCGTTTGTGAAACAAGCCGACAGGTACCGCGAGACAAAGACCGTGTGCCGCGGGTTGTTATAATTGCTTCCGAGGCTTTAGAGCCGATGATACACTCCACTCTACAACTCAAATGGACCCCCTGACTAGTTCTATCCTATACTTTTTTTCTTCTTGATGAACTTTACTCAATATATACATGTAATACTCTTCTTCCGGTCATTATTCAAGCTGACAATTCTTTTCATGATGCTTTAATCTCTTTTTTCTATTGAAAAAAAAATACTTAATATTGATGATAAATGGAATTCTTCTTTTTTCAGATACAGTTAATAATGTTCACTTTAAAATATTAATCTAATAAAAAATTAATCCTTTAATAATTATTACTATTGATTTTGTTGATGGCAAAACATCTTTTGTATTGTTTATAATAAACAATGCAGATTAGTCTATATTTGTATGTGCAGCTGTGAAACACAAAGAATTGCTCTTGACAATTAGTCACGGATATCAAAAAAGTAATTCGAAAGGTCAACATTACAAATAGTAACCTGAAGCTGAAATTTACCTGTTCACGGATTAACTTGGGAAAAATGTAAAATTTCTTGGTCACCCTGTTTTCTAGCGCCAAGAGTCATTGTCCTTCTGGTGATGAGCGTGTTACATTTTCACGGACCCTTTAAGACTAAAAGAACAATATATCCTCACTTCTTTTCCAAAAATCACTAGACCCCTTTATCCTTTTGAACGCCGGGCGCCACGGCTTCACGCCTATTCGACCCTTTTTTATTCCATTGCTCTTTCTCTTCCTGCTCATCTTCTGCAACCTCCTGTCAGTCCATATCTATACATCCTTTTTGACTCATGTGCCACTCCCATCCTATAAAAGTAGAAATAAAAATTATCTACGGATTTCTAACTTTATTCTAAAGAAATCATTATATAAAAATATTTAATTTATTGCTACAAGTTTTTTACTGTTTCCAATAAGATTGAGATTGCAGGATGTTGACAATCAAGTTTTTTTTCTATTAAAAGATTTTGAAAAAACTATTGTCATTAGTCATCATTAATCATTTTTTATTTTATTCCACTTTTAACACGAAAGATTGACCAAAAGGGTTTCAAAAACGGCAGGATCGAGTGCTAAATTTTTCACCCATAAAATATTTCTGTAACATTGCAAGTCATGCTGAAATAATTTATAATCTCGAAAAAGGGCCAGTCGAATGGCATACCTAAACTGACTAAACGCCGTACTAATTTCATTTAGCACCCTACCGCGTGGTATCTTGTGTTGTCTTCGTGGGGGGTTGTTTATGTTCAGTAGAAATAAAAGGTATAGATATAATATACCCTTTCACCCAACCCCTGTGACGAAACTTGAAATCTAGTCGCACAAGTTCTTCAAAGTAAAATAAACTTGTCAACTACTTGTATAACACATATATATATTCCTTTGATTTAACTTCAACTTCTAGGTTTGAAGGTGACGCTTTATTTCTTCTAGGCGTGACCTGCTTCTATTTAAGTAAAATATAAAATAATCTGATCGTATCGTTACCTTAAACATTACAAGCGGAATAAATTCGATAGCCTCATTAATGTCCGCCTTTATTACCAAAGGTTCAACATAAAAATTTTTTATCACTAATATTTCATTTGTATCCTATAATAAATTATGCAGAATGAAAATACGATAAATTGACGATTAAAAACATTTTTCCCACTATATTTAACATAGTGTTTCTTAGCCGAAAAAGTGAGAAAAAAGTGCCGTCATTATTAATGAAGTCATCGAGTACAAGATATGAACTAAGAGTCATGGTATAGTGGATCCTGCAGGCGGGATTGGCGCCTAAACTTCCCACATATACTCACTAAGATGGGAGAATAATTTTTTTTCTCCATCAAAAGTGATGAGGAATAGAGAAAGAAAGAAAAGTGGCATCTCTTAGAGGAGTTCTTCGTCATTACTCTGCATGACGTTGCGCTATAGCTTCTGTTAGGTGTCTTATTCAGCTTTTTTACATCTTCCTCTTTTTACACCCTCTCCACCTTCTTTTCTACGCAGCCATTCACACGCTAACCTCATTTGTACCACTCACGATCATTTGATCGACTGCTAACTAAAATTTCATGCTCTTTGTCATCTTTCATTCATGGCTTGGCTATTAAGAAATTAATTTTAATGAGAAATAGATTATTTAATTGACATATTATATCAATATATGGATAAATTTAGAAGTATATCAATAGAAAATATGAAGAAAGTGTTAATGAGCCGAATAAACCTACCAACAAGTTAGCAGAAATGATGTGCAGTCGATCATAGACTCAATCGCACTTTCATCACTTGGTTGAAGTAGCATCCGACCGGTTGCATGCCACAAATTGCCTCAAATATTTACGCAATTGGCATGATAACCACATTATGTGATTATATACGCTCGTTGGGTGCGCGATACACCGTTCAGTATCAACCACTCGCTCTTCAGCCCTCTGTGACAACCTATTTCACCTCCTGAACATGCTACAGGATCTTTGATTCTTCCCAAATGAGCAGATTATCTGTAATATATTTATGTACTAATAATCTTTTTTCATACATTATTTATTTAAATTCAATTACCGTTATAAATATTGTATCCTTTATAGGCTCAAATGCTTAATCTTATGAAACAAATCAGTTAGAATCCCACAGAATTTCTTGGTTTTCAAATTTATAATCGGAAAGTTACCGCATTTGAACACTGATTAAAGCAGTTAAGTTCACTCATCATTAATGTTTTACTCCTTTTAATTCAACATTTCTTGATAGAGAACCTGAAAAACGGTCATGTAGTTGGAAAAAGTAATTTCTACTGGTTAATATAAGTAGGATGAGAAATTTATAAAAGGTAAAATCATTTTTGAATTTTACGTAAATTAATGAGACTTATTTTTTATGCTACAATTTGAGACAAGTATGAGTGAATTAATGTTTATATAAAAATCACGATTGCATTGAAGCATAATAATTTGTTTATCAAGGCTTTTTAAAATAAACTGCTTTTAATATTTTAAAGTCGCTTATTTATAAATATATATGAAAATTAAGTACCTGCTTATAACAAGGTTTCCCCTTTACAAATTTCTTTCTTTTTTTCGTTGTATTGGAAAGCTAAGCCACGAGAATGAGTTTGAGTTGAAGAGTTTTCTGAACCTTTATTCAAAGAGATATGTATCAGAGATCATAAGAGAACTCAATGTAGAATAGTAAACGTGTGTTTCTTTTTGATCACACATTTCCATCAACTCTTCTACCAAGTACTTTGTCAATGTCTGAAGAAAATCATCTACCTATCAATTTGATTTTTTTTCAGACTGCTAATCTCGTTAATAAAAATACCATTAATACGGAAATTCACATTCAAGATATTAGTTTTTAATCTTACATAACTTATAATTTCCTTTTGAATAATAAAATTGTAAGTTTAGGAAATCTTTTCCATCTTAACTGCTAAAACGCAATAGAAGCGTCGTTAGCAATATTGAATCATTGATCGTTTCTAGAAAAAAATAAGAAAAATTTAAATAAAAAAATAATTATTTTCATACTTAGCTCGAAGACATAAACGATTATGAATATCATTTATTCAAGGAACTCATGAAAAATCTTTTTCTTATTTAGCTTTAGGACAATACAATGGCTAGTATTATATTAAGATGATAAGTATTTGGGTCAACGTGGCACGAGAGCAAACCGTCCTCACTTTACCGCAAGGATGAATCGAAATTACTGGTCGGCCACGAGAAGACGAGGTAAACACAAAGTATCGCTTCGAGAGCCAGAATTATTGTAATTACAACAATTTATTGTTACGAGAGAGAACCGAACCGGGAAAAACAAGGGAATCGCGCACGCTTGCTTGTGCAGGCGTTAGTTTGACATCGTCACGCCCTCTTTTTTATAGCGCGTTCAACAGCACGTAATTAGCAGTCGGTAAGTTTTCATTATATCGATAAAAAAGAATTCCTAGTTAATTTGAAATGATAAAATTTAAATACAGAAATTAACATTTTCATCATCAATTGGTTTAAATAAAAATTTTTGTAAAAGGAATTACATCTCTAATATCATAACAAGTTGAACATAAATTATTGTGAAATTTCCTCTCCTTTGTACCTTTCTCACCGCGCAATTGACGAGAAACCTTACATATCTCGGCCGTGACGACCCGAGGGTCCCTTCCTCTATTCCAACTTCGTGCGAACCTCGTCGAGTTTCACACCTAGAGATGTAAAATTTTCAATTCGATCACACGCCGCTCTCTAGATAAGTACAGAGTGCCAGAAGCCGCTGGACGTCAATTGATCTTAAATTTTTATCCTGCTCTCGAAGCTAAGCTTATGATCATCGAGAAAACTATTCAACAATCATCGACAAATCTACTCAAGTCAACGCCTTCAATCGATTTTGATCTTGTTACCTCAACTTAACAATCATAAATTCGCGGAAATAACACTTATTCAAACTCCAACACCATTTCCGTGTATCATTCTTTTATTTTGTAATTTTGCTTTCAAATAATCAACAATAATGTACTGAATTGTAAAACCACAATTTATTTTTGCTTTCTATTAAACTACTAATACATTTTTCAATTATTTTCCCTTCACCCAATTAACACATCCCCGGTTACAAATATCGATGTATAATTTTGTAAAATTTTTCTCTAGCTTCTTATTTTTACTTCTTGAAAAATGGTTAATGATGATTATGATGGTTTGTTATCATTCTTACGTTTGTTTCGTTGCCAAACTTCATTGTCGATGCTATAAAAAATATATTTATAAATACATGAATTAATTGTAGATAAAATAAATATTAATTCACAGGATTATTAATTTAATATAAGATACAAACTCATCCGACGAAGGTCCATATTTATCGTTAGCATAGGAAGCAAGAGTACGCCAAAGTTCAGGTGGTCCTTCAATGGCAAGTGGAAAATGTTCCCAAGACATAGAATCTAGATCTGATATTAAAAGAAATAGATATTTTAATTTGTGCTAAGTAAAACATATATATATATTTTTTTTCTATTACTTAATGCCGTACTTCCTGGAGCTGGATAATTTATCATCCTTTTGTTGAGCTCCTGATTATTTCTTTCATTCGCATAAGACATTATCAAGTCGTTGGTCTGCAATGAAGAAATTATTATAATATGCTTATAACATCTATTTGTTTCTGAATTTAATTAAATTTATTTTTGATGAATTGAAATACTTACTGAAAAGTTTTCATCTCCTCTAGTGACCCTCGGAATATTCCTCGAAGGCTTGAGGAAAAAATCCTCGGACCTTCCACTGCGCCCAACTCTTGGTATATTCTTAGCAATCTTTAGAAAAAACGCCGGTACTTCATCAGCATCGACGGTGGTCCATTTCGTGGCGAGTACGATAACATAAACAACTTAATCAAAAACATGAAAAATTAGTTACAATTTTTTTTAGTGACAAATTCGTTTTTGTTTTGAATTTTTTTGAAAGAAAATTAGGTTCATACTCACCAATAAAGAATTGATGCTTTTTGTGTAAAGACATTTTTTCCATCTTTGATGTTTATTAATTAGCTATATAAAAAATCACACCAAAAAATTAATCAGAGTAAAAATAAAGATTTTGAATAATAAAAAAATTTTTAAAATCAACTTTTACGAAAGAATATTATATAAGTTTACTCAACTATTAAAAAAAAAAGTCTTAAGAAAGAAATTAACTTCGTTAAAGATTAAATAGTATACTAATTATCACCAAAAGACTATCGAGAAGAATTTTTGAAAATTTATAAACTAATGAAACTTTATAAAAATGGAAGATCTCCAGTAGATTCGGAGGTTTCTTGCAAACTAAAAATTGAAATATACCGATAGCATTATTTTAGTAGTATCATAACAATATTTCAAGTGATCTTTAAACAGATGTCTATCGAAATATCATTTTATGATATGTAAATCTACTTAGTGCCAAAAAAAGGAAATTTGATCAGCAAATAAAAATGACATAGATAATAAAAATGTATGATTATAAGAATGATTATTTAACAATATTTCTTCTCACTTACTTTAAACATTAAATAAATAAAAATCGTACGAAAATTAACTACAAAAGTATTGGAATTACCTTGTTTATTGGTTGAAATCAATTGTGCTCGTTAAATTTCGATTGTCCATTTTATACTCATTCGAATTGATAGTTAATTATTCAGTCCATACACCTTCGATAAATTTGATATAACGGAGTCTAAATGTTTAATTAGCTCTGTTAAAAAAATGCAGGTTTTATTTAACCCCTATGCTGGTAGACAAGCTCAACGTGATGATTATTTCAATTTCAATGTAACACTTTCATGAAGATATCACATTTAAAAAATTATAAAACAATAAAGTAATTTTTTAAAAAATGAGTTATTTGTATAATATATATACATTATTTTAAAATCGATAATACATTGTTCTCATTTATAGTTTCACTCTGAAAGTATTAAATAAACATTATTGGAGTATTTGAAGTAAATAAACTCATCTTTTTTGGTTTTTTAAGTAGTTATAAATATTCCATTCATATGTTTGAAAATGAGTAGGATGAATGTAAATAATTAAATTATTTAGATATTATTATTTATTCTATTCAATTAAATCTTTTTTATCGTTTAAATATTATCATAAAAAAAAGTTTAAATTAAAAAAATGTAAAAATTATCTAATTAAATTGAAGGAATGTAATTAATAATAAACATATTTTTTGTTTCTGCTTTTTTTTTATTTTTTTTTAATGATATTACATTTTTTTTAATAATAATAATAAATACAACAAAATTAATTACATTTTAAGCAATGAGTAATTTTCTTGAAGCCAACAGGTGAATGTTCGATTGCAAAATTATCATAAATAGATAACTAAGAGGATTGATTGTTCATGTTGTATCGTGAATTGGTAAGAAAGAGAAACGTTGTCGACAGATAATCTTTAGTTGGATTCTTGGTGCAAAAGCCAAGCATTGCATGCTTCACTAGCAGTTTCGCACATTGCACTGAAGGCTCGACCAAATGCTTCATAATCTAAAATTTATTTAAATGTTGTCAATTAATTTTTTTATTCTAATAAATAAAATATTTGAAATAATATTAATACAATAATTAATCAATTTACAATATCTGAGATTATTAAACTATTTTATTAAATGAAAAATTTTAATTAATAAATGCTATATTTCTTATCTAGAAAATTTGTAATAAAAAATTTTCCTACCAGCAACAGCATAAGATCGTTTTCCAAAAATACTTCCATTGAATGGTGGTTTTTTGTAAGCTGCTTCGACAGTTATGGCATAAACCAATGTGAAGACAGCAACAACGAGGATGATTCTGATTGAGATCATTTTGAAAATTTTGTAAAGTTGATTTACTAGAAAAAAATATATATATGTTATTCACAGAAAATGTTGAAAATCTTCGTTGAACTATTTTTACAAAATAATTTTAAAATAAACTAGCTACCAGACAATAGAAAAATACAATTCAACTGTTTGTAAGGCAATGTGGATTTTCATCAAAAATTTTCAGCTTTTATAGAAGCTTAGAAGCTGAGAGAAATGAGAATGTCAAACACAATAGAACAAACATTACTTTCATCTGCGGTATCAATAATGAAAAACATAAATCAAAAAAACATTGACTAAGTAATCTAGAAGACTTACATGTTGAAAAAAAATACTATCAATAATGAAGTCGTTCGATTACTTGACAATTTAATATTAATTATTAAAGATTAATTGAAATTATTTATTGTAGAGATCGTGAATAGGTGTTTACTTACCTGTAGGCTTCTTGATAGGTTTCTTGGTTGAGTCGCAAGCTCACTGTGATACTTTCCAGAGATCCACCGAGCTTTTTATACACTTGTCCTTACCATACATGCGTGGTGGTTATTATTTTGTCTAATAACTCGATGAAAATAAATGAAATCAGGGTGATGCCCCATACTAGTCCGAACGAACGAAGTTATCTTCTCTTTTAATGGAACTATACCACGTGGGAAATTCATCCGCTTTCCCAGACAAATTAAGTTCCTATTCAACGCTCCATCGCAGTTCTGATTTATATAAAATGTTTTAGTTTAAAATAAGCTAATCTTATTAATGAAAAAGTTCATTGAATTAATTTAAATATGTTTGCCATCAAAAGATGGTCAAATTTTTGATAAATCATACACTAGGACTGATTAAAGGTTTACTGTGAGGCTGGAATTTTTTCATTAATATGGAATAAATTGTGTACACTCTCATTTTATCTTTAAAGAGTTAGAGGATTTTTTTCTATGTTCACATTTAGAAATAAAAATATATAGATTTAAAATAAATGTTTCTGGTTTTTATGGGAGGATAACTTATCAGAGAATTGTAAATGTTTACCTTGGAGATGATATTTGTCATTACAAAAATCTCAATTATCTTGTAACAATGACTTGTAAAAACATTGCAAATGAATATTTATAGATGATTGACGTTGATAAAAAATAAAGTGGTTAATATTTTTAAATGCATTTGAAATATTTGTAAAATAATTGATTTTTATTTGAGCGAGCAGAGATAAAGAAGAAATCTTCTCCAACTTTTCTAGTTTGACAATAACTGGAAAGAAAATTCTTTCTCCTATGTTTCAAAGCATATCTTGGACATCATATGTTGTACAATTTTCATTTGCACGAAGACAGGTTTTTCAGTTTTCTTTGATATCTGCTGCAACAAACAAAATATTACCAACATCTTAACTTCCCCATTAGATAGTAACTTATCGGTGAACTATGATGTTCCCATGAGCAGAAAAGATCAAATGTTATGAATTCAAAAAGGGTTTTAAGTAACTTATTACATAAATGTATCTTCTATTGGTTCAATAACAAATCTCACACATCTTTTTTTTTAATAATTTTACACTTTTTTATTTTTTTTATATACAAAACATTTCTTCATAATATTCGCTAATGTTTGACAGTTGTTGAATACAATATGAAAAATCTCACTTGCCTTTTTAACATGGAAAGTCATCGAAAGATACTACTGAATAAGAATTACTTAATCATTTTTCAAAGTAATACTGATTAACATTATATCATCTTAAATAATATTTATTATAAATAATCTTTACACTTGACCTATTTAATTTATTAAAAGAAACACCGAAGACTAAAATCCTTAAAGCTATTGAGCTTAGTTTGATATAAAATGTTGTATTCTTACAAATTGAAGATAGGAGAGATTTTTTTGCAAATGCTTCCTAATATCTACTTAATTATTGTCGCGTCACAACGTCTTGAACGGCATAAAATGAATCAACTAAATTGTTTCATTTAATTAGCTCGTTCTTGTTGAACGTATTCTTATTTGTAAAGCCACACTGCGTGAAATTGTATTTAGCTGGATATTTGTAGCATTTTAATTAATAAGAATTGAATACATATTCTTAATATATTAAATATGATATATCTCACTCCTAATAAAATTCCTTATGCCATAATACACCCAGTAACATTTAAATATTAATATTAATTATTTTAATACTTAATTTAATTATTATTATTATATAATAATCTTATATCATAAATTTTGCCGTATGTCCCAGCACATTTACAATTATAAAATACTTTATGGAAGACGTTGATTTTGTGTTTTCAGTGAAAACTCTTTGAAGTATCCAACATATAAGAACGAACATTCTTTGTAGTACATCTAGATTATATTTAATAGTTATTGACATTGCACGCATATTAAATATTCAGCATATTAATACTTTTTATTGCATAATACACACATGGCACACGACTATCGTACCTACACGGCGAGGAGATTATTATTGTGTTTTAATAACAAAAACAAATTATTCAATTACATCGAAAGGTTTCTCACATTTGAGTTGATTTAATTCAAATATTAAATCAAATTTCATTTTTAATAACTTTGATTAACATAAACAAACCGCGCCGTGTTATACGGGTCTAGTGTTTTTTATAAGCCCAAAAACACAAACATATTAAAAATGTTTTTTTTTTTAAATTTTTTTACGAAAATAATAAAACGATTATTTATTTAAAATTATTTGTTAATTCAAATATTTTGAAAGTTTATAATAGCGATAATATTGATCTATTAAAAAATATTCTTGCATATGTTTATAAGTGAATAAGTAGCTTCAAGCACAAAATAATTTGTGAGAATATTAGACAATTTTATATTTATTGTCTTTTCATTAAATAATCTACTTAATTCTAAGAGATATGTTGATTCATTATCTTGCCTGACATTTTTTTGATCAATTCTTCAATTTTTACCAGAATCTACACAATCTTCACTCCTTGATTAAATTCTTCTATTCATCTGTTTCCTGATTTTTGTTTTTTTCATCTCCAATTCTATCACAACAGCTGATGAATCCGTTAGAGTTCTCCAAACCAGTTTTGACAATGGTTTCAGGATAGTTTTCAAAGTGTTTCGACTTGTAATTCGATGAAGCCAAACATTTTTATTACTGTCCTGTTAAATTTTCTTAAAAATGTTGGTGATACTCAATTTCTTCATCCAAATATTTTTGTTTTTTTCTTTGTCAACTATGTTTGATGTTCTCGTGTTGAAATTAGTCACAGGTTTATTAAATAAGCTTTTTAAAAAACTTCCAGTTATTGACAATACTTGGAAGTATACAACATGTACTGATGTGAATATTTAGATTTTACTGATTGAATTTGTTCTGCAGAGCCCGAAGGCCTGCACAAGGGCCGGAGCCCAACTGATCCATGGTTATCTCGAAACTTCCCTTGACTCTTCAACAGACTAGTGTATGAGATAAATACGCTTGCGCATATTTCTCATTTCGATTCGCTAGTCAAAATGGTTAGTAATCGTTGTAGTACAGCCCAACATCTTCCCTACAACACCCTTTTGCTTTTGCCATATCAAGAGCGCCATCTGAGAGCGATAGGAAATCAATATCACAAACTTTTCTAAGACATCTTCCAGAGAAAAGATAGCAAATTATTAGGAAGATAAGAAAGATGAGTAATCGAGAAATCTAATCATAATCGTCGATCAAAACTAACCGGATATTTTTTTTCCATTACTATCACTCCGTTATGTGAACATCAATAAGTATTTTTCACAGATGATTTTGTCATTTATCCAATTAAAAAATCTCATTTTGATCGAGACATAGTCTTTCTTCATCAATCAAAGAACTTTATTATAAAAATGGAGCTTAGGAAAGCAACTTTATAATAAAAGATGATTATGAATTAGCAAAATGTAATGATACTTAATAAAGATAAAAATTAAATCTCTTAGAAATGAAAAAATAGTTTCATTTCGATTTTTTTTACAGAGTTAATAATTTAATTGAAAAATATTCGAAAGTATGATTTAATTGTGGTACAATAATTTAAAAAATTGCTATCACTGATGAATGTTATTAGGTTCATAAAGCTTGAACATTTTTTCTCTTCAAATCGACATAAATGTCACTAATTATTTTATCGATGGAATTCATTCAGTTCATGACATGAATTTATCATCTGAACGTTCTATCAGTAAATTGGTACCCTTTGATATTCATCGTAAATTTTATCACAGAACGAAAAATAATATATTATCTATTTAGAAGTCTGTATAGATGTTTGATATTTATTATTAAAACGTGCCATTTGGGACCATTCTATTCTTCAGTGTCATTGCTAAAATTATTTCCTTTTTTTTTCATCATGAAATAATTTTGCCTCTATTTCTCCAATATAATTTAATAAAAGTTTACACAGTTAAAAAACATTTAAGGAGGTAAAAATTTAAATTATATAAAATATTTTCAAGAATGTTGATAAAATTATTTGATAAAATTTTTTTTACATTCATTAAAGAATGGTCGATTGAGAATAAAAATAGTTGTATACATGGATAAATTGAATTTTATTTACCTTTTCTTTTCACATCAGTAACTTCTTTAATAAATTAAATTTTTTAATAAAAACTTTTTACTTTCATTATTAATATGATTACTGAGAGGAAATGAGAAAAGTTGTACTGTTCCGAGGCGCAGCTTGAAGCTGTTTCAAAGAACATACAATCTTTAATGTAAGAAATATTTCTTATTTTTCCTCTGGCAAAAGATTACATATAGAAATGCTGGTTGTGAGGGTGAAAAGTAGATAGTGTCGTTTCGATAAGTAACTCTATTTCATGAATATAAGTATATGGACGACATCAAGACAAGTCCAAAGTTGAGAGAACTTTTGCATTATCTTGCACCGTCGTCAGTACTTCCTCTTTTACTTGCATTCAAAGAAGAACGTAATGGCGTAGTTTAAGAATCGATCCACGACGATGAGAAATTCAAAACGACATCACCAAAATCCTCTTTAAGGTAATGCTAGAGCTGTCTAGGAAACCCACAAATACTCTTACAATTAGTTCCAGCTATTCAATTCCACTTGTTTAAAATTCTGACTCTTAAAGACCAGTAATTATGCGAATTGTTCCATGAAACTTCCGTGATTTTTGCCAACTTTTTATTGTTAGTGAAATTAACTGATGGTCTGAGATACAACTGTGAAATAAAGTCCTGAATACTAAGCTTTAGCTATCTCAACCATTCAAATAAATTGGCTTGACTTTTTTAATTAAAAACTCATGCGATACTTAAACAAAAAGTCTATATTCCATTGTTTCGTAGTGATGACAATTATTTGAACAAATTTTCTAAAGCTGCACCTTTTATTTTGGTACCAATATATCTTAACCTTAATGAGTTTCAAGAATAAAATAAATAACTTCGATATTTTTCCTAGAGGAATGAAAGAAATATTGGTCGAAGACACGACGATATTAGAGTGCTCGATGTGCTCTTATATCAGCAATAAGTTTACCGATACTTGGACAGGATCTCTCGATGTTTTTAAAGAGAAAGAAGGAGTAAAACATAGATGAGAAAGTGTTGCGATATTTTCGAAGTGAAAGAGTAGCAACTAGTTACGTTCCTGGGTCGGTTTCAAAACTCAACCTCAACCTCTCTGATGGAGGACTTGGTACGAAGGAGATATTGATTGAATTCCCGGTCGGCCATTTTGTCCTGGAACCCCATTGGCCGCCGTCCATTTTGTCCTCACCCTCTTCAAACTCAAACTCTTGATTTTGCTCATTCTCTTCTTCACTTCCTCCAACTTCTCTTCCTTTTCCACGTGGTCGCGCAGGCGTCGCGACATTTTTTACACCGAATGAACACGAACTTGCAATTGAATTTCCAACTCTCGTGCAAATCGCCCACTACCACCCTTTACACGTCTCCTCGGCATATTTCGAGCCCGAGAGTTCATTCTGTTTCTCATTCCGGATATATTTATTTCTTTTTTTTATAGCTTTTCTATTCCTGACCATGTATAAAGCGACACCAAATAACAACATACATTAAAGCATATTTCAGTTATCATAAACTATCCAAAGATTGTCTTTTTGGTTGATAAGATATTATTGTATGCAATCTATTTCTTGAATTGTGAATTTTTCATTCACATTTAGATAAAAAATTTCAATATTAAAAATCACGATTTTAATTATTTTTTGATGAGGAATATAAAAAAAACAAATTGAATAGATTCTAGAGGATGTAATAAGAAAAAACTCAACCATCATATCCAAAAGAAAAGAAGGAAAAAATATGGCAAAAATCCGACCTAGTTATTTGAATATCTAAAAAAAAATAGGATAAAACAATTGTGCGAATCAAACACTTTTTTGTTCAATTACATTTGCTTGAATAATTTAATCGAAAACCAATACTTTCAAGGTATAAAAGCATTTTTGAAAAATCGTTAATTCAACAATCTGCAAAAATACTTAAATTTAATCCTCTTACAATTTTTTTCTATTTTCCAGTAGACGTATTGACAATTATTCAATACTGAAAATGGAGTAATCAATTCATCCAGCCTAAATACTGGGTTAAGTAGAAAATGCCTATCAGGCCAGCCATACAGCGACAGACAGCCTGTTATCTATTCAATAGAGATAGGTTAATTTTTTTTTAATCGATTCTTCGAATGGTTCTACGGAGAATAAATTTTTGAAAAATAATCACTATAAAAATTTTTAATCTCTATCAATTGAAGTAAAAAAAATAAATCCACGTTAAAGCAGAAGTTTGATATGTTTTAATATTCAATAATAAACTTCACAGTCATGTTAAAACTTTCAACGAGTGAAAATCACTGTAAATTGGTGCGAATATTTTCACCTCCAAGAATGCTGTTAAACCAATTAGCAGCTATCAGTAATGACACCTGAAAATAAAATTAATTTTTACTAGAGCTTTTGTAAAAAAAATTTTGAAATCAAATAACTTAAAATTACTGACGCATTTATTATTTGTTTACTAACTGAATTTAATATAAATTTAAATTATTAATACGCATTTAACTTAGTTGTTTATTGTTTTAATAATAACCAGGGATCTGTTTATCGTTGAATTAAAAATTCCTTAAGAAACGTTACCTTAGAATAATATTTTCAGATACAATAAACCATGCAAATGTCAGAAAGTCAAGATTGCGATGATAATCGTGAGATTTCAAGCATTTGGTTACCTAAATTCGTAGGGGTAACCACATTCTAAACAGCCTTGAGATATCAGATGAAGAAATGTTACCCTCTTCGTTCACTTTTACGTCAAACGTACGTGATTGGTCTATCCATGACACGCCCGTATTTCAACCACGTGGTTTCTCACCCTTATGCAGAGACTCGGCCACGCCTTTCCAAAAAGCCACCCCCGCCGTCGGGAACGGAAACTGGGTCAGCTAGAGTGAATCCCGGCCGAGTCAGACCGAGACTCGAGAGTCGTCGAGGCTCGAGTCGTAGCTTGCAGTCCTGTGGAAAAGAACCTAAAGCCCGTCCGTTGCCACGCTCTCATCAACCTCCTCAGTTGCAATCCATCCTCAACTTAATTCAACAACCCTAACTAGACTGTCGCTGACAGGTGCGAGAAATTATTTGGTAAGTGTTTCACGATTATTTGGATTTTCTTTACTAACGTTTAGCCTTTTTTCTCATTTATTCTGCTTCATTTTTGCATAAACAAATCATATTTTATTTTATTTTTATATTTCAGAGTTCTAGTTGCTATTATAATTTTTGAAAAATACTGACTTGAGTTCAAAATGTTGACGATAATTAAATGCTAGATTCGTGGAGGCAAATAATAGTGTGAAGGTAGTGAAAGGAAAAGTTTTCATTATAAAATCAAGTGAATTTAATTTTGAACTGAGTTTAGAATATAGAATTGATAAACAGTACTTACACCAGACGGAGCAAGCAAAGACTGACTAATAAAACCAAGTAATAACATATTTAGGTAGAGACATACATTTATTTTACAATATTTACTACTTTTCTCTCTCACACTGATATACCTAATGGACAAAATAAGTTGTTTGTATACTAGGTATCACTTTCATTCAAGATGTGCCTAGAATCAAATAATGTTATTTGATAATCATTTCATCATATCTATCAAATTATTAAATCGTCTTGACTGTTTCAATTTATATGAAATAAATAATAACAATTAGCTATCATTAATGATCACCATTAAATAATCCCCAGTTAATAAAAAAAAAATAGTTATAAAAATTTATTTAGTCAAAATATTCTATAGATTAATTATTAGATACGATTGGAATGAACTATAACAAAAAAGGATAGATATTCAATGATTGCATCCTTTTAAAAAGTAGTTTAACTTTGATATCAATTCATAATCATTATTCCATCAATGGCATCAACTATGAGAATAAAAAAAAAGAAAAATGATATTCTGTAGACATTCTGTAGGTCTGAATAATTAACAAGAAGCAGATAACTGTGACGTCAATGAAATCATTATAAATAGTATCTATTAATTATCTCAATATCTACGATGATTAAATGTATATTTAGATCCACATAATTGATAAATAATTGCTACTACTTTTTATTTCTTTTCTATGTTTGTGGAGTTGAGCTCTTTATTGAATTCTATGGAATAAAATCTACATAATATAGAAGAAGATAAATTACTTATGCTAAAATAAACGCTGTCCATGTTTCTTTTACGTGCACCTCTTGCTGCTCTGTCTGCGTCACGACTGTGCGAATAACTGAAGCGCATTGTTATTATTGATTGTTGTAGGGACTGAAGCGAGGGGTACTACGACAGAGACATGGACAATGTGCAAATGATCGGCACTAAAATCACTGCTATCAAGGATTACTTATATGTAAGAAGTTAAAAGATCATTCTCATGTTGATTCACATCCTTCAACATCATGTTAAGACTACATCATATCATCATGTATCAATTCATCGCGGTTTAATTTAATTTAACTGTATCAAGATCCTTCAACGTCTTCAAGAAATTAGACAGTATATTTCCCGTTTTCAGAATTTCGCCAGGACACATTCACCAACCAGACTCATGAGTTCTGAAAATACATATTCCCTCAGTAGGGAGCACTGCAACCTCAAATACTCTGGTAAGATTACTTTTTTCAATGCATTTATGTATTTAATAAATTATTGATAAATAGGAAAAATTAAAATAACTAAATATAAAGGGTTAAAAAAAATAACCTTAAGGTAGGTCATTATCGATTCACAAGAAGTGCTACATAAATATTTAATTTTTCCTATGCAAATGTATTTGACTATGTCATGTTTATACTACTTGAGATATTTATCTTGATGTTAAATATATTTCACACTTAGTGGTTGGTATTTATATAAAAAGCTCTAGAGAATTTTCAATTAAATCAACATTGGTACTCAAATATTTAATTTATTAAAAGTCTTGCAAAAATATTTTCCTGAAAAAAATTATAATTCATTACTTAATATTAAATACTTATAGAATTCTTTTTAAAGCTTGAGAGAATTTATAATTTATTTTAGTTGCATTTGTGTGAAGATACATTAATTAGGCATCACATAATGTTATATACACATAACTAATTCTGCAATCTATAAAGCCACAATATTGTCCTGATTTAACACTCGAGAGAATGAATCCACAGGACAGAGGTTGTCAGAAGGGTGCATAATAATAGAGGATTTTGGGTTAGCTCGGAGGCTCGTCGCGCGCGAGTACTCGACGAGTGGCTCAGGACAGATTACACGCCGCAGGGGACTTTGTAGCACTTGCTGGAAGGGTTTTGACTCTTCCTATTCCGGACTTTCGAGTGTTATTTGTTTTTTGGCAAGTGTTATACCATGATAACATCCTGGGCGTGCTGTCACTGAAATTTGAGTATTTAAATTAGTTAAAATCGATCTCTCAAGCTTTTGACACTCATGCCATTCTCTGAAAGCTACGAATCATCAAGCATCAATCAAAGTGTGATGCATGTATTAAATGAACACTTCACTTCTTGACAGTGTGTGGGAATGGAGTTTTGAAATATCGAAACTCGAATGTGATATAAAGCGGAAAGCTATTTTACCATAAATTAAGCTCATAATTCTGCTAATAAATCGGTGGAATTAATTTCCGAGTAACGACCCCCGAAAACATTTTTATTAGACGAAAGTGGAGGGTGCAAGACACATCTGGCGTTTTGAGACGTGCATATAAAGGTCTATGCTTTATGCTTTTCATACAATACTTCTCTGTATAATACCTATCATAATTTATCATGGAAATTTGTATTTTCGATATACTAATACTACTTAAATATGTCAATAACAAGAAAATATTAGTTTAGATAAAATCTTTTAAGCAGAGAAAATATGATTATTTACTCAATATATTATTCACTTATGATGAAGACCTCAATTTGAAAAGCACAAGAAACTAATTTTTAGTTTAAAATCATTTTTCAGTAAACTGCTTAAATTATCATTATCTTTAATTTAAAAATGATTAACTAAATTCAGCAAACTCTATCAATGTCTTTATTTTTTATTTATTTGAAAAAGTTAGGTTCTATGTTTAAGACTGTAAGGAGTTTATGGGTGATGAAGATAATTCAGGCAAAAGAATTCCCTGAAGATTGAATTACATCACCAAAAGAGAATAAAAGAGAAGGACCAAATTTTCTGGCTATGTGGTCTACGTGGTTGTTTATCCATAGGATCGTGGTAATGGAAAGGAAAGTCGTCGTTCGAGGGTGCTGCAAGCTCTCGACGGATACTTTATAGTTTGCTTCTGAAAAAGCGACAGCTTAATCTGCCAAGGATTTACCAGAGTCAGGATGAAGACTATACCAGTTCTGCTAGCTACAATATTTTGTCGTTATTCTATCCTAGTACTCCATCATCATTTCTTTTTTCATCTCGACTTCCTTGTCACTTTTTATCCATCGTCGTTTATCTAATCGAAATTGATAAAGAATTTCAATGACAACTTTATTATTTACTGATGGTGTCACCCCACCAAACAAGTGAGAGTGTGTAAATTTAGGTCTATACTTTCAATTGTTTGATGAGGTGAAATCATTTATCTACAAACACTTCCAACTAAGGATGGTACATTGGATGTATGGAAATTCAGAATTTTTTAACAAATACTCCAATGAAATATGTAGCTTTCTGATTTAAATGGGTAATTTCTTAGTGAAGATTTTTATACATTCATCTTTTAATAAAATGCTAAATAATTCATTAAATTTAATGTAAATATTTGGTATAAAATGTTCTCAGACATCATTCCCCAAAATGCTGAGGGGTATCCAGCAACCAAGGAATTCCTGATGAAAGTTGTAGACATTCTTCTGGACTACATCAAAACACAGAATGATCGCAACTCAAAAGTTTTGGATTTTCACCATCCATCTGACCTGCAGCAGCTTTTGGATCTTGAAATTCCTGATAATGGACTCACTCTTCAACAACTTCTTATTGACTGCTCTACTACTCTCAAGTACCAAGTGAAAACTGGTCAGTATAATTTAATTTTATTTAAATTTTTTCTAATGTGAGTTAAAAAACGTGGAATCTCTGCTGATTTAGTAAAAATTATTTAAAATAGTGTTAGTAAACACTGATGCAAAAAGGGGGACTACGATAAGCCGCATAATTTCATATTCAATTTAGCATACGCCCGGACGGAGTTGAAGATAAGGTAGCTGGAGATATTATACGTCCCCTTTGCTCATCCCTGACTCTCCGCCCTCGAAATATATACACGTTATAGATGTGATAAATAGTCCATGTGGGATTAAAGACGTCAGAGAAAAAACAAAAATAAATTTCGAATAGCAGCTTTAAGGTTCATGTCCTAGATAAAATTCTATTTCATCATGATCAAGTACTTTGATGAGATACTGAAGAGATTTTTCAAGTTTTCTTCAAAATTACCTTTGAATTCATTAATTAATTTCTCTTTGAATATTTATTTTTAATCAAGAAAGAATTGGAAAAAGTTCGAAAAAATTGTTAATAGATAATTAATGGAAAAAAACTTGCAAAGCCCTTTGTAACAATTGAGAACCAGTTTTCAATTTTTACCACATGCTTTGTGATATCTCGTTTTTTCAGGTAGTAATTATTTTTTTTATTTGTAGTAGCTGTTACCTCACAGTTTCAATTTTAACTTCAGTTAAATAAAATGTTAACATTAATTATTATGGTTTTTTATGAATAAATGTTGATTATTTTGCAAAAATTTATGAAAAAGACAATAGAATGTTTCAATAAGAGAAATATTTCAAGCTGAAATTCATGATTATCCGCACATTCTTTTTTTAACTTAACCACACAGCACAACATTTTCCTCCTTTCAACTAAATGAATGCTGGAAGACTACCACAAATCCCCTACGTTGGATAGCCGGTATCTCATCGATTTGATTAGCAGTTTGAATAGATGCTAATGCACAATAGCGTCAGATCAAATCGTAAGGCAAACAAGGCACTATGATAGAGCCTAGGAAATGTGTATACAAGAAAGATGACAGTATAGTCATTTCTGGAGTAGATTAAAGAGAGAAAAAGCCATACTACCCTTCGAGACAGTATCAAGTATACATGCACGTATACAAAAAGTCGTTATTAGATTATGTACCCCAAGAATTTTACCCCGTTCTACATCTCTTTTTCCTATTGTCGAAGCAAAAAGCATACTCTCTCTTGTCCTCTTCTCTAGACTATCGATCTTATTCGAGATACTATAGATACCCACTTTTATATGAGGGGGGCCACGAAAATTATTTCAAAGATTTTTAGCAAGGGTGTTACACACCCGTGATGACCGGAGATTGCGGTGAAGACAATCTAACCTCCGGGGGAGTGATAAAAATGATTGACAGCTTGTGTCAGAAAAAAAAAAATTGATCTTCATGCGATTCAATGATAAAGAACAATGTATATTATTTAAATCAATTGATATTAAAATCCGTGCTGACGTGATAAGACCAGATAAGTGCAAAAGTCAACTCTACAAAAATGGGAAAACTTTTTTTATCGATCACTTCAGTTTATGTTTACTCATAAAACTTAACGGTTATAATCGATTTGAATTTTATTTCTTAAAGTTACTGAAATGAACGATAAAAAATTTTAAATGTCTTCTTTTATCAATACTTGATGAAATTCAAAGACCATTTCTGATATTGATTGATGATAATGTGTAATAAATGATATTGAAAATGATTTTTCTTTAATATAAAACGCTACAAATTTAGGACAATTTTTTTTTTAATTTTGCTTTAAATAATGTAAAGCAAAAATAAAATATACGTTTATTTCATTATCTCTGGTGAATAACAATATAGAGCACTTGAAGAATATATTATCAGTCGTAATTAGCAGAGAATAATAGCAGACAGTAACAAGTTGTGTGAAACAAGTTTTCTGCTGAGTAATTATTTTACTACATAACACAAAAAATATGAAAATTATTAGCTTGCATTCTGTCAGCATTTTAACTTTTCAAAGTTTATGAATTATTTTTTTGTTTCATTATTTAATTAAAACAGTTTACTCAAGTTAAATAAATGTTATTTATCTGTCAAATGTAGTTCTTCAAATAAAAATAACTTTATTCTATGCCCTCACAATTCTTCACATTTAATTAAATACTTCACTGCAAATCGTAGTGTGTTAAATTAAAACACTACAATTTGCAGTGTTGGATGAGAAATTAACTGCTGAATAAATTAACTTTCATTACACATCAAAGTAAAATAGATAAAAAAAATAAGATTAAATTTAATAGAAAATAAAAACACTTTGGACCACTTGTGAAAAACATAAAAATGATAGGATAGCAATTGAATGAGATCGATGTAATTAAGAGCCATTTCTACACGATTTTGTTCCCTACAGAGGGTGAGATTTGGCTAGACTGTAAATAGGGGCCGTAAGATACGGGGTATACCTAAAGTTGTTCAATCTCCCTTTCTGAGTGCATTGCATAGCTGTGTATTAGAATAGAATACCTAGACAAATGGATAATGTGGAATTTAAATTGGTAGTTTCGAGTATTATGTGCACTTGCTGTTAAAATTCTTCGATATTTTGACACGTCACGAAGATAGTAAACGACCCCTTCGAATTCTCGAGACAAGTAATTTTTACTCAACAGTTGCTAAAGAATGTCGTGTATTTAAAAACTTTCCATCGCTTCTGGCGTTTTTCTGGCAACCTAACATGCTTGGCAGAGTTTCAACTTCACAGAATTACAAACTTTGCTTTCAATCCTGCGAAGTTGAAAAAAATTTTCTTCGAATAAAAAATCAGAAGAGTTTTTTTTTATAGAAAAAAGAAACGTAGATTTAAATAAACTTATTATAGCTTTTTTTAAATTTGATTAGGCTTGAATATTGTGTTGCAGTTAAAAAATAGGATGAATTATTGAACGTGTTTTACTTAAGGATGTGGTACATTTGTAAAATTTGCTCCATTTCTTTACAATTAATTTTTGGATCGAGTAAATTCCTTTGCTTTTACTCATGCTATGATTGATGACAAAGTATTAACATTAAGCCAGGGTTACACACTTCTCTTCATACAAATCCTGAATCCCCTAATTTATCACTACGTACAGGGTCTGCTTGCGACAGGTCTCCCTAGCTGTACACTCTACTACTTCTCGTTCTTATGCCTTCTGTTTCTACTTCTCATTCTACTACACTAACTAAATTGCCTCAAATTAGTTGGAAAATAATTTGTTCTTAAATTGGCAAGTCAAGCTTAAATTTCTATGAATCTGACCATTAATAAAGTCATATAGAATCTCCTAAAAATTATATTCCCATTAATTTAAAATTATCATACATCATTATTTATTTTCAAACACATTCATCTAGGGTATAAATGAAAGAGACATCCATTAGGAAAAGCTCTCTTAAAGTTTTATAAAAAAAAAAAAAAATTGGTTTTTACTTTATCAAAGCTTGGAAATCAGTTTAATTCAAGAAAAAAAAGATCAACAAAGTTGAAACAAAAAGGATGTTTTTGTCTACAGTAAACATGTTTCATCACTTTTATCTAATGGGTAATTTTCACTAAAACCATTATTTAATCCATCAGTTAAAATTAATTGTCCAAAGCTCGAGAACAATGTATGTAAATAAAAACATGCAACTCCTGCAGCAAACATGGATAAAAAAGTATGATTCGTCACGTGCATGTGTTGGATTTGAGAGCCTCTGCAAACAATCTAGTCGAGCAGCGACGCGTGTGACGCGCAAAATGCGGGCTCTTCGGATCATCGACCCTCGACTCTCCTAGAGAGTCCACCCTGTGTCTCTCGAAGAGAGTATAGTGAAAGAGAAATAGGAATGAAATGGGTACGGGGTGAACATCTTGGATATCATCCCCTCGAATGCATCTCACAAACGCTCCCAGACGACCGGACGCATGCCTCAGCTCACAGACCACAGTAATTATAGATATAATAGCACAGAAAACGACATTTAAAAGGCCAACAATGTTGATATGGACTTTGAACATATGATTTCCGTTATTGGAGATGTATTTTATCTCAATTGGACTCGCTTTAAAAATTATTGTCTTCCATTAAAAGTTGATTACTACCATTATTCTTTTTACCTAAAACTAAGTTTTTGCTTTCGGATAAAACATCAAATTAACGTTGAAAGTTTATTATTTTTAATAGATTTTGAGCTTAAATCTTTATTAAATTAATTATAAAAGAAATATTACTTCCTAGTTTTTTAAACCGACAATAAAATCAGTAAATTACTAAATGAAAGATAAATAATGAGAATAAGATTGACTTTGATTTTTATAATACCAAAATAATAATAAATAATTGACTGATTATAATGATACTAGAGGGTGAGTTGAAAGATCACGAAAAATCATGCGGTTCAGTGGTTGTGCATTCGACAAATCCCACATAGAGTGCAATATTAAGAGGGGAAACAAGACGATCCCTAAATACTAGCGTTATACGTCAATCAGTCTAGTAATTCCAAGAGATTAAAACGCTTTGTACGTCCACCCGTCAATTTTCTATTTCTTGTCGGATCTCATGTTGTTCAGCTTGCTTATTCTCAGTTAGATTTTTTACCCCGAAATGAAATAAAAATATAAAACCAGCTTTCATTCGATACTAGAAACACTATTGACTTTGCAACTTTTGCTCAAAAGAATCCAATCTCTGAGCTGGAAAATACAGGAAGAGAAATATCTGGACACAGGAAGTGGGACGAAGAATATTGTCTGTTTGAAGTGATTGAGAGTATGAGAATTGAAATAACATTTTCCAGAGTTTCATAGACCAAACGGTTAAATTTATTTACGATAAACTACAAAAACTAATGGGCAAAACTAAAATAGGATGAGAGTGCATAAGCCTGTGCCCAGTGTGCTCAAACAACCTGAAACGAGGGTGAGATCCATCAAACAAAAGCATTAAGTTTGATCCGAGTGCGATGTTCAGCCAAGCGAATGACAACATACTCAGAGAGAGAGCAAGCTTAAAGTTCTTCTCCTTCTTCAGTTCTATGTTATTTCCATCCTCTGTACTCAACACTATACCTTCAACGTTTGCCCCTATTTTACTCTCATACTTTTAGAATTACTTGAAAAGGCCTTGTCATGTTGTTGTAAATTATTCTTAGTCGCATGCAAACTTAACAATTAGCTGCAAATTAATTAATCACTGACAATGTCATGAAAAGATTAACGTCATAAATCTCAGTGTTACTAGATTTTGAGTAAAAAAAATGATGAATAATCATCATTGTACTATTTAAATATTGATGCATTCTTTTTCATTGATGTATAAATTTATTTTGGAGCAGAAAGAAATTCAATCTAAAAGTTGAAACTCACTTTTGATAAATTATCTTATTTAAATACTGAGTCAGCATTTTTAAAATTGTTCTGGAATTTAAACTGAAGATGAAAATATTTTCTCTTGTACTTTCCCATCACTTGACTATGCAATCTTCATTCCAGGTCATGCTCATTTCTTCAACCAGCTTTCATGCGGTCTAGACATTGTATCGATGGCTGGTGAATGGCTTACAGCAACTGCCAATACAAACATGTTCACCTATGAAATAGCTCCAGTTTTCATCCTCATGGAGAATGTTGTCCTTCAAAAAATGCGAGAGCTTATTGGTTGGAATACTGGAGATTCAATCTTGGCACCTGGTGGTTCCATCAGCAATCTTTATGCTTTTCTTGCTGCTAGACATAGAATGTTTCCCCAATATAAAGAACGTGGGCTCTCTGCTATTCCTGGACAACTTGTCATGTTTACTTCTGATCAGGTATAGTAGAAAAATATTTTTCCAGTTCAAGTAAAATTGAAATAAAAATAGAGAGACAGAGAAAGAAAAATGTTTTAATATTTTTTCTGTTGTCATCAGTGCCATTATTCCGTGAAATCGTGTGCTTCCGTGTGTGGTCTTGGTACTGACAATTGTGTAATGGTACCAAGTGATGAGCGTGGCCGTATAATTCCATCGAAGCTTGAGGAATTAATTCTCGAGCGTAAAGCCAAGGGACATATTCCATTTTTTGTTAATGCTACAGCTGGAACAACTGTGATTGGTGCTTTTGACCCTATTACTGAAATAGCTGATATCTGTCAAAAATACGGACTCTGGCTTCATATTGACGTAAGTGCATAAACGTTTATTTAATTGAAACATTTTTTTTAGATATTTGAGAAGCGTAAAAAAAAGTATTATAACATCAAATAAATTTTCTATTTTAATTAAAAATTAACTTCATTTTCTACTTTTTTAAAACTGAATTAAAATCATATTTCAATGATTCAAGTTTATTTTTTTCTCTTTTTAAAGTAGTTTAACTTATATTTGGCATTATTGAAGATAGATTACTAGATAAAAGTTTCCCAATTGAATTTTTAGTCACTTATTTCTTTTTGCGGTTCATAAATTCATAAATAATTGATCAAGCTCATTCAATTATTAGTTTAATCGGTAGAGTTCATTTATTAATTGCCTAAAAATTATTCAATTCACTCCATCTAAAGTCGTTGAACGGATTCCTGGGTGAGAATGCCAAATGCCTAAGAGCCTTAGCTTTAATAATAAATGTGGGAAGTTGGGAATAGTACAACGAGTGTTGAAAATCATGGTAAACTGTTGGAAAATGAAAAACAAAAAATCTAGTGACTTTTATAAAAATTTCATTCAACTTTCTACTTAAGTCAGAGACGTTTATAAATGTATAAATAATTAATAAAAATATATTAACATTTTCAGGCGGCTTGGGGTGGTGGATTACTTCTCTCAAGAAAGTACCGACATCCTCGACTCACTGGAATTGAACGGTAAGACATTGTTTATTTTTTATGTTTGTTATCAATTCATAGCAAGACTATGGAGCTATCGTGGATCATTAAATAAACTAGAAGTAGACAGTATAATCTAGAAGATATCAATGATTCATTGGATACCAATAGTGCGATTTGATGCGAGGATTTTGCTGTGCAGATGAGACGCGGAGTACAGATGATGTACAAGCTTTAGATTCAGGATTCTCCTTCGGGACTTGAGGCTGTGGGGACCCACCAGGAGAGATAATCCTAGAGTTTTATAGTTTATTGAGGCTTAGTTTGATGGACTCCTTCGGAAAACACTCGACCCTAGCTTTTATCAAGCTTATTGCCGCAAAAATCGATACATTTACACATTCCAGTACCTTAATGCCTTTTTGTAAGAATCGATTTGCATCATCAAAACTTTTCCAAGCTTTTTTATATCCAGCTTCCAACTAAAATCCTTTTTAACGGATCTATTTTTTTCTTCATACTTCGATACATTAAATATTTTTATTCGATTACACTTTCTATAGTCAATCGAACATTAAAATTATTTTATGGTAAATCTTGATTAATTTTTTAAATTATTATTTGATTTTTAGCATCGCTATTTTTATAGCAAGTGTATAGAAAATTGTTAAATATGATATAGGAATAAAATAATTATTAGCAAGCAAAGTGTAGTGTTTAGAACAGAAAAATCGATTCAACGAACAATCCTTTATTCGCAATGAAAAAAATCGAGACAAGAAATACCGAAGCACGATTGAGAGATGAAAACAAAGTATTGTAACCCATGGCAAGAGAAGCTGAAAGGAGTGACTCCTGTCTCCGACACATGCCATCTTTCACATCTCGTGCCGACACTAGCACAAGCCCTGGGCACATCACTTGGGGGGTCAGATCTACTCTATATGTTTCAACACACTCGTACGTATATTCGTCGGGGGTGGCTCGTCTGCACACTAGGGGCCAGCGAGATTAATCCACGATTTGCATCCAAGCGCATCTGTTCACTCCCCTTATATGTGGATATAGACGTACTGTACGTGTCGGAAAGTATACGATTACTCCCGCGAGAACAATTTTCTTCATAGAAAAACCACAATAGACTTTTTAATTGCAAAAAAATTAATAAACATTGTATGAATATAAAAAAGTCTTTTGATTTGATATTTTTAATCTACCACACCTTTTTTATCATTTTTTTTTATTCTAAAATTGAAATCTTCGATTCGAAATACTTTTACAATTTATATGCAAGGACTTTATAGTAAATTTTATTGGAAAATGCACTCACCGATAACATTAGTGGATTGGATAAATTCCGTTTTTATACTAACTGATAGACATGAAGGATGTTCAGTTTAATCTTTATTAATAATAAGAAGTTGAATACCTAGAATTTTCAATTAAATTAACTATTTAATTTCCTTGAAGAAAAAGAATAAAATAAAAATTTTAATTTAATTTCTTACATCTCAACTACTTTTAGATCAAAAGAAAATGTATCATGAAGCAATATAAGTTATTTAATTTCCGAGTTATTCGGTTTTTCTATAAATATTTTTTATCCATAAAACATAAAAAACTTGGAACTATGAAGGAAATTTAAAAATGGTATGCAATTTATATTTACGACTGAAGCTATAGAAAAATTCTTCTCTCATCAGATCTAAAATTGAAATAACTTTATACAAAGTATTAACTTCAATTTTTCATTGATCATAACTTGATGCTGCGATGAAGTTTGAAGAGAATTTTTGATTAAAAATCCCGTAATCTAAACATTTTCAATCACAAAACAATTGATTATTCACCCGGTGAACATTTTTACTATGGAACGAGATAAATTTCAACGAGGACTGTACTGGAAACAGGACTTCCTTCCTACAGGAGTCTTGATTAAAATGGCAAGCGAGTAGATGAGTGAAGAGAGGAATATATCCGCGGGCAGGAGCAACAGCTGGATCGGTTCCCCGAAGCGCATTTACAGAACAGGACTCTCCTCTTATTGACGCGTCGTCGTCGTGTGCCTGAAATAAAGCCCGGTCCTCGACAATGCCAGATTAAACTCATACAAAGGACGTCAGCTCGACTACTCGTCCTATTTCCTTTTTCTCGCAATCTCTTTCTTTTTTTATCTCCGCTACATCCCTAACATTTTTCTTCCTCTGCTTCTAGCGTTACGATAAAGTCGAGAAATGATTATACAAAATGACTGAACAGTGAAAAAATTTAAAGTTCAAGGTTTGCTCTTTATTCTTATTCACTTTTTTCTGCTGTACTTTACATTGATTGTCCCGAAAATAATAGAGCTTATTTTCTTTTATCTCTCATCCATAGCTTTCTTTCAGATATTGTTCAGAATTATGTCAAAAGTTGAAAAATAACTTTGACAATAATACAGCACATCAATAACACAAAAATGTCAATAATAAAGTGACAATTATTTCATGCATCAATGAATCGAACCTTGAAGAACATTTGCAAATAATTTCATCATTGAAAAAATATTTACATTATAGAATTGAAGTTCAACACTGATTAATTGATTTTATAATTAATTAATCTTGAGTTTGATAATTAACTTCAATAAATATTTATCAAGAAGAAATTACTTATTACTATTCGATTTGAAAAATTCACCAACATTTATGCAAGGTATATCAAAGAATTAACATTTTTATCAATTACTGGATAATTAGCATTCCAACCAATATATATTGGACTCCTGTGGCTTTTGGGGTTGACACCTATAGCTCTGAGGTAATAGGGGCGAGGTCGAGTTGAGGGTAAGGACAAACTAAACGCGTCACATTCAGCCACGAATCACATTAATCATCTCTCATCCCCTTCTTTCTTGATGCTTAGCATGTTGAGGTTTTGACTCGTGTTAAGTATTATCTCGACACTTAATGAGTAATAGAGGATTCGAGTGCATCCCTAAAATATAGATGATAGAAGGAAAATAGTTATTTCATAATTGTCGAAGAAAATATTAAGCTATAAAATAGAATATTTTCTCATGCGTGTGAGAAAATGCCGGAAAGTAACTTATGGATTAATCCTGTGGATGACATGAAACTCTCCAAAAGTACTCGAAATCCACAACAGCACCCTTCAGAACTGCTGAATGAGCATGGAAAGGGCTGACAATTGGGCATTCGTGTCACTTGCAATGTATCGATAACATTTGTCATCAGAGCAACAATTATATCACATCAATGAATTCCTCTTTATTTTTCTTTTCTTATATCGAAAAGAGTTAAATTAATGGAAAATTGTTGATAATTTTTCAGAGCTGATTCTGTCACCTGGAACCCTCATAAACTGATGGGAACTCTTCTCCAATGCTCAACCATTCATTTCAAGGAAGATGTAAGTAACTTTAACATTTCATTGATGATTATGATTTTTTGGCTATACTTATTTTTCCAATAACTTTCATTGCTTAATAAATAACTATGACATTGAATAAAAGCTCACGATATTTGAATGTAGCATTTTTCTACGTACGAGAAAAAAAGATATAATAGTGAATGGGATGTTTGAAGACTTGATAGATTTTGCGGCAAGGGGTTGATGACGTAGACAGAATAGCTGCATTCCAAATCTCGCAAGAGAAAGTCCTGGACGGGACACTGGTGGAATTTAATTAAACTAAGAGATAACATATGTTGCCGAGATGGCTGGCTTGGATGCCTACCTAACGGAGGGTTTATCCCCTCCGCTTTGGCACGCTGTAGTTATTGCTAACTCCCCCAAAACGTAACCCACCCCATGTGATATTAAAATTCCACTCACCGGCTGCTACGCGCCCCCAAAAATATTTTTTCTCGGCAAGAAAAGGGAAAAGCTCTTTGACATTATTGCTATAGTATTTTTTTATTGACTTTGATGTCATTTTTTACGCTTTTCTAATTTTTTCAATAGGAAAATTTGCTGTTGTTATAACAGAAAAAATGTAAAAATTAACAAATGTCAATTATTTTGAATTTTTATTTATGATTTGTAGTTCATTTAGTCGCATAATGATAAGCTTTCCTCATAACTTACGATGGCGGAAGCACGATATCTTCACCCACGTCGCCATTTCGAAAATCTGCTGTATTATGTTTTGTCTCACTCTCTTCCTCACTGTTTAATACTCTGCCATTTCCGTTGCGCATGTGTCAGCACATGTATACGATATCGACCGGAACTCAAACAGCATTTCCGCGATGCGCAAGCGAATCACAGAATTCCACTTTAGCCTATTATATATCACTTTACTGACCCACCCTTTTTCTACCGATGTGTCCAGATACGGATAACACCCACCCTCGAGTCTATTGACTATTATGTATTGTTTAACCTATCGAGATTAATATATCTCTGCTTTATCCGAAAAAATATTTAAAAAATTCCTTTACTCACCAATATATTTACTCCAACAGTTGTGGTCTTTATGTTAATTAAATAAATGTTTCTTGACGTAGGGTCTCCTAATTAGCTGCAATCAAATGTCAGCAGAGTATCTCTTCATGACAGATAAACTCTATGATGTCAGATATGATACTGGTGATAAGGTCATTCAATGCGGACGTCATAATGATATTTTCAAGCTCTGGCTTCAGTGGCGTGCTAAGGTAGAATTATAAAAATATTAGTATTTTTAAATCATTGGGAAATAAATTAAATTAAAAAATGTGTTAATTAAAATAAACTTTAATGGAATAAAATGATTGGTTTCAGGGAACTGAAGGATTTGAAAAACACATGGACAGGTTGATGGAACTCAGTGAATACATGACAAAACGTATTAAATCAATGCCTGATAAATTCTACTTAATCTTGGAACCTGAATTAGTGAACGTTTGTTTCTGGTATCTCCCTACGCGGGTTCGAAACATGCCTCATGGTCCTCAGAGAGAAAAAATATTGGGAGAGGTAACATTTATCTTTCTAACACTATAATATTTTAAAGAAGCCAATGGAGAAAAATGTAAATCTTCATATAAATCCTTCTTATAGATTTGTCCAATCCTAAAAGGTCGAATGATGGAATCAGGGACACTGATGGTTGGTTACCAACCAGACGATCGCAGACCCAATTTCTTCAGGAATATTATTTCTAGTGCTGCTGTAACGGAAGCTGATGTTGATTTCCTGCTTGCAGAAATGGATCGACTTGGCCACGACTTGTAAAACTATTCATACCAACTTCAATCTATCCTAATAAGGGCAACCATGAATATTGGAGTAAAAACATATGATTTCACAACAGAAAGAAAGTCGAATGTATTAAACACCTTCAATGCAACAAAAGAATCATTTTGTTCATTAAAGACTCTTGATGCATTCAACATCATGAAGAGAATTTTTAAAGACGAAAAAATATATATATTGATAAGTGTTAATAATCTGTTAAGCTTAACAAGGAGAAAAGTCTTAAAAAAGATAACCGATATTGGTCTTCATAGAATGAAGGAGATGGAACTGAGTCAAAAATATAATACACTGCATATCCAAAAATTAAAGCTATTTAGAATAAAGAAAGAAATAAGAATAACAACAATACAAGTAATGAAAGATTAAGGAATTGTACGCAGCGAGCTGGCTCGTTTGTGAATGAAATATTTGATGAGAAATAAATATAAAGAGTTTGATTGAATGATTAGAACAACAGTAGAATAGAGGGTTAATAACAGAAAGTGAGAGAATGACAAATAATAGTTGATAAAAAATCAGAATGTGATTTAGCATGGAATTGGATAGTTAATGTTGAAATATCAAGAGATTTAAGGATATCAAAACAAAGAAAATGATGACTGTACGCCAAGACTTAGTTATAAATGCCCACGAATATATTATTATCATTATTTGCTGTTGAATAATCGAATTGAGTATAAAGTATATCAAATATAAATTAAATATATATAAATAACAAAGAAAACAAAAAGTATATAAATTTAGTGTTGAGATTTTGAAATACAAAACACAAAACTATGAAAGTATGTGCTTTTTTAAATATTTCTGTTGATATTTATCATGACGTAGACTTAGTTCGTTGACGAATGAGTTTATTAATTAAATAGTTTGATTAATTAGTTTAAAGTAGTCTATTTATAATTGTAAAATTGTTTTAAGTAGCTAAATAATTGGTTGCTAGTTCTTTTAAACCTTAACAAACTTTTCTTCAACTGAATGAAATTCTTAATTCAAAAATTATCTTATTGTTGACTTGAATGAATCAACAAAATAGTTAATTAAAGTAATATTTTTGGAAATTATTAATAAAAAATTTCGATTATATGTAGTTGAGTTCAATGATCAAATATAAAAATTAAATAAATTTTTGAACAATTTGATTGAATTGTCAGGAATAGAAAGCTATATAATAAGATCAATTATGTATAATTCTTTTAATGACATAAATTAAAATATTTTTTAGCTCAAGAATGAGTAATTTCTATCAAAAATTATTTGACTGTATTGACAATAAATTAGTTTAATATTTAATTGGTAAACAAAAAAAATGATTTCAAATTTTAATGAAAGAATGTTTTAATAGTGAGAAGATTGTACAAGTTCATAGATAACCGCATACTCGCCATAAATTGAATCAAGGAAGACCATGCATAAATATATAATAAAATATATTATATGAAAAAAATAAATAAATTGAGGATTAAATTAAGAGAGAAATGATAAAAAATATTGATTACAAATGAAAAATATCATTACTATGAATACAAATGTATGTATTTATGTAAACGTACGAAATAAAAATTTATGTTTAGTTAATTAAAGCATGTGTAGAAGGGCAATAAAGAAATAACGGCGTCAATTGAAGATCTACTAAATGATCATTTAATATCATGTTAACAAATGCAATTAATTGAATTAATAATTAAGTCAAATATTGAGTAAGTAGGGGATTTTAATTATTGCGGCATTATTATGTTCAAGCTATAGTAATAAATGTTGAGTATAAATTATACGTACGTCCAACAAAGTAGGAAATAATGCCACAATGCATTTAAATAAATGACATATTTAATGACAAAAAGTCAAGAATATAAAATAAATATTTAACTCAATCGAAATGGTGCAAGTACAATAGATTAAAGGAATGCGATGTATTTTTAGAAAAAGACCTGTCGTTATCAATTATAAAATCATCAAATACTATATTTTATATCGACTAACAACCACTTCGTTGTCATACTTCATTGATAATTTTATTCTTCTGTACACTAAAACCTATGATGACATTCAGACAAAATATGATATCAAAATACTGTATAAAATAATTAAAAGGAATTAACATTCAATATTTCATTTGTTAATTACATATTTTAACAGTTGAATCGTTGAATATTTTAAACTTGTTCCTGTTTAGACAATTATAATATAAAAATTATTATTAATACTATAGTAATCACTTTTCAGTGAATAATTCAATTGATTGAAAAAGTATTTAGTTAACTTAGTAATGATTATAAATAATCTCATTAATATAACAGTAGTTTGATCATCTTGTACATAATCTCTTATTCATCTTTTGTTACTCTGTAAATTATTCGTAAAAACATAGTCAAGCATTGATAATAACCAATAGATGAAGAGAAACGACAAAATCACAAGTCTTCCATCCGCTAAAAGAATTTTAATTGATGCAAATTTTGTCCTCTGCCCAGTAAGAAGTGATGGTAAAGTAAACTATAAACCTTCAAAAATTACAACGAGGGCACAATATATATATATCAAAGCCCTAACAAACAATGCAATTAATTTAATGGTGATTTTATTATCTATTATGTTATCTAATACTGTAGTAAAATATTGATTAATACTCCTTCCATCTGATTGCCCTATTATTGTCACCTGTATATGAATGTCTAATAAAAGTGCTGTTATCTGAATAATCTGAATCTTTTTATCAAAAAAAAAATTACTACCAAATTCATATGTATAGAAAAAAATGGTCAACTTTTTTAATTATCCTAGTACTTTGCTATTGCGGATAAAAATGTCGATGAAAAATAAATAAACCTGTTTTAAGCCGGGTAAAACATGTTTGATGATTTTAAGTAGTAAACAGACGAATAAATTATCAGTGAGGCTCTGGTCGACCTCGACAAAGTTCCACTACAAAATTATCGCGATACTCAGTAAGACAGTGACTTGTAGACGAAATTATTCTGGTTAGCAACATAGCATCAACCAGTTGATAACAGTAAGGATGAAGTCTTTTATTAATTATTCTCCAGATTGTGAATTTCCCATTGAAAATCTACCTTATGGAATCTTTTCTACACCTAATAATGTAAGTTTTACGATTTTTATTATAAATGAATTCTTCGGCATTGAATCTTTTCATCGAATCAATAATTTATCAAGTATAAACAATAGTGATAATCACTTAAAAGTATGAAATTCATTTAACTCTTTTTTATCAAGTTGTTAGTCTTAACGCTTATACCTATTAGACGATAATAAAATAAATTATAATTAATAGTAGGTTATTGTTCAGAACACATGTTCATTCCAACATATATAAGCGAAATCTGTTGGATACCTATGAAATCAAATCGTTCTCTTGATAATGTTGAGTTCTATCATTTTTGGCAGAATACATTCAAATACTTGAATATTTTCAGCCTCAACGACACATAGGTGTAGCTATTGGTGAACAAATTCTGGATCTATTTGTAATATCCCATTTATTTACTGGACCTCTTTTATCGGGAAAACAAGATGTATTGCGTCAGGATTGTATGAATGACTTTATGTCATTAGGAAGACCATGTTGGATTGAAGCAAGAAATACTATTCAAAGTCTTCTATCAATTGATAATAAGACTCTCCAAGAAGAACCTTTAAAATCAAAGTATATTGATTGATTAAGTAGAATACTATTTCTAAAAATATATTTAAAAAATTAATTCATTTATTCTTCAGAGCTTTTGTTAAACAAGAAGAAGTTACAATGCATTTACCAGCTAAAATAGGAGATTATACAGATTTTTATTCATCTATCTACCATGCAACTAATGTTGGAATTATGTTCAGAGGCAAAGAAAACGCCTTGATGCCTAATTGGTAGAGTAAAAGAATATTTTTTATGCTTAAAGATAAAAAAATCAATTTGTCAAAAGATTAAAAAATTTGTCAAAGATTACAAAATCAATTATGCAATGATCATTAGGAAATATTTGCCTGTTGGTTATCATGGGAGAGCAAGTTCAGTAGTAATCTCAGGGACTCCAATTCATCGTCCACGAGGTCAAACAGTTCCAGTTGAGGGTGATCCACCCGTTTATGGACCATCAAAATTAATGGATTTCGAATTAGAAGTAGCTTTTTTTGTCGGTGGGCCATCAACTAAGCTTGGGGAATCTATACCCGCTTCAAAAGCTTACGATCATATCTTTGGAATGGTTTTGATGAATGATTGGAGTGGTAAATATAAATTTTAAACAATTGAATAATGAATATTTATTACTTACACAAAAAAAACTTAATGTTGCAGCAAGAGATATCCAGAAGTGGGAGTATGTTCCTCTAGGTCCTTTTGGAGCAAAAAATTTTGGAACAACTATTTCTCCATGGATTGTAACAATGGAAGCTCTTGAGCCTTTTAAAGTTTCTAATATGGTTCAAGATCCGAAACCATTCCCTTATTTGCATCATGATAATCTCTGTAATTTTGATATTAAATTAGAAGTTGACATAAAAAGTAAGTTACAATTTCATTTTGGATGTTTGAAGTCAAATATCCAATAATTTCATCCCATAATCAGAATATTGTCAATAATGCATGGAATGCTATAAAATTCATGTTAAATAATTTACGATGTAATTTATTGATCCCACTAATAGTAATAACGATGTTACAGCACCGAAAGGAGTCATTACTACAATTTCCCGAAGCAATTACAAGTACATGTATTGGACACCGCAACAACAATTAGCTCATCATACTGTAACTGGGTGTAATGTTAATCCAGGTGACTTAATGGCCTCTGGAACTATCAGTGGCGAGGTAAATCGATTAAATATGTATAAATAGATTAAACGTTATGTATTATGCGATTTTAATTACAAAATAATTGCTGTTATATTATAGACTGCAGATTCTTATGGATCTATGTTGGAGCTTTCATGGAGAGGAACAATGCCAATCTCTATGCAAGATGGAACAACAAGAAAATTTTTACAAGACAATGATGAAGTTATTATTCATGGATACTGTATTGGGAAAGGATATAAAATTGGTTTTGGTCAATGTGTTGGAAAATTGTTACCTGTTCTTGCTGAATAGATTATTACTCAATAAGAAATGAAGTATCTGCAATGTACGTTATATATGATAAATATTAAAAAATGAGTTAATATTGTACAGGAAAAAGGATTTTATGCAACTTCCATGTATAAAATATTATTAATTGGATAATAAAATTCAATATTAATTTGTTTGCAAACAAATTTGTATAAAACATAAATTGTTGTATACACTTGATTTGCAAACATGGTAGTTAGTTATGATTAAAGTGAAATTAAGCACTACAATTGACCGCCATCTTTGTACCTATAGTCGATAACATTTCTTGTAAAAATATTCATAAAAAATTTTAAAAGCCCGTGTAATTTCAAAAAAATAAACTCTTAGTACTAGCTCAGTTTTTTCTTATTTTATAATGAGTAATTTCATTAATGAGTCATTTTGAAATTACTTCTTTTTATACGAACCATAACGATAAATAAATTTGGATAATAAATAGCTTTTGATTGGATCATTTTAATTTATTGAATTTATTATCAAATTGAATAATAAAATGTAAATATTATCTATTGTCTATAAATTAATTTAAAATAGATATTTATTGAATAATTATATAATGATTAGCATCGAAAATTAAAGCTAATATAATTTTTTTTTAATAAATTTTGAATCTTCGATGAAAATAGTAAATATAGCATTGGTATCTAATACTCCCTATATTATTATATTATCTCTTAGTTTAATACAGTATTTAAAATTAATCTATTACATTGATTTATGCATAAACGAATTAAAATAAACAATCACATAGTCTCATAATGTAACAGTTTTTTGGTCTTTTGATGTGTTTATTGTTACGTATTTCACTACTTCAATATTAGAAATCTCTCCAAATTTATTCGTTTCTTCGGTCATATTATCCAACTGTTCTATATCTCTTATAGTTTCTACAATATCTTCTTCTTGTTCATCTTCCAATACTTCTAACTTTATATGCTCTGGTAATATTTCTTTTTCAATTTCAATATCATCATCTGAGGAATTTAAATTTTTAGTTCCTGATGATGCTACTTCATCTATAGTATTATTCATATGATCTCGAATCATTTCATCTGTATATTCATTTAATTTAGAAATATCTTTATGTCGGTACAAAGTACGAAATGATGGTAGCGGGAAATGTTCTTTATTTCGAAGATATTCATATCCTCTTGGTCCTATTATACTACGAATTTTTGCACTTCTTTGAAGAGTTTCTAGAGACCAATGAACAGTATTTACCAAACTTGGATCAGTTTCTAAAGAACGAATTTGATCGTCAGTTAAGAATAATCTCATATTTTTGTAGAAAATTTCCATTTTCATGGCCAATCTACGATACTAAAAAACAAATAATATATTATTGACATGTATTTAAGAATAACTTAATATTAAAAATTTTATAATTTACCTTTCTTATAGCATAATCACGCTCACTTTCTAATTCATGAATTCTTTTCTTCAAAAAATTCGGATCATTATTCGTTGAAGGGAAAAAAACAGAAGTTACATCATCATTAATTGGTTTTACTGTTTGTTTGATAAGCATTTTGAGATTATCTGTCACATTATCTTGATCACTATTATTGGAGTTCACTGAGGTTTCGTGATCCTCAATATTCCTTTCTGCTGATGAATAGAAATCCACAGGCTCGGAATCTGATTTTAAATCTGATGAATCAGTTAAGATTTGTTCTAGCATATTAGCTTCATGTGTAATATTTTTTTTATGTGTTTCGTTAACTTGTTTTTCTTCAATTACTGAAATATTCGAAGATTTTTTAGGGGACAATACTGGAGTTAATTTCAATGCAACTGGCTTTTTCGATACTTTAGTCATAACTTGAATTTTGTTTAGCTCATGAGGTTTTTTTACCAAAACAATTTTTGGTACATTTACTTTATGTGGCTCTAAATTTTCTTGCTCCGAAATAGGAAACTCTGATTTTACTTTTTTTGCATTGTTGTCAACTAGAAATACTTTGGTATTTGGTGAAGACGATAACTCATTAGAATTTATTGTAACTTCAGGTAATTGACTCTCGACAGAGGATTCTGAATTTATAACCACTTGTTTTAGAGGTTCTGGTATTGTTGGCAATATTTCCAGTGTTGATTCATCATTAGAATCTAAAGAAAATGGTGGGTCAACATTAATATCAGTAGTAATAGTATTATCATAATCTATAGATAATACAGGATGTTCAACTGGCGGACTTGGTTGATTGATAATTTGTTGTTCACCAGCAGGAACAATTTTATTTCCAATTGGTGTTGAAACTAACATACAATTTTTTTTTATTCTCAATAGTTTAACTGTAGATTCATTTTCGTCGGGCGTAATAGAATCACTGAGAGTAAGCAATTCTTTCTCAACTTGAGAAAGATTTGGATCCACAATCAAAGGAAAAACAGTATCATTCTTTTGTGGTGTATTAGAAAATAAAGTATTATCATCATTCTCAGATATATCCATCATATTTGAATCTTCTACTGGATTTGTTGAACTTATATCATATGGAATTGTATCAACTGGATCAGTAACATTTTTTTCTAATACTTTTATGTATTTCAATGCTACAGCATCACAAACTCGGGGCGGATTTCTGGTGAAAATTGTGGGAACAGCTGTTGGCTTCAATATAGTTCGTATATTTGGTCCATATTCTACGAACTGATCAGGTTCAAAATGACCCTGAAATTAATATTAAATTACATTAAAAAAGTAAATAATCAAATAAACGTCAACTATATTTTACTTAACTTATGAGTCAACTTACTTCACATAAAGAAATCGAATTTCCAGACGTTGGTAGATTTTCCGGTAAAAGATGACCACATTTTCGTAACCATGCTGTTCTTTTTGCAACTTTTTTAACTGAAGGTAGTACGAAAAAACGATACTTTTGTTTTACTGAATTAGAACAATTTTTTAACGAACAAGATCGTACCATGATTGTTTGACTTCAGGCTATAAAAATCCGAAACCATACAACATAATTTTTAATTACTTGAATATTATAAATTATGCACTTTGTAGAATTATTTATTAATTAATAGAATGTAGATATAACTCAATTAAAAATTGACCAAAAATTTGATTCTAATATTTTGATGCACATATTCACAAGAAAGAGGTTAGTTTCTAATTAAACTAAACTATAACACTCAATTCAAAAGCTTAAGTGACACCAAATATATTGTAAACAATTATAAAACCAATACTTCATTAATTTCATTTATAGAAATTGAAAAAATAACAAAATATTACGATAATATCGATAATCATAGAGAATTCGACACAAGTGCCTCTTAACTTTAATAGCTTTGATTGTAATAAAATAGTGTTCCATGTCAACATGAAGTTAGCTGCGGTTAGTGTAACAAATTGAAAAACATGCATTCACACCTGACCTCAAACATCGATAGACACGTTGACAGTTTCATGTGTTTTATCCGAATGAATGTTTAAAGAAAATACAAAAGTTATTAACGAAATCCGGCAGCTTGTATATAAGTTCATATAGTTATTAACTGAAGGTGTATTAAATAGTATATAATTAAAATTAAGATCAACAATTGAAGGTACATATTTAAAATAACAAGTTTTAGAATATTTAAATAAATAATTTAATTTTTTATTTAACAAATAGGTCATCTTGGACGATAATTTATGAATTTTTAATTTTATTAAAGTAAATTTTAATTAATTCATCGTTGAGCTGGTAAAGATGAGAATTATACAACTTAGAGTAAGTTATAAAATAATATTAGTAGTATGTATCGCATTATTAGTGCTTTATGCTATCTATACATCGGAATTTGACACTCAATCAAAAAGTCTTGGAGATTATCTACCTCAAAGTCTTAAATCTAGGCAGGTTAGTACATTAATTTTATTTTTTTTAAATAACTATGTTTCATTAATGGAACATTTTTTATTATTAAAATTACTCATGCTTTTTATTCAGGTTCCAGTTTTAGTTGATAGCCTTGGAAACTTTGAACCTACAAACACTCCAGTTCGAACTGGTCCGGGAGAAGGTGGAAAGCCTCATATTCTTCAAGATGAGCAACAAAATGATGTACAACAATCAGAATCTGAATACGGAATGAACATGGTATGTTCTGACGAAATATCTTTAGATAGATCGATTCCGGACATCAGACCAGAAGAATGTAAACACTGGAATTATCCAACAAATCTTCCTAAAACTTCAGTCATCATTGTTTTTCACAATGAAGGTTGGTCTGTATTGATGAGAACAGTTCACAGTATTATTAATCGAACGCCTCCACAATTTCTTAAAGAAATTCTCCTAGTTGATGATTTTTCTGATAAGGAAAATCTCAAAGGTGAACTTGAATCTTACATTGAACAATGGAATGGTAAAGTAAGACTAATAAGAAATGAAAAAAGAGAAGGATTGATTAGAACCCGGTCGAGAGGAGCAAAAGAAGCCAAAGGAGAAGTAATAGTTTTCCTTGATGCTCATTGTGAAGTTAATGTTAATTGGCTTCCACCCCTTTTAGCGCCTATTTCTATCGATAGTACTGTAATGACTGTTCCAATCATTGATGGAATTGATCATAAAACTTTTGAATATCGATCAGTATATCAAGAAGGTCATTTATACCGAGGAATATTTGAATGGGGAATGTTGTATAAAGAGAATGAACTTCCTAGAAGAGAAGCTAAACAAAGGAAGTATCAAAGTGAACCTTACAGATCCCCAACACATGCTGGTGGACTTTTTGCTATAAATAGAAAGTATTTTCTATCTTTAGGTGGTTATGATGATGGTTTACTAGTTTGGGGTGGAGAAAACTTTGAATTATCTTTTAAAATATGGCAATGTGGAGGAAGTATATTATGGGTTCCTTGTTCTCATGTTGGGCATGTTTACCGTGGATTTATGCCGTATAATTTTGGAAAATTAGCTGAAAAAAAGAAGGGACCTTTAATTACGATAAATTACAAAAGAGTTATTGAAACTTGGTTTGATGAAAAACATAAAGAATTTTTCTATACACGAGAACCTCTTGCAAGGCTTCTAGATCATGGAGATATCAGCGAACAACTTAAATTTAAAGAAAGAAAACGATGCAAGAGTTTTCAATGGTATATGGATAATATTGCTTATGATGTATTGGATAAGTTTCCTGAATTACCTCGAAATTTGTATTGGGGTGAATTAAGGAGTGTTGCAACTGATCATTGTCTTGATACTATGGGTCATGGACCTCCAAGTTTAATGGCTACATCCAAATGTCATGGATTTGGAAATAATCAGTTGATTAGATTAAACGAAAAAGGACAGCTTGGAGTTGGAGAGCGGTGTATCGAAGGAGATAAAATGGGAATTAAATTGTCTTTCTGTAGGCTCGGTACCGTTGATGGTCCATGGCAATATGATGATACAACTAAAAAAGCATTAAGACATAGAGTTTTGAACAAATGTATGGCATTACATCCACAAACAAGGCAACTGTCTTTAATGTCTTGTGATTATAATAACATTTATCAACAGTGGAAATTCTATCCAATTAATCCACAGTGGTAAATGAAGATTAAGAATTAAAAATAAGAAAAGGTGTACGGGCACATGTGAGTTCGATAATACGTTGAAATTCCATCTATTTACATTAATATAAAACATTCATTTAAAATATAATTTTTTATAAAATGTTTTCAAATTTTATTTTAAATTAATCATTAATGCTGAGTATTTTGTAAATTATTTTTTAAACAAAATAAGGATGTTTATACTTTGTCGTAAATTAAATTTTATGTGCATATAACTTTTTTATATATAAAATGCATTTATATAAACAAACGATATTCATATATATATACAGATATAAAAGCATATATTGCTAATACTTTTTTCGATTATAATTTACAAAGCATAAAATTTGTAAAGTGTTAAAAAAATAATCGTTTGCGTGATTAAATAGTTTTTATAAGATAATTAAAAACATTTATGGATAAAGAGATATTATGTATAATATTTTGAAAATGGTGAAAGTAAAAATATTAAAGATGGAGATTAACTTTAATTAATTTTTTTTATTCTGAATTTCTTTATTGAATAAAAAATTGACTTATAGTACTTAAAACTTTTAAAGATAAGAATTCTTATATAAAAGCAATCAATTTAAGTCTTCTTCAATCATTTCAAATAAAAAATGTTTGTCATAAGTTGTGACTCAGAAAAAGAAATATAATCAAATATTATAGAAGACTGCTAAAATGTATTTTCTAAAAAATACAACAAATTTTTTGACGAATTATTAATCTTTATAGTATTTATAATTGTATGATCATGACAATTAAATACCTTGATATTTGTATAATTCATATGAATTGATTATAGAATCACAACTAATGATTTATTGATTATTCATTAATTTATGTAACGGTAATGATAAAAAATTGTCAAATTAATGATTCAGATGTTTTATGAGCTAAAAATGACTATTTTATTATAAAACTGCATTAATAAAATAAAAGACTATTTCTATAATGTATTATTGGAGTAATTTGACTGTAAGGATAAATTAAAAAATTCCATAATAATGTTAAACATTTTTTATTTCAGTAGTTTAAAGTTTTATAACTTAAAAAATTAGTGAATTGTTCATAGAAAGCAGGATTTTTCAGTGCAACGTTATTTTTTTTTTTCTTATAAAAAATCTCATAATAATTTTTAATCAAGCATTCTTTTTCCATTATTCATGTAAATTTATAAATTATTTCATGAACATTTAATGTCAAAAAAGTAGCTTTACTGCATTGTATTAACAATATCATCAATTTTCAAAATACTACGAACAGTTTCCGAAGCAAGGGTAATACAACTTGTAGATACCAAAAGAGGTTGAACCACATTTTCTTCTAAAATATTAGTAATCATTCCTTTTCGAACATTTATTCCAGCCGCAACCTCACCGTCAGCATGACGTTTTCTCAATTCTGTTACTGTAGCAATAGGATTTAATCCAGCATTTTCTGCTAAAGTTGAAGGAATGATTTCAAGAGCATTAGCAAATGCTTTTACACAATAAGATTCAACTCCGTCAAGAAACTGAGCATAGGTTGATAACTTGATTGCCAATTCAATTTCCGGAGCACCTCCACCAGCAATTAATGATGGTTGTTTTACCAAGCATCGAATTACGCAAAGTGCATCGTGAAGGGATCTTTCAGCTTCTTCAAGAACTAATTTATTACTCCCTTTAACAAGAATCGTAACTGTACGCCCAGGGTTTTGCATTCCAGTTATTTTCACATACTTAGATCCTCCTGATTGAACTTCTTCACAAAGGTCTGCATTCACAAGATTTTCTGCCGTGAAATGATCAAGAGAAGCAATTGGTTTGCATCCAATAGTTTTACAAATAAAAGAAATATCTTCACGTTCAATATCTTTAATAACCATTACTTTGATTTTGTCCAAGAAGTGAATAGCTAAGTCACTAACAGCGTCCCGGAGAATTGACTTCTGTATCAAAAGTACATTACATCCAGATTTTTTAATTTGTTTAACAATATTCAAGATATATGTGCGTTCTTCTTTCAGAATTCTATCCATTGCTGAATAATCAGAAACAATGACACTGTGATCCATATCTGTTTTAGGTGGGGAAATACAAAATTGAATCAATCCAATTTTTGCTTTTTCAATACGTTTAGGACCATTAACGTTGCATGATTTTTGAGTGAATACTAATCCTTCAATTAATTCAGTATCTTCAACAGTTCCTCCTAACTGTTTAATTACTTTGATATCTTTCAAATCAGTAGCTTGTTCTTTTCCAGTTTCTGTAATTCTTATAACTGCATTTACTGCAAGTGGAGCCAATAGACTAGATTGTTGAGAAACTACTTTAGAATTTAGTGACGTTGCTGAGGCTTTGACAAGTGATTCCTTATCGTTTAAATCAACAGGTACGGCCATAAACCAACTTAAAATCTCCACCGCTTTAGCAGCAGCTTTTTGGAATGCATCGCTTATTAATGTAGGATGAATTCCTTTTTGAAGGAGTTTTTCTGCAGCTTCTAGAAGAGCTCCGGCAATGACTACGACACTCGTTGTGCCATCACCTGCTTCGGAATCTTGTGCTTTTGATAATTCCACCAACTAAAATCGTTTTGAAAAATATGAGAATAATTTTTATTTTCTTTAGTGATATTTATTTTTAATCAATAAATAGAATAAATAATTTTAATTTTACCATTTTTGCAGCTGGGTGAATTACATTCATTTGTTTCAAAATGGTTGCTCCATCATTAGTAATTGTAACTTCTCCATTTGCAGTTTGAATCTAATGAAAATATATATGATACCATTATTCATCAATACTTTTAATCTTAAAGTCCATTAATTTAATAATATTGCAAAATTGTTTACCATTTTGTCCATTCCTCGAGGACCTAAACTTGTTCTGATAGCATCACTTACAGCTAGAAATGAATAAATTATTCCAATATTGAATACAGAGTATTTGAACTTTAAAAAAGTTTCATTACTAAAATTATCGACTAGACATCAAAAGAAGCCGGTCTTCTGGGTTATGTCCATAAAAGGAAATATGAAGGAACTCGAAAAATTATAATATTGATACGTTTGGTTACAATGAAATAATTATAAACAATTAATACCTTTTGCAGCTGAAATATTGCTGCTACGAATATCAGTAGGTTTGCTCTTGTCTTGGAATGCTTTTTTAACACTTCCCGTGCGTTGTGTATCAGTGCTTAGCTTCATTTTCATCATTGATGTATACTTGATCTTGATTTTAATTTCAAAAGAATATTAATGTTTTGTTAAGTAAATGTTAAAAAATAATAAGTGATCATTACATTTATTAACTTACCTTTCTTTTTTCGATTTTTTTTTTATTATAATATGATTTATTACTTGAAATTAATGAACAAATAGTAAAGCACGAGGATTACTCAAAAAATCATGAAAAACCAGAATGATTAATCACAGAAAAAGGCTATATGTAGAAAGACTTCTCTTATTTTCCACTTTTTCTCTTCAAAGTACATAAAATATTTATTTAATATCTCGCTAGAGAGCGCTTTAATTTTATCAATGATCGTCGATAACTCAGCGACCTGCTTATCAAAAGAATGTGGGTAGATTTCAAAATGTTCAGTAATTATTTTTGTTTATTTTAGCAGTGTTTACAAAAGATTTAATTAGTTTTGAATGAACAAAAATTGCATTCAAGTAATAAAACATGGCGTTAAGATTTATAATAAGGACATTAACAAAACGAACAGCAGCGGTAAAGTGATAAACAAGCATGTGCGTGAATTCATTATGTTTCTATAACCTCTATACAAATAATTTTGTGATGTGATTTTTAGTATGGAGCCAGTTTAATATTTGTACAATGTCAGGAGAATATATACAAAAATGAAGAAAATGTAACCAAAGTTGATTTACAAAAATTTGAAAGATTATCCTACGATTCATTAATTAAACAATCAACAGTAGATGCAGTTAATAGTGCTTCTCAAACTTTGACAGTTGCCAGTTCGGCATTTGAATGTACTTGTAAAGAATATCGGTAATTTATTTATAAAAATCTATTATGATTTTACTCTATTTATTTTGAAATAGTAATAGTATATTTTCTTCTTTCATTTCAGGTTGCTTTTATCTAAATTAATAAATCTCATTGAAGATACCTTGATTTATGAAGTAAGCGATGAACATAGAGACTTAATAATTGCTGTTAGATGTGATGTAAATAACAAGAAAAAATTATTAATGGTAAAGTTTTTTTTTTTCATTTATAGTTGTTTATTAAAATCAATGAAACATCTGATTTATTTAATTACTCTATTTATTTTTAAGGAGCTACTCGGTTTTATGGATTATGTACAAAGAATGGTAGAAGCAGTATCAATAGTAAGCCAATCAGCGGGAATGGATAATTTAGCTATGTCCTTATGTGAGAGAATGGACAATGCATTAAAATATAAAGAACAAGAACTTAAAAGCAACACGAAGTTAGAAAAAGAGTATTCTTATCTCCAAGAAAAATGTGCAAAAGTAAGGTAACTATCATAAACGTAAATTAAGTATTAATTAAACTATTTGTTACATTAAAATTATTTTTAAAATTAAATAATTATACATGAATTGTTGTCTACATAAAAAATTTACAGGATCGACGATATCGACAATGTACCAGAATAATTTTACCAATGGAAATAAATGTTTTGTTAATGATATAGTTAAGCCACTTCATGATATTTATTCACTATTAGAACATCTTTTTTTTCTTGCTATTTCTTCGTCACGAAACCAATCATCAAGGTGAATAGAAACAATATGACGTCCTGGCACCATTACTAAACCAAGGCCTCTTGGTTCTGAGTGATCTTCCGATAAATATTCATCACAAGAACCAAGAATCACGTTAGCATCTCGATCAGTACATAAGAAAAGTCCTGTTAACACTCGGCCGTCAGTCATTTTGATACGTAAAAAATGATTTAGCCATGATTTAAGTTTTTCTCTTGCATGAGGATCTGGTTGATCCAAAATCTAACATAAACAACAAAAACAAGAAAATTCGAAAAATTAATTTTAAATGAATATTGAAAATTTGAATCGACGGATAAAAATTCTAATACCTTTCCATTTCCATGAATTGAATCATTATTTTCAGTAATTACTGGTGGACTATTTGTTGAGTTTTTCATCGTTTACTATTTTTTGATTTTTGCAAATATCAATATAGGTTAGAAAAATATTAGCGATTGTCACGACCGCTACAGTCCACTTCACAACTTTATTTTTTTTATCTACAGCAGATAGAAAGCTTCTTCATAAGTTTATGTTTGTCTAACCTCATTCTAATCAGTGTTGTCTATATCAATGGCCAGCTAGTGTTTACTGTCACACGACAAACGTCATTCTAATTATTCTTAAATATCTTTGGTATTTGTTTGATTAAATAATAATTTACAAAATGCATGATGCTTATGAAGCAAGTCCTATTTTAAAATTAACTGTACAAATAGAGTCTATGGCTGCTTATGGTAAAATACCTACTTTAATTATATATTCAAGATTTCATTAAGTTGTTCTACGTTTATTAAATAAATTGTTCATTGCAGATGATAATTTATTAATTGGAACCCGAGAAGGCCATCTATTAATTTATAATGTTCCTCTTAAATCTAATGAATATGGGAAACTAGAATTATTAAGATATAGTAAACATTTCAGTAAAAAGAGAATTTTACAAGTTGATGTTGTACCCGAATATAATTTGCTTATCCTTTTGACAGGTAAAAAAAAATACTATTACAACCTTTGTTATTGATCAACAGTATTCCTTGACTATTCTATTTTTAGATGATATAATCTGTGTTCACGATTTGAATTCTGTAAATATACAACAAATTAGTCAACTTCCCAAGACTAAAGGAGCAACATTATTTGCACTCGATGTCCAAAGAGCCGGAAGCTTAACTGGAGTACGATTATGTGTAGCTGTGAAACGAAAGCTTCAATTATATTATTGGAAGGCCAATAACAATCAATTTGAAGATTTAGGAGATCCTCCAAGAAATGAAATATCATTACCTGATGTTCCAAGAGAACTAGCTTGGTGTGGTGAAACATTAGTTGTAGGTTTCCATGGTATATCATATACTTTAATAAATTTAGATCGTAAGACGAAAGAATTATTTCCCACTGGAAAACCACCAAAACCAAGTATTACAAAATTATCAGATAATTCTTTTGCTTTGGGTAAAGATTGTCAAAGTATTATCATGAATACATCTGGAGACTTGATACAAAATAATCCCATTAAATGGTCTGATTCTCCAACTGCTACAGCGTGGGATGATCCGTATTTATTAGGAATAGTGCATGATACTTTAGAAGTCTATACATTGGAAGGTTCATTACATATTCAAACAATACCAGATTTCAATAAAGCACGTTTATTATGTCGATGTAAACAAGGTAGAGTTTATGTAGCATCGATCAGTCAAGTTTGGAACGTTAGTTCAGTGAATGTTGAACAACAGATAAGAAAATTACTCGAACAAAATCAATTTCAATTGGCTTTGAAGCTTACGGTAAGTTTACTATTTCATGAAATTTGATTTTATTTTCTTTGTAATGTCTTCATCAGAATTATAATCATGGTAAAATTAATGTATATTCATTTTTAGAATCTATCAGACGCTACAGAAGAAGAAAAAGCAAAAAGAACGTGTAAAATACAAACACTTTACGCGCATCATTTATTTTGCAATAAAAAATTCACAGAAGCAATGAGTCAGTTTCAAGAATTAGAAACTGATCCATATGAAGTGATTCGACTATTTCCGCATTTAGTATCCCAATCAGGCAATGTAAATGATGTTAATGAACCGATTACTGGTTTACCTAAACTTCAAGACCGGGATCTTGAAAATGGTTTGCTTGCTTTAATTGGTTTCTTGACCGAAGTTCGTCATAAATTGATGGCAGGAACTGATTCAAAAGATAATAAAGATAGTAAAAATAATAAAAATAAAGATAAGGATAAAAAAAACGTAACTGCTACAGAACAGTTACTGAAAATAATAGACACAACTTTACTCAAATGTTATTTACAGGTTTTTTGTTGAAATTTTTTTAATCTACAAAGAGTACTTACTAGTGCAATAAATGATATTAACATTTATTTTCTTTCTAATTTATAGACAAATGATGCACTAGTAGCCCCACTTCTTCGATTAAATCATTGTCATTTAGCTGAGGCTGAAAAAACCCTTCTAATGCATCAAAAATATCCTGAATTAATCATCTTATATCAAACCAAAGGACAACATAAAAAAGCCTTAGAATTACTTGAAAAGCAATCGAAACAGAGCGATTCTAGTCTGAAGGGAACAGAAAGGACAATTCAATATCTCCAGCATTTAGGAAAAGAACACATGGACACAATTCTCAAATTCGCTAGTTGGGTATTAGAGCAAGATCCAGAACAGGGATTACGTATTTTCATGGAAGATATTCAGGTAACTATTGCTGTACATGTTTTTTCAATATGTTAAATATTTACATTTGTATGTTTTTCATTTATTTAGGAAGTAGAGCAGCTGCCAAGGCCGAAAGTTTTAGATTATCTACTACGTTGTCATAAAGATCTAGTGATAACTTATTTAGAATATGTTGTACGTGTTTGGGAAGACAAAAACCCTTTATTTCACGATGTTTTAGTTCATCAGTACAAAGAAAAATGCTTGGCAGCAATGAGCCCTACAGCAACACCTGCTGAAAAACAAAATGGAGAACATATTAGACAGAAATTGCAACAATTTTTAGAGAAATCGGTTCACTACACTGCTGAAACGGTGCTTATTCAATTTCCTTCTGATTGTTTGTATGAAGAACGTGCAATCATTCTTGGTCGATTAGGTCGGCATCATCAAGCAATATCTATTTACGTAAATCTACTCAATGACGTGCCAAAGGCGATTCAGTATTGTAACAATGTCTATGCAAGATATGAGGGTAAATAAAATACAACCATTTCTTTTTACAATGAAATTTTAATGACCTTTATGTGATAGCATTGTAAATTGTGAAGGTCACAAAAATGAAGAAAATGGCAAGTGTGAAGATGGTGCTGATGAAGTTTACGTGACGCTCATTCAACAACTTCTGAAGCCTGTTTCTCTTTTTGGAAACGGTATAGTTAATTGAACATTAATAGTAATATACTATTTGTAAATAATCATTGATCGGATTTTTTATTGCCGTAGATACATCAGAAGTACATAGAGCAGCTCAACCAGATTTGGAAACAGCTTTAGAGTTACTAGAACAATATGCTTCTAAAATTAATCCATTAAAAGCATTAGAAGTTTTACCAGACAATGTTCCTATAGGTCGAATACGATACTTTTTAGAAGCTAGTCTTCAAAATCAATTAAATGAAAGGCGTAAAATGCAAGTTTTAAAAGGATTACTACATGCTGAGCATCTCCAAGTTCAAGAACAAAGGATGTATCATGAATCGCAAAGTGTGCTGATGACAGAATTTAATATTTGTTCTGTTTGCAAAAAGAGATTTGGCAATCAAAGGTATTACATTGTAAATAATGACCAATATGTCTTTAATCACTTTATTATATTACTTAAAATTATTTTTTTTAGTGCTTTTGCAAGGCATCCTAATGGTGAGATTGTACATTATTCTTGTCAAGAACGTAAAGCATGAAGACAGTAAACAACTTTAATTACCGTGATATCTTTTACTACCTTACAATATGCTGAACCTATTAATTAGAGTATCTATTTATCAGAAATTTTTTTATAAGCTTAAAAATAAAAAAAGTTTATCTTAAATTAATAATGAATAATTACATATAGGTGATAATATATTACAATATATACGATTTTTGTTTATTAAAACGTATTTATTTTCAGATTTCATTAAATACAATGAGTTAATTAATATTTTAAAAAATAATTTGTTTCCACTGATATGATCTTATTTTAAAATGATTGGTTATAGACATCCCTTATGAGCTTTAACCATGAACTTAGTAAAGACTTTTTTATATGAAAAATTAAGTAACTGCGTTATTTTTCAAATGCGAGAGCGAATATCGCTATCCAATAAAAAGCACGGGTAATGAACGTCGAAGGATGGGGCGTGCCCGGTTCAGAAAACATGTAAACGGGTCTGATGATGTCATAGTGAACTTGTATTCCTACGCCTCTATGCGATGTCATGTATGTACATATGAAAACACAAGACCAAAATGATAAGAAATTAACTTTATGGCTGCTATTTATGATTCGGTACTAAAATTAGGACGATAGACAAGTACCTATAGTCATAATTACTTGAAACATTTAATTCAATTAACATAATATAATTAAAGTAATGATTGTTCATCATGAGTTTTGACATTGATATTTAAATTGTTTATCAATGAATATTGATTATGATTATGAAGAAATGATGAATAATTATTAGTATAGAGATTAACAGGAAATAGTTTTTAAAAATTAAATTAATAGATAAAAGATCAGTGTCAACCAAAAAATTAATTTTGAGGATGCGCAAAGCCCGTTGAGCTTTGACGAGGAACTACTTTTTATTGGCGTATCAGAATGCTGTATTACTACGGTCAGTCGCACGCCGGTTGAGTACGAGTGGCAGCGGTTTGGAAGTTGAGTGTATGAATCTTACGGTGGTTTTATCGTGGTTTATTGACGTGTATGTTTTATTTATAAGTGAAGCAGTGAGACGGATTTTTCAAGAATACTTTCCAGTAAGTAACTACACTTATTTCAGTGAATTTTCGTTACAACAAAACGAAAAACTTCAACTCATTAGGCGCGAGAGTAAGCGGCGAGCCAATTTTGTTTCATATAAAAATGGCGTGGGACTCGTTTTAACTTATTGGAACTTTGTACTCATTTTTTTCATGAAAAAAGTGCTTATTTTCCTATGATTCTATCTTTGTAAAATCTAAATATTTTCAAAAAGATTTATCTTAAGTCGGAAGAATGTAAAATAGTTAATTTTATCTCTTGTTAAAGTTATTTCTAGCATCAAAGCCAATGTTTTTAATGTCGTTAGAGCTTTTTGAATTGTCCAGATAATTCTTTCATCTAAAAATAATAATCCTTTACAAGTGAATACTGAGAGAATGTGAGATCAAGTAGGGGTAATAGGCCCATTCTTTCAGTATCATTTATACTGCAGGTTGATAAGAAGTCTTTTATCTTATTCTCCAATGGTTTGCTCACTTGTCAAGGCAACCTGTCCACCGGTGACCCAATTCACCATCTCATTTCATCCAGTCCATTGTTATAATCTCCTTTAAACTTGATGAAAACCTCTTTTTTTACTTATGATTTTAATTATAACTGAAAGTATACTGCAATAGTTGACACCCTTCCAACAAATATTGACACTTCAACGTCTTCTAATTATGATGATCATCAAATGTCACTATTCTGCATTGATATCAATTCAAGAGTAATTTAATTATTCCTAATATCAAGTTTGGATTCATTTGAAACAGTTCTCAATTCAATATCTACTGTTTAAAAATATTTCTAATTATCTAGAGTTATAAATTTATTATCGTCGATGACTTAAGCTAGAATGTATGTAAACGACTGTCAAGAAACACAAAACCAATTATTCATATATAATCAATGATGTTTTCTTACAATTTGTAGCTTTAAGATTCTTGAATTTTGTTTTCACTTACTGTTGTAGTGAAGTTCCTAAAAATCCCATTTTCAAGGTTGTTTTATGTTTACTGTTTTCATTTTTTTTCATCAAAATGCTCTCTATTGGTGACTCCCTTATTGGAGCTTTGATATATTTTTATTCTTGGATGACATTATATTTTGACTAATAACTATTTTTGATTTTTCAACATCTAATCTATAAGTGTTCAGGTGAATTATACGTGTTGGAATTGCTCTTCCTACAATAAAATATTAGTCATTCAGACATAATAGTTCTCTTGTCTCCTCAGGCATTGGAATTATTTACTATTACGACATTTAAATATATTTTTACTAATACTGCCCACTGATGTAAATGAAGAATTAATGAATAAATTATTGGTCGATCGAACAGGAGTCATTGACTTATTAGCCTGTTGCAAACAATATTTATTATATTTTTTTAAATAATTTAGAAAAATCTGATGAATAAATCCTTGAAGTTGTTTTATTTACACGTGTGCAATAATTTAATACTTTTTTGAAATATGATGCTATGAAGTGATATGTGTAAATTTATTTTCAACTTAAGTCAAGTATTATTTACCTTTTTTTTTTATTTACACCAGTATTCTTTTTAGTAAAGTTAGAAAAAATTTCTCAAGAATACAATAATGAATTTTTCATAATTTTTAGTATTTTTTAAAAAATAATCAATACCAGAAAAAACAACTATTTATTAAGTCATTAAGTATAGATTTTATCAATCTTAAAAGCTTTAGTTATTAAAAATAAAATTCTTTTAAAGTGGTTCTTGATAAAAATAATTTTTGTTCCAAAAACTCAATTTTTATCTAACTTATTGTATTTCTATCAACACTAATAAAAAATATTTCTTCAAAAATCCTATCACGTAATTTCCAATTATTGCTGTAATTTTTCAACAGGAAGACATTATTGAATTAGAGTTGAAGTAATTTAATTTTCATGAGATTTAAAGGGGCCAATTCATGCACATGGCATCGCATTCCACTGAGAAAAGTTTACGAAGAAAAGGAAGGAAGAAAATGAAGAACTTTAAATTTAGATTGCCCGTTTGGGAGTTCATGACTTGATAGCTTAGCCAAATTATTACAAGTATCTTTCGCGCCTTTTTCTACAGCTACATGCACTACATGTTTCTTTTTATATTTTGATACAAAAGTATACTTTCTCTAAATAAAAATCCCATATCTGTCTGATGACTTTCAGTGCTTTTATTATGTATTTCACGGATGTACAATTTTGTCCTACTTTTCTTCATTAGGTTCTTAGGCTTTTTCTTGTCCTCCATATAAAAACGAGACTCACCCTTTTGCGTTTTGTCCTACATTTTCCCTAATCCCTTTTGAAACATTGTATTATTGATTAATGTTGTTATTATTATAGAATTAAAATTATTTTCAATAAAAATCAACTAGTATTTTTAAGACTTCAATATTCTTTCATCGTTGAGCTGGAAATTAAAAGTAGGTTGAACTAGAATTTTTATCTAAATGTTTAAATAAACCCAATTATTATTAACAATGAAAGTTATTATTGTAATATCTGGGCTTTAAATGAATTTTTTTTTATATAAGTAGAAATTTTTTAATGACGTGTATGTTAGATGCGTATAACATGTGTTTCTCAAAATATACATTACCATAATATTATTACAAAAGTTCGGATACTAAAGATGGAAAAAAATCAATAAATTTGGGTGTTAACGAGAGAATAACACGCAGTCCTAAACACAAAGGAAAAAATTGATTTAAATTTAATATTAGTCATACCATTCTGGCTATGTATAATACCACCAAATATAAAATTCTACTTTGAGTTAATGATGAACTAACAGTACAGATCACTCGAGCGTAAATTAACGTAAATGCGGACGTGACGTAGTGACGTGTATTACGTTAGAGGCACTACGGTTTGAACTGTCGAGGCCCATTCTTCCTTGTTTCGCTATTTTACATGGCTTTTTTCAGTTCAAAACAATTCACTTCTTTTAGAACAACTTGTCATTATTTTTATTTAATTATCACTCGAGTTTTCTCAACACTAAAAGCATTTTAAACCTGTAAGTTAATTTTTTTCTCAGACATCCTCCTCAGAATGATAGTCAACTTGAGCCAAGAAGGTCAATCTCTACTCTAGATTAACCCTTGGCCTCAAAATATAATTATATGGTATTTTACATTATTTTACTTTTTACAAAATTTAGATAATTAATGTTACGAATGAATAATTCATCTTTTTTTTTGACCAAAGCAATGGCAATAGCGTTTTTTAAATAAAAATAATTATTTGCGGTTAATGACCCGGAATACTGTCTTCCTTTCATTACCTTTCTTGACTCCGCAAAATAAATCTGTTGGCGTAGCCTAAGGGCAAGCGGAAAAAAGTGACAGATACTTGCGACAGGTGCATATGGATAATGTGACAGCAAGTTCTCGGTGGAAAGTCAGTAGGTAGTAGTAGTGAGGACATGGGTAACCGGCGCCACGTTGACTGCATTGGAAAATCAATAATTCTACCTTGTGTGCGTGAGTCGCGTCTCACCTTGGTACCTCAGGGAGAAATGGATAGTAAAGAAGTAGCAAAAATGAGAAAAGATTTTTTTTTATGCTTTATACTCATCAATCGATTTATTCCCTACTAGTCAACTGTAGACATTTGACAAACTTTTTTTTTTCAATATTCTGTCTCATTTAATTATTTATCATAATATTCTAATACAAATCAATCACTTCAAAGAAAAACTAATCAATCGTTATACTCTAATTTTTTTTGTTTTGAAAATATAAACCTTCTGATTGCTTCCAATAATAAATAATTACACTGAAAAATTTTTAGGAAATTAAAATATTTCTTCACCAAGATAGTTTTTTGTTTCAATTATTAATTAATTAATTCAAAGAAAAATTCATTTAACTGATTTTTAACAGCTTTTTAACGATTTGAATAAATAAATGAATAAAAAAAATGGATTATAAAAAAATTTTCCCATGCTGCGGATTCATAGTTAGATACATTAATAAGAAGGAATGAACAAAAGAGAAAGATATAAAAAAAATATTAATATCCCAGTATTATATAAAAGACTTCAATTTGTCGAAAGGGAAACGAGACAGATGGTAAACTTAACCTTTCGCGATTACAGTGTCATTCACATCGTGATTCATTCCGTTATAATATGCCCTGGCGGGCGTGTCTTAGCGTTGACCGACCACCATCATCTCGTCGTTGATTTCAACTGTGAACATCAGTAATAATATGCACTGTTATTATGTACCTAGTGAACGACAGGAACGATGCTCATTAGGTATGACGTTACTTTCGTAATTGCTCTAATTTCAACACATGTTATACCATCAGTCGCGTTAATGTGATCGTTCCCATTCATTCTTGATGATTGGAAATTTTTTTCAGGCATTTAACTACTATATTCGATAGTAATTTGTACGAATATTACATAATTTCATCGATAACATCAGTGTCAGTTGACCTCGAAACTTGATGTGTTGTTAGTACGCACGTAGTCGTGTCAAGTCTGGGCGTGGATGTTTAAATACCAAACTTATATAAACTGTACTTAGGCGGATAGCAATAAAGGATAATTTTATAATTATCTTGATACTTGTTAATTATTACTTGACAAGATTGTTGAAGAATTAAAAATATTATGAGATTTTATTGATCAGAGTTTTGGAGTTAATAAAAAGTTACTCGAAGACTGATGATATTTAAAGAAAGAAAAACCCAAACTTACTTGACGTTTCTCTCCATTTTTGTCGAGAAAAAAAGCTGTTCAGTTTTCCTTGGAGAAATGGAGTCTTAACATTTTAAAGTGTAGACTTTGTAATTTGATGGCAAAAAGAGGCATGAGAAAACGATGGGTAAAATACACTAAGAGTTATTGAGAAATCGGTCAAAAAAAAAATACTGCTTCAATCGTGATGGAGTATATAATGTTGAAGAAGATGAAAAGTAAAAGAGAACTGATGCTTCTTTGTATTCAAACATTCGAGTTTATTTAAAGACAACACGACATCTTATAGAGTAAAAAATAATAATGGAAAATAATTTTTAGAATGATGTAATTTCAGATCAGACTATCTCGTTTTTTATTGATTAAAAAATGAACTTTTTTGTGCTATTAATGCAACTACAGAGGCGTAAAAAATAGAATAAATAAAAAGTTTTCTTCTATAAAAGTAGAATAAAATAGAAGATATAGATGTATTTTGAGTTAAGATTATTTTTAGAACATTGATATCATATCCATAAATTTAAAATCATAATCAGTTTAAGTTGTACATTTTGTGACTGTGATATCATACAAATGACGTAATACTGTACAACGAAGTAGCGATCATGATGATGTATGGAGAGAGAAACAAGCATTACTTGTATACTGCTAAGGTCTTACATCCCACGCATTTTTAAATTCACTGACATCCTCCTATTTTAAATAATGAGATTGTCTTGAAGTGCATCTTTGATTAAATTCAAAATAAATATCGATAAAAATGTTAATTGGTGAATTCTCATGTAATGAATGAAGTACTCTTGTATGAATAATTAATTAGAAGCAATAAGCGAGTTTGATTATGTAATAAATTTATATCAAATTTGGTACAATCAATTATGAACAGCGTATAAACTTAAAATAGCTTGAATGAACTCTCTAATAAATGAAAGAGGTCTCAGTAATTATTTACAATTAATTTAAATTAAAATTTAACTTTGACTTTTTTATTGTTTTCCAATTCTAAAAGTTAACTTTCATTTTTAGCAATACTTTGTAACTATTAATTTTGAAGTATGTTAGAATAGTATTTCTCATGTTAGTTAAAAAAAATTCAAGTATAATTTGAATTGAAAAAATAATTTTGTTTCAGGAAAGCCCTTTACAAAGGGTTAAATAAAAGAGAGCTGTTGGTCTGATCTAAACAATGACGACCGACATCTCAGTGGTGCGTACGGGATGGGACCCGACGCTTCAACAGGAGATTGTCGACGAGTACGAATACGATGGAGGAAACTCAAGCTCAAGATTATTCGAACGATCACGAATTAAAGCATTAGCTGGTATGCTTATTGACACTAAGTTATCTTTAGCTGTTATTTAATTTATGATTTAATTTTTATCTCATTAGGTATATAAATAATACATTGATATGTTCAATAAGGAAAAGAGAAACTAAATAGAGAACCACATCCTCTTGATATTATTATCAATAGTTGTAATATCTCTGTAATTTTAGTTGAACATTTTTACTACTTTAGTTGTGGATTAAACTTGTCTAAGCATAGATGAGTTTATTACTTGCTAATATATTGAGTAACTCAATATATTGAGTTCAATTAAAATGAGTCAGAGGTTTTCTTTTAGTGAATCTTATGAAGATTATTATGATAGAATAGTAGTTGATCTTAGAGGTATTTTTTTAGTTAATTCTTGAAAAAAAAATTAGACTATCATATAAATTCTTACTAAGTCGTTTTATTAAGTATTTTTGATATTTTATTACGTAAATATCAAACAATTTTTTAAATGCAATGTTAAAATTCTTTCACTAATTTAATAAATGTATTTAATTTAGGTGAACGTGAGTCTGTGCAAAAGAAAACCTTTCAAAAATGGGTGAATTCACACCTTGTTCGCTGTTCCAGTCGAATTGGAGATCTGTATGTCGACCTCCGAGACGGCAAAATGTTGATAAAACTCTTGGAAATATTGTCAGGTGAACGATTGCCTCGACCGACAAAAGGCAAAATGCGAATTCACTGTCTAGAAAATGTAGACAAAGCTCTGCAATTCCTTCGCGAGCAGCGAGTACATTTAGAGAACATGGGATCTCATGACATCGTTGATGGTAATCCTCGTCTCACTCTTGGTCTTATTTGGACTATTATTCTTCGCTTTCAAATTCAAGACATTACGATTGAAGAAACAGATAATCAAGAGACTAAGTCAGCTAAAGATGCGTTATTGCTTTGGTGCCAGATGAAAACGGCTGGTTACCACAATGTCAATGTAAGAAATTTCACTACATCTTGGCGAGATGGGTTAGCTTTCAATGCTATCATTCATAAACATCGACCTGACCTTATTCAATTTGAAAGATTATCAAAATCGAATGCTATTTATAACCTTAACAATGCCTTCAATGTAGCTGAAGATAAATTAGGACTAACAAAACTTCTTGATGCTGAAGATATTTTTGTCGATCATCCTGATGAAAAATCAATTATCACGTATGTTGTAACTTATTATCATTACTTCTCAAAGATGAAGCAGGAAACAGTTCATGGAAAACGAATTGGTAAGGTTGTTGGAATTGCTATGGAAAATGATAGAATGATTCATGAATATGAAAGTTTGACGAGTGATCTTCTACGTTGGATCGAAAGTACAATTGAATCTCTTGGTGATCGACGATTTGCTAACTCACTCGTCGGAGTACAGTCTCAGTTATCACAATTTTCAAATTATCGAACAATCGAAAAACCACCGAAGTTTGTAGAAAAAGGAAATTTAGAAGTACTATTATTCACACTTCAGTCTAAAATGCGGGCAAATAATCAAAAGCCCTACACACCGAAGGAAGGAAAAATGATTTCGGATATCAATAAAGCTTGGGAACGACTAGAAAAAGCCGAACATGAGCGTGAACTTGCTCTACGAGAGGAACTAATTCGTCAAGAGAAATTAGAACAACTTGCTGCGAGATTCAATAGAAAAGCTAGTATGAGAGAAACTTGGTTGTCAGAAAATCAAAGACTTGTTTCACAAGATAACTTTGGTTTTGATTTGGCAGCTGTTGAAGCTGCTGCTAAGAAACATGAAGCTATTGAAACAGATATTTTTGCATACGAAGAACGTGTACAAGCTGTTATGGCAGTATCTCAAGAGCTTGAAGCAGAAAATTATCATGACATTTTGAAAATCAGTGAACGTAAAGTTAATGTTCTCCGTTTATGGAATTATTTATTAGAACTTTTACGTGCTAGACGTATGAGATTAGAATTATCATTGCAGCTTCAACAAAACTTCCAAGAAATGCTTTATATTCTTGATAGCATGGAAGAACTAAAACAAAGACTATTAACAGATGACTATGGTAAACATTTAATGGGTGTAGAAGATCTTTTACAGAAACATTCATTAGTAGAAGCTGATATTAACGTTCTTGGTGAACGAGTAAAGGCTGTAGTTCAACAAAGTCAAAGATTTTTGGAACAAGGTGAAGGTTACCGTCCTTGTGATCCTACAATTATTGTTGAACGTGTTCAACAACTTGAAGATGCCTATGCTGAGTTAGTTAATTTAGCAGTTGAACGACGAGCCAGATTGGAAGATTCCAGAAAACTCTGGCAATTCTATTGGGATATGACTGATGAAGAAAATTGGATTAAAGAAAAAGAGCAAATTGTATCCACTGGTGACATAGGTCATGACCTTACTACTATAAATCTTCTTCTATCCAAACACAAAGCACTTGAAAATGAAATCCAATCTCATGAACCTCAACTCATGTCAGTTGCTGCAGTTGGCGATGAATTAGTCCGTCAGCAACACTTTGGATCTGATAGAATTCAAGAAAGACTCCAAGAAATTTTAGCAATGTGGAATCATTTGTTAGATTTATCAGCATTTAGACGTAAACGCTTGGAAGAAGCTGTAGATTATCATCAACTTTTCGCTGATGCTGATGATGTTGACATTTGGATGTTAGATACGCTGAGATTAGTGTCATCAGAAGATGTTGGTAGAGATGAAGCAAATGTTCAATCCTTGTTAAAGAAACACAAAGATGTTACTGATGAATTGAAGAATTACGCTACAACAATTGAACAATTACATCAACAAGTCAGTGGTCTGGGTGAACAAGATGCTAAGTCTCCTGAAGTAGTTGAGAGACTTGCATCAATTGATTCTCGTTATAAAGAACTCTTAGAGTTGGCCAAACTCAGAAAGCAACGATTGTTAGATGCTTTGTCGCTTTACAAACTCTTCAGTGAGTCTGATGGAGTAGAACAATGGATTGGAGAAAAGAATCGTATGTTGGATACTATGGTACCAGCTAAAGATATTGAAGATGTAGAAATTATGAAACATCGTTATGATGGATTTGAAAAGGAAATGAATGCCAATGCATCACGTGTAGCTGTTGTTAATCAACTTGCTCGGCAGCTTTTGCATGTAGAACATCCTAATTCTGAAGAAATAGTCTCTCGACAGAATGAACTCAACCAAAAATGGGCTGAATTACGTGAAAAAGCAGAAAATAAACGAGAAGCTTTGAACTCAGCTCATGGTGTACAGACATTCCACATTGAATGTCGCGAGACTGTATCATGGATCGAAGATAAAAAGAGAATCTTACAACAAACAGATGATTTGGAGATGGATCTTACTGGTGTTATGACTCTCCAAAGAAGATTAAGTGGTATGGAACGCGATCTTGCTGCCATTCAAGCTAAACTTGATGCTTTAGAGAAAGAGGCAGCTTCCATTGAACAAGAGCATCCTGAAGAGGCAGAACTTATTCGTGAGAGAATTACACAGATTCATACAATTTGGGAGCAATTAACACAAATGTTGAAAGAACGAGATGCTAAATTAGAAGAAGCTGGTGATCTTCATAGATTCCTTCGTGATCTTGATCATTTCCAGGCTTGGTTAACTAAAACCCAAACTGATGTTGCTAGTGAAGATACTCCAACAAGTTTGGCCGATGCTGAAAAACTTTTGACACAACATCAGAACATCAAAGAAGAAATTGATAATTATATTGATGATTACACAAAGATGATGGAATATGGTGAAAGATTAACTAGTGAAGCCGGCAATGGAGATACCCAATACATGTTCCTCAGAGAAAGATTGAATGCTCTGAAAATGGGATGGGAGGAATTACACCAGATGTGGGCTAACAGACAGAACTTATTATCAAATTCATTGAATCTTCAAGTGTTTGATCGTGATGCTAGGCAGGCAGAGGTATTACTTTCTCAACAAGAACATATTCTGGCTAAGGAAGAAACACCGTTGAACTTTGAACATGCAGAAAATATGATCAAACGTCATGAAGCATTCATGACCACTATGGACGCCAATGATGAAAAAATTAACTCAGTTGTGCAATATGCTGCTAGATTGGTTGATGAAGGCCACTTTGCTTCTGATAAAGTCAAAAAGAAGGCAGAAAGCATTAACGAACGACGCAACATCAATCGTGAGAAGGCTAATCAGTTGATGGAAAAACTTAAAGATCAGTTACAGCTTCAAATGTTCTTACAAGATTGCGAAGAACTTGGAGAATGGGTTCAAGAGAAACATATTACTGCACAAGACGAGACTTATAGGAGTGCTAAAACCGTTCATAGTAAGTGGATGAGGCATGAAGCATTCGAAGCTGAAATAGCTAGTAATAAAGATCGTTTAGAGAGACTTCAACGTGCTGCTCAAGAGCTCATTGATCAAAAGCCTGAATTAAAAGAAATAATAACACCTAAAGTATCAGAATTGGCTAATCAATTTGAAGAATTAGAGACCACAACACAAGAGAAAGGTAAGAGACTCTTTGATGCTAATCGTGAAGTTCTCATTCAACAGACATGCGATGATATTGATTCTTGGATGAATGAACTTGAGAAGCAAATCGAAAGTACAGATACCGGGTCAGATCTTGCGTCTGTTAATATTCTTATGCAGAAACAACAAATGATCGAGACTCAAATGGCAGTAAAAGCTCGTCAGGTAGGGGAACTTGATAAACAGGCTGAACATCTTCAACAAACTGTTCCTGATGATAAAATGGAGGAAATCAAAGTTAAAAAAGAAAAAGTTGCACAACGATTTGCACAACTCAAGGAGCCTCTAATTGATCGCCAACGTCAATTGGAGAAAAAGAAGGAGGCCTTCCAGTTCCGTCGTGATGTAGAAGATGAAAAACTTTGGATTGCTGAAAAAATGCCACAGGCAACCAGCACTGAATATGGAAATTCTCTCTTTAATGTTCATATGTTAAAGAAGAAGAATCAATCTCTTAAAACCGAAATTGAAAATCACGAACCAAGAATTAATGCTGTTTGTAGTAATGGAGAAAAACTTATCAATGAAGGCCATGAAGCTACTCCAGAATTTCAGCGACTTATTTCTGAACTCAATGAAAAATGGGGTGAGCTCAGAGAAGCTGTTAATGATAGAAATAATCATCTCCTTCAAAATGAAAAGGCTCAACAATATTTCTTCGATTCAACAGAAGCAGAATCGTGGATGAGCGAACAAGAACTTTACATGATGGTGGAAGATCGTGGTAAAGATGAAATTTCAGCACAAAACTTGATGAAGAAACATGAATCATTAGAACATGCTGTTGAAGATTATGCCGAGACTATTCGCCAATTAGGAGAAACTGCAAGACAATTAATAAATAGTCAACATCCTCTTGCAGATCAAATCGCCGTAAAACAATCGCAAGTAGATAAACTCTATGCTGGCCTTAAAGATCTTGCTGGTGAAAGACGAGCCAAATTAGATGAAGCATTGCAGCTATTTATGTTGAATCGAGAAGTCGATGATTTAGAACAGTGGATTGCAGAACGAGAATTAGTTGCTGGCAGTCAAGAGCTTGGACAAGATTATGATCACGTTACACTTCTCTGGGAGAGATTTAAGGAATTTGCAAGAGATACAGAAGCAATTGGATCCGAAAGAGTTGCAGCTGTTAATGAAATCGCAGATTCTCTTATTGCAACTGGACATTCTGATGCAGCTACAATTGCAGAATGGAAAGATGGACTCAATGAGGTTTGGCAAGATCTCCTTGAATTGATTGAAACACGTACGCAAATGTTGGCTGCTAGCCGTGAACTTCATAAGTTCTTCCACGATTGTAAAGATGTTCTTGGAAGAATCCTTGAAAAACAAAATGCTATGTCAGATGAACTTGGACGTGATGCTGGTTCAGTTTCTGCACTTCAACGTAAACATGCTAATTTTATTCAAGATTTGTCGACTCTTCAAAATCAAGTTACTCAAATTCAAGAAGAATCCGCTAAATTACAAGCTAGCTATGCTGGAGACAAAGCTAGTGAAATAACTAATCGTGAAGCGGAAGTCGTTGCTGCTTGGAATAATCTACAAGCTCTTTGTGAAGGTAGAAAGGCCAAACTTGAAGATACGGGTGACTTGTTTAGATTCTTTAACATGGTAAGAAATCTAATGATTTGGATGGATGATGTCGTGAGACAAATGAACACTTCAGAAAAACCAAGAGATGTATCTGGTGTTGAATTATTAATGAATAATCATCAGAGCTTAAAGGCAGAAATTGACACAAGAGAAGATAATTTATTGGCTTGTATAAATCTTGGCAAAAATTTACTTGCGAGGAATCATTATGCAAGTGCACAAATTAAGGAAAAACTTTCAGCATTAACAGATCATAGAAATGCTCTTCTACATCGATGGGAAGAACGTTGGGAGAATTTACAACTTATTTTAGAAGTATATCAATTTGCAAGAGATGCAGCAGTTGCTGAAGCTTGGTTGATTGCACAAGAACCTTATCTTATGAGTCAAGAACTTGGAGTAAGTAAAGAGATGTTTCAAATTTAATCAAGCTCTCTAAATTTATCGGCGTTTCATGGATTCATAATTTTTTCTTTTACAGCACACTATCGATGAAGTTGAAAATCTAATTAAAAAACATGAAGCTTTTGAAAAATCAGCGGCTGCTCAGGATGAGAGGTTTAGTGCCTTGGAACGTTTAACGACGGTATTAAAATAATTTTTTTTTATTTGTAATTAAGTAAAAAAAATTTCGATCAATACTTAATATTACTATTTTTGATTGATTGAATTTAGTTTGAGTTGAAAGAATTAAAGAGAAGAGAACAAGAACGAGAAGAAGAAGAAAGACGTAAAAAAGAGGAAGCAGCGGCAGCAGAAGCAGCACGACTGGCTAAGACAACTCCTGTGACTAGCCCTGATGAGCCAACAAGTGAAAGGTAACCATCGATCAACTTACTAAAATTTTAAAATCTCTGTCAACTCTATATTTAACTTGACTCAATAAATTTTTATGTAACAGAACACAAGCTGACGGTGTAACGAGTGGTGATCGGGCAGGTGACGATGATCACGGTAAGATATCTTTTTTTATTTTCCAATGCCACATAAATAATATTAATGACGTGACTATAAAATTTTTCATTTATATGCACGTTGGGGAATAAATAAATTAACTATTTTTTAAAGTTTGAGTAATATTGAATTGGCTAAATTGAAGTTGTCAACTAAAAATTGAAAATAATTTTTACAATTCTAATTAAATTTGTTTATTGGCTGTATTAAAGTATTATTTCATGAAGGTTGAAAGTAGTTTATTGAAAATTAACTCTTGTATACTGGAAAAAAGGTTTAAAATTTATTTATTATAAAGTAAAAAAAAAGTGGTTCCGCGATATAGCATGAAATGGCTAACATCACGTTTATTCTGGCCACTTTCCTTATTTTCTAATTTTATATCCTGTTCCATTTCTTAAATATCCATAAATTCCTAAAAATATTCTTAAATGCGGCACGGAATGCACAAACCACAGTGGCACCGCGCAAGGCTTCTTCTACACGAACACCGCAATCCCAAGAAAAACCCAAGGAAGGTGAGTGTTCGGTGGAATTTTCAAAAATATTCAAATACTATCAGTATACAAATATTCTTCCTTCTTGATATATCTCAATAGCTAATTAACTTCCTATGATTTTCTTATTATATATGCTTCCTTTTTTTATCACTCAATCAATGCTTTTTTACTATTTTACATTTGCATTTTACATCAAATTCCTTTGGTATGGGTTTTTTATTTTTTTGTTAATCATCATCCAATTATTGTAATGTAAACAATAACATTAATTAGTTTATCATAAAATGTTTTTTTAGTATTTTCAGGAAATGGGTTGTAACGATTAGATTTCATTGCTATTTATTAATTATTTTTTTGTGCTATGATCTATTTCCTTTCACAGGTGATGGTGTTCATCTAAATAGGAGAATAGCAGACTAATTAATAATATTTTATTAATCAGCTATATAATATAATAAGCTACTCATATTTATATCATAAACACTCACGTTTCTCTTTAGATATACTGTAATTAAGTTATGGAAAACTCTTTTGCATGTGTGTTGTTTATCTTCGTATTTTTTCAATCTTTGGCAATTGTTTCCTTTAAAACCTAGAAGGTAAGCTAGCATGTCATTTTTCTTGAACACCTTTCTCCTTTTATTTGTTTAAATTGATTTTGTGTTCTCTTTGCTCAACTGTGAAAAATACTGTTAGATAGATAGGAAATAAATTTAGATGATAAGATTATTTAATTTATATCTATTAATTTCCAAAAATGAATTTAATTTAAAATGAAATTAAATATGCACGATTTCCTATTGGTGTGGTGTAGTGCATGCTCAAAGGTCTCAACAACTTTCTCCTTCTGGAGATGTGGCACGCCCTGTTACATCATCTACTTCCAAATCTCAAGTATCTGTCCCATCAACTTCATCAAGTAAGTGCATGTCTGGGTAAAATTATCTTTATTATAGTAAAATATTATTTTTGCTAGTATTTTCTTTTGTATTTAATTTATTTTTAAATGTATTTAAGAGAAATTTATTAAAAAAAAATTTTTTTAATTTAGTATTAGTTTTAATTAAATATTTTGAAAGAAAGATTTGAAAGATGAATATCTTTTTGTATAATAAAAAATGTATATTTGTTCAAAATAACATATTTTATGATGCATGAGCATGTTGCATGAATAAATATCATTTTTGAGTAACTATTCATAGTAAAAGCAAGCACTAAAAAATTGATGAGAAAATGTATGATTGGGAGCGGCGATAGTACCAAAAATTAATATTAAAAAAGGCTAACGTAATGAAGTATAAGTAAGTAGTTAATTTCGATTTGTTATGTATTATCATAAGCTCTGAAAGGAGGAAACGTCTCAGAGCCTGGTACGTTGAGACGTAAGGAACGAAGTCGCAGCAAATCACCATTCAGAAGTTTCCGTTGGAAAAAATCTTCCAAGTCACCCAGCTTAGACCGTAGTGGTGTGAGTGATGATGAGCATAGTTTTCACGGTAAGTTTGTCGTAAGTGGCCATGAATGCGCTACAACGATTAAAATTATTTCAAATAAGCATTTTTTAAAGATGATTTATTAGTAAATATGAATGAAAGCTTTTTATTATAGGCATTGAGCATGAAAGCATCCAAAAATACTTTAACAAATTTTCATATCTTCCATTTTTTAGCATGGAATTTCATTCAAATTTAATCATTATTTAAGATATTTCAGGCAACCCTTAAGATGCTGGAAGTCACCATAGGAATTCATCATTCAATCTTTTCTTTAGATTAATTTAACTTTTAGAATAAATATTTAGAAAAAATGTAGATTCTTATAACATCAATAATTAGTGCTTTATAGATATTAAAAATAATATATTTCATCATTCTTTATTAACAAAATTATAATTCACAGAACAAAGAAGTCCAAGCGATGATGAATTTGAAGGAACGTTGGTGCGAAAGCACGAATGGGAGAGCACGACGAAGAAAGCATCAAACAGATCATGGGACAAAGTTTATATGGTAATCCGTGGACAAAGCTTTGTTGCATACAAAGATCAAAAGTCTTATAAAGCAGCTCCAGACCAACTCTATAAAGGTGAAGCACCTCTTGATCTTCGTGGAGCTACTATTGCTGTAGCAATTGATTATACAAAGAAGAAACATGTCTTCCGAGTAAAGTAAGCATCTCATTTTTTTCACATAAAACAGTATAATAATAATAATTCAAATTATCACAATTATTTTTATTTCAGAACGCAAAGTGGAGCAGATTTCTTGTTCCAAGCCAAAGACGATGCTGAGATGAATGAATGGGTTACAGTATTGAATCAAGCAGCCCAAGGCACTTCAGGTGCAAGCACATCAAGAGCACACACTCTACCGGCACCGACTCAAGCCGAGACGAAACGACGCAGCTTTTTCACTCTCAAAAAAAAGTGAGTAATTATGATTTGTGTATTTATATTGCTGTTTTTTTTTTGTTTCATCACTAACAATTAGACTGAAGTTGCATCTGCTATAAATTTTTTTATATTTTTTATGATGTAATCATGATCATTGCAGCATTTCATAAATGCAAAATTGTTTCTTTCATTTTCACATTCATCTGTCAATTAAATTAATTCACAATTCAAAGCTAGGTGCCATTATACAGCATCCCCATTCGATCATATCGCATTTATCATATTTTTAGAAAAGCCAAAAAGTAGAAAGTGAATACCATGAACATACGAAAGTACACAATTGGAACAACATTTTTATGCGGTGAGTCGCACACCATTGTAGCTCATAAACGTCGTAAATATTTGCACGATATTAAAAGATCTTCCCCGTTAATTTTACTTGTTATTATTATTTTTTTGTTCTTAGTTGTTTTGTTTTCATTGAATTAATTTTATCCCTATGATTCAGTTAATTTAATTGATGATGCGGAAAGGAATGTTATTCCAATTGTGAATGCGGAATGATGAGTTGGCTCTCTGTAATATTTACTTGGAGAGTTAAACATATGAATGTTTCATATGCCTTTTGATCGTAACAAATAATAATGTAAAAAATTATTTAAATATTTTCGGGTATATTAATGGTATATGGAACATAAAAATGTATTTTTTTTGAATTGTGCTTTAGGTGCTTGTCTGAATAATAATTGAAATTTTTTCAATTGATGAATCATTTAGTTTCATCTTCATTATTCATTTAGACATTTTATAATAAATTATATTATCTTACTGTATCATCATCATTTTGATTTTTTTTGTAAATCCTTTGGCTTGTAGGAATTATCATCATTCAATGTCACGTGGTATTAATAAATAAATTTTTTTATGTAATTAGTGTAATATGTAATTATTACAAAATTACAAAAATGAATAAACTATTCTTATGATTTGTTATGTATGACAATTAATTCAATAAATGATTTTTTTTCAGTTAATCTAGAGACGTGAAACCAGATAAATTCAAAAGAACTTGAGTATTATGATATACAATAGCAAAATGGAATGATATAGTGAAGCTATTTCGTCGCTCTACTCTGTTAAAGCAACGTTAATAACAAATGAAAAGACCAGACTATACTACATAGTTGGAAGTGATTTAACCAGATTAATTAAAGAGACACTTTTGGATAGAAAAAATTCAATAGTAAAATCTCGTGCAGCGATAAATAAGCAAATTTGACGTTTTGATAAGTTTTAGACATTTTGCGAAGCTAATTATAGCAGATATGACAAAATAACATTCAATTCCCAGGTTAACGTAACTAATATTTTCTTCATTTTTTAATTATTTTCGCAAGGGTCGATTATATATTTTTGTTCGTAAATAATGATAATAGTGGCAATTATTCGAACAAATGGATAGCTTGCACATAGTGCGCAAAAATCATGAATTATATATATTATTTTATGTAAACAGAATTTTTTTTTAAGTAAAATATTAATTTAAAATTTATGAATAGTAATGCAGAACGCACAATGTCTATCACAGAGCCACTGTAATGTCAACAGAATCAATTTGAAAAACAATGGAATATCTTAATTGTAATTATTAATTATTTTCTTTTATATATTTTCTCTTTTACTATCTTTTCAACATGTAAACTATTACAGTTTGCATTTTAATGACTGCCATTTTTTTAAGAACTGTCACCTGGGAAATATTATTATATTAAAAGAGATAAATAGCTTTTAACGAATGTTATTATATGCAAAAGATAAAAATTAATATTAAAAAAACAATAACGAGATAAAAAAAATTATTGTAATAACGAAAGAGAGTTTCCTTCTATACGAACATTAAATATAAATGACAAATTATATTTAAAAAAAAAATATAAATGCGAGTTAGTTTTCTCGACTTCTACAAATGTTTCGTATTTGTCTTCGATTAAAATCAACGCAAAATAAATAACAATAATGATTCACGTGAGCTTCGATGCATGCGTATCGGACACTGCAATTTCGTATATAAAATGGCTTGATTATAATAAAGTTTTTAATTGTTATTATTATTATTATTATGATTATTATTTTATATAGTATTTATCAGATGATGCGTACTGTTTTAAATTTTTTAGAATGTAATATGATAAAAAAGACAAATATTGTTGGTCTAAAACGACAATTTTTTGTCATTTTACTCTTATTTCTGTTGCTTATTTTTTACGCATTCCTGCTAACATAATTCCTTCTATTGAATAAATAAGACTTGATCATCCACTGTACAATTATTATATATTATCTGTCATTAAATCCGATGAATATTAATATCAGAATCACATCCGCTGTGTAAAGAGAAATTTTTAATCTATCATAATATATAGAGCGCCAATTTAATATTTCTTATATTCAATGTAGATCGAATTGGAAATTTTTAATGCACAAAAATTTTGTATATTAACAGTACACAAAATTATTAAGTGTAAATTTAAATAATTGGCTTCAAACTTGTTTTTACTATTTTATTAATTTACTTTGCAAAATTTACGCATTATAAATTGTGTTTTTTATATACTATAAATATATATATGAAATCCTTATTATAGATTAAAGAAAGAATATTAAAGAATAATAAAAAATATAAATAATATATGTATATTTAAAAATATTAGAGCGCTCTTTTAATTTTTAAAACGGCCTTCTTTAAAATATTTACAAGGAAATAGATTTTTTAAATTATATAATGGAGATGGAATACGTAAATGAAAGAAAATTTACAAAAAAAAATATATTAACAAATTAATCTAATCATTTTTATTAACTTTTTTTTATTTATTCACACAACTGTGCAAGTAATATATTATCAAGCTTTAAATGTGTCCCTTGTAGTTTAATCAATGCGACAATTACTGAAATTCTTAATAGAAGCATCAGTAACAAAAGAAGACAAAGAGAGGAAAACTAATGAAAAGGAGTGTAATCAAATATACGATTCATCATTATATGATTTCGTTTATAAAGTTAGCCATCGCCTTTCATCAATTATAATGTGATGATATCACATATTATAGTTTCTGATTAATTTTTTTTATCGTGGGCTACTGCAAATAATTTTTATCGAAAAAATAAATAATAATATTAATAAATAAAATTGAGAGTAAAACTCACATTAACAAATAACAAAAAATATCTAGAATAAAATTAATAATTACATAAAAAATTTGTAAAATTTCTTAATTATATTTCCAATTATTATTTTAACATTTATCAATATATACATTTATGTGTGTATATACATACTAAAATATTAGAAATAAGGTATATTTTTTTCATTTAACTAATGAAAATTATATTGTTTCTATTGTTAGAAAGAAGGAGACAATCCTGCATTCATTAATGTAATGTAATTGCTATAGTTGATTTCATTTTTAATTATTATTTCACCTTCATTAAAACCGAAGAAATGACGTCATTTTTATAAATGATGATTGAAAAAAATTTAGAAACTAATTAACAAATTACTTCATAATAAAGCCATCCTATTGTGCCTGGCACATATTCGATGACGTGATTCTTCGGAAAAGTCAGAAAAAATTTTTTAAATTAAATAAAATTGTAATTTCTCGATAAATATTGATTATACTTATGAGAAAATATCATGTGAAATGCTTCTAATAAATCGTTGTTGAGAAAAAACACGAATTCTGATGAAGTAGAACGTATTTATAGAATAGTCATAATAGTTTACAATTTATACAATAAAAACTGTGTTCAATGTTAAATAACACTTTGATTGAAGTATATATTAAAGGGTCAGTAGTCGGGCTTAGATTTTAAATGGACTGATGAAGAGAGATCAGGGACCACTCGTTGGTGCCATCAGGAAATGGAAGTCATTATCTAATATACTTTTATTACATCTCAAGCTCATCATTAAAAACGGTTACTCATTCATTCTATACTCTTACTTCCCTTTTTTTGTCCCGTATCATGTTATGTTTTCTTAAAAAAACTGGATCTCATAATCTTTTTTTATTGTATAAAATAAGCCTCTATTGACTAGTCAACCTTTGACAGAGAATACCATCATTGTGAGGAATCAGTATGCATTTATTCTCGACTTATAATTGGTATAAAAATTCATTATCAGTGCTTATCTTACTTTTTTGAAAATCAAACTCTTGAATAGAATTAAACAAAGAACTGTTCAGAAGGAGAGAGCCTGACTGGTCATCTGCAGTTCGATGTACTTGTCAATGACGTCGCCTTCAAGGGACTTCTAAATTATTGAACTAGTCCAAAAATTTATAAAATCGGATTAAAGATTCCTGAAAATTGTATTTAGAAAAGATTGCGTTTTATTGCATGTTTAAAACTACTACATTGTAAAAATTAAAATGAATAACGTTGGCCAACGTTTTCGAAAATAAACAGTGTAGATGATGGTAGAAAGTGAAAAAAAAAATGCAAAGGTATATTGTCTGTATTGTTATATAGATACATGATGTATTTGAATGTGTCAGAAACAAACAGCGCCACCAGCGTGTTTATATGTATACTTGCTAGTTTAACAAAAAGTCAGTCTGGACAAGATGGCCGCCCGGGTGACATCGGCCTTCTATCATTTTACGCTTCTTTTGCATCTATTTTTGTTAATAAATTATAATTATGGTGAAAAATACGATACTCAAGCTCGGACACTTGATGCCGACGATATTAAAGCATATTTGGGGCATAGGAAGCCCTTTATTATTGAAAAAGAGGAAAATTATTTAACTGACGATGAAACGTCATTTTCGCGAAAACGACGAGATGTTCCTCAATCCCAAGCTTCACCAGGAGTAATTGAAAATCCAGTGAATATCACCACTAAGGTATGCTATTATCGCTTTTCTGAGGTTTATAATGTATTATTAATTGTTAGGAGCAATAAAAAAACATCTAGTGCATGAAAAGCGTCTCTTGAATACTACGCATTAAGTTCTGCAACGTTGTGCTGATTTTAAATGCATGACGACACAAAAGCTTGTAATTGATATTTCAGTGGATATTTTGACTATTGGAAACATTTTTTCCTCATTCACTCTAAAACGAAAAAATTGAAGTATATTTTGTTTAATAACTATTAAAATGAAATATTCATTAATTTTATGTGTTACGATTTTATTATTGAATCAACAATTGACCAAAGATGTGAATCAATGTAATTGTTTAGATAAATTTGACGATTTTGAAGTTTAATGAGTAATGATTTTTAAATAGTGATTTCCAAATGTATTTTTGTTTATGTAAATTATTCACATCTGTATTGATTATTGATATTTAAGTAAATTTTTTATAAAATACTTTAAGACAGAAAAACTTGGAATAACGTTTGCAATTTAACAAAATAATTACACAAGACCATATTCATTAATAATTAATATTAGTAGTTGCATGTTGAAAAAAAATTTTCTAGTCATATTTTTTTACTGCATGTTAAAAATTACATAATACATAAATAAGTTTGCAAATTCTATTCTGTTCATTACTTTCATCATTTAACCTTTTAACTATTACTCATGCTTGTATGTTATCGAAAAAATATGTAATTAGTATTTTTGTAATTACTACTTCTATTAACAAAAATTTCATGGATAATGGTAGAGACGTTTAACAATTCATTGATAATTGTAGTTATAATAAAAATCTATTTTGTTATATCAGTTATCATTCATTACAAATTAAGACCTGCATTAACCTCAATGATAAATAATAACAGTATAGAATATTTTTATTTTTACCGACGAATTTTTCGAAAAAACTTATTTTATTGGAAAATTAAATCATCTTAATTAATAATTAATGCAACAAACGTCAATACATTTATTACTTTATGTTTCATCATTAATCGATATTTTATATAATTATAGTCGATAATTAAACATAATATGTATTGATTTTTCTGAGAATAATTAATTTAATTTAATTTTCTCATAACTTGTAATTAAATTCGACTTTTTATCAAGTAATACAATACATTGCATGGTTTAAAGATAAAAATATATCATGTTTATCATATTTATCAAGTTTACTTATGGATTAATATGATTTTTAATCTTAAAAACATTTGTTACTCTTTAAAATTTTTTCAAGGTTAGTTCGATTCTAAACAAAAGCTTCAGAAAAGCTTATATTATAAGTTATGAAAGAAATCTGTTTATATTTTCATAATCTTCAAAAAATTCTGAATACGGCTTATTAGGATTAAAAATCATAAACAAAACATCAGATTGTTATTATTGGCTTATATATATTTCATGATAATAAGTTATCATCATATGATTCAACTAATATTACTATATCTTTTGAACATTCATCTGCTAATTAGTCATAAATATATGTATAAAACTTTTTCCATACTCTTTATGCTATTGTGAGCTTGAGTATTTGCTTTTCTTACAACGTAATATGACCCTTATTCAGTAAAAATACATGTTTAGTCTTTTGCTATGATTCATTCACATTATGATATTGAATTCTTTCAAGAACAATTTTTTTCTGGAGTGAAGTATATCAATCTAGATTTAATTTCAACTTTTCTCCATGTCAATTTTAGCTAGTTTCATACCATTCATATAAAAAAGTAAACTTTTTTAATATTCTTATATATTTTGCATTCATTTTGGATATAATTATCAAGGAGTGGTTCAGTCTGCAAGAAAGTTATATATTAACAAACTTATTGACTCAGTAGCTAGTGAGAGTTGTGGTTATGATGATGTAATTTATAGTTTAATAGCCAGATTCTGTGTAATCTTGAATGATAGTTATAAACATTGTATATCATTTTACAGATACATGTAGCTTTCACTATACATCCTCACACGTAATACTTGATCATTTTTTATCTATAAAATTTTCAGAGAAAAAGATAAATTAAGAGGAAATGAATAAACTGGTATACTCAGTAATTATTTTATTACTATATACGATTGTTTAATTTTATATTATAATAATTTTTTAATCAAATAATAAAATATTAATATTAAATTTTTTTCAGTTGAATGTTCTCAACGATTCTCATCAACAATTAATGGTTCATTGGGTCGGCGAAAAATCCAATGTTATAATTTGCTTGGCAAGGAATAGTTCATCATCGGTACGTTCACAAGGTGCTCGTCTTGGTGCTGATACAAACCCTAGTGCTGTTTATATTAGCTACGACTATGGAGATTCATTTGAAAATAAAACAGATTTATTTAAAATCAGCACCGATCCAGATCAGTATGCTACATTAGATAAATTCTATAATCATCCAAAGTTCAATTACTACTGTATATTTGCTGACGTCACCAATCAGGTGATTTTTATTACAAAAAATAATGGACGAACAATTTCCAAATATCATTTAGAATTTCATCCGAGTGAAATATTATTTGATGAAGATAATCCAACTTATATATTAGCATTAGATAAAGTTGATACATCAAGAAATGTTTGGTTGTCAAAAAATTTGGGACTATCATGGAAATTAGTTCATCGTGATGCTAAAGCTGTTTTCTGGCTGAATTCAAATCCCAGAAAATTCTTAGTAGAAAGAGAATATGGCAAAAGTCATTCTGTAGTAGAGGTTTTAGTTGAATCTGAACTCAAGAAAGAATTCGTTATTGGAGATATTGAAGATTTTCAAATTCGTGGAGATTATATGTTTGCGAAGAAAAGATCTGAAAGTACACGTAATGGAACAAATACTACAAGTCAAGATTTGGATTTATACATATCTTACAAAAATCAATCGTTTGTGTTGGCACAATTTAATACTGAGCTAAGTCGTAAAGATTACCATATTTGTGATATTTCTAACAACCGAATTTTTGTTGCCGTATCTCATAGTGATACCCACGTCAATCTTTATGTCTCTGAAATAATCGATAACACGACAGCCCGTTTTATATTATCTTTAGAAGGAGTTTTTACTTATTTTCCCAACATTAACTGGAAAGATAGTTGGCTAAATGATGTTGCAGATGAAGCTTTTACCGATTTATACAAAGTCGAAGGTCTTCGAGGGATTTACATTGTATCTCACATCAGAGAAACACCGAAAGAAACATCTGTAGGACCTGAACATCTTGAATCTTTAATAACCTTTGATCACGGAGTGACATGGAATAAAATTAAGCCCCCAATAAATGTTAATGAAAACACTCACGATGCCAACTGGTCATTACATCTCAGTCAGCGTTTTAGCCAGCTTTATCCAGTAACTCGTTCTGCTTCTATTATGAGCTCTAAATCAGCACCTGGAATTATCATGGCTACTGGTGTTTTAGGGTCAAGTCTAAAAGGTCATCCTGGTCTGTATGTATCTCGTGATGCTGGTCTCACCTGGAAACAAGTACTCAAAGATTATTACTTTTTCAATATGGGCGATCACGGTGGAGTTCTTGTGGCTGTTAAATATTTCAAATCGCGCGGAGAAACTCGAGATCTCTTGTATTCAACCGATGAAGGAAAGACTTGGAAAACTTACAAATTCAGTAAGGATCTGCTCCGTGTTTATGGTCTTATGACCGAACCAGGAGAAAATACTACAGTATTTACAATGTTTGGATCCAATCCGGGTCAACACAAATGGCTTATTATTAAAGTGGATCTTAAAAATGCATTTGAAAGAGAGTGTAAACAAGATGATTTTAAATTTTGGTCTCCATCAAGTTCTGATCAACCTGGAATGTCATGTGTCTTGGGAGAAAGAGAAACTTATGAAAGAAGAGCTGCTAGCACTAATTGTTACATTGGAATTGACTATGATAGACCTGTTAAAAAAGAAATTTGCCCTTGTGATTTTCAAGATTATGAATGTGATTTTGGATTTGTTAAAATTGGAAATCCTTTTCATTGTATTCGTAATATTTATGAGACTCATTATGATCCATATAAAATTCCTGATACTTGTGAACGTGGTAAATTTTATAAAAGAACTAAAGGATACAGAAAAATCCCTAATGATAAATGTTATGGCGGAGCTAGAAGATTTGAACCAGATGAAATCCCTTGTCCTATGGAAGCGCCATCAGAATTTCTTCTCGTCGCTCAAAGAGAACACATCTCTCGCATTGATCTACGAACCCAAAATCGAGAAGTATTACCAGTTCATGATTTGAAAAATGTTATTGCTATTGAATATGACATGAAAAATGACTGTTTATATTGGGCAGATATTGTTAATGATACTATTGGAAGGCAGTGCTTTAAAGATGGAACATTCTATCCTGAAATTCTCGTTGAAACTGATTTAAGTTCTATTGAAGGAATGGCATTCGATTGGATATCTAAAGTTTTATACTTTGTCGATGGCGTGAAAATGCGGATTCAAATTATTCGAACGGATATCACAATAGCAGGAAGAATGAGGAGAACTATATTGGGATCAAATAATTTACAAAAACCTCGTGGAATCACAGTTCATCCTATGGCTGGTTATATGTTCTGGACGGACTGGGCTCCCGGAAATGCATCTGTTTCTCGTGCAAATCTTGACGGTACAAACGTAAAACGATTATTTACAAAAGGAACTGTGGAATGGCCAAATGGAATTACCATTGATCATATGGCTGAGAGAATTTATTGGGTAGATGCCCGTGAAGATTACATTGGATCATCAGATTATGATGGAAAAAGATTCAAAAAAATAATCAGCGATGATGATCGAGTATCACATCCATTTGCTGTTGCTGTTTTCAAAGATAATATGTATTGGGATGATTGGAAACAATCTATGATATTTTTAGCTGATAAAAATCACGGGGCTGGTATCGTAACTACACAAGGCATGCTGACTGGTTTGATGGATTTGAAAGTTTTTGCTCATAGCATACAAACAGGAACAAACAAATGTGAAAATAATACTATTTGTACTCATATTTGTCTCGGAGCACCAAATGATGGTTTTGTTTGTTTATGTCCGGACGGTATGGTGATGCACGAAGGTAAATGTTTGTGTCCCGGCAACATCCCACCATCTGAAAATTCAACATGTCCAAGAGTTCAAAATACATGTGCATCAAATCATTTTGCTTGCACAAATGGAGCTTGTGTTCCTGAGATATGGAAATGTGATGGTGATAATGATTGTGGCGACAATTCTGATGAACTGCAATGTAAAAAAGCTACATGTAGTCCTACTAATTTCGAATGTGATGGCGAAAAATGTATTCCACGATTTTGGGTTTGTGATCTTGACGCGGATTGTCGTGATGGTCGGGATGAACTCAATTGTACTTATTCAAATTGTACTGAATCACAATTCAGATGTGATAACGGAAGATGTATTCCTAAAAGATGGTATTGTGACGATGAAGATGATTGTCGTGATGGTTCTGATGAAAGAAATTGCAGTAAAAGTACTCTATTTAGCACATGCAAATCTGATGAAATTGCATGTGAACCTGATCACAGCTGTGTCCCAAGAACGTGGCAGTGTGATGGAGAAAATGATTGTGACGATGGTTCTGATGAAAAGAATTGTTCTCAAAATAAATGCTTCGATTGGCACTTCGCTTGTCAGTCTCCTGACCTACCACACCAATGTATTTACAAATCTTGGGTTTGTGACGGCGATAGAGATTGTCGAGATGGATCTGATGAAATGAATTGTACAACTCATTCAACTCATGAGCCTCCTCAATCGCCTGTGTTGCCTACGAATTCATGTAATGATTGGATGTTCAGATGCAACAACTCAAAATGTGTACCTTATTGGTGGAAATGTGATAGCGTTGATGATTGTGGTGATGGCTCTGATGAATTAGGCTGCGGAAATCCAGAAATTTTACCAGAATCACCTGACATCATTGATACAACTAAACACCCTCGAGTTTGTCGTGATTATCAATTCCAATGTTACGATAGAACATGTATTGATGATGCTTGGGTTTGTGATGGTACAGCAGACTGTAAATCAAATGAAGATGAACTTCATTGCGATAAATCGCACATTGGCTGTCGTGATGATCAATTTATGTGCCATGTAGATGGAAATTGTATTTCTTCATCATATATCTGTAATGGAGTTGAAGATTGTCCAGATCGTAGTGATGAAGCAGGATGTCACAGTGAACATCCAAATCCAGCTAATAAACCTTGCCCTGTTGGTTACTTCCCATGTGATGAGAAATGTATTGAGTTATCAAATTACTGTGATGGTAAAAAAGATTGTTACGATGGATTCGACGAAAATAATTGTGAAAAAAATCATACTAGAGTCTATCAAGTTATGGTACTAGGAGTAGATGAAAGATCAACAAATGCTACAAGTCTCTTTTTATTTTGGTGGATGCCTATTCCTACAAACATTACATTTGAATTTTTACCATCTATTTCAAAAGCTGAGCCTGGCGCTAAGTGGACTAATGCTACTAGCTGGATTGAAGACAATGAGTATCAATTTAATAAGCTGGAACCGTTCACACTCTATAATTTAACTGTTTATGTTAGAGTAAAGGGTCGATCAGTAGATTTCCCACCCGTCAAGTATTGGTCCGTAAAAACAGGAGAAGGAGTGCCTTCAGAGCCTTGGAATGTCACTGCTGTTCAAAAGAACGGTACAAAGGTTGAACTTTCTTGGCGACCACCATTACATCCCAATGGCGTAATAACTGGTTATGATGTATTTATAACACCACCAATTCCACCTAAGAAGTATAATGTTCAAAAAACATCTTTTGTCTTCGATCAACCATTTGAAGCTGACACAGTTTATTCTTTGTGGGTAATCGCAAACAATAATAAAAGTTCTTCTGCATCTTCGAAAGTAGCAAAATTGAAGTTCGATGGAGCAGCAAATATTGATGATATTGAAGACCTTAAAGTTGTGGAAATCACGAATAATTCTGTTCATCTTACTTGGAAAGCTCTTAAAGATGTTGATAGATATCATATTACCCCTAAACCACAATCACCTTATCCATCCGCTCCTTCAACAGTTGTAATGGAAAATGAAGCTGTTATTGTAGATCTATCGCCAGGCGTTCAATATACTTTTGAAGTTAATGCTATGAAAAAGAATTATATTGGTAGAGGAACATCTATCGTGGCAACTACAAATGGAACGGCTTTACCTAAGGTACTTGCTTTAAATGCAGAGTCAAAGAAACACGATGGAACTACTGTTAAACTTAGCTGGGATCCACCAAAGAGTACACGTAAAATAAAGTGGCAATATGCTATCCATTATGCATTGAATATGCAAGACTTATTTAAAGAATATAAACTTCTCACAAATAATAATATTGCATCTATTAAAAATCTTGAAGCATGTGAGTCATACATATTTGCTGTAGGAGTTCGAGATACCTATGGAGCTGGACCTCTATGTGAACCGATTACAGTTCTTACTTATTACAATCCAAGAGCACCACCAAAACAACTAAGAGTTACTCCATCTCATAAGCCAGACTCAATAATCGTGTCTTGGAGTGCAAGTTGTATGATGATTGATGATCCTATTACCTACAAGATTAGTGTAACAGAAATGATACGTAATGAAACGTCAACAATAATCTTGTTACCAACAAATGAGACTGCAATAAAACATACATTCAAAGGTATTAAATATGGTGGAAAATATAAGGTGACCGTTGCTACAAACGAACCAGATTCAATTATGAGTCAACCAGTTATTTATTTGGCACCACCGCTTTCTCCTCCACATCAAGTTCAGGTAATATCTAGCGGTGAAAATTGGTTTGTCTATTGGCAAGAGCCCGATTTACCTTCAGAAGTCAAAAATCATACTGCTCGTTATGAAGTTCTTATTAGCGAGAACCAAGTTACTGTTAATGAATCAACTGCTGAAGTTTGGCCATGTGATCAACCACCATTCATCTTCAAAGGTGTCAAAACAAGTGTTGTTTATTCATTTGCTGTGCGAGTAAAAACGGACGGCTATCAAAGCGAACTTAGTGAATCAGTCACCGTCAGAACGCCTTCAGGTAATAGAAATTAAATAATCTCTTTAAAAAATGTTTTTTTGCTAAAATTAAATACATCGTTCAATTTTTTTAATGATTTTATTACAGCTGCAGATTGGCCAGTTGTGATAAACACATCCAGTATCCTGTCAATAGCGATACCAATTTGTCTCTTGGTAATTGCCTTAGGAGCTGGTCTAGCATACTTTGTAGTAAGACATAGACGGCTATCGAATAGTTTTACACTCTTTGCAAATAGTCATTATGATACAAGACGAGGTCAAGCTACTTTCCCGGGTACCACAGATGCTCTCGGTAAGATTTATATCTTGTAAAAGATGGACACTAAAATAAAATGATGACGTATTTTAATTTAATTTTTTTTATTTAGACGAAGAAGATAGTCCTGTGATCCGCGGTTTCTCGGATGATGAGCCATTGGTAATAGCGTAAATAATATTAATATACAAATAAATGAACATATTAATTAATTATTAATTATATATGAATAAGTGAGTATATGCAAAGACACTACATTATTATTAATTATTTCAATTATAGATAGAATTTGATCATCATTTAATCAGAATGATATTTGTTAATTAAATATGCATGATTGTTCAGCATTAAATAACGAAAACGATGACTATTGTGTGACTTTTCGTCAACCGTAATCATTGTAATCTATTTGAATATTTTTTACAAGTACATTTGTTTAAATTTTTTTAAGCCGAAAAGTCACACTTTAGTCAATTTTGTATATATTTCGAGTTTTCGCGATGCCAGCAGTCTATTATTTTTTAATTTTTATTTTTGTAATACTCTCCATTTATTGCCATAATTATCATGAAGATAAAAAAACAAAAAAAACTAATTACGAAAACTAATGTTTGTAATGCTAAATCCTTTTTTTATATGGAAATATAATTGTCAAAAATTTTTTACTTGTAATTACAAAATGATGAACCAAACCATATGAATATATAAAAAAAATTCGAGCTTGAAATTAAAAGGAAAATTACCGTCCGCAAATTTATTCAATTTTTTTGTTTTTTACTTTCAATTGATCAATAACTGATTATATTAATTATAAATATATACTTTCTTTAAAGACTGGAATCGTGCCAGAATAGGCAATAATGATTAGATTGAATAGTGAATTGTGTTTAAAGAAACCAATGGAAGCCTGCTCATAGATAGATTCGAATAACTGATGACAATACAAATCATTTTTATTGGCTTATTGGCAAATTCTTATAATTAAATAGTTTGTTTTACATTATCTCTTAGAATTATGTAGATAAAAATGTGAAATTGTTCAAAAATATTGTTATGTTTTAATTGAGGATTATCAATAAACACCAAGAGTATTGTAAAATTTCAACTTGAAATGAGAGAATGAGTAAAAGAGTGCGAGAAAGAGACAAGAGAAAAAGGCAGTCGGATATTCCTTATTTTTCCTTCGAGCGTTTCTTTACCAGGCGATAAGTATTATGGTTATTTAATTTGTATTTAAACGCCGAAGGATCTTGCCATTATTTTAGTTTCAATGTTGATTATCCACAGTTGTTTAATTCTATACATATAAATGTATTATAAGTTTTCATAGGCTTCCATAAAGATCCGACTGTTGTAAAAGTCTGAAGAAGGTAAAAAAACAGTATGAATGTAGAACAAACATCACTAATCATGGCAAGATAATAATAAATTGACAGTTAATAATTGATATAAGTGAGGAGAAAACGATTGTAGTCTTTATGTGTAAATCTTGCGGAGTATAAAGGTCACAGTGATATAATATATTTGCGTGTAAATAAATCGAATTAAAGCAAAACTAGTTATTTGATGTTATTCTTAAAATTACTCACTCTTCAATTGTTTATTTCTATTGTATAGCTTAAGTGCTTCAATCATTCATTAGTCCTTTAAAAGCTGTTGTTTGTAAGATATTTGAATATTCATGAGTCTCTTAGCATATTTATGAGTAACCCACCTGACAACAAAGAACATTGGTAGACGAAAACAATTAAAGTCGGTTGTCTTTTACTCTTCTTACATTTCTCCGAAACACATAAAGTAGATCACGAAAAAGTCACAAGCCTTTGCTAAATTACTGAAGAATGTGACATGGTCCAAAGGAAATACATAAATGTAAGGTTCGTACTTAACAATGGATTTCCGTTTAACTTCATAACCGTTATGTACTTCTATCCACGATGACATATCTCATTAATTTTCATTTTTGTTTCTCATACCTTTACGCTATTTACTTGTAAATATTATCTATTGTGTATTCGATAAAAATATATCTATTGAAGTTATTTATCGTGTAAATTACATTATATAGATTCTCAGTTATTTTTTATGGCAATGTTTGTGGTTTGTTTGAATATCCGATACGGGTTTCTGCATTAAAATATTACGAAAAAAATTGGCTTGAAAAGAATCAATAAATAAAACAAGGAATCCGTTAGCATTTCTTTTACAAGTGACAGTGATTGGGAAACCTATTCACTGAGCCATAAAATTTAATAGCTTTGCTACGTGATCTTAAATTACTTTTAAATATAAAAATCTCGGGCGTATGTGATTTTTATTTGGCTAAATTTCTTTTACTTTATTATGTTATTATTGTAAATTATTGTCCATAAAATGTTTGGGAAAGTGCTTAATCTATTTTATGTATTTGTAAATGTACCGTACAACTAATTGTAATGTTCGAGGCGAGAAGCTTGACGTAAGTCCTCCCGCGTGGATGATTTTGTAACTTAGTATGTTGCAGATAACACGGTTATGCCATAAATTGTTTTTGTTTTTCCTATTTTTCATTTGATGAATCAATAATGTAGTTTCTTGGTATTTGGAATTAGAACTATTATTAATTTTCTTCGCATAAAAAATCAGAAAATTTCTCATTGTTTCTCCGGAAAAATTTTCAATACGTGAGCTATAATAAACTGTAAGCTATAATTGGGTTAAAGGTGAAAAAAGAAAATGAGCACAAGCTGAATAAAATTTTCGTGGGTGACATCAGTTTCCACTTACTGCTCTCATTTGTGGTAACTATAAGTCAGAATAGTAGGGGGAATACACGTGGGAAAATGGTTTTGTTAGATGCGTTGGATACATTAATGACATGACAGCAGTGCGAGTAAACTGAGACCAGAACAAGTAAACCCACAGAAGGTAAAAAAAGAAAAAAAAAAACCGGAAATAGTGGAGGAGGAGGAGGATAAGGTGGTAGGAAGAATTGAGACTTGTGGTGTTCAAAGCATCTAACTCTAGGATAGTGTGAAGAAGGGATTAAACCCCCACTATTTAATATAAGAGCATCCAAGAGAGGTACAGGAACGCAAAGCTACATTGGGGGCGTTCTTCAAGATCTAGCTTCAGTGCAATTCAAGACATCTCCTTAACTTCGTACAATTAACTATTTTGGAGTTTAAAAAATTTCTTCTATTCATCAACTTGAGTTGTTAGTGTTTTTATTTTTTTTTTTTTATTAAAGTGATTTTTTATTTCTATCTTATTTAATTTTTTATTTGTTTTGTTTGGTTTATTGAATATACTTTATTAATTGTTTTTTTTTGTACAGAAAAAAAAATTGACAGTTAAAAGATCTGAAAAGAAGAGATAGTAATAAAGAATGTGAAACTTTTATTTTTTTGAAAAAAAATTCTATCACACGGACATAATGTTTTTGGAGCTGACAACAAAAACTTTACATTTATTACCAAGACTATTGATTACTTTGTAAAGAAAAAACAAGAAAAAAGAATTAGCTGAAGAAGTCAAGGAAAAAAAGAAACGTCAACTTAGTTCCTGCGAATGAATCTCAGCGAAGCAAGAAAATGATCGACATTAAGGAGACTATGAAAGTAAAGAGAGACTATTAGATAGCAGCGGAAATTCTTAATGATGCAAAACTAAAAGGTAAAATAAATAATAGTATTCATTTTAATTACTTCTATTTACTTGACATTAAACCTCTAAACTATTTGTTTATCTAACAGAAAGGAACACGATTTATTAAAAGTAGATGCATTCTAAAAATTGCTCGAGGGTAATAGAATACTATCAACATCCTTTCCAATAGTTTATACACGTGGGTGTATTCAGGATATACTATCGATGCAGCTGCAGGTGAGCTAAATTGAATCTTTTTTAATGCAGCGTTAGAGATATGATTTATATTTTATTTAAATAACGGTAGATCAATAAGCAAAACTAAAATATTTGCCAGCCACTACATTCAGATATCCTGTAATTATATACATTGAAGATACGGAACTTGAAACTCTCATGATTACCTTCTTTCACGCCATGGTCAACTTTTCGCATTTTTCTATGAATTTCTTATTCAACATTAGAGAAATAATTCTACTAGAGATATATACCTGTTCTTGTTCTTATCCGATTTCTTAGAATTATCTCGAGCAACATTTTATGCACAATTAACATATTGAAATGTTTAGGTATAAGTTTTAGCAAATAATGATCAGATAAACACTATTCTCACGTTTGATAAGAGGTTGTCATGTCACTATGTGTAACAATATAATCACAGTATGCTGTGATATCGAGCGAGGGTAGCATGCAAATTTAAAATAACACCGTGCACACGCGGCTTTGAGCTAAGTTGTAGCGGGATTTCTCGCTGATTTATTCATAACAGTCAATCACTCGATGACCATAGAAGAGCATGTCCAATTGGTTCAGTCTGCACGGTATATAATTACGTGTATTGGACGCTCATGAGACTTGAACGGTAATGCTTCCTTTGAAGACACTATCTAGAAACCCGTTAAAATTCCAACGATTATTTGACTAAAGCTTTTTCACGCCGGAAAATTCGTCAATTATATTTTCACGCTGATTTCATCCACCAAGTTGTCGGTATATAAACTTTTCTTCATTCGGCTATAAAAAATTTTATATCTTGAAAGTAGTGACAGAAAGGTGACAGGTAAATTGATGTCATCCGTTTAATGGAAAATGCCAATTCATGTTTTATACTCATTTAAAAGTATGCATTGCTCTAAATATGATTTTTATCCACACTTTTGAATCCATAAAAAGATCATTTACGATCACATAATGCATACTATGCTGTATATTTAAGTAGGTTGGATTTTATACTTCGACATAAAATAAGAATAATTAGGGGATGAGGAGCAAAAAAGTAAAACAAGTTCCGTTCTAGTTGGAGTACTAGTACTTGAGTATTATAAAAAGATAGTTAGAATTACAAAAATCAAGTTTTTTTCAAATGTATTCTTAGTACATCGTTAAGGAGGATGCGTAAAGGTATGATTTCGTCCAGAAAATTCCTGATTTCTCGAATAAGATAAGCAGCGCGAATTATGCAATGCACTCAAGAGAAAACGTGTATGAAACTTTTGCGTGTTTTACTTCATTTTGCTGTATAATTTTTTCATTTATTTTAAAATTGTTGTAATTTATGTAAAAACTTTCATTATCACTATTAAATATATACTTTACCAAGATGCTATATAAAATAAAGTTAGATAAATATTTATTTTGCTCTATAAACTTTCCGTAAAATTAATCGTTCATTAATATTGAATTATTTTTTAAAATAATTTTCTTATTTAACTTTACTTGTACAATATATGGAAATAAGGCGTAAGAATTATTATAAATCTCGAGGGAGTTCCGCTATGTCCCACATAATAGATTTATGATTTCACGTTGAAATTAAAAAAAAAGACAATAATGTTAAAAAAAACTTACTTATCAAGTGATAATGATTAATTGAAAAAATGGTTTGAGATACTTCTTCGTATTGTTTCAATTTCACTATGTTTTTGTTAGTTTTGTTTTTCTCTATTTGTTTTCAAAACAACTAGTGTTCTCATTGTGGGTAGCGTAAAAATGCGGTTACTCGTGAGGAATAACTCCCTCGATTCTATAGTAGATGTTGTGATCACAGGCAATTTAACATTCTCAAGAAATGTATCCTTGTGTACACCGGAGGTCAAGGGTTCATTAATCACGAGGATAAGGATTCGTGTTTTCAGTTAATTTATGATTTCAATACGTTTAATATTCATGCGAAATTTAATTACGGGTTTAGTATTCAAATCTTTCAGTAATTTGCAAATATCGAACGCAGGAAAAACCACGTGGTTCTGTATGATAGTTAATTCCATATCCAGAAGACATGGAACTAATGATATAACGGTAGTAAATCGTGATCGTCCTATGTTATTTATGGTAATAATTAAATTTTTATTTTATAAAAAGTTTTTGCAAAAATTAACTACCACATTGTGTGGGTTTATTTGGAATATAAATGAATCACATTCAAGTTAGCTTATTGTAATTATGATGATGACAGTTCTTAAAAGAATTTCAATACCAATAAACTTTCTAGAATGATCCAGAGTGTGTGTTGATAGCCTTAATTAATTTTATGCTATAATGGGACACTGTATGATTGAATTGATGCAAAAATAATTAAACCTTTTATTTTTGCAGTAGTTTCTAATAAAGGAGAAACTTTCACCATATTTTTATCAATAAATGCAAAACAGTTATTAAAGTATTTCTAGATGATCTTATGATTATTCAGGATCTTATTAAATATTCATCAGGTTATTTATTACTTTCGCACCATCTGCACAGTAATTAATCAAAAACTTTTCAATTAAATGGAAAAAATTGAAATATGTTTTGATTCAACTTATTAGATAAAAATAACCCATCATTGATTACAATATTGATGATCAAAGCCCTGAAAAGCTGACGTATCGATTAAATCAAGATTGATAAAGATACTGGTAATAGGGTTTAGATCTACTAGCTTCAATACCTTCAAGACTGGTTCAAGGACCCTTGTCAGATGTGTTGCTTGTACTTCCTGTCTCTTTGGATCTGACATATTGCTCGATGTGTTCTCCAAGCTCCGTTGAGCTCTTCGGCATGTTACTTAGCATACGTATAGATGAAGGTTATTCAACCCGTCCGTTGGCTCTCTTATATACCATCACTGGCCCCTTGGAATAACGGTTTGGGGATTACTCGGACCTCTTGTGTTCAGGAGAGGTGCGTGCAAGGAAGGTACATGCTGGACACTCGGTCAGCCGTGCACAGTCAGTCGAAACATCGTCCTCCGATTTACTTCAACTTCGATCACGCGTGTGCGGGCGTTTTCGTTTTTATTTTTCTCGTAAAGTTTGTTTGTTTTATTTTCTCGCGCGAATACAGGTTAATTGTTAGTGAAGTGCAAGCGTTTGTCCTTGGTTTTTCATAAATTGTAAGTTGATAACGACTATAATTAGGCTTAAATTAGATAAAATCAAAATTTTTACTTTAAATAATTTTCTTTGGGATTTAGAGCGGGCTTGAGCGTTATACGGAACGACGGTAATTATACGTTCCGTAATTTTAATGACACATCATTTTTAAATACTGTTTATGTAGAACTTTAATGTGATAACGATATCATGTGCATGTTTTAATTCACCCCGTCAATAATGAAGAATACTAAAATTCAGAATAATCAAGTATGAGTCAGTGCTTGCGATAATGTGAGAATCACCCAGGCGATTCTAAATGCTAAATCTCACGATCTAGAATCGCAGTGAACCTTTACATATTTTTTTTATTGCAATTTACCCGATTTATTATCATCTCAACTGCGTATACCTTCTTTGTCCTTTCTAAATCTCTCGTATATTGATGAGTTGTTATATTTAACATATATTTTTAGTTATTATGATTGCATTGAGTTATTTTTTGGTCATAAAAGTCAGATTGAAATTCAAAATTTGAATATAAATACAGATATCGTGAGAGAATTAAGGCGTGACGACGAGACGACACATGCAAAACGGAGCGTCGCAGCTCAGGAACGCCAGTACCGTTACTAGACATTTATTTTAAATAGACAAGAATAAATAGGAAAAATAAATAATTTAAAAGTGATATTAGAAACTCCATGATAATAATTGCATTACAAAAAATATTCTTTCCCGACATTTTTTTGTCAAAAAAAATAATTAATTAAATTTTATTGACTATTTAGTATTTAGTAATGAAAAATACAATATAAATATAAATGAAGGTTTACACTTAGAATAAAAAATTCCACAGACAATGGAAATTATGGTTTACAGGGATTGAATTATAATGAAGCATCAAATTATCAGATCTTTACTGACGTCAAAAAAAAATAATCAAACATTCATATCAGTTAGTGAAGTCAATGCCAAAGCTTTTTAAGGCTTCTAAAACTATTTCTTTTACATATCATATTTTATGCCATTCATACATTTTTTTTTTGTTAGATGTCAATATTATTCTATAATAATATTAATAATTTATATTCGACTATTTAATTAATTGTCTGCATTTATTTCAGTGTGAAAATGCAAGTGACAACGTGTGTGTTATTTTGGGTGCTGTGTGCAGTAACCCAGATTGATGCAAGGCCTCAAGAACTCGGTAAATATTTTGTTTTTAATATTTCTATTTACTTCCAATATACTCTGTTATTATATAAAAGCGATGATTATCATGTTGGATCAATTTCTTTTTTTTTATGTAACTTCCTTGAGGATATCATCAATGATCCTGAAATAATTTTCATTTATTAACGTTTGTTCTTAACCAGTTACTGGAAAAGTTGCATTTAGTATGATTAATCAATAACACAATTTATTGTATTATCGATTACAGTGTAATAATGCGTTGAAAATTACAAGTTTATTAATAAAAAAATGGTATTGCAGGGACATCGGAAGTGACCCGAGCTAATGTGGCAAAAGAAGAAGTTGGCGAAGCATGGAAAAATTTAACAGCAAAACCTGAAGAAGTTCGAAGCAGGTATACAACGTCATCCAGCGATTTGCGAATTCATGAGTTTTATAATCAATTTTATCCCAATCCTTATCCACAAAAGTTTATAAGCAACAATAGCTTTATAACATCTCCTCGACGCTCTCGTCTGCCAAATAATTGGATGGATATCCAGCCAAGTGTTAATACATTGAAAAATAATTCCCAGACTAAATATTCTATTTCCCCAACTTCCCAAAGTATTGATCAAAGTCGTCTTCTTCATCGTGTCAAATCGAACCATTCTAGTAATATTAATTTTCACACTCGATTAAATAGTGTTCAAAAAACAAAGGTTAAAAATTCGTTTCGCACAACTACAAAGCCTCCCGCCACAAAAAAACCTCAAGTGGTCAAAAAACCAAGCTTACCTGTAATTCGAGGAACTGTTGATTTACCAAAAGCAAAGCCAGTGAATTTATTGAAAATAAAAAAGGTTGGTAAAGTTAACAAAACAGTTTCCCATAAACCTTCGATAAAAAATACATTAAATCCAACAGCGCATTTGAAGAATTGGCCTAATAGTCCTATTGAAAGTGCTGAGGATTTGATGAACTATCAAAGTTATACTTCATATCAAGATGAGATCGAAAAAGAACCAGTCGTATCTTCAAAACCTAGACCCGAAAAACCAGTTTCTTCAAATTATGTTAAGGTGATTACACAAAATTTGGAGTCAGGTTCTTTTAATTCTAGTACTGTTCATCCAAATTTATTGATGCAACCTAATGTTCAAGAAATTATTAAATGGCTTCAAATTCCATCTCACACAACTTTATCTAGTGATAAACAAAAAATTGTTGTCCCAAAACCAACAACTGTTGTCCCTGATACTTTCTCATATGATTTCGATTCATCTTTTAATCCTAATAAACCGTTAACCGTTGACGATTATGAGAGTCTCAATGATTTTGTTCTTCCTGACATAACATCAACAGATATAAATCATCATTATATACCTTCGATGATTTATACAACTCCAGAATCCACAACTTTAATTAGCTCACCCTTAACTTTTGTCAATGAAGAGATTATTGATATTGCAAATGAAAAAAGGCCAGTCTTCAGGCCTATTTCTGAAGTTTCTCAAAATACTGTTGTTCATATAATTAACCCTCTATCTAAAAAACCAAATGTGACCATCAATAAAGGTCAAGAATCTGAAAAAAATAACACTAATGTGCCACCAAATGTCCACATAATGTTCGTCAATCGTAATGATACAAAATTTCCAGATAATTCTGATGATATCCCCACAGGTTCTGATTGTCCAATAATACAAATAAATTCAATTACTAAAGTTAATAATACTATTCAAAGTAAAGAAGGATGTACAGATCTTAATATAATTATTAACTCACAACTTCTTAATACGTTTGATATAGGATCAAATTTAGATGAAAATGGACAAGATAAATTTGCTGAAAATCAAGGAACAGTTTCTACTGTTATTTCTACTAATAATGATCCAACTACTTCTGGTAATAATCCTAGTACAAATATAAATCAAAATGATGGTAGTGATGTCACGAAAGATCCTGCAAGTATTGAAACTGGTATTAGTCAAGAGAATTTTTTTGAATATGATGGTACAGTAGAGGAAGATGTTGCTGATTCTCCAGAAAGTTCTGGTCCTTCTGGAATGACAAGTTCTTCTGAGCAAAACTTAATAAATGATTCTGCAGCCAGTGAAAGTAATAATCCTTCTGGTGCTTCCTCAGATGGTATTCCTATTTCTGGTGGGTCTGGAGAAACTGTAGGTCAATCGAGTGATGGAGTTGCAAGTTCTTCAGGATCGCTTCCAAGTCTTCCAGGACTTCCAAATTTGGGAAATCCTTTATCTAATGTTGGAGGTAGTGGTGGCAGTGGTGGTAGTACGGCTGCTGACGAAACTTCTATTGTCCCTGTTACAAATGAAGACGATGAAGATGATGATTATGATTTTAGTTTATCTGGTATTATGGATGGAATAGCTAACATTTTCACTTATCTAACCGTCTTAAATCCTGTAAATTATGGAATGTTTAGTCTGGCAGCGGCACCTTTTGCAGCATTGGCTGCAGGAGTTCTTGGTATTGCTGCTATATTTTTCCCTTGGGCTTTTACTCGCGGTTTTGGTTTTGCTCGTACTTATGATCAAGTTCATATGAAATATAGACCAAATATTGAACAAGTTGTTAAACAATCAATTCATCATTATCAAACATTTCCTGAATGGAAAAGTAGACGAAAGAAGTGTAGTAGGAGATGATTTTCATATAAATTAGTAGAATTTTATGTGTGCTGATACATAAGACATATCTATTTTATATTATTTATTTATTTATTTATTTATTATCCTTATGAATAGTATTGTAGTGTAAAAAAAAACTTGATTGTATTTTCACTATTTTTTTTACTTTAGATTTTAACATTTTAGGGCATTAATCAACGCATGATTTTTTGTATTACTAATAAAAAATTATAAATAATAATTATTGTCATTTTTTATGGTACTTTTTTGAAATATTATATTTAAATAAACGAAATTAATTAATAAATTGGTAAGTAAACATTTCTTATGTTTTTCCTGCTTTTTTACTTATTTTGAAACCTTATACTGTTAATAATTATTTAGCAAACTTACACTATATTATTAATAATTATAATGAAGCCATTAATTAACTTACTTTCTCCTGAATATTCTTTATTTCATAATTTTGTGATTAAACGTCTCTTAAATATACAAGTTCTTTAAAAGTGTATTTCTCTTTGATATCCTTATTAACATTAATTATTTATTATTACAGGAGTAATACATCAAATGAACGTGATATAAAAGGATTACAACAAATGGATCAGTCCTTAAGAACTGTCACAACTCAATTATTAAATGTTTCTACTTCTGACGAATCAACTACTTCAGAAGATAAAAAAATGGATGATATTGAATCTAAATTAAATTTATTAATTAAAAACCCCGATAGTTATATAAAAGATACTCATTCTAGCCGTGAAAATTCAAATAAAAAAACTAACGAAGTTCCTTCTAGTGTAACTTCAACTTATCGAAGGCCCGGAAATTCAAAATTTTCTGCATTTGAAATGAGTCATCCTGGTCAAGCAATGGCAATGACAGAAGAAGAACTTGAGCGAGAATTATTGAATTCTCGTATATCTATGAATAAAAATCCGACAACTCCTGGAGGTATTTCTACTTGGATTCTTTTGAATCCCCCTAGTACTACTTCAAGACCCACGGATGTCAAAAATCATATGAGTAAACCTACAGAAATCAAACCTACTTCAACTCCAATAAAATCAACTCCATCAACCATGAAAATTGAAACGACTTTGAAAGCTGATTTAAAAACTACTCATGCAACTATTTATCATAGTGCCAATAATTTTAAAAGTACTGTAAGTACTTTAAAAATGGAAAAATTAACAACAGTTGATTCATATACTACTCCTAAATTAACAGAATCTGTTGAGAATAAGTTTACTACGTCAGTTACAATGGATCCCACGACAACAACTAATAATGATATTAATAAAGGAGAAGCAGGAACAAAAACACCGAAATCCACAGTTTCTCCTATTCGAACTACACTGAGATCCACTTACACAACACCTAAATCAACTACTGTTGTCTCCAAAACCACGACTATGAAGGTCATACGACCAAATCAACTAAATAGACCTTCAAAACCTGTGAGAAAACCAACTACTAAGCCCGACGGAATAAAAAGTACTGTCAATGCTACTTCTAAAATTGAAAAAGTCACTTTTAAACCAATTCAAACAATCAGTCCAACCGAACCAGAGAAGCCAATGTTTATATCAAAAATTCAAGCATCTTTGAAAACTGAAACTGATCATGAAAATTCAATTAGCACATCCACATCTTCAACAGTAACAAACTCTAAGAAAGAAAATACTGGATTGAATAATACATCTTCAAACACTACTCAAGTGATAGGAAAAGGAAAACCTGTTAAAACAAGTGTCTTAAAAGTACAACTAAGGAAACCAGTTGACAGTCCGACTACGATTGAAATCGAGCCCATACAAGTGAATGCTCCAGTTTTAACGATTGAAAAAGTTGATGATATAAAGAAAGAAAGTAAAATCAATTCCCATTCTTTTGAATTTGATAATACTAAAATTGATGTTAAATTGGATTATAATCCTAAACTGACAAAAGTTGCTGAGACGTCAACAGAAACTTCTACTTCAACTATCACGACAACAACGAAGAGACCTAAACATACAAAAAGGAAAAAGAATAAAAATCGAAGACGCAAACCATCTTCAACAACTACTACTACGACACTTAATCCAATTTCCACTCTAGACTCATTGATTTTTTCAGATACAGAAAATCGTGAAGTACCAATGACTGGAACTGAAGTTACTGATACATCAATTCAAGAATCAAAAATAGTTTCAGAGACGAATAAACCTTCAAATAGCACGAAGAATAAGAAGAAACAGCCAACTTCAAATCAATTTGGTACTCAGATATATAATTTCTTTAGCAGAGAAGTCATGCCTAGTGTTGGAGTTATGTCTCTAGTTGGATTAGGTCTTGGCCTAGCTTCGTATTTCCTCTATCCATTTGGAGGAGCAATTGCGAGAAGAAATTACGAAGTAGAACCTAATTACAAGTATAATATGAATGAATATGGTGGTAATTATGGTCAAAGCGAAGAGGAAGTACTGTCTAAAGTCTTCCAAGGCATGAATACTGATAGTAAATATGGAGGAATGAAAGATTATGGGAAGAATTATTACAGATACCAAATTGTTGATGGAGCTTATAACGATAATTCTTATACAACAAGAAAAAATGTTCCTCCAGGATATCTAACATCTTCTGTACCAGTCTATAAACCTCATAATACTCCCAGTTATTATAATGCCTATCATAGAAATACCGATTTCAAATTATATCCAGATTTATCGACAACACCTAATTATTATGATAGACAAACTAAGACACATTTAATTAATAGTCCTATTAATAATGATCGTCAATTTGTTATTGGAAATATACCTCCAGAGTATTCTTATGAAATAAATAGTAAGAGTGAACCAAAAAATAATCACCATAATGAAAATAAAAATATTAAAAATGAAAGTACTGGCAATAATGATAATAACAATAATCAGAATATAAAATTGGACATAACTACTCCATTAACAACGACAGAAAGCGTTCAGTCAGATTTCGAAAAACAAATTGCTCAGAATTTACAGTTTGTTAAAAATCCGTTGAATATTCCTTCTACTTTTCCACAAACAGAAGCTATGGCTCTGAAGGCAAATGAAGCATATGAAGAGATTGAAATTACTCCGACTGCTGTAGCTGTTGAACATGGACCAAGATCATTAAAATTAGAAAGGCTTGAAGATAATAAAGATGTAAAAATTCGAAGAAAAAGAGATTCAGTGATTCAACAAATACCTACTAGGAGAGAAATACAGAATGAAGAACATGAAGAAGATTTAAGTAATGAAATTTTGGATATTATCGATTCAGCTATATCTACTGAATTTCCAATGATGTTTGGAAGTGATGACAAGTATGACTTAATATTGGATAAAAAAGTAACAAAGAAACAAAATGAAATAGAGAATGAAGTTATTAATAAAACGCCACATGAGAAGAAACCAACTCTAATGGATGTAATTACTACTCCTAAAACAGAAGAAAAGAATGTTGACGATGAGAAAAAAAATGTAAGTGGTGAAAATGAACATTCTATATCACCAACAACAATTTTATTTAATTCTGAATCCAATTCCACAACTCCGATTACTACACTTTCTTCTTCTGGGACAAAGGATGTTAATTTATTGCAATTAAATGATACTCTTGAATTAGGAGAAAAAGATTTCAATGTCACGAAAATAAGCATAACAACGCCTAAACCTACACAAGAGAAATTTAATTTGTTTAGTTTTGTTAAAACGTTAGCTGAAGTTAAATTGAGGCTTGGAATAACTTTATTAAAACATGCGAGTGAAAACTTTGCTAAATATCTTGGAAATATTCAGAAAAAATTAAATGGGGAATAATAATGTTTTCTTTTTTACGATGACTGATTTTTATCACGAGTTAAGTTTGTATTGCACGAATTGCCAATTTTAAGTCCTATCCTACTTTCATAATACCTTCTTTTCGAAATTTTTAAGAAATAATTAAAAATAATAATATACAATGTTCATTTATTTTTTGAAAATTTCGATAGGATTCGTTTGGTTTATATTGTTTAAGAATACTTATAACGAGATTAATTAGCTTGTTTGTTCATTATTTTAATAAAATAATGGTCAATTGAATAATTTATTGTAAAATATCATATATTTTATATATAAATATTCATCTGTAATATTAAAAAATGCTTATTTGTGTATTTTGTAAATAAAATAATAAATTACAACAATGTATTTTTTAAATCGAAAATAATTTCTTTTTATTCTTGAAAAATGTTATAAAAAATGCAAAAATATTACAACATATAAATCTTTGTGTTTATAATAAATAATTTAAATAACAACGATAATAAATAATCAATAATAAAAACAAATAACTGTGACTCGTATAAAAATTTAAAAAGCTACAATCGAGTCTTTAATATAACTAATATAATTATATAAATAATAAAAAATTATTATATAATCGACTGAACCCGAAAAATTCTTCCAAAAATGATAAAATTTATTCTCGACGTTTATAAAAAAACTCTGTGAATTTCATTTGGTCTAGAGAACGTTTCTTTCGACCTAACATAATAGGAATCATCATGGCCATGGTAGCAGGTAACATTCCAGCACTAACAGCAGCCAAAACCGCTGAATTCGATGGTCTAGCACCGACACCACGTGTCACAGGTCTTTTCTTAATTACTGAAGCAAAATTACTACCAATCAATGAATTACTTCCTAGTAATGCATTACTCCCTAGTAATGTACTACTACTAGTACTTGTAGCTTCAGCTAATAATTTTGCAGCTTCATATTCCCTTCGGCTTTCTTCGACAGTCTTGAACGTTTTCTCGACCTCAAGTAGTCCTCCATGGGATGTCGTAGTGTTTGTACCATTTATGGAAGGCAGGACAGTCAATCTTACCTAAGTTTTATTAAATTTCACGTTGAATTGGGATAAGATGGGCTGAAGACCAGGTTTTTTTACTTGGACCTCGTGATGGCAATCATTCATACAAAATAAGCGAGAAAGGAGTAAAGAAAAGAAGAAGTTAAATTCTGCTGTTATTTAAATCCGACCAACCTGTCGTTTAGATGATACCACTTCGACAGCAGGATCAGGTCTTTCACCCCTGGGCAATTTACTCACGGTCCCGTTCCCATGATACGTCGTATCTCCATTCGAATTATATTTCAGAGATCTTTGGCGTGAGTAGCCACGATTGGTTGATAAAAGTACCCATTGACCATCACCACTAGATGGGTGAGATGGTGGATACCGATTTTCATATTCGTATTGTCCTGAAAAATGTGGTCGGTTGGGTCGTGAGAAAGTTGGCTTTTCGTAGCTATCATATTTGTGTGGATAGTTTGATCCTGGCCAGTTATTATTAGCTTCTTCGTACGATTCTGTATCGTATCTGTCGTTGAAAGACGAGTAAGTTGGTCTTGTTACTTGATCGTACTTGTCCCAGTCGCTTACTGGAAAGTTAGATGGTCTGTCATCGGTTATAATGATATCACTATGAGGTCGATGAGCATTTGCAAAATCGTCCCATGGTGAACTTGGTTTTTCTGGGGGCCATTTCTGTGCCTGGCCTGGATTTGAGTCGTAATAATTGTTTGGGTAAGACGGTCGCGTTGATGGTCTTAGTTTCTCAGATTGAAAATCTGACAAATGTGGTTTTTGTTTGTCGTACCTAAAAGAATAAATTTAAATAAATTATTTTCCCAAATAGATTAAAAAATATGAGTGAAAGAACGATTATTACCATGATTTATTATTATCAAAAGGTGGTCTAGAAGAATAATCTGATGTCCAAGGTTTAGAATTACTCAATTTATTATCCCATTTATTATCACTCCATGGTCGTTGTGAATTGGGATTTGCTTGCCATTTAGATATTTTACTTTTGGACCATGGAATAGCTTCCAGTGTAACCCATCCATTTCGATTATCATTATGATTTTGATTGTGAAATTTATTTCTTTTTATTGTATCATTTAATTGCTATTAAAAGTGTAAAATAACAATTATTTACAAGATTTGAATATCATCATCCTATAAAATTGAATCGTATTGAAATACCTCAAGTGATATTGTAGATCCATTAATTGTTATGAAATCTTCAGTAGAAGTCGAAATTTCAGAGCTACTAGCATCAACATCAGAAGCAGTTATAGATGATTCTTTGGTTGTTTCATAGGAATAAGGAAATTCATTTGGATCGGTCGTACTTCTTATTTTATTAGCATATTCTCCAAGAAACTTGTTCAACACGTTTGGATCGAACGTAGAAGCTTCAATAAACGAGTTTCGCCGCTGTTGATTCGCTTTCAGTATTTCTCGAATCACAGATGCATCATCAACATTATGAAAGGCTCGAACTTTATCATCCTGAATATTCCTGGTTTTATTTATTATTTCTGATGATGGAATTTGTGTTTCTTTGGTGTTTAACTTGACAAAGTATTTTGTATCGGCGTTAGATTCTTTTAAGACCAAGATTATCATAAATAAAATAATCATTATTGGACTTTTCCACGCCATCTAAGTAAAAAAAAATACAAATTCAATTTTTTCAAAACTTTTGGTATAAAACTGTTAACTTAGATCTCTATGCAAATCACAAAGCACTGACCGTTAATGAATATTGAAGCTCCAACTTTCGCGTACGTTGTTCAACTCAAGTACGCGAAGATTACATAAACAATAAACTTCCTTAGCGCATACACTTGTTCTTGATCTTGTCTTATTACTGCAGCAGTGACCTTAACTGTTCAAGGTTTGAGATTACTCTGGGTCTGGGTCTATGTCCTCGTTTGCTTTTAATCCAAATCCCCACTTCGTTGCACAAGTGGTCCATTTTCTATCTTGCTTTCTCATACCTAGTGATTGTGTCTCCGTTAAATCTAATAATCAAGAGAGCGCACACTCACTCTTTCATTTATTTCTGCATTCTCTCCTTCTAATATTGTGCTATTGTTTTATCTTGCGATTATTCATCTTTACGCCTCAATAGCTGACCTTTTGGCTCAAGAGAATGGACGAAACACGTGATGAGAAACTATAAAAATCATACTGATTTTTTTCATTTTTTTATCGCCAGTATAATTTTCAGTATAAAGAAAAATAATAATAGTTAAAATTTTATTAGTTTTAAGAATATTTTTGTTCAATTTTATTTGACATACAATAATGTTGAATCGTCATCGTCATGGTCTAATTATTGTAATGGCAGCTGGATATCGTATAGAATCTGCTGTCAGAGATATTTACGAGAGTCATTTATGAGACAACTCTCTTAAAAATTTTTTGCTTTATCATATTACTCTCTGACATGGAGTCTTCATTAAAAATAAATGTTTCATATTTTAAGCAATGCCCATCACAAATACTCCCAATAGACTCTTCTATTATATTATGTGGCCGAAACCACTTTGTCATGGTTAAGAAATAATTTGAACCTTTAAACCGGATAATGATGACATTACTATAAACCAGAAGAGTGATTTGTAATTTAGAAAAACATCCTATCACGTTTATTTATTTTCTCTCTTAGATGTATCTATGAAGCAGACCAATTTCCCTTGCAACATATAAAGTTTAAATATTACTTTTCACTATGTGACATTTTCAATTACTTGTTTTTCTTTTTCTATGTGCTTAAGCAAGTAGGACATATTTATAGAAGAGAAAGAAGAAAAAGTGAAATCCAAGAAGATCCAAAGAAACACTTTAAGTACGCACTTTGAACTCGCTTTCTGTACTAAACGTGCGTATCCAATTTACACCTTTGTTACATCCGGGAAAGTTGTGAATGCTCATTAGTAGGGCAGATCTTGATATTAATCAATTATATTCATCTAAGCCATTGCCAAAGATAAGAATTGCAATCACAAAGTTGATCATTTAACAATAAGTGTAAGTTCTCTATGAGTCGTGACTTTTTCTTTGCCATATAAATCATTTTTATCTTCTTCTTACAACTGGTCGAGAAACTGGATTAATCATGATGATCCTTGATTCCTTTGTTTTCTGCAATAAAAATATAGAGTTTTTATTGTTAGAGAAACTTGGATACTAATAAAATTGAAGGTTAAAAAATGCATTTAAAAAAAGGTATTTTATGAGTAACAATTTTCGATACTTTTTCAATAGTTTGTTTCCGTGCTAAGTGCATCATTGAAGCAATTCTTGAGTGCACGATCTGGCCTACTCAACCCTAGGAATTAGGTCACACCACCGTGATTACTACAAAAAGCGCGTTTGCGGTGCCAATGCTACTTTCATTGTCGGCTAGTCTACTTACTTTATTAATGCGAATGCTAGAGGAAAACGATTCTTCTTTATTCACGTAAGAGAAATACAAATCTCTTGCTTGACCAGTCGATGATGAGTGAAGGAAAAAAAATAAGTAAAACAAATAAAAGTTAACAAAGTAAAAGATATAACAATAAGGAAAAACTTTCTAGCGAAATTTTGCTGACTTGACCTGGTTTTAGGTGTTTCATGACCAGTTATTCTGTTTTTCATTATTTTTAAATTATTTTACAGAAAATTATTTCTTAAACATCATGATTAACAAACAAAGAAACAATGTGAGACCTTTTTTTGGTGTTAAGTTATGTTAGCATGATGCAGCAACAAATTTTGAACTACTCGAACTAAATGTTAAAAGAAGACACATTTACGCTCAGACGAACGTTTTTCATGTTAAACAACTAGAGTGGACAACGATTAAGATGCATTATGATATTTGATGTGCTTCACGCTTTTTAGAAACTTGTACTTCATGAGGAATAAAGTGGAGAGAAGGTACAAGACCCGGTTTAGTTCTTGAGTTTACTTAACAATAGAAACATGCTTTTTTTGTCTCTCGTTAGTCTTATAAATTATTGTTAATGGCTCAGTTGTACTTTTTACTCATCTCTATATTATTTATTACATTGTTCACTGAGTGAAAAAACATTATATCTGGATAAAACTGTAAAAAATTAATATATCAAGATGCAGCATATTCTATTATTGAATATATTTACCATAATTTTATTTATACTTATTCGTAGTGTTGTGTGTAATGAAAATGCCTCAGTTTCAACTTCAGAATTTTTGAATTTGAGAGAAGTGCCAGACAACGAAATGTCGAATGTTCAAAGTATTTCATTTCCTAGTAACAATGATACTCAATCGACTGCCTTGAATAATACTCCAAGGAATAAATTTAAAAGTTCTCCGCAAGTTCATGAGACTAATTTTAAACCAAGTATTCATTTAGGTGAAATAAAAAATCCATGTGATCATCAAGTAAGAAAAGCTCAGCCCACTCCATTTAATCATGTGTCACATGTTCAGTTTGATAATTCAGTCAACGTTGAGCCTGATAAAGGAACAGTAGTGCTTCATCCTCAGCCATCAACATCAAATCCAGTAAAATTCTATTCAGATACTGACAGTCGATATGTAGCTTCAACAGCAGTTGAGCATCAAGATTCACACAATCCTTACCATCATGGTTACCAAGAAGGTTACATATCTATCGACACTGCTCCTCAGGTTACTCACACTTCTTCTTATCAGGCTCCACAGCCTGCTTCAATTCATTATGAAGTTGAACAATCACATCCGCATCAACATCAGCACCAACATCATTATGCTGAATCTCCTGTTTTACAAAATGTGTATACAAAACCCGTAAAATATGAACCTGCTGAACCAGTTCATTATCACTACGGTTACGCTTCACCTGCAGCACATGAAGATGTTGGAAATTATCATGAATCTCCTACGTCTTCTTTTCAATCTTACTATCTTCATCCAAGTCATCACGAAACTCCTCAGTTTTACAATGGTGAATTATTTAATCATAAGCCAGGAACTGTAGTTTATGTAACTTCTCATCGTCAAACATCAATAACAAAAACTCGAAAATTTCCTCACAAATTTTATCAACCCTTAGGTGACACTGGATTCCATACGGTGGAACAAGAACACGCTTTCCCACTGCAACCCAAACCGTAAGTGATACCAATAACTTTTTTATGACAGTCAGTATTCCGCCTGAGGATTATATATGAATTTATGACGATTAATAATGTCTTTTTAATATCATATATTGTAGGGTTTCACCATGGCATAAAATACTCCATCTTATTGGGGCATTTCTACCACTTGGACTTCTTATAGCTGCACTCAAGCCACCCATCATCAAAATTGATGGCAATAATACGTAAGGCAAATTCACAATTATAATACTTTTATGTTATTTCTTGTTTCCTTTAAAGACAAGTTTAAATCACTGTCATCATTTTTTTTGACTGTTTCTTATTATCAGAAAACCAGATATCGTATTATCGAAATTTAGGCCCATTAATCTTCCACTTGAGCACAGATCTCTTGAAGAAAGTGAAGAAAAGACTTGTGAAAACAAGTCGATTTGTGAATTAATTCTTCAGGGAGCAGATGAGAATGCGGATTTTGCTCACAAACTTCTTTGGAATTTCTCCATCCGGTATATAATATGCTTTATTTAAATTTTTAAATACTTTACTTTTAATTATTTAATTAATTAATCATGTTTTTTTTTCAATTTATGCAGATGGACTGAAGAAGAAGCAAGACGAAATGGTTTAGAAGATCTTTTTAAAGCTGTAAAAAAGAAAAACTGTAGCGCTATAACATGTTAATTAAGAAAAAATCGTAGAATACTTGGATATATATTATTATTGACAGTGAATTTCACTTTAAAGAGTCTCCGAATGTGGATTTTGTAAATGAAATTTTCTAACTGCATATGGGGATTAGATAGGCACTATGTGAAAGTAATGTAGTAAAAAGCGATAACATATTACATTCACCAAAAGTGTGAGACAAATGAGATAAACCCTTTTTATATCTCTTTTTTCATTACTTTTGCCTTTTTCTCTGTCTGTTTTTCCATCCGTGGGGTCTTGGCTTATGCGCCAGTGAAAGTAGTCGAAGTGGGTCAAACTTGTGTGCCAGTGTGGCCTGAGAATTCGTTCTCACTATCCAGACGACGAACTCGATAATCTCGCATGTGACCTCACGAAGAATAAGGGACCGGAAGCCAGGTCATACATACTAGAAATTTCACACTTAATATTTTTAATCATTTGCATGACTCGATTAATTTATAATTATCTACTAATGCACTTCAATATACCATCATTAAATAATGCCCACACATTAATATCTCATTAAAGACACACAAGATGATATTTTCACTTTTGTATTAAAATATTAAGCTGTTTTCTTTCCTTCCAAGAGATAATCTTTTAAATTATTTTGTAGACTGTATTGTTTATACAAACACTTAAACATGATTAGTCACACGGTATAGAAAGTCTTGTAGAAGATTGGAAATCCGAGCAATATAAGTCCCACTTTAGTGAAAAATTTCATGTTATCTGACCACGAAACCGGTCCATGCGATTAGTCGACAGTAGAAAATTCTTGACGAGTTTTCATCCCACTTATTTTCACCAACATTTCATCAACATTTTGCACTATTCCATTTAAGGAAAAGAATTTTTATTTAAATTATTTTTAATACCATAAGCTATCATTAAATTCTTTTTCTATTAATTCACAGTATCTTATTATATAAATATTAGTTTTATATTTATTTAGACATTTATTTGTATCAATTGAAAAAAAGAATTACATTTTTTTACCTGTACGTTTAGAAGTAGTGACGCCTATTTCATAATTTATTAAGCTTTCTTTTAACTTTGCATTTTTGTGCTAATTGCCGCCAATTTTAGAATCTTGGCAGACTTCTGTTTTTTTACGAATAAGGTTGAAAATAGAATTTCATGAGTTTAGAAATCAATTGAAGCAATATTGTAAATATACTGGCCAAAACAACTGATAATTGTTTAATATGTCAAGGAAAACATTAGACTTCTTGAGAATTAAACAATGAAGATAGAAAACCAACTAGTCCTTGACGATCCAATGGAGACAATAGAGTACATGTGGTTAATGTTGTAATATAAATATGTACATTTGTTGGATACATTCCATGTATCGATTACATTTAAACTTTAAAGGACATCTTCACATTCCTTTTATTTAATATATGATGCTTTTTTGATATTTGAATAAATGCCATTAAACGATCTATTCTTCAAACTCAATTGTTCTGTAGAAAAACTTACTATTAATAATAAATCATTTTTTCAAATGTTCAAATAAATAATTGAATTATTGTAGAAATGAATAAAATAAGAATGAAATGTATCTCTTGATTTCATTCTTTCAGGTTGTTAACATTCACCCACTGACTTGATTCATTCATAAGAATTCAGTTTTCTTTCATTAAAAAAAATCGCTCCATCATTTTTTTTATTTCTCTTTAATCTTTTCAAGTGTTCATTAATTATGTAGAAAAAAACTCTGTATGTCGTCATACTATAATAATCAAAAAAAAAAATTAAAAGAAACTGTGTACGAGTTTTCGTTTCTAATGTATCAATAAATATTTTGCATAATTGAATTTTATGTGTTACTCATCAAATTAAAGTCTATACGTGACTAATCGATTCATTTTAAGAGTACTCAGAGGTCTTTATGAAGACTATGTCCATCTCATCATATGAACTTTCACTGGAGGTCTCTGAACTCTTCATCTGAGAGTACGAATATGTTGGTTGCGTGAGAATCTCGAGCTTGTCGACAGGTGTGTGTTCGCACGCGTTTGTAAACTTCAAATCTGATGGAAACAACCGCCCAAATAGTAATCACTCATGAGATAAATAAAGTAAGATAGATTATAAAGCAAAGATGAACTTATCTTGTTGAGAGGTTAATTAGTAGACGAATTAGTCTTGAACTTTCCCATAAATCAGATCAGTGAAATCGCACGTTTCATTTGGCACTTATTTCTTCTTGCATATTCATTTATTATACTCTCAAAAATCTATTTATCCTTGTTTTTGTATTCATCACAAGAAATATAAAAAATTGAGAAATCAATTGCTGTTCAAATAATGAGATAAACTTTATGATTCAAGTTAAAATGAATGAAAAATAAACATAACGACAATAACCTATGACAAACTAATGGTAGGAATCTGACGTCATCCCAATGAACATGTCTTGAACAAATTCTACCGGTATAGCAGCTTAAATAAGTAGAACATAATTGTTTGATTTATATAACCGTATTTTCATTTTGTAAGAATTTTAATCCAATGAAAATTTTTCCCATTCAAGTGGAATGGATAAATTGTCGGATATATATATGCTGTTAATCCGGCGACACATCAAAGAAGAGAGTCAACAACGGAAGGTATCAGTTGCTTGACTTCAGACAACACGCAAAGAGGCAAGAGTAAGTGGGTCAGTGAGAACCTTCACAGTGCGATAGAGGAGTTAACAGACCCGGTTGCCGTCAGTCTCGTGAGGATTGTCCGGGAGTCAACAGGTGCCAGACAATTCGAAGATTGTGTACGTAGGATACGTACCATCAATACAACTGATTGTCGAGTTAAAGTGCTTACATTATCATTTTGGACGAATCGTGCCATGATTTATCATTTTTAATTTAACGAAAAAAATTTGCAAGATTAATTTTTTTATTATCATCTTATAATTCATCAAAATGAAATTTCAGGTAATTATTTTTACATTCACATTTTTTCAAAATATTCAATTAATTTATATTAATATAGATCAATGACAATTATACTTAATGACACTATGCAAAAAATTAGGAGTGTCTTAATTAAGAAGTATAATCAATGTTCATTTTGCATTTTATGTAGAGCGGAAATCCAATGAACATGTATGCTTGTGGGTGGAAACGTTACGGTTCCAGGATATATAATAACATTTTACTGTCAGTTTCCTGTGTTTTTCAATTTGCTGTTTGTCATTTATACCATTCAGTATCAACTTTATGATTTTTTAAATGTTGATAAAAAATAATAGAATAATGCCCATAAAAGTTTTACATTCAGAACTAAAAATACAATGACAACAATAGAAAGTAGACAGTTAATGAATAATCTGATGTAATTTTCTCAATATAATCGTGATAAATGTAAATAAATTGATAATAGATAAAAAAAAAGTCCAGAAATTAGATTACCATTTTAAATAAGCTATTAAATTTCTCTTAATCTGGGCTGTCGGATGAGTTGGTTATTTTTCCTTTGAACTTATTGCAGCATATTTGAGTTTAATAGTAATAATTATCATTTAGCTTTGAATATATTAGCAATTTTCACATCTTTTTTAATAGACATTTATTATTATATCTTAATAGTAATACCATTTCTCTTACCTTATTTTAATTTGTCTAGAGTACGTGTTCGTAGAAAATCATTAGGTGAACTTTCCCATAAGAACCGATTTTAAATGCTAAATAACTGATTGACATGATTGGTTTATATGTTTACCGACATGGTTTGAGAATGTCAGAGAAAGATATCACAACCGCATGTATATGCATTACTAATAATTATATTCTTTGAAAGCTGTTTTATCACTAATGCTATTCACACTTCCTTAAATGGCATAATGATAATATTTATCATAATAACTATTGTATTTTTCAGATCTTTTTCCTTGCTATAGTGGGGATGATTGAAGTCATCACATCACAACTGCCAAAGCCAAGCTATGCCAGGACAATGCTAAAAGTATCTAGAAGTTTACCAGGAGAAACGGAAGAGCTCGAAGTCCGTACGTCAACTGGTAATGTCACTACATTAATCGTAAAACGTCGAGAAAAATCTGGGACGTTAGACCGGACCAATCCTACGAGTAAAGACGATCTTGCATTATTGCCACGTGCCTCATATGTCTCTTCTAACTCTGAAAATGTTACTAATGTAAATGAGACGAAGAATACAGAGAAAGTTAGCGAGAACCAGCCAACATTCTTCAAACTTGAGACTCAGACCTCCCAGAATAGTGACAGGAAGATGGATTACGGAAGCTGGACCCCCTTAGATGTTCTCGGCAGAACATTAAATGTCGCAGAATCTACAACTGAGCACTATCTGAACTGGAAACCTCTACCAGCTGATAGACAAATCGGACACTCTGAAGAGCATCAATCGAGGCACAATTTGGTTTTAATCTCAAACTTTCAAAATAGAAGGAAGAAAGGTTTGGATATAAATCCAGATGAATCAGAAGATAGATTAGCTCCAATTGCTCATCAAGCAAAACCTAGAACAAGAACTAATATTGGGGCAAATCTATCGAAAAATCGTGGAGGAAAAAATGTGCCATCAGAAGTCACTGTTAGATCAGAAATCAATGTAAAACATATAGATAAGAGAATGCCTATGGCAATTGATTCTGATGGTATTCCAGTCATTCACGGTCAAAGAGTTCCTGATGAACCTATTGACAAGATTCAGACATGGAGAAATGCTAGAGTTATAAATAATAAGCTTGTAGTTGATAATACAAACGACAATGTACCAACATTAACTTCCTCTTCCGCAAATAGTAAAGCTGAGAGTCATAAGTTTGAAAGGTTTTTCCATGATGTCAATCGCAGGTAGGATAATAATATAAATAAATAAATAAATAACTGTCAACAATATGAACGTCATTTCATTGTTAAGTAAATAAAAATTATTTTATTTATTTTTAAAACATGTATGCTCAATGTTAAATAAATATTAAGACTGTAAATATAAAAATCACTTTCCCAAAAATCCTGTTAATGTATGCATTTTACAAATATTATTATTAAAAATAAAGATAAAAAAAATTTTGATATAATTACTGTGATGCTGTTAATAAAAATAATTTTAATTATTTTCCTTTAAACTGAAATGCAAATAAATCAATAAGCTGATTTGTAATTCTGATAATTTTATGTTTTATAATAATTTGGATAACAATGAAGTGACGATCATTGCGTTGAATGAATGAATGCTATGTGTACAAGGACAGACAGACAGACGTGAAACGTTCTTCCGAACAGCACGAGCTACCAGGCGTTAACTCCGGAACTCTGGCTTCGCAGGTACGGCCGCAATTTTGATGAAGATCAACAACGCAATGTCTACTTCGAATGGGATCCAAAGAGTTATCGAAATTCAGCATTGAAAGCTGACGTCTACGAAACAAGGAATGAAAACTATCGTTCTAATATTCAGAAACGTATGCTTCATCCAGAGGGAACACAAACGTATCCAATATCTCAGATGTATACTCCAGAAAGTCAAAAAATTGCTCCATTAGCTTTGAAACCAGGAGCACGAGCTCCAGTTTTACAATACGCTCATCCAGAGCTTGGTGTTCAACCGGCTAAAATTGTGAAAAATGAAAAAAGACGTCCAGACAATTTTCCAGAGAATCAAAATTCTTTTACTGAACAGAGACATAAGAAAAAATATGTTCTGAATGATAAAACTATTGTTGATACTTACAATACAAAAAATTATTATCCAAATCATCAGTTCTATGGTTTGAAATTGCATTCGGCAGAACCTCCATTTTGGATAAAAATATCAGAAAAATTAAAAAATCAATTTTCTACAGGTGTAGAAAAAGTATCTCAATTAACAAAGCCAGTGATTGATCCATTAGTTGAAGCAACTCAAAAAATTTCTCAAAATTTAGGTCTTTCAAGAAATCAAGAAGCTCAAAACAAAATAGGTACTGTGGCTTCAGGATCTTCAATTCTCATTCCTGCTTTAGGACTTGTTGCTTCTGGCGCTGCTCTTGGAATTGGTGCTGTTGCAGTTGGAAGGTATCTAGACGTTGACGTGTTGAAAAGATCTAATGAAAATGATGAAGAACCTGAGAATCAAAGAAGTCTTTTACTTCCATCTGAAGGAATAGGGTCAGATAAAATAGAAAATATTTACTATCCAGAGATTGATAGTTCAAAAAGTGATCAATTAAATACACGAGAAAATGACGGAGGGTATTTTGTTAATGTAAATGAAAATCCCTACCATCAAGAAAAGGAACAGAAATCGATGTCAAGAAGTAGAAGAAATTTAGATAGTGTCCTTCAAGAAAATCAAAACAATGAACAACTCATGAATCAAAGACTTCGAAGAACTGGACCAGATTCTATTATGGATATAATTGAAATCGATGGACCAATTGATGAAAATATGAGGAATGGATTTTTGGTAATAGATGAAGAAAATAATAAAATAGAACCAAATAAAAAAACTCAAAGGCATCGAAGGAGTTTAGACCACAGTGATTTGAGTGAAGATACGTTTCAGGATTTAGAATATATGAAACTTCCAGAATTTAAAAATGTGAATGGCGATTGGACACATACTTCATGTGCTAAAAAAATGTTTTGTAATGCAATGCTGGAACGTGGTTTAGATTCTTACTCGGTCATGGAGAAGAAAATGAACTTATATTCAAAAAAGTAAGTAACTTCTTGATACATTGAATGTGTTAATTTTGCTTGACAGATAGAAAAACTTAATTTACGTTTATCTCTATTAACATGATTGATGATAAAACTTATTTGAGAATCATTGAAGAAATTTTCATATCATGATATAGTCGATTATAGAGTTATATCAATGTTTAGTAATAATATCATACTTATGTTGAATAAATAATTAATTCTTAATAACTTATGCCATAAAACATATCATGATCTAATTTGAACATGTGCGTTGTCTGTGCATAGAGTATAACTTTCTTCTCTGGCTTTCGCTCATACGTATCAACGGCCCACAACTTTATTCAACTTTTACCTCTTAACATAGTTTCACAGCCGTCATATTTGTCAATTGATTCGTAGAGTTGACAAACTCATTTTATGACATGCTAATGAATGTTTTTGTTTTTTTTTTTAAAAAAATTATAAGATTTATGAGTAACATCATCAACATGTAATAAAATCATTTTATTGGTGACATCAATTAATAGTTATGGTCGACATATTTTGATTATAATTTGTACGCACAATTGCTGTAAATAACTATACTTGCCGACACTCTTTCAACGCTTTCTAAACTGTTCTAAACTCTTTGTAATCATTCGATTCACTCTGTTATTTTGCAGGATAACACAGCCTGGGGCAGCGCAGCAGGTGTTCAATCACTTCCAGGAGGTCATGGAGGCCGTGAGGAGGCACGACTGTTCGAGATTCTCATGCCCAACGGCAAAACCCGGAAATTATTTTTAGTATCTTTGAAAAAAATTAACAATAATTATTAAAAATTTATTTATAAACAAATTTAGAATGTTTTTTATAATAATATATAAATTAACTGCTTCAGAAAGAAAGCATTTCGAACAAATTATGGAAGACTTTAAAAAATAGATTCTAGAAAAAAGGGGAACACGGGGAAAGCCTGATGAAAATTCGTTGGTATTTTTTAATTTATATAATTATATATAAACGTTCATTAAGACTGTAAAAATGAAGCCTAGTAATTATATTATTTATAATACTCTTAAATAAAGTAACGCTATTTATTACATTTTCTACATCATGCAACAATAAATTGTATTAATTCATTCATTTGAAAATAGTGAAAAGATACTATTTTCATGCATTAACTTATTATATTTAATATAATAAATATAAAATTCAATAAACATGTTCTTTTGTAATATATTTTATTATTATTTTTTCCTAAACGTAATTTTTATATTCATAAAGGAAAAAGCTATTTTTAAGTAAATCGATTGGTGATTTCTTTATGTAGCTATTTGTTATTTTTAAATTATTTATAATTATCGCTTCAAATTATATATCATTTTAGTGACAATGACATATAATGTTTTTGATTTTAATCTTTATTATTATAATTTAGTATATACAAAAGTTTTCACTATTTATTCCCGGCAAATTCTAGAAGAAAGTGAATGCATTCAAAACACTGATGAATTATTGTCATTCTGTTATCGTAGTTATTATGAAGAAAAATGAAAAGCCATGTATTTTTTCTGCTTCGATTCACATGATGGAGAACTCAGTAATTTTTTGAAAATGCACCGACTTTATAAACCAGTTGAATACCATAAAAAACGACATTCACGGTTATAGCATCATAGACAAAAATGAACTATAATAGTTTACTATTCATTTTTATTGCACTTTTGTTTAGTGCAGTAACAATTCAGTGTAAAGCAAATGTGATAAAAAAAAAGAATCCAATCAAATCTTCTGATTCAGTTATTGGTGATATGGTGAAAGAATTGATTGAAAGATCAAAAAATACAGATCATGTTTTAAACATAAATCTCTCCAATTTATTTTTACTTCTGTTTTTGAAATCTGTAGTATTTGGAGCAAATTATATTGGAAATAACAACAAAAATCCTCGCGAGCTTGAAGGTATTTTAAAGTCAAATTCTTTCGTAAATATTTATTCGGAGAAGTAAAGCCAAATGTTTATTCTTATCAACATAGTTTATTAATGACTGAAATTTTTACAAAATTCTTACAATAATGAGTATTCTATTCTATTAGAAAATATTCTATCAGACGAAGAAATAGCTCTAGCATTGGGTTATCTCATTGGTGATACTTGTCTTCAACGAGTAGCCTGTGAAGCACCAGAAACAGCAAAAAATTATTTGGGTGCTCTTGATATGATTGTTCAAACGATGAAATTAATGTCACAGTACAGTATTCTTATTCACTTCACTATTATGTTATTCTATTTAAAACACATGTTTGTAATTTATAAATTTTCATATTCATTTCAGTACACTCAATTTCGATGCCAAATATGATAAAACAATTGCAGAATTACGTAAAGCAATTGAATATGGAGATATGAAGCAGTGTCCACCGGAATATACTTGTAAGAAAGAAAACATTAAAAACTTTCTACAACCCGGATCACTCACTAGAGATTTTGAGCGATGGTGATTAATTTGATTTTAATTTTTCCGTTGAAATTATATGTTTCACATGAATTCTTGTATTTATTTTTGAATTAATTTTTTATGTGTATATAAATAATTTTTGTCCAGTAGATGAAATAAAGTGAGCTGTTTTTATCTACTATTTTATCATCATTAAATGAAATTTATTTTATACAATATCAAAGTAATTTTTATAGTTTCACTGGTGAATTATTCTTTAATTACGATCATTACAGATTTTTAATACGGCTCATAACAGATATATTGTATTTTTTATAGCAAATCTATTCTTATAATCTGTAAATAGATTCTAAATAGATCTAAAAATCTTTATAAATCCATTTTTATAACTATAAATGATGCTACGTCAAGTTGAAATACCTGTAATAGAAAGAATTAAATAAAACTGTACCATTTAAAAATTGTTAAAACTTTTCAAACAAATCAAATGAGATGGAGTATCATGCGAATAAAAAATTATTATTAATTGCTACGATGAGTAGAAATGTTTCGTCACGTTTAAATAAATCAATTCCTACAATGCACGATTTTAGGTATGCAAAAAATTAAATATTAAACCAAAGCATAAAGGGGTTATTGCTTCATAAAATATAGCAATATCACAGTATATAAATATGTATATACACATAAGCTTTGTAACTCAATGCCATCAATGAATTAATCAGTGGTTAAATTTTTATATGTACTTGGTCCGGGTAAGGGCACTGCTTCCTTTTGTAGGATCCATCATACGATTCCAGTTTGTTTGACCAACAACAAATCCAACGGCACGCATTTTTTCTTGTTCTTTTCTTTCTTCTAGATCCGCCCATCGCACCTGCAACACAAATGTCAATTATACTTTTATTAGTAATTCCTTTCAGAAGTAATATAATATTTTAAAAAAATTTTTAATTACCCTTTTTTTCCCAGATGTGTCTTCCATATTATAATAATCTGGGACTTGCAAAAAGTCTTCCATTGTCTGTGGTTTACCTTCATTTTTTCTCTTTGCCAAACCATCCAAACGATCTGTTAATAACCATTCAAATGACTTATTTTAACACGATTTAACATTATATAACATGATATATATTCAATAATAAATTATAGATACACACCTAATTTGTCTTCAGCTTCCATTTTTTCCCATTTGCTAACACCCTGATAAAAAAATGTTTAATTATGAATAACGCACAGAAAATTATTAAACTAAAAAATGATATAACTCACGACTGGATTTAGCTGATCTTCTTGACTATCTTGACTATCATCATTTGCACTTGTAACTTTTTCTTCATCAGTAGACGTTTTAACTTCCTCCATTTGCACCTGAACGTAATTATCCATTTTAGTCATTCAAATAAAAAAAATACCTAGAAATACTTAAATAATTTTATTACCTCTTCAATAGTTTGTTCTTGCAATAGGGTAGAAACATCTAGAATTTGATGATAATTTGGCGTTGGCTCAAAATAATCAACGATTCTATTTACTTCTTCTTCTGTACGTTTATGAATATTACGTTTCAAACATATTTGTACGTCCATTTCCATTTCACAAACATATACCTAACAGATATAATTAAAAATTACTAAAGAATATGCCCATTTCTAAAATTCGAGAAGATGATTTATTTCTACATAATATGACTTACCCGAAATCCTTTTGATTTTGCAAAACTCCACATCTCTTCATAATCGCTTATTTTTTCATTTATACAATCAAGTATAATAAAATTGAAGAAACCATCAGTTATATTTTTTTTAAATGCTTTAACTAAAGATGTTACATAACTTGGTTCCATTGCTTCTTCATACTCATATACCATTTCCTGTGCCGAGTTGATAATGATAATTAATAATGATTATTTAATTTTAGTTATTACACAAATCAATTAAATAATTTAAGTACCTTATAAATAATTTTCTTTCCATTATCGTCAATACTTTCAACTTCTTTTTCAATAAGGAAATAATCATCTAAACTGAGTATACGTGGTGCTGAACCACCTTGTTCAACTTCTTTATCCTAATAAAAAAAAAAAAAATATTTAAATAAATAAAAAGGGTGCCAGATTAAATGATAAAAAAAGCTAATAGATAAATTAGTAGTAATTTAATGTAAATTAACCTTAATGAGTTTAGCAACATAAGATTTTCCACTTCCAGGAGGTCCTCGTAGAATGATAACTATCTTAGGTGGTCTATTTTGACGACCAGGAGGATACAAAATATCAGCAACCATTGTAATATTTGAAAGTTTCGCCAATTCCAATGTTCGTGGGGGTGATGGAGCTTCCGGTATGGAAACATCTTGATTGCTGTAACAAAAAATCAAACAATGATTACCCGGTGATACAAGTTATAATTTTTGGAAGAGAACATATTTATTGGATAGCGATTGTGAAAAAATATACCGTTTAAATAAGTTTAAATTAATTAAAAATACATTTATAATTATTATAAATAATTTTCTTATGAAAATATAAAGTCATTTGAATTTTCAATAAATTTCATTATTGAGTTCCAAAATTATGGATGATAGTAACGAGAACTCTCTTTTGAAAAGAGTATTCATGGAATCGTGTTCGTACAGATGTAATTTAAAATTCAAACAATGAAAAGAGTTACAATGTGGTTTATTAAACCGAAATCAACCATACATTGTTTTGAATAATGCAAAAATGATACTTTAGAAAAGTGAATCTCAAGGAAGTTATAAATTTCAATAACATAATCCTGCTTTTGCGCGCATAGCGCAGCAATAGCTAGTAAATGCAACACTTAAATTATATTCTCATTCATTGACAGAATCAAGATAAATATAGATTTCATAAGAATCAGTTTAGAGTGAATTTAAAAATAATTATTTTAGTAACATGTTTGATTTTGTTATTTAAAATAATCAATATCTAGTTTCAAACAAACCGCCTGATTATTATTTCGAATAAAATTTGGAGATCTTTTAAAATTCATACCTGAGTTCCTGGATTGTGGAGTTGGCCGAATTATTCGCTGATTTCTCCGGTCGACTTATATTTCCCTTAGATCTATCAAAATTGACGCATACTCTCGTTTATTTATAGGTCAATCAGTGTTTTCACACAAAAAAACTTTTGTGTGTCAAAAATTAATTACTTCTAATTTTTTTTGAGTATTTCATTTTCACAACTTGAAATTTGTGATTTTTTGTAACAAAAACATGTAATCTAGATTCTTCAAATTATCAAATATGTCAAGTGGTAACATAATAAAATTTCAGAAAAGAATAAGAAATAATTTTATAATAAATTCCACTAATTGAGACTATTTTTAGAAATTTTATATCATATATTGTCTTTCATTTTTACCTTTCTTCTTCTTTGTTATATTCTGTATTTGATTCCTTTAGGGATCTGTCAGATTTTTCACGTGTCCTGTCTGTTTGCACGAAAACAGAAAACGAAAATAATTAAGACAATAAACTGACAAACACCGTACATGTATATTACATTTTGAAAATTACATTTATTAGAATACACTATCAATTTATATAAATTACCTTCTAGATTACTTTGGCTTCTAAGAGTCTTCTCATGAAGTTGTTCTATTTCTCTTTCCCATGATTGCTCTCTTTCTCTTTTATTTCGATTATCCTTAAATTCTTTTACATCTTTATATTCTTTTACATCTTTATGATCTCTTTGATCTTTCAAATTGGTTTGGTTCTTTTTCTTTCTCTTATCATCTCTTTCCCGAGACGGTTTTCTATCTTCATACCGAACTCGTTCATCATATCCTCTCCAAGGAGGAATAGGTTCATTTCTATGCTTCCATTCATTCTTTTTCATATAATTTTTATAATCTTTGTATGCTCTGAAACTATCATGATACTCTTTCAGATTATATTCACTTTCTATCCAATGTTTGAATTCCATTCTTGGATATATTTCGTGTTCAGGGACACATGGTTTATTTTTTCCATGTGAATATTCAAAACATTGAGCCGGAGTTGCATAATCTTGGGCCACTGGCCGTTTTAGATGGCCGTAATCTATTACTTTAGATGGTATAAATTCATCAGGCATTTTATTTGGTAGCCTACCACCATGATTATAGTTATACTGTTTTTCAATACAAAATTCTGGACGCATTGGACCACCTCTAATATCATCGGGATGCATACGTTTTGGAAAATCATCACGCAAATCAGATGGACCTACATTAAAACGGTCACCTGAATCCCTGTTCATTGGGCCAAATGGTGGTCGATTTGATAAAGGATCGGGAGGGCGAAGGAAAGGATCATCTTGATTACGAAAAGGTCTTGGACCTGGAGGGGGGCCCATTTTATCATTTAAATTAAATTGATCACCAGGAAATCCTGATCTAGGGTGATCTCGCTCTGGTCGCATTGGAGGGATGTTTTCATCTATGATATTAGGACCAAAAGGAGGTCGATTGACATCTCCACTAAAAGGTCGATCATGAGGTTGATGAATATTTTTTGGATCGTTTATTCTACCTATAGGTGCGTCAAATTTCACAGACAACAAAGAAGGAATTCCTTTTGAACCAATATCGGGAGGTTGATTGGAAGGACCTAAATTGTCTTCATTAAATCCACGAGGAGCGAAAGGACGATCACTACAATGGGGACCAAATGGCGGACGCGGATTAAGAGGATTATTAGGACCTCTCGGCCCCATATCATCAGGACCTCGATTTCCCAAAGGATGATTAGGTCCTCGAAGATTAAAATCATCTGGTCCTCGAGGTCCGAAAAAAGGATCATTCGGATTTCTCATTCCCCACTCATCATTCGGTCCACGAAGAGGTCCTGGGCCAGGGCCTGACATATTTCGTGGATTATTCATTGGTCCAGGTCCAAATGGTTCCGGTCCTCTTGGTCCAAATGGCTCAGGTCGTCCAGAATCGAATGGCTCTAATCTTCTTGGTCCAAATGGATCAGGTCTTCCACTATCAAATGGTTCTGGCCCTCTTGGTCCAAATGGTTCCGGTCCTCTTGGTCCGAATGGTTCAGGTCTTCCAGTATCAAATGGTTCTGGTCCTCTTGGCCCGAATGGTTCAGGTCTTCCAGTATCAAATGGTTCTGGTCCTCTTGGTCCAAACGGTTCAGGTCTTCCAGTATCAAATGGTTCTAATCGTCGAGGTCCAAATGGCTCAGGTCGTCTAGATTCAAATGGTTCTAGCCCTTTCGGTCCAAATGGTTCTAATCGTCTAGGCCCGAATGGTTCGGGTCTTTCAGAATCAAATGGCTCTAATCGTCTTGGTCCAAATGGCTCAGGTCGTCTAGATTCAAATGGTTCTGACCCTTTTGATCCAAACGGTTCGGGTCTTCCAGTATCAAATGGTTCTAATCGTCTTGGTCCAAATTGCTCTAGTCCTCTTGGCCCAAATGGTTCTTGTCTCCTTGAATCAAATGAATCATGTCCTCTAGAATCAAATGGAGCTGGTCCTCTTGGTCCGAACGGTTCCGGTCGCCTAGCTTCAAATATTTCTGGTCCTTTTTGCTTGAATGAATCAGGTCCTCGTGGACCGAATGGCTCAGCCTCCTTTCGTGCAAATGGATCATTGTCTCGAGATCTCATCAAATCAGGTTCTCTAGAATCAAATCCGGTTGGTCCTCTTGGTCCGAAAGAATCATGTTTTGATCTATCCATCATTTCATTGGGTGCATTATTGAGATTAGAACGTTCCAAGTCATTTCTAGAATCGTTAGAACTAAATAGAGCCATATTAGGTTCCTTCACTGGTCCTAAATCAGGTAATTCTGGAGGTGGCTCCATATTGAGATCTTCGGGCTTTGGATCATTTTCGCCCATAAAAGGTAAAACGTCTGAATTTGTTGAAGATATTTCTGTAGATTTCTTTTCTTCAATATTAGTAGTACTAATCTCAGTATCAGCTTTAGGATCAGTTGGCAATTCATTTGTAGATTTTTCATTATCTTGAGTATTTTCATTTTGACCTATCGGACTTTCCATTATTTGCGGATCCATCCATGGTGGCATTTCTAATGGTGGAATACTTAATTGAGATTCTTTTGAATGATCTTGTGATTTTTCGTTATTTTCACTAGGCGGCTGAGTTTGTTCTTCAGTTGATGGTTGAGATTCACGGAGATGTTGTGGTGGTAGATCTTGTTTTGGCGGTGTTCTAGGACGATCAATAAAATTATCATCATGACGATTTTTGCCCATGTCTATATCAGGTCCTCTTAAGTTTTGTCCTCGAGGACCAGAATCGTTAAAACCTCGATTTGGACCAAAATCATTTGGATTTCTGTTAGCCATGAAATCATTAGAACCTCTATTTCGACCGAAATCATTGGAACCTCTATTTGGTCCAAAATCGTTAGATCCTCTATTTAGTCCAAAATCGTTAGATCCTCTATTTAGTCCAAAATCGTTAGGTTCTCTATTTGGTCCAAAATCGTTAGGTCCTCTGTTTGGACCAAAATCATTAGGGCCTCTATTAAGACCAAAATTGTTAGGTCCTCTGTTGGAGCCAAAATCATTAGGACCTCTGCTTGGACCTCCAGTATCAGAACGTTTAAAGGAGTCATCAGCTTGTGATCGAAAATCTGGACCTCGTAATCTAAAATCATCATTAAATCTCTCTCTTTGTTCATTATTCGGACCAAAAGATCCTCGTAAATTATCTGAGGGTCCACGATTTGAATCAAATCGATCTCTAGGCAAAAACGGCGAAGACCCAGTAATCTTCTTGAAACTTTCACTCAATGATCCAAACGTTGTACTAGATTTATCATTACTCAAAAAACTGCCAGATGGTTTAAAAACATCAGCAGCAGCTTTACGTTTTTCCATTAATTTTTTCAATTCAGGTGGTATATTTTCTGCAGGTTCAAATCTATTATTTCGACCCATGTTACGATTACTAGACATAAAGTTATCTCTCTTATCCATAGAATCAAATCGATTCATGTTTGAATTATTATCAGACATACGATCATTGTTCATACGATTGTCTGATCCGAATGGATTATTCATATTTGAATTACGATCAAAATTTGAACCAAATGAATGTCTATCAGATCCTCCTAAGCAATCTTGATCTCGAAATCGACCATCGTTCCTTCCTAAATTATTATCATGGAAATTTCTGTCTCTAGAATCAAATGAGTCACTAGATCGAAAATCATTATCACGACCAGATGAAAAATCTCGTGAAGGACCATCGTTTCTAAATCGGTTGCCAGAAAAGTCATTTCTGTCATCATTAAATCTGTTTTGTCTATCACAGTTGAACGAATCAATGCGGGGTCTTCGATTCATGTTCATTGAACCTTGATCGTTGTCAGGATCACGACGATTATTTGAGTTGTACGGATCTGAATTGAATCTATCATAAGATTGTTGATTATAATTGTCTTTTTGAAATGGAGCATTTGAATTATCTTGTCTATATTGATCTTGATTATTTCCTGATCCAGTCATTGGTTGAGACATAGACGGTGTATTGAGTGGAAACCCTGGAGGTGGCTGAGAGAAATTAGGAACAGCATTTAACCCACCTGGAGGTTGATTAAATGGCGGTGGATTAGTAGTACTCATAGACTGTGTAGACGACATTATTGGTGGAATTGTTGGCGGCGGATAATTAGGAAAACCAGTTACTGGCATTGCAGTCATGCTGTATTGAGCTGCCCATTGTTGTGCTGCCCAAACTTGTTGATTCATTTCTGATGAAGCTGTTGAAGAAATTCCAGCCATTGTTGGTGCTATTGTACTTTGTGTTGATGATGAATTTAATGCTGATGCGGTGGCAGACGAGGTCGTAGTTTTATTAGAAGAATCTTCTTTTCCAGATAATCCAAGGGTTTTTCCAATGCCCAAAAGATTATTAATTAGTCCTTGATTTTCAGTATTAGATAATATATTCATTAATTTATCTCCTCCTGGTAAATTCTTCTTCTTTTCAGCTTCATTTTTTGCTTTCTGAGCTTCTCGTTTTTTCCTCATTTGTTCTCTTCTTTCTATCAATTTCTCTCTCCATGATGTCCATTTAGCTTCATATTGTTTATATTGTGCCTAGAAATTTAATTATATATTGAATTATTAAAGTAATTAAATTAATTCATGGTATAAAATAATAAAATTAACTTATACAACGAATATTTAAAAGATGTGATAAAGTTAATATGAATGAGTATCATGAATCAAAATCATAATAATTGAAATTTAATAAACTTGATAAATGAAAACGGATAAACCTACCTTATCTGGATGATTAGCATTTTGTTGTTTCCATTTATTAAATTGTTCTTCCCATTGTTTAAATTGAGCATCAAAAGTTTTTTCAGCGTCTGTAAGCTCATCATCTTCATTCTTCGATTTTTTAGCACTATTTATATCAAGAGCAGTACTGGCACTACGTTTTACACCCGTTAAATCATCATTAGATGACGAAGGGTTATCAGGGGGTGGAGGTGGTTGTCCGGGGGGCAAAGGAGGATTCACGGCCGTTTTTGATGGAAATAACGGAAGATTATTTTGATGAGGTGGTGGATTTGATGTTGGGTGCATATTTGCATTGTCGGGTGGTAAAGGTGGTTTTATTGAAGTATCATCTTTTGGGAGAGGGGGTGGTACTGTCGGCATCGCTGGAAATCCAGTGATACCTGACGCTGACATCTGCTTCACTGATTCTTGATACTGTAAATACATAATTTGTTTTTATCTACAATTATATGAAGCTTTCCTGATGCAAGTAAACTTTTTGGAAAAAATAGATTTTCTTTCCATATCTGAACCAGAAAAGAATGTAATTGATTTTTTTTATGAAAGCTCTTATATACTTTATGTTAAATCAAATTTAATTTGTTATACATTGATAGATTAAATACCTTAGCTCCATATTGAGCTTGCCATTGCTGATATTGTTGTTGCCATTGTTGCCATTGGGCCCAATTTTGTTGTTGAGCTGCAGCCCATTGTTCAGCAGTGTATCCACTTGGTGCCTGGATGAAATTATTAATTATTTTATCCAGTGATGTAAAAGAACTACTTACTCATTGCTATAAAAGATTTATTATTAAATATAACAATCTACATAGTAATAAAAATCGACTGCTAACTTAAAAAATTAAAAAAAAGACTAATTAATATGAATATATTGATAAGTAGCTTGAAAAAATAGTAATAATACTCACTGGTTGATTATAGTATTGCATATAAGCTTGCATTGTTGCCATAGGATCTCCTCCTGAAGTAGGATAAGTTGGAGCTGCCGGTGGTTGTGGCATTGTGCCGGCAACTGTATTGCCGGTTGGTAGTTGCCATTGGTTCCAATTTTGCATCTTATTTATTGTAGTAAATCTTGTAAAATTTTCTTAAACTAGCTATTCATTGCTGATAGCTAGATCATGTTGAGGATATTTTTTAGGGTTGCGTAATCCCAATAGGACGCTATTTCATGAGTGGAGAAAATTCTTATTACAAATACTCCATTTTATAGAGGACGTAAATGTCTTAAATTTACTTTTTGAATAATTAAATAAATATTGGTTATCAATACAAATCTACACGAGAGTAGAAACTAATCGATAAATACTAAGCGATAGTATTTTACTTTCGGTGTATTTAGATCAAGCGTTTGTAGCTAAATGTGAACAAAGCTATACTATGTAAAATCAAAATCACAAAACCACAGTTCATAAATTATGATCTATGGTGATGTTTAAATAAATTTTTCAAAATTCAATCAATTAGTAATTGTAACAAAATTCCTTTATAAATTAAAGGTATTACTGTCATTGTTTAAACAATTTGAAATATTACATTTATCTGAAGTACAAAAACCGGCTGAATTTTTCAGCATTTAAATAAAATCGTTTAATAAAGTAGCACTTCATACAGTTGTGGAAGAATTTCAGCAACAATAAGAGGTACAAAAAATTGGCATTGGAAACCAATGTGTAATTCAATGGTAATTAATAAATTCAAAAACATTTTTAGTAATGATCAGTTATAAAATTAATCTATAACTGTGTAATGAATAAAAATTATTCAATTCATGAAAGAATTAATAAATAAAATATTACTTGGCATCATTATACTAATTATTATGTATTTCATGTTGTACATAACTTATTATCTATGAAATTATTCTGTTAATAGCAAGTTATGGATTTTTCACTTGTTTCATATAAAACTATCAAATAGAACATACAGTAATCGATGTTCTGACAATAAGAAATAGTCGGCAAAAAATTTTTGAAACGTTTATAACGTAAATTTAGATGTATATGTTTACATCATATACATAAAATAATTATTGAGTAATGTGCTATATTCACTTACTTTACTATAAAACTATTGAATACAATACTTTTTCGCGATCGTTCGTATTACATATATAATGATGAGCAAAAAATCACATGAAATTAATTTAGGCTCAGCATAGATTTCATTACTAAATCTAATAGTACGATAAGATATTTATACTTACATATAATTATACTAGTTATATCCTCAATGATGACTCTCGAACAAACCGTTATAATACGTACGACAAACAATAAACACGCAGTAAACGAGCGAAAATTGATTACAATTTAACAATCCATTTAGGTACAAGAGTTTCTTTCTACTAGAACAGCCATATTTATTTTTCAGGTGGAAGCAAAAATTCTGCTAAATAAGCAGGTGATAAACAAAGCACCACATTTATCGGCAGTGTATCGCTCATCGATAAATAAGAGTTTCGTTGAAATTTCGAGAGAGGATCCGCTATTTTCGCGGTAGTTAAATTTATTGCGTTTGTCTATTGTATGAATTGTAGTTGCAATAAATTATTCAAGGTGTTTTACAGAGATATGTTACATGACAAGTGGGTGAAATTGAGTGTGTGTTAATAGTAATATTATATTCATGTGTTTCATGTAGTAAAATGGTTATTTTTAGAGCTATATGGAAAATGAGGTATGTAAAATATAATCACATTTTACTTTTCAGGAACAGTAATATTATATTTCTCTCCCAAGAACATGCATTAACTCATATTACAATCGAGTTTTAATTTACAATATTTGGTATTTTATTTAAAGTAAATAGATGTTTGAGATCAATATGCATTATCAATAATATAATGTTTATTATTCGTATTATTATGTTTTCTATTTTAGTTTTTCATTTAAAATAAAATATACTTCTATATCTCTTTTTGTTTTTTTTTTAGTTAATGTTTAGAACGAAATTTATTATTATAGTTAAAATTATTTAAATATCATATATACAAGATTTTTCGTTTTAATAATAATCCTCTTTACCATCAAAAGGAGTTTTTACAAAATATGTTGTCAAAGTTCCTTTACCTTTTACGTATGTCGGTCCACGACATAAAAGATCATATCCTGCATTGATTAATATTTTTGCACTATCTTCTGTTACTTGAATTTTTCCCATTTCTCCACAACTATCCATTCTTGAAGCTACATTTACAGTGTTGCCCCATATATCATATTGAGGTTTTTGAGCACCAACTACTCCAGCTATTACTGGTCCATGATTCAGACCTGCCATAATAAACAAAAGTATAAATATAAAAAACTCTTCATTAAAAATACATTTATTTATTTACCTATTCGAAGTTTAAATCGTTGAAAAGATTCTCGATTGATTTGATCCAAAACAGTCATCAAAGAAATAGCAAACTCCACAAGAACAATAACATTGTGTTCTTCTTGTTTTGACAAATCCTTAATAAATATTCATAAAAAATTATGATAGAAAAGCAATGGAATATTATTTTGTAAGAAATAGCTTACCTTATTTTCAATATCTTCTTTTCCAGGACTAAGTCCAGAAGCCAACATATAAGTACTACCAATTGTCTTTATTTTTTCAATGCAAGAAAACTTTGGTTTAAGTAATAATTTGTCAAAATCACAGATAATTTCATTTAAAAGCCGCAGACATTCCAGTCCTTGTTTGTTAACATCAGTCTCATCATAGAATTCTTTATAATTAGGTATTGAGGCAAACATGACAGCAATACTATTATATCGCTCATGGTATAGATTTTCACTGTCTCGTGTTGAAAGGAAATGACGAGCTACATGAGCAGGAAGAATATTTTCTAGGAGAATTTTATTAATCCCTCTCATAGTTTCTACGTCATCTTGTTCTATTCTGAGTTTCGTCTCCCAAAGAAAATCAGTTCTTGCTGTATATTCAAGCTGTCTATCAAGAACATGAAATATTGACGCAATCAAGAGAAGTGAATAGCTTATTTGAACTAAATAAGGAATGCCAGAAAATCTGTACAGAAATTTATAATAATCATTATTGTTATGTACAATTGTCAAAAACAAAACAATAAAGTCTTTCTAACTTACTCGACTTCATTTTGATAATAAAGAGCAATAGCTGGAGATTGGGAGAATACTATGAGAATGATAACTATTGATCCAATCATAATAAAACATTTTAAAAGAAAACCTACACGAAGATGAGCCCATGCAACAACTAGAGCTATTACGGATGAATATAAAAATGCCTAAATAAAAAACAAATTATTACACTTAACAATTATGGACAAACTGATCATCAATTAAGTCACATTCATATCTGAGTACTCACTGGTGTAATAGAATATGCATCATCATTAACATCAATTAAACTGATGAGTGCTGAAGCCACTGCAAGCCCAGCAGTTATAAGATAAACCATCATTCTAATTCCTCGACTCAAAATCACTGATTTATTAAGATTATTCGTTGTGTTTATTCTATTAGCATACCACGACATTCCAGTAAAAATAGTAAAAGAAAATAAGCCTGCTCCAAAACAACCATAAACTGTAATACTTCTGTGAAAATAAATCATAAAAGAGTATCAGATAAGTTTTTTTTATAATTAGCAGTCAGCAGTATTCATTAATTATGTTTACCTGGGTAAATAAATTATTTGAATGCAAAACATCATCATATAGAGAATTTGCGCTACAATTACATACCAAAGGTATTGAACATCTTTCTGATCACGATACATATTCTCTTGTTTTTTATCTCTGAACCAATATGTTGTCGTTGACATTTCATTGTTATTTTTGCAGCAACGTCTATGTTAAATATTAAAATAATTGATTGAAAAACTACTTTACAATTTAATTATCAACTATTTTTATAAATAAACTTACTTGATGTTGAAACAGCTTGAATTATGTGTCAGAATGTTTGATTCAATCATTAGTATGCTCTAAAAAAATCAATTTTTATACTTTTTTGTAATATATTTATATAAAATTCGTATAAAAAAAGTTGTTACCGTTAATCCAATATTTTTTGCCAGCATTGCTTCTGTAATGTTTGCAAAAGGCTTATCTGCACCCCAGCATTCGACATACTTTGTCATTTTACTGCTTGGACGCGATCGCGATGGTATTGACCCCGATTTTGGTAATTTCCCATTTTCCAGTTCATTCTTTTCTATTACTTTCTATTGAAAAAATAGATAAGAGTAAAAATTCAACGAGAAAATGTTTATTGAGTTTGAAAGAAAATAATACAAATAAAAAGTAAAATTTATTGATATTGAAAGAGTAAAATTAAATATAGTATTCTTTAAAATAAGATATTGTTAACAAGTGACATTGAGTAGTAAATTGATGATCATACGATACCTTGGGTGGTATTATGAGAAAGGTTTCAATCTTGTGGTCTGCTAAATAACTTTCTCGAGTACCTCCATTACCGGGTTCGACTTCAAAACGATCATCCAACTGATCAAGTGTAGCTTTTGTAATATGAACTCTCCTGTTAATGAAGAAGTAAAAAAAAAATTAAAATTTTTTTATAAAAACTTTGACAGACAATTTTTATAATTAAACTTGATCATTTGTTCTACATAAATTTAGTTATTAATTAATTCTCGTCAATGAAATGAAATGGATAATTTAAAAATCAATGAGGAAAACATGAATAACATAGAAGGTAATGTGTTTTATATGAAAATATTAAACTCACCCTGGAAGTCCACCACTCTCCATATGATTGGCGAGAGTGACGTCGTCGCTCCAAACGTCAAACTGCCATTTCCGCAAGCCAAGGACGCCACACAAAACGTTTCCGGTATGAATACCAATCCTCATATCAACATTGAATCCCGTTGCTTCTCGAACAAACCTTCATTCAATGCAAGAAAATAAAAAGCTGCGTGAAAATATTTGAATGGAGTTGTAAATATATGGAAAAAATATTCAACGTCGTGCAAGATTACACCATAGAACGTTAACAATAGACCTGAATTTAATATACGTTAAAAATTCAAGAAGTTAATTACCCTATTCCAAAAGCTAATCTAGCGAATCCGCACTATAACTATAGTCATAAAAGTTTAAAAATATTTTTTGTTATGAGATTCAATTTTTATGTCTTTGAATAAGTTGATAGAACTTCCCTCAAGTTGAAAGAAAAAAATATTTCGAGAAAAAATATAAAAAAAACTTTTTAAACACATTAAGAAAGTCAATTCTATTTTCTTCACCGAGTAAACTTTGATGATTTTTTGTTAAAATTTTTCTTTGATTAAGATTATTTTTTAATTACAAAATTGTATAGTATTTTAGAGTCAGTTCATGTGTTGCTTACCTGATAGCTTCAATCATCTGTAGCCCCATATTTACACAATTATAAGCATGATTGGGTCGTGAAACAGGTAATCCTGAGACACAATAGTAGCAATCTCCTAGAATCTTGATCCTCATACATTGATTATCCTACTTAACAAAAAAGTATATACCACTTTAAGCATTTTAAACACATCATCTCAATCAAATAGTTTAGAAACTTTAAAAAAAAAAATATCAAATGACTTTAAAACCCTTCTCGTCAGGAGAAGTCTCAAAGGGAATATTTCTTGAATATATCTCTCAAAGATACTTTAAAGAATATATTGACGAGTTATCTATTCAAACTTGAGGGTGTCTTTTATAGAGCTTTTTTCACTAGAAAAACATTTTTCAAGTCAGCTAAAAATTTTAATATTTTTAAAATTCAACAATCATGTCTATAAAAAATTGTATGATTTTTTTCATTCAGATAATTGAGAATCTATTTTAAAATGTAGGATATCGTTTTATTTATATATTTCTGTATTTAAAGAAATAGTTTTCATCCATTTACTGATTAATATTCAAGGGCTTTATAATTCTTCCAAGAATAAAATAAAATAAAAATCAATATTAATTTTAAAGACAAGTATATAATCTGTCGCACTTTGGTAGAATTTACTACTTTGATTTTCCATCCCCGAATTAATTTGCTACAGGGTGTGATTTTCCTTAAGAGCAATCGCTACTTGAAAACAGGAAATTGGCAACAGATAGCTTCTATCTCATTCTTTCGTCAGAGAAATTGAATTAGTAAAATTAAGCAAACTTAGATGTTAATTAAATTGCTTAATTAATACAAAAAAAAAAGATTTTATTAATAAAAAATTTTTTAAAAATAATAAAGAGCCTGAAGATAATTAAAGAACATCCAAAAATCTTAAAAAACTTTATGATAATCATGAAAAAGCTCACAGGTTGAAAAAAAACTTGAAGTATTTTGTTGGGGAATGCTTTTTTTTCACCACAATAACATACAATTTTACTTAAATGAAACAATATCACTAAATAGAATGTTTCGTTGAATGCTCTTTTTGGGCAACTTCAACTTTATTTTCTTTTTATATCCATTGGTTTTCTTTTTTCCGCTAAATCTTCTCTTCTATCTGAGCCATTTAATCTCGTATGTTATAAACGTAAAAGATCGTTTAGATACATTCCAAGATTTAAAAGAAAAGAGTGGTGTTACAATCGTTCAGTACTAAATAATCTTGCTCAGCAACATTTTTGTTTCTCTTTAAAGACTTTTTTTTGTTATTAATTTGATTACTTTATCATTTTCAAGAGATACTGACTTAAAATTACGATAATGTCAGACATAAATTTCACAATGAAGTAAAAATCCGGTAAGTTACTTAGCAGCAACATGCAATAATCTATTTATTTTCCGGGAACAGGTGTGTCAGAAGCTATACAATAGAATTTAATGCATTCTAGTATCATTACTCTCAGAAGTGAACCTCTTTATTTGGTCTAACAATGATCATTTAGTGTGTTTAAAGAGTACTTAATTATTTAAAAACAATCTAAACTATCAAAAGCAAACGATAATTTAAGAATCAGATTCATAGTTTATCAACTTGTGAATTTTAGCAATTGATATGTAGATCTAAAAATGCATTCATCAAATATGTAAGCATCTATTTTATTATGTATCGATTTTTTAGTGAATTTTCAACGCTGAAATAAAATACTTTCTCGATAATCGAAAACTATCTATAAATGTTTCATTGTTGATTAAATTATCATTTCATGACTTTTAGACCTTCAGCAGTCACAATGTAGGAATTATAATGCTATCTAATTGAAGCAAAGGACAATCAATAAAAATTTCATGACATTCTGCAGTAAAATGTGTTTTATTAATGAACTTGGAGTAAATCAGTTTATAGACTACGATGGTTATTAATTTACTTTTATATTTAATTATTACAATGTCAATTTTATAGACTTTAAAACTTACTCATATTAACAACAAAAAACATCTTGAAATATATTGTAAATATTATCTTTTAAAAATCAATAAAATAAGTTTGAAATAATATCATCTTGGAAAAACGTAAGGAGATAAATATTAAATTGACAAATTCTATAGATGGTTTTTATAAAAGAATTTATGGTTGCATTGTATGTTTCCATCTGTTAATATTTATTTTATTTCTATGAGTTTGAACGTTTGCCCAGAGAATTAAACAAATGATAGAAAGTTATAAATAAAGATCAAAATATTAATTTATTATCAGAATTTTCGAAAAAATATGGTACTCCACTTATTTTATTTTATTAAAGAAAGGTTTTGGATTTTTTTTAGATATTTAATTTAGACAGTAAATATCAGTTACTCTCCCATTTCAACGTGTTTCCCCTCAATTGGAGCCTAATTTGTCGGAAATAATATATTGTCAATAAAATTTATTATAAAGAAAATACTTTTTAATATAAATCATTAATTTCTGGAGTATAACTAAATCTTCTGGATATTCAACATAAATATCTGATGATTTGTCCCTCATCATTTTCATATGATTTTATACAAAGCCATAAATCGAAAGCTTCTGATTGTAGGGCAATAGAATTTTTGACTGCAAGGTAAAAGCAGATTTTCGAACTCAAATTGAATCTAACAAAACTTGTAGCATGAAGCAAAAAAGATACATCTCAATTGAAAACCTATCTCTACTTTATTGAATAGAAATATATCACTAGCAAAACTGAAACATATACGTCTTTTTCTACTTCCATTTAGTTATCTTTCCTTTGCCCTTACCTTAAGTCCTTTTTATCCCACAAAAAGTATTTTTTGGTTTATTTATTTGCCACCGATTTTCTTCAACATTTCAATTTCACTAAAATTTTTAAATACCTGTTGTTTTTATAATACACATTAATTGCAAAAAATCTTTACCTGAGCAATTTGATCAAATCGCCCGAAAAGTTCGTTGAGAGTTTGAACAAGATCCGAAGCTGAAAGTTGCTCAGAAAGTGGAGTGAAGTTGACAATGTCGGCATAGAGTATGCTAGAAAGAAAATGTCATAAATTAGAACATCCTCGAAGATGGTAATTTAATAGTTTATCTAGTGTTAAAGTAAATAACATTTGACTTTATATAAAACTCATTAATTCTTTGATGAAAGTTCTTATGAGTTATATAGACAAATATTATCCAGTTCAATATAAGTTATTAAATCAGTTTTAATTTCATTACAACTATTATTTTCAAGTGGATACATATTAAATGTACCTGACGTTATTATGTCGTTGAACATACATATCATGAAAGCGAGTTTGCTTGTGCTTGCTCACATCCTGACAAGCATCAGCCATCTTCAACATAATACCGCGTTTTACCTGCAAGAGTAATAGTATTATCATGTAAATTTGGTAAACAAAAGGAAATCAAGAGACAAATAGGATCGAGGCATGATCATCCAATATTGTAAGATTGAAAGAGAAAGCTAAAACAATAGTGATTTCAATAATAATCATTGTAATGGTAATAATAGTAGCTACCATAGGGCATCATCTGGTTCGATTGTACAAGACTTTCATAAAAATACATATGTATTCATAAATACATATGTATAATTTCCTTCACTGAAAAAAATCTTATTGACAAAAATAAATAAACTGACAATAAGATAAACCCTTTTTCGAAATCAAATGAAAAAAAGCTCAATGAAAATGGCACTAATCTTTTTTTGTAGTTGAAAATAATATTTAACATTTATTTTTATTAAAAACTTATACTATATTATTTATCTATTATTTATTTTAATAGAATAAGCTTTTTCTAGATTTTAATAAATTCATCTTATTGCTAAATAGATTTTTTGATCGTACTATTAACATCACTTTTCTTCATTCTATAATTAAAAAGAATAGCATTTTAAATGTTTAATATTTACATTTCTTCATTGTTATGATTTTTATTCTTATTTTTTAAACATCAAAAGATTTAAAATAAAGCTAGTAATGGAGTAAAGATAAAATGTTAAAAAATGTTTCAAATATTATTAAAATCATGGTCTTTTGAAGTTACTTTCAGTTGATTTATGTATACCATTGGAATAATAACTGCATAAAAGTAAATTTGATCAAATGTATTTAAAACTTTAATGAACAATGGTTAAATGAAAGAAATTTATTGGAAAAATGTTGAGCTTGTCAACAACCTACAAATAATCATAGAATTCCTCAAGGCTTGGAGATATTTAATAATTAAAATTATGCTTTGTACGGATAAGACAGAGAATAAAATAAAAATTGAATTTTTAAATCATTATTAACTACAAATGGTTAAATAAAAAAGTACTCTAACAATAAACAAGCTGTTTTAATAATTTAATATCAACAGATAAAAAATATAATACGAATTCTATTTTATAATTGATAAAAAAATCCATGATTCTTCATACCTCTGCTGCTATATAAGCTGGTATTACACTAAGTAACAGTTGTTCTTGTTGTTCTCGTTCACATTCAAGCTTTATCCGAGAATCTATGACAGTTTTTATACATGTAAATGTCCGTTGATGTGCTTGAGCAGTTAGAATTCTGTAATAGACTCCAGCTAAAATGGCTACAAAAAGGAATACTGCATCTGCTATGACCTTTTTGAATAGATAAAAAAAATACAAACATTCAATTAATATTTATATTTTCAAACGAAAAGTAATTATACAACATTGATAATATTTTAATAAATGTAAATTATGGCACAAAAGAAGTTTAATCACCTGATAATATGTATCATCATCAGTTGTCAAAACCATAACGACTCCTCGAATAATATGTGCACCAGCAAGTATAGGAGCAATTATGCTTAGTTGATAATTTTTAATTGAGGGGAGAACAACAATTATTGCTAAAACACATGCAAAAAGTGGAAACGGTCCCTTCAATATTACAACACCAATGCCAAATATCAATGCAGCTAATAAACCAATAATAATTCTAGTTCGTGTTGATGTTGAAATCAATGGAAACTGTACTATCACTAGAAAACTTAAAGATGATATGGATATCGTTGTTAAGATTGAGACTTGTACCACAATATTTTTGAGATCCTGAAAAAAATAACTTGTGTCATTTCATTGAATTCTATGTGATTGAATTTATTAACTAGTCAGAGATCATTTTAATCTACACTTATATTCAATTGTAACTGATCCTATTCAATCTCATATTATTCGGAATAATAGAATTTGTTAGATTCTATTGAGTTTGATGTTGTGTTTCATAATATTCAACTGAATCTTTTAAGATGGATATTAGAATTATGTAACGTAATGTTGAATTCAGTCTGATATTGATATGATGAATGAAGTAATTACAGATAATAATAACGTGTGTTTAATTGACATGAATTTATCGATATTCATCAACGCATCTCAGTGATTATTTTCTCAACAACATCAACTGATAAAACAGTTACTTGTTCATAATCTAGATCAGAACATCATGGAATCAAATAACAAATTTTTCCAGCAAACTCTTTTTTCAAATTATCTTCAATCGATTCTACAGTATTTATTTATCACAATAAGGATTAAACCTGATTGACTTGATAGAAAATAAAATTGTCACATGTCACGTTATGTGTGTAAACCTCTAGCCTATTTGCGTTGCATTCAATTGACTTTGAAATAGCAAGTGGTCTTGTTTTTTTATTTCTGGAATTTTTGATGAGAATTTTTCCAACAAAAGCTTCGATAAACTTTTAAACAATTACTTGTTTTATCGATTCGTTTGAATTTTACTGCATGATGATAGTTTTTAAAATTTTATTTCAACTTAAACCAAAGAGTACATAGGGTTGAAGTAATTTTTCTACTGTAATAAAAAGAGCTTTGTAAAATATCAATATCATACATATATAAGTATGCACTTACGTTGGCGTGTAAAATACACAGAGTGATGAGTGCAATAAATGAAGCTACAGTACCAACGAAAAGTGTTCCAGTATAAAGTGAAGCTGTCACCCTACCCTCACATCTTTCCCGTAATTCTTGCAATGCTTTCACGTTTGTATCTCCAATGTTAACTGGATATTCTGCAAGTAAGAAGGTATATAAACAATTATATCATTTTTTTGTGCTAAAAATTAATGAACAAGTAGTTAGATAGATTTTTGATCAGACATTCTGTTTTCATGTCTATTATAAGAATCAAGTGATGCACCTGTTCAATTTGTGACAAGTATTAAAAATAAATAGTGAAGTTTTCTAATTTCAATTCAATCTCGATTCTACGATTTTATTTTATTAAAGCTATTTTTCATTTTAATTCTCATAAAAAGCTATTAAACACTAGAACATTGTTACAAGTTTGAATAATATCAAAGTTGCCACACTAATTCATCAGTAAAGTTTACAAAAGTTATGAGAATTGAAAGAGAATGTCTTATATAAAGTTTTAAAGTACAATTCATTTTCTTATAACATTCAGTCTCATTTATCGAACACTAACTTTGCATACACATATATTTCCATTTTCAATATCATATTCCATAAAATAAATTTACACCAAGCCCTCATAAGTCAAAGTTTCAATTCATTATTGTAAAGAAAATATTTAGTTACAAGCTTAGATACAGGTGGAGAAGATGGAAATTATCATTCTCAATAATGATTAGTATAATTTTGAGTAAAGTGTTGATACCAATGTTGTAAAGAAATTTCAAAGTGTCATGATGGCAGAGGGAAAGATGAACAGATGTTACTTGAGAGTATGAGAATTGTCTGAAACATTTCAGCTTGTAAATTATCGTGCTATTTTTGGCAAGTTGCCAACACCTATAGCAGTTGTTAGTAATTTACTCTAAAAGTGAAGCTAAGAGAAAATATCTAACTATATAATCTGTCTTTTATAAATGTTCATTAACCATCAATAATCTGAAATTTCGATAATACCTAAAATACAAGTATGATTGCACAAGTTCAAAATAATGATTCTATTTAAACATTTATGATAATTAGTTATGTTTCAATAAATAGCTTATTTGGATAAACAAAAATTTTTATTATTTTTAGTTTATAATTAATTTCTACTTTTCAGCTATGCGTTATTACAGTTTATCCATTGGCTAAAAATAGTTAGCGTAGTATTAAAAATAAATAAACGCATCTGTTAAGTTGCAGCATGGAGTTTTAAGCTGCAAGAATGGAAATAAAAATAAAATTTTAAGTCTTTGATATGAGAAATTAATAAAAAGAATCAATTTCTTTATATTTATATAATTAATAAATGGAAAATTTTGAGATTTATTAGTAACGCTTTGTTACTTAATAACTGAGTGACTCAATGGTTATCTAACTTGTTCAGGTCAATTAGTAATTAAATATAATTCTACAGTTCAATATCATCAAACTCGTTATGATACAACTTTATATTTATCTTATTTTTTAACTTTTTTTAGTTAAAAATAGTTTTTAGATAAAGAACAGAAGTTTTAGAAAAAATGTGAAAAGCTCATTTGTTTTATCAAAAAAAAAGTTCTGATGTTCAGAATAGAAAAAAATAAATGAAAATTTACTTTAAACTAAATTACAATAAAGTCGTCTCTAAGGTAGTTAAAAACTTGTCCTTTATGCGTAAATCTGCGTTACTATTACTTTTCTTTAGTTTTCTTCCATTAACTTAATCTTTACGTATCGTTACTTTACCTCTTGTTCAACACTAGAAATATTTTTATCCATTAAAAATGACCTATAAATCTATTATGAATGATCAAAAAAAAATCTAATCTCATAAATTTTCTAAAGATAAATAAAATTGTAGACTTAAAATTTCCCTTTTTTAATCATCATTCATTCTCTCTGAATACTACATTACGAAAAATAATACAAAAGAATTAGATTTAGAGCAGACACATCAAGATGAAAAGGGACAAGGGTCAGATTTATTATTATGATTATTATCGTGCAAGAAGAAGTTAGGGATTGTTTCAATATCAACGGGAAAAAATCGTGATTGTCATGTTGTATCATTCCAAGTCTAAGTAGAACTCACCTATTATTTCCATGCTTTTAAATCAAACAATTATTTTATTTTTCCAATCATTTTCTACGTCACGATGAGTCGTGTATGATCTTTATCGCCTATTACACGTTTTTCTGTTTATTATTTATTAACTTTATTTTTTTTTATAATTCTTTTCCTTATGCACACGTTCTATTATATATTTATTAAACAATTAGTGTAAATAAAAATAAATGTGTGAGCATGATTCGATCTTTCAAAAGTGTTGATAGCCAATGAATAGTCAAGTACGAGGAATTGAGCACGTTTTATACAGTTTACATTTTTTTTATGGAAATAAAAATGAATGCACATTCAATAAATTCATCCAAGATAGAAGTTATTCAAATAACTTTTATGAATATTATTGGTTAAATTAATAATTGGTGGTATAAACTTATCAGGGTAGTACCTTCTTCTTCCTCCATGCTGTCTGATCTTTTGTTAATGTTTGTACGTTGAAACTTGCTAACTTAGTGGCACTTTCTATCGATGATTCACTTAAGCTATCTCTCTAACGACGTTAATTCATCTGTACCAAACTCCAGGGTAAGTGTCATATGCTAAAGGTATATTCATTAACAGTTAAAACTCTTACATTTTCACACTCTTTGCACTAATATTTTTCTAAATAATTATTAATAACCGAATATCTAATCATTTTGATCACTTGTTGAAAACTTTTCATAGAAGTCTCTTCTCTAACTACTTTGACTTCCATTTATAACTAAAAATTCAATAAATTAAACTATTTAATAACAGTGATATGAAATAGGATTAAATGGAGAATTTATTATCAATTATTCCCATAATTGTAGAAATAAATAAATGTTGTTAGACATCGGCCGTTATTATTAGACGATGAGACCTCGATTAAAGCTCGCGAGGTCGCGAGCTGGCGCTCGGCGTTTTTCCGTCCGCGTTCACGGCTACGGCGCCTGCAACTGGTGGCTGAATGCGTGCAAGCTTCTCGACAGAGCTTGACTATAGCGCATTTGTGATAACTTGCTAAAGACAAAACGCGCAAGAATCTGAGCAACGGTTCTGTCTATTATTCTTACTACAACGTATGATAAAGCAACCGTAAACATCGGATCAAAAAAAAATGATCCTTTGGATTTTATTAAATAGACTCCAATTTCCCTTCTAGCAAAGCTTTCAGAATCGTTTCTTTTATTATATTATTTTGTTGCACTATAAAAGTCTCTGTTCAATCCAACTTCTTTTGTTATATACCCACAACATTCCCTGAGGAGTCATTATAATTTTTATTACTTTTTTTGTATTCAAGTCATTTTCTTTTCTATCGTCTTTAGTTAAAAATATAATTATATATACAACGACAACGCCCTTCTAGCTCTTTTCATTAACTTGATTAATTGAACAATTAATCACTCTTATTGTTTTTATGTTCATGTGGTCTTAACAAGAATTTTTATTTAATTATTTCCTCCATTTGCACACTTATAAGTTTGATGTTAGTTTATGTGTTTATAATGTAAATTCAGGAAGCATAGCAAATTCTTAGATTACTGTTTATTTGAAAAATGAGTGATATTAAGTAACATAAAAGGTAGTGGTTTTCAGAAGAAAAATTCTTTTTGTTGGCATAATGGTCTTGGTGTAAGTATGAAAGAGTTTTATGATAAAAGAACCACTTGTTGTGTCCGCTACTGGTTTTCATGTCAGCTGGACATCAGTATTATGTATGATGAGTTATGTTGACTTCTTGAATTGATTTATCGTTAAAGATATTTTTCATATTAATAAGTTGTTAAATATATTTAAGAACTTAATTTTATGTCGAAAAATTAGAAAGATCAACTGGGATACATGAATTAAACTTTTATATGAATTATCGTAGAGCTCAAGTGGCTTTCAATTCTCAAGATATCAATCGCTTCTTCATTATGGCGCTTCTAATTCTCTTTCAATTCCGAGAAATTTAAGCTGTTGAATTGGGCCGTATCTACATTAATAAAAAAAAAGTAGAACTAAGATAGAATAACGTATTAAGACAATTACAAAATTTTATTACATGCATACCGATAATCAAAAAATAGCTCTTCTCCAGGTTGAATGTTTCTGTTTGCAAAAATTCCAATTCTATGGTCTCCGTTTACCATCAAAACTTTCGCATAGCAGTTAGGATTGATTGAGTGGTTAGCAAATCTTATTTTGTTGCCCTTCCGTGTCGCATCGACGACGTAGTCTGTAAACGATGTGACATTATGATCGATTATAATTATTCAGGATGAATATAAAAAATAAGGTAATGTAATTTCATACCATTATTGAGATTGAAGAGAAAGCTACACTTGCGTTTATCATAAACTTTGCCCCGTCTTTCAGCTTCATCTTGACTGATTATTTCACCACAATATTCTGATATGAAGTCATTTTTTGAAGCTGGTTCTTTAAGAAAAATTCCCCAACCAGCTATATCGGATCGAGCCACAAGAAGGTGTTTGTGAAGTCTTCGTTGAATATTGATATTTCTACACGAATTTGCCATAATGTAAAACTGATCAGCACCACAAGTCTGACATAGATCGGGATCGCATTCACGGACAGCATGATAACAGGGGCATTGTTTCGTATTACACTGAGCTTTGCATCGACACCCGGGAAATCTATTTTGACATTCAATACTGCATTGACAGAACTTTTCACAGAAATTAAGTCCTTTTACACAAGGACATGAATCGTCACATTGTTGACCAGGATGGTCACAGGGTACATAGTTATGGATGTAAACTGGATCAGTTTCTCTTCTTTGCTGAATTTTTTTACCATGAATTGACCAAATTCTTTGCTTTTTCTTTTTTTTCCGAAAAGAGATAATATTCTCAGGAATTTCAAGTGAAGGAATTTCATGACCTTCCTTTAATGCAAAATCGTAAACTTCTTTACATGATTTGGTAAGAATTATTTGCGCAAGTGCACAAGGATTACTAGGAAATGCAGGGTAGAGAGCACGGAATAAACTTTGCTCAGATCCTGTCCATATAGACTTTTGCTCACTTGTAACGCATTTATCGAGATCAAATAACGTAAATGGAAATTCTTTATCCTTATTTTCATCCTGATTCCCATTATTTGTAAAATTAGTATCATGGTCTCTATTATCTTCAACTTCTACTGTACACACAAAAATAGATCATGTTATAATTTGTCATAGAATAATTTTGAAAATTTTTTACCTTGATTACTAGAGTCATTGAACTTATGACTATCAAAACTGTCTTCACTGCTATCCTCATACCCAGTATCTATGCTGACTGTTCTTCTCGGTTTATTATTTTCTTCCATTTGTAATCTTTCTCTCTTCATTTGTATTTCACTTAACTTTTGCTTCACTTCTTCCAAGTGTTGATAACATTTATCTCCACATGGTTTATCAAAGAGTTTGAGAAAAGGTCCTTTTCTGTGTTCTACCTTTGGTTTCAAATGATGAACGTCAACACCTCCGAGATTAAAAGAAAAATAATAATCAGAACACAGATATTGAACTGATTCATAAATATTATTAATGCTTACGATGTAAAACACAGTCATATTTAAAACATCTCCTACAGAAGAGAGTATGAAATGAATGCATTGTTTGACGTCTTGATGTACTTTTTGCTTCTACGCCATCAATATTTGTAATACTTTTTAGAAATAATGTTCCCGGATTTGACTTTTCTGTCAGACGGATGTATTTTTCTCTTAATTCTTCAGGTTCCCCTTTTTCAGGAAAAAGAGATGCAATAGCCTGTGAAGAATATGATTTTTAATCATGTCATTTTATTTACTTTGTCATCATTAATCTTACATTAAAAATATTTATTGATGGTGATCGGCGAGAAATTTTTTTGTTACCAACATCATTTGGAGAGATAAATTCTTGAGCCTTTTTTATTTCGGTTTTTTGTTCTACTTTTTCTTTATTAATTCTTGGAGATTTTCTTAGTTGAATATTTTCATATCGTCGCAAAGCATCAACTAGCTCTACAAAAAGTGTATCATCTAAGAAAGCTGATTTACCATGAACCTATAAAAGTATTTATTCAATATCATCATCATTGATAAAATAAGATTACTAAAATAATTTAAGGTACTTTGCCATCATAATTTTTTATTAATTCATCAATAAATTTTTCATCATCTTCGAGTAATTCATCTTCCATATACGGAATATTATGCAATACGGTTTCATCTTCAACCATAAAATTTTGTTGTATAGGAGCCCATGAATACATAGCTGGTATTGGTATAACCATATTCATAGTTTTTATGGAACCAGTTTGAATATTTTCATCTAAGTCTTGAATATTTGCTTCTTTCACAGTTTCAATGTGTGTAGGTGACTTTTGTTTTGAACACCAGACAGCGTTTCCATTTGTAATTCTCTCATGTTCAACAACCTTTAAATCTAAAGAATATACTTTTAATATTCAAGCGAAAAAATTTATTTGAGTATAAAAAATTGTTACCCATTATATTTTGACAATTTTGTTTCCAAGCAAGCTTTATATCATCCTTTCGTTTAAACTTTTTCATTCGCCTCAAGTTCATGTATTCATATTTCACACGCCTTTTCCACTCAAAAACAACTTTAACCTTTGTCATTATTTATTAATGATTAAGATTTTTCGCAATACACAGTCAAAATATACAACATTAAATTCAACTTCGATCTTTTTTAGTTGAAATTTCACAGCATACTGCTTGATAATTTTTTTTCTGAGTAAATTAATTTTATTTTGATCTTTCTATTGGTCACCACACTAAACATAAACAAATAGACTATTTTGATTATCAACCTTCATGTCCTTCAGATATCTGAATCTTTAAGATGCCGTATAAACAGAAATAATCTTGTTGTTATTAAACTAAGTAAATAGTATAGTAGTAGCGGTAATTTTAGACTATCGCAGTCCCTTTGTTTTTTTGTTTTTTTTTTACAAAATAGTAGAAAAAATAAGTCGTAGTAATCCTAAAGTACAGAAGCGTATTAATATAACAATTTACAGAATTATGAAATTATTTTTGTTAAAAAAATTTTTTTATTGAATGTCAAATAATAATTTATTTTGAAACATTGATAATAATTTACAAAAACATTTTATTTTCGTAAAAAATTAAAATGAATAAAAATAACTTTCATAAACAATACTCGACAAGTATAAGGAATATAATGATATTAATTTAAATAATTGGTTAGTATGTAATAGGTAATTACAAATTATAAAGTGAAGCTTAGAGCTTTAATAGGTCATTTTAATTGATTAATAAAATACGATTATCTCTAACATTAATTTACAACTAGGTCTTATTGTTAAATATTATAGCAGCTATAATATAGCTGAGATTATAAAGTTCTTAGATCGACTAATAAACTTCTTTGACAACTTTTTATCAATAAATTATTGATTTAATAATTATGTACATTACTCAACATAATTTGAGCAAGATTTTCTCATTAGAGAAATTCCATTTCTCTTTCAATTCCGACGAATTTTAGCTGCTCGGTTGGTCCATATCTACATAAAAGTATAAATATCAGTTTTTTAAGTCTAAGTTCAAATTTTTAACACTTTTTATTGACTTACCTGTAATCGAAAAATAATTCTTCTCCAGGCTGAATAGCTCTTTTCGCAAAAATTCCAATTCTATGATCACCATTCACCATCATGACTTTTGCATAACAGTTAGGATTGATAGAATGGTTAGCAAATCTTATTTTGTTGCCTTTCCGTGTTGCATCAACAACAAAATCTGTCAAAAAGTTAAATTATATTATTATCATTATTATTCATCCTTCCATGCAAAAGTAATGTATTTTCATACCATTATTGAGATTGAAAAGAAAGCTACACATGTATTTATCATAAACTTTTCCTCTTCTATCAGCTTCATCCTGGCTGATTATTTCACCACAATATTCTGATATAAATTCATTCTTCATCGCTGATTCCTTTAGGAAAATTCCCCAGCCAGCTACATCAGACGGAGCCATGAGAAGATGTTTATGAAGCCCTCGCTGAACACTGACGTTTTTGCAAGAAATTCTAGTAATATGGAATTGATCAGCACCACAAGTCTGACATAGATCGGGGTCGCATTCACGAACAGCCAAATAACAAGGGCATTGTTTAGTATTACACTGAGCTTTGCATCGACACCCGGGAAATCTGTTTTGACATTCAGTACTACACTGACAGAATTTTTCACAGAAATTCTGAGCCTGAATACAGGGACAAGAATTATCGCATTGTCGTCCGGGATGATCACAAGGAGCAAAGTTATGTACATGATTTGCACCGGAATCCTTTTTGAGTTGTATTTTTCTACAATGCATTGACCAAAGTCGATGCTTCTTCTTCTTCTTACGTGGTGGGGTATAGTCTTTCAAGCTTTCAATTTCCGGAATATCATGAGATTCTTTTTGTGCAAACTCGTATACTTCCTGACATGTTTTTGTTAACATGATTTGAGCTAACGCACATGGATTTCCTGGAAATGCTTTGTACAGAGCACGAAATAAACTTTGCTCAGAACCTGTCCATATGAGTTTGGTTTCTGACTTTGCTTTTTTATCGAGTTCAAGTAACGTAAACGGCGATTGATGATCAGGTTGTGCTTGTTCTTCAGCTGCTTCCGGTTTAGAATCTTGATTTACATTTTGTTTGAAATCTGTATAATAAAATATTTATTTTCTCTACAGCTCTTTCAAAGATTTAAAACAACTTAACAATTACCTTGACAACTACCTCCTTGGCTGTATTTGTTACTATCATTACTATCTTCGCTACTCGCTTCATTTCCTGAATCAACGCTAGCTTGTTTCCGTACTTTACGGGGTCGTTTATCATCACTTTCTTCTTCTTTGTCTGCAGCTTGAGCGGCTAATTTTTCTTTCATCCCTTCCTGAATAATGCATCAAAAAAATCCTTTGTTATTTCTACCAATTTATTCACGATTAAATATGTAATATAAAAATTGTATAATTTACCAGATGCATAAAGCATTCGTCTCCACAAGGTTCTGAAAATGGTTTGAGATCTGGCCCTTTTCGTTTTTGCAAATTCGGTCCTGGATGACAAACTTGAAGACCTACGTAATAAATAAAAATAACTGATTAAAAATAGAATAAATTATTTAATAATTATTTACTTGAGATGAACGATGAGTGAATAGTGATAGATGAGTCCTTGTAGATACCTCTGCGCTATGTAAAAAAAAATCTTTGGATAAAATAATACTTTACCTTGCGGTGGTATTCCTCTAGTTGCTGTATACAATAAAGAATAATAAAGAAATAGAGTTAATTAATTAATTTATTCTATCACTGCTTTATCGCCCGATAAATATAATTTAAATAAAATTTATTATTTAAAAAAATCAATAAACTAAAGAACTTACGATGAAGAAAACAGTCGTATTTAAAACATCTACGGCAGAACAATGTGTGAAACGAATGCATGGTTTGTTCTCTAGGAACACTTTTAGCATTGATACCATCGATGTTAGGAGTACATTCTGGTGGTAATACATTAGGATCTGAACGTTCAGTTAATTCAATATATTTTTCTTTCATTTCTTCTGGTCTACCTTTATCAGGAAACATACTCGATATGGCCTAAAATATAGATGGGTCATTAAATATCAATTTTTATAAAAAAATTAAGTGTTATAAAATATTTGATTACTTACATTAAATATATGCATTGATGGAAATCGCACATTTCTTTTATCTTTCAATTCGTCATTTTTCTCAGTTTTACAGTCATTGCGTAAGTCTCCATCTTTTTTATCTCGGTCTTCTTTGTCTTTAGGTTTTTTTACTGCTTCCCTTTCTCTGTCATCCTTTTCATAGTTCAGTAAAGCATTTACTAAATCCACGAATATTGAATCATCCATAAATCCTGATTCTCTATCCCCATGTACCTACAAAAAATTGACAAATGATCAGAATAAAGTTTTGACTTTAAAGTGACTGAATTATTGATATACCTTGCCATCATAATTTTTAATAAGTTCTTCGATAAATGTTCCATCTTGATCAAGAATTTCATCCCCCATATACGGAATATTATGTAATACAGTTTCATCTTCAACCATAAAATTCTGTTGTATTGGAGCCCAAGTATACATGGTAGGAATCGGAGTAACTGCGTTAATTATTTTTACAGCACACATATCAAAATCGCCATCAAGGCTTGTGACTTCAGCTGTTTTCATACAAGATAAATGAGAGGGAATGCCGGCCATAGCTAGCCACACAGCTTTTCCATCAGCCCATCTCTTTTGTTCCGTAACAAGAAGATCTAAACAAGTAGAAAAATGAGGAGAAGCAATCACAACAAAATAACAATTTAAATTAAATAGGAATTAAATAGTTATATCGTAACTAAATATTGTATTATTATTAAAAATTAAAAAAATAAATATTCCGTCATTTACCAGTCATAGTTTTTCTGTTCTGATTCCATGCGATTTTGACTTCATCTGCCCTTTTATACCTTTTCATCTGTCTCAATCTCATGTATTCTGATTTCACGCGTTTTTTCCATTCTGCCGACACTTTAGCTTTCGACATGATCTTCGACACTATTTTATTACAAACCCTATTATATTTACACAATAAATATAATAAAATAATAAAGATTTTCAACTTCTAATGAAAATAAAAACTCTAAATTAACTTTACTCCACCATTAGTTGTTGAACAAAAAAAAAACATAAAAATCGATCTTATTATACATGTTTTAGAGGGAAATGCGGTGAGAATTCCTCTCTTTGTGATTTAGTTGCTTACGTCACCGTTTGGCAGCAGTGACGTTTTTAACTACGCCATCTCACAGCAGTTATTTTACTCACATACTAAAATAAATCTGTTGGTACAACGGAAAATCCCGTAAGTTTTTCCTTTGACTCATTTTGAAATGTACTTTGCCGGCTTACAAAATATTATCTCAAAAAATCATGTCACTTGTTGCTCACACATTCGTTTTATGAGTTCTTTTGCCCATTATTTTGATTGCTGGTTGATGACGTACAAACCTCGTATAATATTGAGCAGATCATTACATATTTTGGCGGCAAAGATGCTAGACAGTTCGCGGAATTGCGAAAGTGAGTCAAAGTGTAAACAAAACTCGATCCAACGCCGTTGTTTATTTTGGAGTATTATCTTTCTTGGTTTGTTTCTTTCTATCTAGTGTTGCAACTTATTGAGTGGTATTTAATCTTTAAAGATGAAAAGAACAATAAACTTTGAGGTGTATATTGAGTAAAAAACTTTCAAAAATTGTTGTTGAAAATAAAAGTGTTTTATAATTTTTCAAAAAGTCAGAGTGTGAATGCAGTAAAAGTATTTACTAGACTTTATTATTACTGAAATGAACTTAAATGTCACTGAGAGGATGTAGATAATTGAGTTGGTAAGTTTACTTCATTTATTAATACTATTTTTGAAAAAAATTTCCATCGTAATTATATTTTTGGTTTAAATTATTCATTATTTAGTACATCGCAATAAAATATACACGGTACCACTCATTGTACGATAATCTCCACAATTATATGAGAAGACATTTTGCAACAAACATATCAGTCATTCTTAATTTTTTTTTTTATATTCACAAATTACATTAGAATTTTGCGAAAATATAATCAAAGTTTCAACTTTTTACATAATATTCATTATACAAAGTTTGAAAATAATTTTATATTCCTTTCAACCATCATCAACGTATTTCAAAAACATCAACCTTTGGCAATGATTTTCCAAATTCTCTTCAACAAATTTTCAAAAAATCATAAAAAATTTTACTGCTAAAATTTAAATATACAAAATTATTATTTAATAGAATTATTGATTATATTAAAATGATATAAAAAATTATTTTTAAATTGTAACTAGGATTAACAGATAATAGTTAATAAATACTCTTATTATCCTTACAAAGAAACGAATTATTAATTCAATTGATTTGATATAATACAACAAATGGAATTGAGATTAGTTTCCCTTCATTCATTCATTCATTATTATTTTATTGATTTTGTTTTCAGTATACTTATATTTTTTAAATATTTATTATAATTTTCTCTATCATTACATGAATGTTTCTCAAGCGATAGTTTAATACTCAACACATAAGACATCACATTGATTGTTTTATTTGTATGACAATAATGTTGCACGTTAGTACTACTAAATATTTTGTTTACTTAACTAGAAGTGTTAAGGGTATTTTTTCCCCAAGTTCTCTACAAATTGTTCACGCATTCTAATTGGCGTATTTTGAAAGAGACAATGATACAAATGATACATATATTTTTCTTACATGATTACTACATGTTTCAATAATTTATAGAAATGTGAAGATAAAAGTCTTCTTTAAATCATTTGTTGGAAGAGAAAAAAATATAATTATTTAAATGTCTTATCCTTAATATGTATAATATCTATGTATACATATGGGTCCCGAATAATTATTTCATATATCATCTTAAGCTATATTATCGTGATGTCCAGTAAACTGATATTCGTAATTTTGTTTTCTAAACATTATATTGGACGTTATTCTAGTATTCGTGTCTGTACATGAAAAATGTATTGATTTGAAGTATATGTCTTGTATTATTGAATTTTAAACCTCCACATCTTTATCACTGAATTATTCATGAATTCATCACTTGACTATTTCAATAATTGGATACCGAATTATTCGAGCATCGTAATTATTTTATGACATTTTAGGACAAAAAATATATTGATTCACTGATATTATATTTATTCATTCGAACATTAGAGTCTTAGTGAAATTATAAAATATTTGGCTAGTTATATTAAAAAAAAAATCTTTCAGATTGTCAATCACTTAGAATAAATATGGTATAGATATGCGTAGTTTTTTTCAAACTATAAATTAATAAGAGAAAGAAAAAGTTCAAAATATTTTTACAAGCACAATACATAATTTTGGTTAATTTCAATATTTTCGAAGCAATTTATTAGAGTTTTATGAATCATTAATATTATTTCAATTTTTTATGAGCCGTAAAGTCGATTATGATTTTTAGGATAAGCTTTTATAATATTTATACATATATTTAAGGAATTTTATATAAGTTTTCTACATGTAAAGTTTTAAAAGTTTAAGATTGAAATTTCGCAGTTGAAAATCAATGTGCGGCTTGAACTTTAATTTTTTATTTTCGATTGTCAAATAGATAGATTAGCAGTACTCATTCAGCTTTTAATGGACATTTTAGTTTTATGATTATATTTAGTTAAGCGTTAGAAAAGAAAACTCTTAGTCATGTTCAAAAGTCAAATTTAACAAGATTATATACTAGGCCATTTCGTTTGTAGAAAACATTTATTTAGTTTAGATAGTAGTTATTTTCAGTTTTCAAGTAAATATTGAGTAATTATGTATTATGTATTAAATAGTAGTTTAAAGATATAGTTTAATTAGAAATGTTGCAATAAATAGTCCTTATCATTTTTGAATGATACATTATTATATATATATTCATTACATTGTTTTATATAGATTATTCTTCAGTTAATAGAGGCCACAGGTATTCGATGCTAAAGGTAGAAAAATTTTCAAATTTTAATGAAGAACTTTTTGATAAAAAATTGCAATTTATAGTTAATAGCTTCATTGCAATAGGATTGTCCCTTTCAAAAAGTTTTCGTTTCTTCGCAATTTCGACATTTTCTAGGCCGTTATTATTATTGTAATAGTCATTTAATTTAGCATAGAGAACAACAAAAAATTTAATATTTAGATGTTCGATTGAAGGTCATTTTTATAATTAAACACTTCATATCATATTATTTGGTAACGCATTATACACAACATTATCAATATTTTTCGATTTTTTTCAATTTCGTGTACAGATTTTTTATTTCATAACTAACCCTACTATACACAAATATTAATCTCAGATAGATTTATTCATACCTTTATAACATTTGTTTATCTATCGAATTGTCTTCGTTTATTTCATTTATTATGTTATCTATTATTTTTAAATTTTGTTTAGTTATCACTCATATTGTTTTTCAAACCATTTTTTTTGTGTTTTTATAATATTTTTTTTTTTGGGTGAAATGAGCGCATTAAATCCCATATATTCTATATCTAAACATTGATCTATCAATTTTTGGTAATCTGTAATTTATATCTGTAATTGATCTGGAGTATATTTGAAAATAAATTATCAGAAATGCTCTAATAATTGTTCTTTTGTAGCTCAGTTCGAGAAATACTGTGTTAAATAATTAACAAATAATTAGAACGTAACTTTACATTATTTTCTGGCAAAGTAAACATTATGACCTTACATCATTAAAATTATAATACGATAATTATACACATATTGGCCGTTAATGTTCTACTTTCTTTATATTAAAGTTAATTTCAGAATTTAGTTTAGAAAAAAATCTTAACTCGACCCGCGAGTTAATAAGTAGTCGCTAATTTATTATTACATATATATATATATTTTTGAAAATTTTAGAGAAATAATGGAAAAAAAAAAAAATCTATAAAGTGCCAAGAACAAAGATCCAAAAGTTTATTAAGATTGAGTTTTTTGCGAAAATTGCAAATTACTGACTCTTCAAAAGATTGTTAAACTGTCGTTAAGATGAAAAACTTCAATATTTAATTTTATTCTAGTACTTTTTTTGTTCCACATTTCTCTATAATTTTCTGCCCATGTTACTTATACATTCAACTTTGACTAACTTTCAGAATTAATCGTTATACTTATTAGGCCTTTACTTTTTTTTTTTTTTTAATTTTTTACTTTCATTTATCGTGCAGATTTAGTTTCAGGGTTGATTAAAAAATAAAGTAATTGAATGCACATTAGTTTCGTATTATTATTTGAAGTATTATGTAGAATGAATTATAAGTGAAATTCAAAAAGTTATTCAAAGTTTTTTGTTCACAAATGAAAATAATTCGTTGATAGAAGATAGAATTTTCAATGTCTCTAACAACGTGGTGTTTGTGTAGTTCACAAAACTCGATCGAACCCTGAATTGGATCAACCAAATGGCAATGAAAATTAGATATCGATCGACTTTTGTTATCAGCGTTAAATACACTTTGTTTTTTAATGTCATTTTTCATCTTTTCCTCATCACTGGCATCAATGCCGTTATATTTTCGGGAAAAATAGACCCTTTTCTGATGCTACCCAATATTCAGTGACTCCATAAATAATTACATTAATTATTGATTATCAAGATTCTTTTTAGAATTTTCAAATGAGCTCTTAAAGTTATAAAATATGATATAAATAAAATAATCCTCCGTTATTTAATTCTTCTACCCGTTTACATGGCCTGAAGCCTTCTGCAGGTACACCTTTTATTGCTTAGTATCCTTTGGTATTGCCATAGTTTTTAGATATTTTTGCATTATCACGCGAAAACCAAGTAATTACACTTTGTACATTCTATTCTTCTGTGCTCTGGTAATTTTATTTTCAAACACGATATCTATTTTTTTAATAAAATCTTCCAAATAAATTGAGTTTCTTTTGTATTATTTCATTGACAATATAATTCTTTAAAAGTATAGAAGAATATATCTATATGTATATATTTTTTATAATTACATTTTTTATCAGGAACTCTAGTTTTTAGCATATTATTCTTTCCCTTTAGTATATCTTTGCTATTACTCTGTTGAAAAATATAATTTATTTACATATACCTCTTCTCTATTTGATTGTTATTTCTTTTTATGAATTCATAAAAATATTCAGTAGTATATGATTTCTGTCAATGAAATAAAACAATAAGTAAATGAACCGAAAAATGATAAAGTCAAATTAGAGTTTGATAATGAAATAATCACGAGTCACTTTTTTCTATCAGGAAATAATTTTAATCTCTGACTCAGTCTCATCTTTAAGCAAAAGGCTCAATCTGAGATCGAGTTCACCAGCTTCTAGGGCCCATTTTTCCCTTAACCATCATGGGGAATCAGCCGTTTGCGTCCCAAGTGTATGAATTGGAAAAATTGAATACCATCCTACAGTAAGTTTAGTTAATGGCAAACGATCGAGGTCAACTTCAGCACCACCCAGTCCTTGGTTACTTCCAAAGCCTTGCTTCTTTTCCCAAAGCATCACTAAGAGATTTCGTCCAAGTGCGTCACAACTGCCATACTTGAGGGTCTGCCGATATTGAGGATTTCGTGAATGGCGAATTACCCGGGTTTTCCTTTTGTGCAACCAACGTTCTCCATCACGTAAATACGTCTTCACATAAGTATCTAAAATGTATTATAAAATCTATTATAATAATGATAGCAATCATGGATTTTTTTTTGGCTTTGATACATGAAAAGTACGAGGAAGTTTTTTTTATCTCTTTTATATTTTATTTTATATTATATTTTAGATATAAAAAATTTACGGTAAAGTTCTAGAAATTTATTATGAAAATAAATTTTTGATTAAGTAGAAAATATCATGCTTTAAAATTAAGTAGGAAAAAATAGAAGTGATAATTATGAAATAAATATTGAAGTGAAAAATAAAAATAAAGTTGACACAAAGTGAATTAAAACTTTAGTTATGTCTAATTTTAAAAATAGAACGAAAAACGGAAAATTTTTTCTTCATTTACTATTACAAGTTTATTCTGAAATTTATAAAGACAGAAAGTTTTCCAATTGTCATCGTAAATTGACTTTTATCTCATTACCTGGCTCTTCTTTTTCTCCTGGACAGATGTCTCGTGCACAAATTACTTCAACTTCGAGTGTTCCTTTACTGAGGAACAAGGCCAATTTTATTTCGCCATTTTGCATACCTAAATAATTTATCAAATTTATTATTAGGTCAGAATATGGATGTTGGAATGAATAAACTTCGATTTAAAGTTTTATCATACCTTCAATAAATTTAAATCCTCTGGGAACAACTTGTCCTGGACCCAATTTTAAATCTACACCATTTTCATCTCTCGTTTGGCTGTAATTTTTTCCATACATTCATATAAATCGCGGGTATTTTGTAAAACTATTATTTGATAATTTTAAGGAAAATAGGTAATAATTTCTAGTTTTTACCTCCATTTATCATCTTCATCAGAGTCGCTGTTACGATCGCAAAATCTCTCTTGTAATGCCATCATTGTAGGTCCAATGCTATCTCTTTTTTCACCACGTCCACTAATGCTTTCTTTGCGCTCATCTCGCCCTATGATACATTGTTGAACCATTTTTATTCATGTTATATTACTAGAAACTATAGAAAATACTTTTAAGAGACTGAGAATACAATGAAAATGGTATCGTTAAAATCATCAACTTAAATTTATCTGCAATTATTCAAGTTCTTTTAAAGCTTCATCCTTTTTTTGTTTTTTTTCATAATAGTAATAAAAAACATCGTAAATTTATTTTAGACTTCATTTCCATTTTACTCTAGTCTTGTGTTAACGAATCTTTTCAGATTCAATTAACAATACTGATTATTACTATAATAACATTGCTATTTTTTTGTTGTCTAAAAGTTCCATTTTGATGAAGAATTAATTTTTTTTTAGAATTTTAGGAATTCATTTTTAGCTAAAAATGATGAAAATTCATTAAATTCAATGAGAGTATTTTTTTCCATCAAAATAGAACTATTTTTCAGTATATAACTGGAAAATGCTCTCTTTTTTTGTGTATAGAGGAATTTTTCCATTATTCTAAAGTTTATATGCTTTTTGTTTTTAACGATACATGAAAGAGCATAACAGGTCATTTAAAGAATTTATTTGCAAAAAAATATCTAAAAAACAAAACCATGTGTTGCCATCAACAAGTTGTGTATTCACTTTTGTTAGTTTATCTCAAGCAAACAGAAATAAATATAAAAAACAAAAAAAAATTTAACAATAATGACTAAATATATCGAAAGATAAATAGTTATTAAATGTAAATAGCATTCAGGATAAACAGATTACTTACTATTAGGTAAAAAGTAAAAGAGATTTGTCAAAAATAAATTGGATTAATGTTTTATATAAGTACTGAATTGACATGAGCCGTCTAGTCACGAAAAAAAAAATGACCAAAATACAGAAAAAGATAGAGATTGTCAATTTCGAACTTTTAGAACTAACACCACCCTCATCTTTTTCATCCCCCAATTGTTTTGTTCTTCGTCTTTCTTTTTTAACTTTTCATACTTCTCCATCTTGTCCGTTCACTTTCTCAACTCGCAAAGTCGCGAATCCAATTTATCTCACCCCATCTTGAAGTGCACCAATTTTAGCGACCTCGTTCGTTTAGTAAGCCGCCAACGCCTCCTCACTTCCTTCTCTCTAGTTCAGTATAAGTAGTACCTCTCCTTTTTTTTGTTTTTTTTTTATCCATTTACCATTTTATGAGGTTACCTCCTCTTCAGACTCAACGGCTCCGACTATTCAGTACTTGTACTTATACTTGAGCATGAAAACCTAGGCAGTTTGATATTGTGCCCTAGATAAACATTTTTTTAGTCGAAGGAAAGATACGTTTATTAACATTTTTTTACTAGTAAAATACGATGTTTTTTTAATAGAATCATTATTTTAAGAGAACTATTCCAGTATTATTTATTGTAAAAATTATTACACTGATAAGAAGATTTTATTACGGCTATTTATTATTCGTACATACTTGGTATTTTATATTCTTCTATTCCAAGTTTATAACTTTTTCATTAAATAATATAACTATTTGCAAATACTTTTGAAAATTTTGTTGTTTTCCAATACTTTAGTTTAAGTCAATTTTCAAATTTATTTTATAAATTAAATTGATATTTTTATGATAGATTTTTTATCGAAAAAAATGAACCTTTATAAAGTCTCTCTTTCAGTGTAACAAAATACGTAAAACACTTAAAAATTAAGTTCAATCGATATTTTCATAACATTATTAGAGAAATTATAAAGATATACATCTAAAAAGTGTAAAAAGATTATTACTTATGCTACTAATCGTGCCAGTTGCTACTTATTTACTGCAAAGTGCAAGCTTCTAGAAGAACCACTACTCATAATCCATTGACTTAAGAAAATTTTACAGAAATAAAAGAGATTGCAACAATCTAAGAGATATAATAAAATGACTAAAAATTAAACAAATATCTATTGTATTTTTGCTATATTAATTATTGTAAATAACGAAAATTCGTCGAGCAATTAAAAAACTACTTCTATTACAATCTCTCGACAAGTTCCTTTTTAAATAGTTACAAGTATACTCCTAACCAATTACTCTTACCTAATAAATATTAGCTCATGACTGCAGGTTATACAACTGGTATCAACTGGTAGCAATCAAAGTATATCTAAGGCAATCTTTTTCAACGTGGACGATATAATATACAGCAGAGAACAGAGGAACTTCAACAACTACAGGAATACTTTTTGTAACACTGTACTGTAGGAGTGTTGAAAGTATCAAAGCATAGGATTCAATTAAGATGTGAGTTTTTTTTTAGAGTTTTTGGAAAAAAGTGATTAGAAAAAAATTTTAAATCAAGTAAATAATGCTTTTTAAAATTTTTTTTTCTCCTTATAAGAATATATTGATAGGACAGGATAGGATAGTTGTGTGTAACTGTTTAAGAATAACAAAGAAAAAGGCTTGATAAAACAGTAGACAAAGAATAGAGCAGACAGACAGAGAGTAGTCTTACCGGTGCCCTCAATCGTTGGACGACATTGCCTTGCATTTATTATCGGGGTGGTGTGGAGTGCGGTAGTGAGGAGGAAGCCGAATTACCGGTCCTCGGAGACACAGGCTCGCACTGCCACACAGTAACTGTTGGGACTACGCACTCTGGTTGGCCGGGCCCAAAATCATGTACGGCCCGGTAATTGAACATAGGTTGGTAGTTGATAATGATGTGGTAGAGAGGTTCGTGGTGGTGGTTATGGTGGTGATGTTATATAGTTGATAGTGATTATAATTATTCAGTTGAAATTAATCGATTTTTTTTGTTAATTAATATTCATATCCGAAATTCGACCGAGCGAATAGATGCGACCGTCGATGGCGTATTTTATTAGCATTTGTATTTGTAGATGAGCAGCCGGAAAAACAAATACGAAGATTTTAATTGACTTTTAATAGTAAACTTAATGAAACTCTAGCACAATAATATAAATAACAAAGCTGTACAGAATTTGAAGTAGGCATTGTCGATGGCAGACTGTCGTCGGTCTAAAACTAGAAAGGACTCAACTTTGATGAGAATTTTATTAGCGATCAATGGAGAATTTTATTGAATTGCTGAAGAACGATTAATGAATGTGGCCAATGGCAGACTGCCGTCGTTAGCGTACAAATAATGAAAAATTGAAAATATATATCAATAAAGAGGCACAGATAAATATGAGTCCATTGGATGTATTTTTATGCAAACAAGATGAATAAATAAGGCAAATAACTTTAATAAGTAGCATTTTTTTTAGCAATTCATTTTCATGATTAATAACAAGGATAATTCTTTTTTTGGTTCAATAATAATTAGTACACTTTCAAGAACATATATTCCTTGATCACAAGATCAAGACATGGATATGAGAAAAGCGTGTGCGAGTTTTGCAAAATCGTGAAGATACAACGAGAGGTGAAGTTTCTCCAACAACATCCAGACGTCAAATGATGAATAATAACAGATATATATGTATATATGACAGATATATTCATAAACATATGTATGTACATACATATAGCATCATGAAGTAAATATGATGAGATAATAAATGTGATGAGATAAAATGTGAATTCAACCTAGACAATGAATCACTTCCAATGAAATTGGAAATACCTAACTTACTATCAAGAGCACTCTCATTTAGCTCACCACAATTTAATAATTTTCATTCAAAGTCAAATTAATTTATTTCTAGTTGCTGATTGAATATTTGTTTGGTGAAATTCAAATTTCTTGATTTTTTTTTTATTTTTATTTAAATAATTTCAATTTAATATTTATTTGTTGAATTGATTTTAAATATAAAAATTAACAATTGAACGAAAATCAACAAAACCATTTAGTATTTTCGATTTAAAATAAAAAAAAAAACGAATTTATTAAGCCATTTATTGGGTCTATTTTGTTCAATATCATTTGTTGTATATATTAATTTTAATAAAGTATTGTGATATTAAAGAAAAATTGATTGAAAGATAGATAAAACAAAATTGCAAGAAATTTCAATTTCATCGCTCGGTCGAAATATCATGAATTGGAATATAATTAAGGAAAAAGAATAAAATGCATTAAAGATAAAAGTTAATTAAAATATTAGTAATAAGAAAGTGGACAAGAGAGAATAAGACAAAATCACTAAAAATTTTTATTATGCACATGAATCACACATTCATCCATCTGTACATTATCATACTACATTTTACTTTATATAGATATATTAATTAAATGTGGTTTAAATTAACCTATCAAGTAAAATGTAGTATTAATTATATTATGTAATACGGAAAATAATGCTATAGACACGTGTTTCATTGAATAATAAAAAAAAAGACGAATACATTGAGATGTAAAGCGATGTGCAAGCAAACACTAGGATCATCAATGTATTAAGAATTGTTCAGACACGCATGGATGTTATCGTAAGTTAATGCCTGACTTGATATTGACATCAATGCACTTCAGATATATGGATGAGGGATGGGAGGATTAAAACATTGCACATCAGATATGTTAATTAAAATGCTATAGAAGATGATAGTGATAAGTGAATTAATTAATAAAATTGTAAGTAAATTGACAGGTGCGTTCATCGCAATAATGTGCATTTCATTAGTGATGAAAAAAAATATATATAAAAAGTCTCATGACATTGAAGTACAGTGAATTAAATGGAAAAATAAAATTGAAAAAAATGTTATGAATAGCAATGAAGAAAAAAAAACCAAAATGCTTTATGACACTTGGATTTATGATTGATTGTAATAAAATTACTCACGATTTCCTCGTCTCTTATCACTTGATAGACTCATCGTTCTTCCTAGTTCGCCTTTGGCTGCAACTTTCTTTAAAGATCTTAACATTTCTTCTGGATCGCGTACTGTACGAGCTACTGAACTACGTCGACGATCGCGATTGTAATAAATAGGTGGCATATCTGAATCCACAATACTTCCTCCTGATGAAAGAAAAAAAAATATTCAGTTTAATCGAAAGTTAAATAAATTAACAAAAATTTCGATCATTTGATAAATTGTTTGGAAATGATATAAACTTACGTTTACTATCAGTTCCTCCTTGGCTCTGAAAGCTACTTCTCCTGCTTCCTGGAAGAGATCTGCTATAGTCTTTGTTAAGTTCATATGGTTCTATCTCCAGTTGTTCAGATTGTGATGATCCACGTCGCGAGTTTGACTGCCAAGCATGATCAGGATGAAGGAAGTACGGTTCTGGGCTGCCACTATCACTTTGAGTATCTTCGCTATAACTTCGCTCCCTTCTCAATAGACGTTGAGCTATTTCCATCGATAGTGAACCACGAGGCGAAGCGTAGGGTGACTTTCCTGAACGTATTCCTCGCGGGTCTTCTAATCGATACCTGAACGGAGAAATGAAAAAAAATAAAAAACGTTAAAGTCAATAAAGTGTGGAGGAGATATATATCTATAGGAATGGAGCATATTCTCAATACTATTTCGTTTATAACTGGAATAAAAAATACAGAGTAATAGTTGGAAAAATAAAAACAACATTAAATTGCAGACAGTAATGGTCTAGGGATGCATTAAAAATATTCATATTTATTGACAGAAAATATTTTAAAACTGGTTTTATTGGAAAATGTTAAAATGATCTGGAATAGGTAGTTGGAAATCATCTAGGAGCTGAGGTATATCAAAAAAAAGTAGAGAAATAAATCAATAAACAGATGGTTAGAATTAAAGATTGATTTTTTCTAGTAACAGATGGAGAAAAAAAATAAATTTCCAATGCAAATAATTTAGCGGATATTTTGAAATTGGAAAAAAGAAATATTGAAGATAAAAAAATACTTGCCAAGCTTCTCTATCTGTTTCAAAAGCATTTTGTAGATCTACTGCACATTCACCAAGAAAAACATTATCTCCATCAGGATGACAATCCCAAAGTGTTACTTCAATCGTTCTGTCCATTAATTTATCACCAGATATACCCGGAAATGTTAAATTAGCATTCCAAATAGGGTTTTGTGACGGCCCAGCTACATCTGTTTGATGGGAATTTTGATCACCACTGTCAACAAAAATTACATTCAATGTCAATAAATTGTACAAACGTATTTTAAGATAATATTGAATATTATTGCAATAATTACCAAGGTGGCATAAGGATAAGTTTAGCAAATGCTTCAGGTGGTGAACCATCATCTCTAGTACAAAGTTCATCAGCAGCTAAAACTGATACTACAAGTTCTTTTCTATCAGCTTCATACCAAACATGAATTTGAACTCGTCCAGTAACTTGTCGTTCTTTTGCTATTTGTTCCTGAAATATTTGATTTGTTAGAATTTAATCTTTTACACTTAGTGATGTATATAGATAACATATGCATGAGCCAAGTATTTCCTAACTATGTCAAACATCAGATGTAAGAATTTCTTTTTTTCCTGAACTTTTCTATACGTCAACTGTAGGTGTATGGATGAACTGATAAAATTTGCATGAAAGTTTACGTGGAATACCAAGAAAGGAATGCTTGGCTCATGTTGTAGCATTTTAAAGTAAGATAAAAGAAAATAGAATAGTGGTAAAAAATGAAAAAAAAAACTTTTGAAAAAGTTGAAGAGCGGATGCATTTTGCATGCTAAGCATACACATCTGTGAAATAGTTTAGAGCGGCTTTTCATTGCCACCAATATTATTCATAATCGATGAATCCGGGTGAAACGATAAGGCGAAAAATAGAGAGGAAATGAGAGACGACAAAGAAACATTCGGGCTCTACTGAAAAGAAAAAAAAATAATGAAAATTATTAGAAATCATAGTGATATTAAAAATTCATTCGATTCTTCAAGAGCCCATTCTCATTCGTCTTTTTCACCTCACTATCCATTGGATTACTCCTGCCCTACTAATGTTTCACGTCCATTCTCATTTCTGGCTCTCCAGGGTACGTTGAGACACTATAAATCGCACCCCGCCTTCTCGTTTCCCCAGGATTTCAAACGAGCTCACTAGCAACTTTCGCATTCTTGATGGTATCACTACTTGTAAGGGCAAGCAAAACCATCGGATACGACTATCCCGTTATCGTACAATTGGGAAAAATATCAAGAAGAGAATGAAGTGAAAAGAGAAAAAAAGGAAAAAACATACGTATCAAGCATGACGAAATATCAGGATATATTTGATTAAAACAAACATTAAGATTAAATTGCGCCATAGTCTATAGACTTTTCCCAAGTATTGTTGGATATATCAATTTAAGTCAATGATTTAATATATTGAGATTTTCTTGAGGAAATGCCTCGAAGACCAGGCTCTGGATTTTTCTTTTTTTTGTTTTTAATAAAGATACTTTCAAGTATGTAAATATTGTTATTGAAAATAGGTCTAATAAGGTCTTCATTGCATGGTCTCCGTTAAATATGACGCGTATACTAATATCTTATTCATATATAATTATTAAAAACATTCTCATTATTCACATCATCTACTTGCTGAGTTACGCACACTTATTCTAATATTTCCAGAACTTGGAAAATTAGTTTTTTTCAGATAAACTATTAGAGTGATTTAATTATATAAATTGTTTAATTTAATTATTGTAAAACAATTTTTTATTTTGCTGATAAAGAATCTTATATAATTATTCAATTAACTCCAACAATTACTATAAAATGTTCTTGAGAAATTCACTTAAAGCACTCTAATATTTTTAATACTAATTAATTATTAAAGTTGGCTGGAAACAAAAATAAACAAATAAGTTAACGGTAAATTGCTGCGTAGTAACATTCGACATAGATGAATAACAACGAATAAATTAGATAAAATGTAAGTTAAATAAAAAGATTAAAGAATAATTCTAAAAATACTAGAGTCGTGCCAGTTGGGAGAGAGTAGCGTGAGGGCCAGTTATGCTAAACTTTTTTTTTTATCATAGCAATAACTTACATTTTCGTCATTTGTCAGCGATTTTTTTGTTAACTTTTCGTATGGGACACAGAGATGAACACGAATTAACATGGGAATGAATAGAAATAGAATGGAAACATAAAACAAAGAGACAACGTCCAAAACAGACGACAAAAAATACAGTAGGTTTTTAATTATTTTTTTTTCCATTTTTGGTTTTTTTCCAGAGATAAAGTAGAATTATAAAAAGAAGAATTATTTTAGTTTAAAGTAATATGTATATATGAAATAAATAAGTCAAAAGTAACATCGATAAACAGAAAAATAAAAATTTAATACTCTAGAAGAATGTTAAATCTAAAAGAAGTCTGGTTGATTGATTTAACTTCGAAAATTGAATTTCGAGTATATTTTAAAAGTTCCAGTCAATATTATTATTTTTTTTTTTTATTTTTTACATACATCCAGTTTTATACATGAAATTCTATTCGTTTGTTCGATTTTTACTCTAAGTTAATTACAATTGGGTTATTGTATGCATTGTAAGTCTAAAGATCTACGTAATCTAAATGTCATTCATGAATTCACGACAATTTAACTAATTTACTACCTTCTTGTGAGAGAGTAATCACTATTGAATATTTAATTATGAAGTAATGTATGCAGAAAGTTTTTATAGCTTCTGTTTCAGAATGATGAATTACTGTTGTTTTTTTTTTGTAACAGTCTTAGAGTTGAAAGTATCCTTATATGATAAATTTAAAAATGTATACACTCATAAACATTAAAATATTCATTTTTGGGATATTGTATTGGGAATAATTATCCTTATGTTGAATGTTATTACGCAACTCGCCCCAACTGACACGTTTATGTTTTATTGTTTTTATTTTTATTCGTAATTTCTTAGTCCTATTATATTTTATTTATAATAAAGAATAAATGCTGGAAATAATCTTTTATTGGAGCGAGAAAATGTTTGTTCTTAATGTTTCTAAACGAAATTTTGTCAATCTATTATCTAAATTGCAAAATAATAATAATGTGAATGTTGAAAAATCTGCGTGATTAATTGTGGCCTTATAATTTTACGAATTCAAAAAATTAAAAAATTATCTATTGATATTTTTTCAAGTTGATTATAAGATGATTTTATTTTTAAATTTCTCAAAAATTTAATTTTTAGTTGAATAATTTTATATTATATACACATATTAATTAATGAATATTTAAAAAGTACATTTACATTTACTACTTATTCAAATGTTTTGTTATTGATAGATTCAATTGTAGTTATAGGCATGGAAAAGTACATAGAATAATATTTACTTTTTGATGCAGAATTATTATATATGTAAATAGACAGTAATAATAATACTAATATATGAATTAGTTTTCAATATTTATCGAATAACATCAATATTTTAATATTAATTTTGAATGTAAATAATTTTTAAATTTAAATATCTTCTTTTTAGATAAAGTAGAAGAATAAGAAATGATAAGTTAGTTGAAACTTTTCTTTTATTCTACTAAATTCAATCTATTCTTAATAATTATTGAAAGAGATAATTTTTTCTTTTAAAATAAAATGTTTGAAAAATAATGAATTGAAACAAGTTTTTATCGTTAACTCACCAATTCGGATTATAATGATTATTCATTGAATACTACAAGATGCTATAAAATAAGCAAAATAAAAAAAGGTTTTTTAATTGAAGGATAAAATATAAAAAATTCATCAAAATATCACTACTTCATCTCTTCTATAAGGTACTTGATGTCATAAAAAAAAACTCTAAATGTCATTAAAATAATCAATTCCTTTGAAATATTTATTTATTTCCCTTAATCTCAATTTTAAAAAAATATTTTTCATCGAAAAATTTAGAACTACTTGAAAAAATGAAAATGATACTAAAGTAATTAATTAATGACATAATATATAACAAGCTTTTCCTACAGTTCAATTGAGCTATTCAGTTGATTCAATTCTATAATACATTGATGATTTGTTTGTAACCACAGCGACGTAAAAATCTTCTACGCGCGGTTCAGAAACTACTGTTGATTGTACGTAAGCATTAAGTGTCTCATTTTCCGTTCGAGTACTTATTTTAATGTTAATTATACAATTCCCCTCCCCAAATGTATTTTAACATAACATATGTCACTATAAATACCTAATATATATATATAGCTTTGATTAATATAAATGTATACATATATATAAATATTATCACAGAATAATCAGGAATTTCTAAATCAATACAATTGTTAGATTCAAATCAATATTATAAACAGGTGTATCGATGGAAATAATCGAAACTAGTGCTTAATATTGATGTGTTGTGAGTGCTTAAGTGATAAAGGAAAATGTGCAACAGTATACATTAATAAACTGTCTGTGAAAACGTACAAAAAAATTGGAAATCAACTGATTGTATACTACATTTACATATCTAATGGTAATCATAATACCGATAATGATTATGGTGATAATAAAATAATTATAATAAGACTAATATATTTAATTATATTTAAATATGTAAATATGTATATATTATATATTGGACGTGCATTATTTTTACTTAAATATTTACAGTCATTTTTCGTTTTTTTTTTTTTTAATTTCCGTGACATTCGCGTCAATGCATATTCGTTGTCACGTTCATTATTTACATAAAACAAAATAATATTTTTATTGTTATTATTATTATTATTATTACTAAGTCTAATCTATTATGTCACTGACAATACATTAAAAATGACTATTATCATTTTGGTACATTGAACGACAGACTAAAGAAGGTACGATTGGATGGCCCATTTTTTTCATTTAACAGATTTATAATATATAATATCCCTTTTAATAAAATACACTAAATATAAACTATTTATATATAAAGCTTGAAACGTCATCGATAAATCTAGACTCTTCTATTTTTCTAAAATCTAACTTTTAATTTCCTACGATTCATTTACTGAGCGATATTAGATTGTTTTTTTGCTTTTCCATTTATCGTACGAGTATAGTAAATAAAGGCAATAGAAATAACGAAATAAATTAAAAGAAAGATGTTAAAAAAGGTGAAGAAGTGAGGAAAGGATAGTTAAACGAAAATATAGACAAAGGTCACACTTGTAGACTCAATTTATCAACTCGTTATACCGGCGTCTTTGGAAGCTTCCTGCGGGTCGGTGACGAAGGAGTTTTATCCGTTTCCGAGTCTGGAAAATTAATGGGTATCTCGTGAAATTTTCACTGCATTTATATAGTAAGTATATAAACACACTTTGTTCCTATAAAATGTTGGAATAGGTTGGAAAGTAGTTATTCTGTTAAACTTACCTAATTGGAGACCGAGATTTCCTGAATTTTTTGCTGATGTTGACACCATTCCTGGTTCATCTAATAATTCTGCTTCCCTATATTTTTTAATAATAGAGGGAAAAATAAGTTAAAAATAAATTTAAACTAATTGTTAATTAGTAAATAATTATTTATTGTTTATTTATTTATTTAAACTATGATGGAATATTTGGAGGTAAAAGTTTTCTTTTTATATTAGCACTACTCACATATCTCCTAAATGTTCCACAACAAGTTCTGCAACATCGCCAGAACGTTCAATTATCTGTGTCACATCTTCGAAACTTCGATCGATGAGAGATACTCCTGCCCATTCGAGTACCTAGAATTGCATGAAATCAATGAGATATATATTTCTATAAAAAGATGACAATTTTTGACGTTATTACTGAGGTATTTTTATTAAATCCGAAAACTTCTTTTTTGTATTATATCAGTGGAAGAAGAAGTAAAAATAAAGAAAAGAGAATGAAAGAGATAATTAATTATTTTTAAGATGCTTTCAATTAACGTAATTATTAGATCTGATTTACATCAAAGAAAACTGTTATTATTACTTAGAATTCTAAAAGTAAATTCTTTCTAGTCTTGATCTTAAGTTCTTAGAACTTTGCAAATGACTTCCTACACTTTTTCACTGACGTAATCATGTCTCGGAGGATTCTCAAGTTGAGTTAAAAATATTATTCAATATAAGATTTAATGACTTTTTTTAAGTTATTGACTATTCCAATATAATACTTATGAGAGTAAAATATATTTTTACAATATTTCAGATAATTTATTATTATTTTTGACTGGAATATTTTTATTGATTTTTGCTGATATTTTTTTTATGCTTATTCATTCAGTTAATAGACAGAAATTAATTTTCATCAAGTTTCCTTTCATATGTTTTTGTTATAATTCTTATAACTAGATTATTTTCCGACACTGATAGAAATAGGATGGAGAAATAACATAAATGAAGCTTGATAAACCTTCCATGAATGCAGTTTACTTTTCTGTATATCATGTCCACACAGTTTTGTAGCATATACCGTATATATCCGTGCAAACATTTCTCATCAGACATATAATAGTAAGCCGACCTAGATCGAGCTTGCACACAATTGTGTATATATAGTGCATATAAACGATATCAGGGTGCGGCACAGCTTACATTGGTAGAAAAATATTTTCAAACTTGAAGACAAATTTTTCCAAGTATCTAATTCATAAATCTGATCAAGTTCAACTAAACTTGTTGGATTAGGGTGGATGTATCTTCTTCGTAGATACTTCAGAAACATCAGTAATATAATACGTACAAGTAGAATTTGAAAAAAAAATATTATACTTGGATTGAAGAAGAAGCTTTTTCGATAAAAATTTTTAAGTAATAAATTTTGTTAAATGATAATAGAAGTATTGATATGATTTAATTTATTTAAAAAATTTTTTCTAGTGATTTATTGTTGATAATATAAAAAACTAGTTTTTAATATAAATGGAACAATTCTTATTCAAAGTATTGAGTGATAATATGAGTCTATCATGATTGATGGAATATGATATGATTGAAAACAATAAATAACTATTTTCAGTTTTATTTTTTAAATTGATAAATAAATTGCATTTTTATACATCTCTCACTAACATTATATATTGATAACAGATATTTTACTCCCAAAAAAAAAAATTAATAAATTAATATTAATGATTCAAAGATATTTTGTCGAAATTGACAAAAAAATATTTAGAAGGCCTAACATTTTTTTTAAAATTCATGTCAATGATTATTAATATATCTCATTGAATATTATAGTTCTTTTAGATTTTTTTCTTGAGCTAATATCCATTTTTAATTTTTCTCATCAATTTTTCATAATCCTCTAAAATCTCTAGGATCTTTAGAATACAAAAGGAATAACGAAAAATTTGAGTTGATTAATTTTTTTTATAATCCTCCAGACGAGAAGATCTCTATAAAACTCTGGCAAATCGGATGAGATTTTATCGATAGTTTGACGTATGTACTTTATTATTAGTGTGGCTTTCGGTCGTTATCGAAAAGAACGAGACTAAGTACTATCGCATGACGTAACAAACATCGACATAAGTTGAGGGTGAAGCAAGAGAAGGTATAGTATATAGAAAGGCTCGAGGGCGTTCGATAACACGACGTTCAGGGAGTTTCGTGCAATTAATTACAGAGGAGGTAGACCTTTCTCTATTAACAACAGCCGCGAGCTGTGTTTTCTGGCAATTAGAGAAAGTAATACAACATAACTGAGTGGTGACACTCTTTTTTATCTGTTATAAGTATCCAAGACGAAAAAAAACTGTATATTTTCTATTGGTATATTGATTTGTCATTTGGGTTATAACGTTTTTTAATTTTATGGAATACAATATTCAATTATTCATTTCAATTAAAATAAAATTATTTAATTATTTATAATTGTTAAAAGTCAAAGGTTACATTTTATTTATTGGTTTTAAAACTTTTATCTCATCATCGAATCGATTTTCTGATATTTATTGAATGTAGTGGAAATATTATTAAAAATATCAACAATTTTTGTAAATTTACTGTCAGACGCAGCATATGGACAAAATAAAATACAACTATGGAAGAAAATCATTTTGTTTAAAATGTAATATTTTCAATTTTTTTAGAAAAAATATATATAATGATAAATACTTTGTAAAATGAAATATTCTTTTTTCACTCAATTAACAGATAAAAAGCATTTTGGATTACCTAAAATCTTAGACATTAAGTAAAAAAAGATGAAAGATACAAAATTTAAAGTAAATTATTCTATTCAGTTTCTTTTCTACAGCAATTAGTTTTTTTGCATTGTACATGAAACTTGAAATATATGAAGTTAATGATAATCATCATAATAAAAATCAGTAAATCAATAATAGAGTTATCTTAAGACCTACTTTCAATTGTCGATGAATTAATTAAAACTAGAGAGAATGTAAAAGGTTCATAGGATTGTTAAAGTTTACACACAATGGGAATGAAATACTTTTGTACCTTATCGCCTTTTTGAAGTCCTGCTTTGTCCGCTGGTCCGCCAGGCACTGTCCACACTATAGAAGCATATAATCGTCCATCACTTGCAGCTTTTCCACCAACTACATGCATGCCAAAGCCTCGTGCTTAAATGAAAAATTAACATTTATATTTATATTATCTTGAATATTATCATTTTAGTATCATTAAATTATTTCTATCAAATAAAAAAGTAATTGTCTGACTTAAAACGAATTGTTCTACTTGGAATTTCTCTATTTATTATTGTATTTAATTTATTTCAAAATTTGTAGTGTGTGAAAGGGCGATAGTAAACATCAGAGTTCAAGTTCAAGATAAAAGTACCTAGGTAGGAACTTAAATCCGGTCCTAATGGAGTTCTGAACATGGCCCACTTTATTTTTAAGACACCTCGCCTGATACGGCCTTTGTAGGAGAGTCAATTCAGGACCGGAAAAGAAAATAAGACCAGGGTCATTAGTTAGTAGTCGGAGGGTAGTTAGAGAGTAGGAAGAGGAAAGAGGGAGGGTAGTTTCCTGAGTAGCAATGAAATATGGCCATATATGAGCCTGATCACGTTTTGCTACGATACACCATATTAGAGTATTTCCTGATTTGTCTCCAACTATCCTTCCGCCATTCTTCTGTTTTCCTTCTTTCCTCTTATTTTTCTCCTGTTTAAAAATTAAGTGGGCCATGTTTGGGACTCCAGATTAGGATTTTATTTCGTAGCTACCCAGTTAGAATGTCAGTTACAACCTTAGAATGAAAGAAGAGTCAACCCACTACCGCATTTGCAATTGAAACAATCCTGAGAAACATCCCTTCTAGGTAGCAAGGCCGGTCTATTTCTGACCCAACATTGAGGTAATTTAGCCAACCTTAGTCCAATGTCAGATTGAGAATAGACCAGTCTTGCTTCCGACATAGTTTGATGATTTAAATTCAAAAGAGTATTTAAATGATGCCTAAAAAATCTTTAAAAAATTATTCAAGTTGTTACCAATAACACTGTAAATCCCAGTTTTCCAGAATACATTATTTTAATGCAGGTAAGTATGTTAAATATGACGTCATCCATTTGATTAACATTGTAGTAACTTTTTACACACTTAGAAATGCGTGAAAAGTGACTACAATGTTAATCAAATGAGTAACGTCATATTTAACACACTTATCTGCATTAACATAATGCATTTTAGAAAACTGGGATTTACAGTGAACTCTCCTAAAGTTTTACTTCAAAATCCTGTCTTCCTATCATTTCCTTGACTGATTCAAATTTAAGGCATATAATTTTTAATCGGAAATAAATGTCACAGATTTGTATTAATATAAACTCAATTTATTTTATAAATATTTGTAGAGATATATTGTTATTGAATCTTATTATCAACTACTTACTAGTTTCTAAACATATTTCTTAGCAAGAGAAACGTATAATTATGCAATTGCAGATGACATAAAAAAAACTCTAAATGATTATATGAATAAGAATTTACGCAGAGAGTTGCACAATACTCGGGATAACAGATACAAAACTATCCTTGGGGTAACCGCAAACTTGTCGCGTACATTCCCGCACATTATGGCTTTCTCGATCATTATTGTTTCTGTATCATAATATGTTTCTCTTTCGTTTCATTTTATTTTTCTGCATCAATTGGTAAATCTCTGTTTATGCTGTTCTATAAAAATCGATAAATAATTTCTAGATTTTCTTCTGATTTCAATCAAATCAATTTATTTTATTCACAAATCCATTGACATTAATTCGGCTAAAGTTTCCTCTTCTTCGAAAAAGAAGTTAAATTCTTCAGAGATTATTTTCATTTTGATAGAATGGTTCAATCGATTTGGCATTTCATGATAACGAACGTGATATTCGAATTGATATAAAATGGACAAGAAATTTGAAGCAGTAGTTTCCAACAATTATTTCCTACATCAGTTGTGTTATCACAAGTTATGAAATTGGGGTTGCATTATAACGGATTTTCTAACCGCAGCTGACGTTCGTAACATGCTGAACTATCTCATCTTGTATGAAATTGAAAATAAAATGTCTGACAAGCAATAGAAAATGTAAAAATTATAGTTTTTTTTGAGAAATATAAGTTTGTTTAGTTTCCGTGTGTTAATAACTTCCCTGAAAACATTCTTAGTAATTTAAAAACTAGAAATTTATTTTCATAAACTCGACTTTTATTTAAAAGAAAATATAAAACAATCCAACTTTGAACAATTTTTTTCTTAGCAATCCTTGAAGAGTTTCAAGAGTTTTTAAAATTGAAATAACTTTATCTCAGCAACAGTATTTTTTCAGATAATAATTATCCTTGAAGCAAAAAGAAACAATCTAAATATTCATGCAAAATTATACCAATTGAATGTCTAAATAATCAGCTAAAGTGTGAGATGTAATTTACTTCTCATTCTAATTTACTAAGCTTAATATCAGTTACAATGTTCTCCATATGATTACAGGTATTGACGTAAATAATTTAGAAGTTCAATCGATTTGACTAAATTGCGTCTAAATTTCACTGAATTCGATATATACATATCCCAAATACAGTTTATTATTAGACCAATATATGTATACATATGCACATATAAGCATAAAGTTTCTCCTAATTGAAGCTTATGATAGTTTCGTTTCCTCCCAGATAATAAATTAAATATAGGAATGTAATTCTTAGGAGCAAAAAAGAAATAAAGGATTGAAAACAAAAATATTTGAGCTTTAATAAGGAAAAAAGTTGGTAGCTAATTACTCCTAATAAATAATTAATTAATTAGTTTGTTTCTGTTCTACAGATAAGAACAAATAGTCTAGTGGAAATTGAAGAGAATATTGTGGATAAATGTTATTCAGTTTTGACGTCGAACACGACTGTGATAAGCTCAAATTAATTCCAATATTCCTTGCGGCTTTTCACTATATTCAATTATGCTTTTCATGAATTTAACTATTTACGAAAATCAATATGGAATTTATTTTTTATTGTTTACTAAATTCCAATCATCTTATACATGATTTAATAATGAACACGATCAATTAATTATTAAGATGCTCGGAATAATTTATATTGAATAAATTATTATATTTAAATTATTTTCATTTAAAAGTTGATTGATTAAATTTTCTTCAATCCAATAAAGAACTTCCTTATTTACTAATGTTCGTAGTGAGTATTTTACTTCAAACCGATCGAACGGTATTAAATAAACTCGAGTTTATAATATTCAAGGAATATATACATTCACGGATAATCTAGGTCAACCGCAAGACCTTCTGAAAATCATCTCCTGTGTGAATTTATGCTTTAGTGTATAGTCAAGGCTATATCATAATATTCATATAAATAATTATTTTCTATATAACTGAACAATTAAGTCAATAGAGTTCATACAACGTATTCATCAATTAATTGACAGTAGAATGCTCTTAGTTGAACATGAAATTGATACGCTAAAAAACTTTTTTAAACTTTTATCAATGATAAAGAAACATTTAATGTAATAATAATATTGATGAATATTAAATTAATTTATTTTATAACCAAGACTTAAAATATCGGTGAGTGAAAAAAAAGCTGATAAATAGAAAGGGTTTTGAATGATAAGAATGATGTTGAACTGATGAAAACATTAGATAATCTATGGACTTATTTATTAATCATATACTCTAGAATGTGATGTTATTATGGTATTTATTTTGTCAAATGGCTCACAAGTATTGCGTGATGTTTGTAATTTTAAGTCCGATACCTGTTGATTACCTAGATAGTATGCATATCTCCAAGATAGTTTACATTGGAGTGGAAAAAAAAGAAACCTGAGAACACGAGGCAAAAGAGTATGAAAGATTAATAGACACAATAGCAATGGAGCTCAAGAAAACGGAAAAATAAATTTTACACCAATAGACTGCCATTAACTTTAATTCCCACACACTTGAAAACAATCTATTTAATGGACTATAATGGTTATGAGGTGAATATTATCATTAAGCGAAAAAATTTAGTTCATCAAGGAAAGAGTGCTCTTATGTTTTTGTTGAAAGTTTAGTATAAGCTTCCATTATTTAACAATAATGGGAAAACTAGAATAGTACACGAAGCTTGACGACTATAGACAGACTCTCATGACAAGCTACGTGCTAAAGAACCACAGACTAAAACGTTCAAGCGACGTTTAATTATTTCATGTGCATTCAAGTTCTATTTTATTCGTTTCTATCTTCAAGTCCGGTCTAGTGATGTTAGTTAAATGAAAAGATGTGGTTCTACAGAAGAGGAAAAAACTAGTATGACTATCATAATTATCTACATAATTTTTTAATTTTTTTTTACGTTTTTAGGTTTTTGAAAAATCTTCAAAGCAAAGAAGGTAAGAATACAGCGGTTTTTTAGAAATGACAAATACTGAAGTCAAATAGATAAAAAACGCAGGATGGAGTTGAAAATGCTTTGAATGTATGATGTATGGAAATCCCTCAATGTAATGACGATGTGGGCGTGTTAAAGACGATTATTAAATGATTGATGATACCAAATACGATATATATTCTCCTTTCTCTACGTCTGTTATTATGCTTCTATTAGGTTTACAATTTCATTCATTCATCGACGTCATAAAAGAAAATCACGAACCTGTTGCGTGTACTGCAGACAGTTATATGTACTGATCCGAATAACCTCTGCCACACGTTTCTCTATCTCTATGGTTTCTCTTCTGAATTAATAGCCTGAATCTATGTTTGTTAGATTGGGTTCAGCCGATAAAATTTATCAAAGAATCATTGAAATCCATATACGAGCCATTTTACTTTGTTTTTGGCAACCTTCTATTGCTAAAATATTGTTTATTTGTTAGGAAATATTCCGTAAAAAAGATTGAGGGGAATTTTGTTCAATAAAGAGATGGGAATAGAAATATTGGAGCGTTGGATTTTGGAGAGCGTTAACTGGAAAATATTGCTTGCAATTTCATTTTATCGATTTCGTTTTTATTTGTTACGTTGAATTATAAAAAATTTTTATTATAATATTTAAGACTTTAGATTGTTCTAATCTAAAGTTATTGAATAGGAAAGGATAAATGTATTAAATTAGTAAATGAAGTTACAGAGAACTACTTTTACAAAGAATGTTAATCACACAAAGTGAAGCCTCAGCATTTGCCTCTATTTATTGTTGATTATCCTGTATAATTATACAGGTGTTCGTTTAATCATCGAAAAATAATTCGAAAAATGAATTTGTGTAGTTGATGGTAATTTTTATAATCTTCAACATTCACGTTGTCGGATAAAAAAAAATTTTAAGAGTATTATTCGATTATCAAGTTTAGAAGATTAATGTAAAAAAACAGATTAAATCATTTAACGATTATTCAGAGCTTCTTTATCTGAAATTTAGATTATATAAAACTTGAAAATGACTAGAAGCTTAAAAAAATTCCCCTGAAGCATTTTAATACTCATAATATGATATCGAAAAAACATATTTTACGAAAGTAGCATACTTACTTCTATGTCCTTTGTCCATCAACAAAGGATCCCTCCTTAGAGCAACTCTCTTCTTTGCATTCATCCGTGGTGCTAAAAGGAAAATTTAGCTGGTAATTTTATGTCTTTAATAGACGATTACGTTAAGATTAAGATTGCCAACATTTCATTATCTTTTCATCCTATCTTTTTTTGACTTCCCTACACCTCACTCTGACTTTTATTTTCATTTAATGTTTTACGATGTTCTCGACGAACGAACAGGGATTTAATTCAAAAGCAGCTATCGTTTTGTCATTCTCTTTAATCTATATCTGTGAATTACTTTGTCAAAGGGTGGATTTATAATGAAACTGCAGAGTTTATTAAAGATTTAAATATTTTAGGTATATATTATGATTGACATTCTAGGGGAATGGAAGATAATGCATTTAAAGGGTGCAGAGTTCTATACTACTCCTAGAAAATAGCTTTCCACTTGATCAAGTGGAAAGGCGATGTTAATCCAACTCTTCAAATTTTTTTTAACAATTTATCTCATGCTTTAATTCTAAATAGATTGATCATCTCTACTATTTTTATATCAACTAAAAAAAGCAGATGAAAATCGCAAATTTAAATTACGTGAAAAATATTACGAGCATTTAATTATATTTATACATTTTTTTGCGTCTTTAATTAATTTTCCGGCTGTATTTCCTACTTCGACAAGAAATATATTTAAAATAAAATTACAAAGAGTTTATTGAAGTTTTATGAGCACTAAAAAGTCCTATCGTTTCGTCAACAAGTCTGAAAACACGTAAACCTGTGCATGCAACTAAATAAAATCTTTTTTATTCGTTCTGTTGATTTTGCTGAGTAATATTAATACTTCACTTGATAAATTAAATTAAATATTTTACAACATGTGTCTACTTCATTAATTTTTATACCACTCATAAATTTTATGGAATCTATTTTATTTAAAACAATTCAGTTGCAATATCCAACAAGATTTATATTAAATTACATGGACAATGAATTTGTTGGCTAATATTTTTACAAGCACTAAAAAAGTTATTTGAGCTTTTAATGGAACTTATTAAAGTGGTTGCCAACAGTCTTTGATATGAAATTGTAGTTTTAATATTTTTTTAAGAGTATATTACTAATTAAAAATAGTTAATAAAATAGTCAAGTGTGAGAAAGAGTCTACAAAAATTTTATGTAATGTATAAAAACTTACTGAAGTATAAAAAAATAGGTAGTTATAATCTGTGATTGCTTTTGAATATATTTTTCGTCAAACCCGTGCGGAAAGTTCACTTTTCTATTAGATAGGGGTTGAACTTTCCACGCAGGTATGACGAAAAATCATATTCAGCCCTAGGGAGGAAAATTAGACTATCCTAAACCACGTGTAAAATTACAAGCCCAGCCGAAGGCAAGGGTGGTAAACATATGGTTTAAATTAGTCTGCTTTTCCTCCCAAGGTGTGAAATGTATTAATTTTCTCATACCCCCGCGCAAAATTAACGTTTACTCCCGGTTTTTAGGTTCCAAAGTGACGTAATTTATTCTGCATAAAAAGACAAAAATTGTTTGTGCACATGCCCAAACAGATGTTGTCTCTCTCTTCGAGAGAGAGAACGTCACTTTTCCAACCTCAAATTAGACAACAAACTTTAGTTTTGGACGATGGTATGATAAAAAATAGTATGTTGACCACAGGAACAAAGTAAGATATCCTTACCTAGGTGTTTGCCACACTCGCCTTCAGCTCGGGATGCAATTTTATACCCAGGTCAGAATATCGTACTTTGCTCCTTTGGTTAACAATGTACTAGATTTAGTGAACTTAATAACAAAAAAATCGATTGAGAAGTTGAAAATATTCAAACTTTTTTTTAGTATGCTTTGAACGTGATATAAAAAAAAATTGTTAAAAACTTTTGAATACATTGAAATGTAGATAAGTATTCTTTAATAAGTTCGAGTGGTTTCTTGAGATCGTCTAGACTAATTTAAAGAAAGAAAAAATCATTAACATAATAAAATTATGAACACTAAAAATTTAAATTAGTCTCATTGTAACTTATTATTGAAGGTTAAATTAATAAATATTTTAATTAAATGGTTTTTAACCATCAATTATTATTATTTTATCGAAAAAATGGAATATTCAAAATGTGAAAAATGAATAAAATTTTTTTTCTTCCTCAATAATTGATCATTATGAAAATTTCTTTTATCTTTATAACTTGGCAATTTTTTCTTCAAAAATTTAAAACTTCAACTCCATAAATATAACACTTTATGCAAGGTTTTACACTGTATTATATAAAGAATAGTTTGAATTTTTAAAAAATATCTTACGAAAATTTCTTCGACCATATAATTTAACTTGAACTTACTACATATTACTAGAGAATGGCCTTGCAAAGTTTCTTTGTCATCCAAAAAATACAGACAGAAATTCTCTCTATAACAATTACGTAACACTGTCTTTTATTGCCGTATAATATCGTATCATAGAACATGTACATATGTATATTTCTAGTGCTTCTATTCTATATACTAATACAACTATTTGCCTGCGAGCTTAAATATGCTCCGTATAAGCGAGTATCATAGTTTATTAACACGGTTGGCTTTTGTTTTTCCCAGTCAGTTTAATTAATTACTATTTCTACTTTATACAATGGCAACTTTGTTAAGTAGTATTGAATAAAATAAATTTGCAAACATTGTAGGAAAGTATTATTTACAACTATTGTGAAATGTAAAGTTCAAACAAAAGCTTCAAGTGCTTTAGAATACATACCAAGGTCACTGTCGACATCGTGTATCACAATCTTGATGCCTTCACCATCTGCTAAACTTCCTTGACAAGCTAGTTCTCGATCTTCTTGAGCAGCTCCTCGTCCTACGGCTGATGGAGCTGGTTTTACAGATCCTGGTACAGATGGTAGAGTCCTTGCCATATTGATATCTGGTCTGTTGATTGAAAAAGATTTTTTTTTATTAATAAACAAATCTTTAATAAATTTCTTTATTGAAAATTTCATTTAAGTTCAGACTTTTGAAGTTATTTTTATTGGATTATGAACATAAACTTCAAAATCGATATCAAGTGCAATGAAATATTTACCGTAGAGCTTAGCAAAATTTACGGAACAATTATTTCCTCCCACAATCTAACTAGGTTCATACATATTACAAATATTTTAATGAAGTGATGTATCTTGACAATCCATTGATTAAATTTCTCTTAGATAACCCTGCGGTTTTCTTGTGCGGCTCAATACAAGACTTATTTTATTAACATATAATTCAAGTTATTGAAAATTTTTATCATTATATTTTTGATTAAATTAAAGCAGATAAGAATTTCTGAGTAAAATTATCTTTGAGTTCATTATTTTAAATAAACTTTAGACTGTGTGTTAAGAAAAAAACTTAAAATTAAAGAATTTCACGAATGCAAGATGCTTTGGTGGATTATATAGATGACAAGATGCTTGAAGAAATAGTTGGAAAACTGTTGGTAGGAAGACTATAGTCTTGAAATAAAACGCATGAACTTGAGAATTTGTACGTACAAGATACGGTATAGGTCTACAAACCGAGTGAAAATTTTAGGCGAAAGTTTGTCTGTAGAATCAAGCATCTAGAGCAAAGATGAATGTTAGCAATTATTCTTGAAAACTTCTGGGTCTTTATGTTGCGTATAATAAGGCAAATTTAACACGAGGAAGGAGGAGCACCCATTAACAATGAAATTTCATACTTCTATCAAGTTTTGCACAAAGCTGATGTCTTTAATCAAAATATATAAATATTTTAGCGATTCTATTACTTTTATTCTATTTTATAAAACCTCGAAAACTCTTTTGTCTCTTATTTAAAATAATTACCTACTCTTTTTCACGTATCTTTTATTCTTCTTTCAGATTATTTATAAAGAGTATTATTTTGTTCAGTATGAATGTGAGTTTATTTTTATATTTTTTAATATTTTCAATAATTCCAAAGTATTTTTTTACAACATATCGCTTTTTTAAGAAAAAACATCATTATTTATGGAAGATTAAAAAGACAAGTGGATTTAAACTTAATTGTACCGCAAATGATAATATTAATTTGATAATAAAGCTCCTTGAAATGTTTTATACGTAAATATGAATGACGGAGTCCGTCGTTTTAAAAATGCTCATCTACAGAAAATGGCATACAAAGGGGTGCGGTCGGTTGACGAGAATAGTTAGAATGATAGCGACCACGCGTGTTTTTAATTAGTTTACGGCCACACCCGAGTGGTTCGCGGTTGCAAACTTTATCTATAGCATCCAACGTAACTTTAACTATATTACTAGAGTGTCGTTCATTTTATTAGCCATAAAAAATGGTTTATATCATGGCCAAAAATTTTATTAAAATGAAAGTGAAAGTTAAGAAATTCATTTCAAGGAATATATAAGAATATTCCATTCAATTTTCTCAACAACAAACACTGGAGAAAAATCAATAAGATCCTTTACACAAAGTATGAAATAAAAACACAAAGTTAGCACAAAACCGTGTAAGAACTATTGAAATGTGTATTTTATGACTTGGTGAATCTTTTCAAGAGTTTTTTGATATTATAACTTGTATAAACGTTTTCATAAACATTCATTCAAAACAACGAAAGCGGATTTTCACCACCAGTATTTCAATTATTTATCCTAAATTTGTTTATTCAACGATTTCAAAGGGGGAAAAAGCTGGGGATAAAGACGATTTACAGGGTTTGATAAATAAAGAAAGAAAAAACAAAAGAAAAACTATCAAGGAAATTGTTACCAAAAAGATCAGCGATTCAAATGGAAATCCACGAAAACGGTTGCGAGCCGATATTTATAACGTAAAAAAGCTCTTCAGGGACTGTCTAGTAGATATTAAGTATTTGTATCCGTTGGAGAATAAGAACATATATATGGGTGGCACGCGGCATGGGTGAGAAAGGGAAACAGGAAGATTTTTTGTCTGCTTTAAGAATCTCTAAGCAAAGAAATATCTGATTGTGATATCGGACTATTTACCTCAAATATTTTTTATTTTTCGTATCTCGAGGTAGATAGAAATACTCTTAAACATAAATTTTTAAAAGAACAAAAAAAACGAAAGAATAGCTAAAAAAAAACTAAAGTCAAGAGAAACAGACGGATTTTCGAAACATAAGTTTGATTCAAATAGCTGGAAAATGTGTTTTCCTTTTGTGAGAAAAGTTATCTTTCTTCTTCTTCTTCTATTCGAATACCTTTTGTTTAGTGAATAGCACCGGTATTATAAAGAATGTGGTGAAAATAGACTAGAGAAAATGTCGAACTTTTCTTGCGTTTTTTTGCTCTTTTTATAGCAGTGACTGCACTCAGTCTCAATATGAGTACCCTTAACCCTTTCAGAGAACCGTTTAATTACGTTCACATTTGAAATTCAATGATGAACTTGACGGCTATTTTATCTCTGTCGCTACGGTTTAAACTTGAATCTGCACATATATATGTGTATGTATATTCTATCATCAATTTCAATGATAAAATAAGCTTTTTTCTACAACACATACTTGACCTAGCCTGTTTTATTGAATATTATCAAATTCAATCATACCAACAATATTTTTCATTTCTTGTAATATTGTTTTATGGCTCTGTCGTATTTTATTTACTTACACATCCATTTATTTACTATTTATTACATCGCCACAAGGTATTCCATTATTTATATTACTGACAAAATTGATATTCTCTCTCAGGGATACGTAAATTAAATTTTTTTTTTTTTTTAATTCTTACAATTTCTAAATTCCTTTTAATCTTGAATATAACATTCAATTATCTGCTTAACTTTTCTCATTTCTGAAGATAAAAAAGGTAAAAAGAAAATGTACTATCCGTATTACAAAAATATAAGTCAATTTTGACATTAGATGATACATTACTCATGTCTCTGTGTAGGATTTCCTCTTTTTTTTTCTTTCTTTATTTAGTTACCTCTTTTATCGATATATTTTTCTTTTGACTCTGATAAAGTAATCCTCAATTTTTTTTTTTTTTTGGCTCCGTCTGTCTACTTAGGATTCACTAATTAAATTTATGTACCTCAGAAAATGTGGATGTTTTATGTTCATTTATTTTGGGTATAAAATCACATAAATGATTATGACATGTAATAAAGTTGGAACTTACAACATAGAAGCTCTTCGTCGTCGAGGTTCGTCAGGTTGTACGGGTGAAGGTTCCGGTGTTGCTGTGGCATCTAAATTTATTATCTTTTCATCGTCGTTGCCCATTTCATATGGCATCACTGGCTTCACCGCACGATATGACTGTCTTCTACCAGGCGATCTTTCTTCAGGGTCCCTTGAGCCTATATATTGTAAGAAAACGAGAAATATCATAATATCAATCAGACGTATTATTTTTTTCAATAAAGCTCTATATATTAGAAGAATTGAAAAGATGAAAGATTACTTTGATCATAGAAAGGAAATAATATAATAATTTATTTATATTTAAATTCATTAAAAATATTTTAGATTAATTTTAAATATTTTTATTTGATTGAAAAAAAAATTTATTACCCTGAAAAATGATTATTTATATTATACTAATGGATTTGACTGGTTTTTATTTATTGGAAATGATAAGATGGTTTTGAAAAAATTTTAACTTGATTAAAAAGAGAGACAAAACATCTGTAAACACTTAGACGAATAAAATTGAGTTATGTTATTGATAAACTATAGCTCCCCTTATATTAAATCTGTGCCTTGTTGTTTATATCATAGCTACGGAATTGCTGATCCTCCTCGAGCGCTTATTTGACTACATAGTTCTATCTACAGTGTATAGGTATGCAATTCACATCTCTTTATATATACTAGAGCCAACAGTACTTCGAGCTGCAATAGTTCATATTCCCTGTTCAAGTTCTACATGTACTAGATTATTGCGGAGATGTCTTGTTAGTTTATTTCAGTGAGATGATATGTACATATACACAGAGATATATTTGATAAAATAGAAGCATGGAAATTGTAAACGGTTTTGTAGTACTATGGCAACTAAAATTATTAAAAAAGTTATTATCTAATCACCAGTGAAAATTACTACTCGTTGTTTTTGCGTTTTTCCATCAAGATTACAATTTTCTCTGCAAGATTAAAAATAATTGAATCTAAAAATAACTTCAATAATATTTGTTTTATTCATGAATGAAAATTGAACTTTATTGGCTGTATAATTTTTTAAAATAAAGTACTCTTAAATTCTTCGGATTTAAGATTAAATCTTGAATTTTTTTCATCATTTGAGTAGCACATTTTTCTAATTTTTTTCACCTATTTACTATCAAGGTAAAAATGATTCAAATTCTTATAATACTAGAAAGGAATTTGATTATAAACTCATGCTAGCTGATAAGTACTGATATCTAAGATTCACAGGATCTGAAAACGGAGTATAAAAATATTTCTAAGGTCATCGAATAAGAAGAAGTACATTGCTTTGAGGAAGATGAGAATAGTGAATAAAAAATCTATTGATATCGATCAAAATAAAAAAGCTTCCCTACAATGATACGAATAAGAGACATGACCATGTTACCTTGTGCAGAAATTGATGCCCGTTGTTGAGCAGCTGCTATTGCCATAGCATTGAGTCCACCACTTCCAGGTGTTGCATACACGTCATAAGCCGATGCTCTACGTGGTAATTGAACCGGAAGTCCAAGCCCAACATCCGAATGACTAGATTGACTTCCACCACCTCCACCATTACCAGCTGATTTTATTTCATCGTCATATGAATGTTGCCTCGTCACTCTAGACTTTCGTCGTACTGTTCCACCACCACCACTTCTACGAGCTGCACGTCTTCTCCTTTCATCTTCATCTTCTCCAATGTCTCCTTCTTGCTCTTAAAAATTTCATCCAAATTTACCCTTATATTCTATTCTTTTATTTTATCATTTTCTGTATTTTTACCTATAGAAGTTTTGATGTTTCTCTGAGGACTACTAGTTCTAGCTCTTTCACTTCCATGCCTTTCTGGTGAACCACTACGTGATTTGCTTCTCCACTCCAATTCCCTTTCCCACCTAAGTTCCTCGCGGCGTTCTCCTGCAACCTTTCGAAACTACAAAATTACGAGGATGATTAGGGATTAAGCAAGGACACACCACCACATTTAAGGGTTTCAGGCAGGGTACAATAGAGCAGAGAATACTACGTACATATTAATATCGGTGAGAACATTCAGCCAATGTACTTGTAATGGAGTAAATATTTAGACCATGTTAGATAGCAGCATTATTTTATCAAACTATATTAAGCCGTGCATTTTCACACTCATGTGATAATTAATTCGTCTTTATCATCCTTATAATGTTTTAAAGAGTGTATTTTAATTTTCTTATTATCATTATTATTTCGACAATTTTCCTTTTTGAGTCTCGAAAAATAGTTCAATTATGTTTATTTTAATCAAAAAGATGTCATTAAATCTTTTCTAAAATTATATCGGATTAATAATATTATCTTATAGAAAGAAAATTAGAGTTATAAATATTAGAAGAACTCAGTATGAAATTATTCTGTAAAATTTATAACAGATGGAGTGACAGAATTAATCAAATTGTAAATGTAATCATTTGAGCTCTTCCAAGATAATTAAAAAATGATTATTTAACAGACGAAAAAGAATAAATCAAACTATTCTCAAAACTCTGTTCTATCCGTTTAATTAATAATGAACAGTTGTCTATTCTAGATTCATATGTTATTGAAGCTAGAATTAATGCAGCTTTGAAAAATATTTGTCTGCATGCTTAACTGGTACGCTAATTAGCAACAAGAAGAGAAACAGAGAGAATAGAAGCAGTTGGAAATGACATTTCCATGATGATGACGCAATCAACAACAGCCGACGCTCAACTCAATTTCGAGTCGAATTTTCGCTTGTGCTTGGTTGCTAGTGTAAATTCTTCAAGTGGTGTGGGCTATCGTGTAGCAGCACAAAATTTCGTGTCGATATACCAATTTTGGACAGCTGCTGTCAGTCAAGAGAAAATGACGGCTATGGTCTACAATTTTACGACTAATTTACATTAAAGTGATTCAAATGTTAACAAAAAGTGTACATGATGTTTTTGAGCTATTGGTAAATTTTTTCATTCCATTCGAAAGGCATTTTCGATTTGGATCTATAGCAGATTTGGATGCTAATTCTGTTGAATAATCAAACTAATGAACAGATTAATATAATGACAAGTAAAATTGGAAACAATGGTAGAGCTGAAACGAAAAAAAGTGTAAAGCCGATATTGTGATATTTCAGCCAACACTTAAAGTATACAGTTCAATACATTGAAAAGCACTGGTTCATGAACTCGGTGCTTGACGAACTACACAATGTTTTTTGTTTCCAACTGGAATCAAGCTTTATTCGGTTTAATTCCTATTGAGGATTTGTTCCGATATAATATATTTAACAAAGCCTTTTTAGTTTAATACGTCGTTCGAAGCTATGATTGGATATCAGTAAAACAAAATGATATAGTGATTTTTGTTGGAGTGAACATTTTTTTGTCGATAAATGCTTCAATACCTTTTCAAGTTCTTTAAGACTAGCTGGTGATACGTCTGAGTGCCGTCTAAGTTCGGGACTTCTAGGTGGTGCTAGAGCACTTCCAAGACCAGCTGCTGGTCCACCACTTTGACAACTAAGCCTTGCATCACTATGCCGTCTTTGTAGTGCCTCTAAGACTGGAACTTCTAGCAAAGAGTCGGTTGATTCTTGTGCCACGATCGGCTGACCACGTGAAGCTATTTTACGTCGACATACACTGCATCGCCACGTCGACTAAAAATGAAAAAGATTGATAAACATGGTATAGCAAATTATTTAGTTACTAAAAATATATTATTTAGAAAGGAATTTGAAAAACGTGACGTTCAATAAATCGTTTTATATATTTTTTAATTTAATCAGTTATAGAGAAATTTTGTTGAAATTTTATTAAAATTTAATGAATTGTGTCAATTTTTTTTTTATTTCAATAAAAAATTTTTAATAGAAAATATTTTATAGAAAATCAAAACGAGAGGGAATAATTTACAAATTTCTTGGAAAATTATTTTTTTATTTTCAATAAATTTTAAGAGCATATTCCCAATAAAAGTAATCAATCCAAATATACAATTTAAAGCTTGTGCTTTTCTCTCTTGAAACGCATTTTTAAAATTAATTATAAGATTAATTTAATCAAAATATCAGTTATTTATGCAAAAGCAGTAATTGACATTTGACTTTCAACATGAATAGTATAACATAATTATATCCTACGTTTAACAATACATTTGTTGATTATTCCATGAAAAAAAATGTAAATTGAAATTCTTTTGAGGATTCAAGTAATTAATATACTGAAAAAGCTGTCATTAATTAAAGTTTTACAATTGTATTTATCAGTGAATTTTTTCTTGCAAAAAATGTGCATTATAATGTTAACAACTCTCAAGAGAGAATAATTAACACTGGAATAAAATCGGAAGTATATATACATGGGAGGAAGTGGACTCGGAAATTTATTATTAAACTCCGTAAAACCTGAAACGCATGGCAAGGATAAAATAATTATACTATTTATAACAATGGTTTAAAAATGTATAAAGTTTAGTATATAAATACAGAAACAAAAATAGTTATTTTCTAGTCATTAAAGGAATAATAATGTAAATAAATCATTTATATATGTTTCAGTATATTTTAGCAGATCGCTTTTATACTATTATATATCCATTAAGCAAAATAAATTTTTCGTTTTATTCGGGTTTTCATTCATTCAATTTTATTTACATATTACGTCAATGGAATATGAACGTACAGAATTTTATTAATTAAAAAAATCCCCAGTATTTATAAAACTTCATTAAATATTAATTGAAAAAAATTTTTTGAATTCAAAAAAAAATTTAATTTAGATATAGTTCTTAAACAAAACATCCAGAATTAATTCCGATGCATCCTTACAATAAATTTATTTTTCATTTTGAATAAAATTCATGAATGATAATTAAAATATATTTATGATGAAGTAATATGAAAGAAAAAGGTGTTGATGCACAATTTTTAATGATTTTTGCAAAAAAAAGAAGAAGAAATATATTTAAAATGTGTGAGTAATTATGAACTCACCGGATCATCATAGTCTTTTGTTTCTGAATAAGAGGCGCAATCATCACAGACCTTGAACTGACACTCGTAGCAAGTACGTGAGAAATCATCGGGTTTGAAAGACTTGAGACAAACCCTACAAGATCCTGCTCTACTTGCTGGTCTCCCTGGTTCTGGTTTTCTATTTTTACAAGGATTAAAAAATTTACTGAATTTAATAATAAAATATTTGTAAGTATTTTTATCATTTTCTTATCTCAACATAAAATGAGAATTATTTATTTTTATAACCAACTGAGAAGAAATATTTGGAATCTGGTTGAATTTCCATCATGGCTTGCATAAAATTACTTGCTTACTTTGCAAATATTTTCTACTATGCCATAAATTTATTTGATTTTATTTGCAAAAATAAACAAAAGGATATTTAATTTACATAATTTGATAATTTATGTAGAATATTAAATATAATTAATGTTATTTTCAATATAAATGTTGATAAAATTAAACGTAAACTTACGGTTTTGGTGGTTCTACAGCTGGCACCTCTTCCTTAGGTACAATATCCTCAACTGGTGTGATTTTCACTGGTGCAGCTTTTCCAACTAGAATATTCAAAAGAGACCTTATTAATTAAAAGATAAAAATTGGGTTAAACATCCTTCGAATTATTTTTCTCTTTAGTTAATTTATTTTAAAACAATTTGTCATGTAGTATATTCATATTTATTTTTCAGAATTTTACAGAGACAAATGGTTGATAATAAACTTGAAATGGTTCAGGTCTATTGAAATAAGTATAAGCTTGAATAAAAAATAAATTGATCTTAAAATTCCATTTTTCGTAGAAATTTATTACTAGTCATAATAAAGCTCTTATTAGAATATGAAAAATTTATCAAAAAAGATTATAAACAGATAAAAAATATATTTTATAAACTAATTTATCTATAGGTATGATGAATACTGATCACGTCTTTTTCATATCTATTCACAAGCCTGGAGCTTTCTATTCCCTTTATTACAAAAAAGCCCTCTAGGCTAGTTGCTTGCTATAAAAGCATGTGCTAAACGATCTTTAGATATTCATGGTTCAGTCATTTCTTCCCTACCACAAAATCGATAATTTCAACAAAAATCCTCCTTACTCTTGATTAACATGTCATGTTGATGTCTGATTTTTTATTTCATTGGGTTAAAATAACAGTTATAGAAGAATTTTTTAACAAATTCTTTTTTTAGATTAAAAAAGTATTAGAATTCTGCATTTTCGTTTAATGAAGTATCTTTTAATATTTCCATGCAGTCAATTGATTTTAGACTATTCTATATTAATTCAGAAGTTTTTGAATATTGATCTTTGAGTTACAAATGGTCTAAAGTTTCTTCAGAAGGAGAAAATAAGTTGGAGAAATTTTTCATCCGAATTTATGTTACAATTCTTTGAAAAAATTCAATAATATTTTCTGATTCAATAAAATATGAAGACAAATATTTAGTTAAATGATTGTTAGCTCATTAATTGATTATTATTGTATAGAGACTAGCAAAAATATGCTGGTATTTAGAGCATCATGAGATAAATAATGAATGGTCTGTGCTAAATCCTCATAAATATTGATAATGATATCCAAAACTATTGAATGATGGTAAAAGTAAAGCAAAATAATAATCAAGAGGCAAACAAATCAAATAATAATTTAAACTGCAAGCTGATGATGACACTTATTAATGAAAATACATCATTACTCTCGACATTTTCCTGATAGAAATGCATTTAATTATTACATTTTATTAAGCATTGGAATTAATTTACTCTTGCATACTTGTTGCTATTTACTCAGATAACTATTTCGTGGTTGAATCTTAATTAAAAATTCTACATTAAATTTTCTTCTTGTTTATTCACTAATCATTATTATTAGACAATCATTATTTACAGTTGAAATTTCAATATTATATTTTCCCATATTTCTATCAATAATTTATTCAGCTCAAAGGCTTTATTCATATTGAATTTTGAATTTAATATTCATCAAAAAATAATAATCCAATAAATCAATATTTATTGTTGAAAGATAACTCAAGAATATTTTAGTAGTAAATGAAGCAACGTATTTTACCTGTTATTATGTCGAATAAAAAATACAATACCTGTTTTGTAAAATTTATAGACCAATATTTCATACAAAATAAAGTATATCAAGAGTTAATTTTCAATAATTTATTCTTAAGAAGGTGCTCTATAGTAATTTAAAGTTTCTTCTTTCTTAATAAATATTTCGTTACTTTAAATTACATTGATATTTTATGATTTTCAAGTATCAGTTAATTCGGTAATAAATTATCCTTCTCATCACAACTACTTAAAGTTTTTACTTCTTTTTATCATCATTTGTCTGACTCACTTCTAGTTCTGCTAACTTTATTTTAAATTATTCTTTACTTTTTTATTAGATTTCCTCCTGAAATGAATCAGGTCACATTCACTGGAGAAATATTTTCTGACATAAATTTGAATTGAAAAAATTTTAAAATTGAATATTTTTGAAATAATTATAATTGTTAGTAATTAAGTACATTTCTATTTCATATTAATAAAAGCTTCCATTATTAGATATAATATATCAAGAAAAAAACATTAAGAATCATCGATTGTAATAATTATTAATGACCTGTAATACTTATTATTGTTCAAGTGAATTAAAAAATGTATAAAATCATCTGTCCCTTCCTTTTCCCTCTGACTAACGGTCCTATCATTTACAAGCTAATAAATTTGTCAAAACCATAACATATTTATTTGTCATCGATTAATGGTGGTAGTAACAATATTGGATGATTGGTAAAATATTATTTTCCCCTATTTTTGCGTATTTACTTTCTTCCATTTCAAATATTCCAAAAAATAACAATAATAATCCAAGAAGAAGTTATATTTTCCGAATGAAAACATTATTTATAAAATCGTACAATCAAAATTCGTTAGTTTACGTAAATAAAATATTTGATGTGAAATAATTGATAATTTAAACACAGCCAACGTAAATAATACGTTTTTAGAGCTCAGGTAGATAAACAACGTAAAACAAAAAAGAGAGTATTTAGTTCACCTTTTAAAATTAGCTTGAGCTTTAAATCCAATTGAAACACATATTAATTAGAACACAGAATGGAGGCGGAAAAGAGGTAGTGTTATTCATGTACTTAGTAAAAATACTTGGTATTTATAAATATATATATATATTTATTTCTAGACGTAGACTATGTACGAACAGTAACTTATTCCACCCTCTTTTATTGCATCAGCAATAAAAAAAAGAATCTATTCATCAACTGAATGAAAGTTTAATAAAATTCCATAATACGTTACCGTCCAAATTATATTTTTGTGACCATAAATGTTTTCGAATTTTCTTCATAATTTATTCGTTCGTGAAGCTTTGAAAAAAAGCATAATCATAGGTTTCGTTATTCATTGTTGCTTTTAATATCAATTATAATAATAAAATATTAATTATCTAACAATATTGATTTTCTTAAATAATGTGGTAATATGGAATATTTCATATCTTCTTAAAATTTCCATCACGTTTTAACATGAAGTACTCGAAAGTTGTAAAGGTGAAATTCGTGAGAGAAAATGCTTTAACATTATTTCAATAAAATTGACATTTATTGCAGAAGATAATTTAAAAAAAATATACTATTGCACGTTTAATAAATTAGTTATTAACACATTAAGAGCTGTAAAATAATAAGAAAACTTGAGTTAATTTCATAGAACTCATTTCTCATTTATTTTATGTGGAATCCTCCAAATATCTTCAGAGGTAAAGTTAGATGAAGGAGTGTAGAATGACGGAATGGTAGAAAAGACGAGGGAGGAATGGCTATAGACGACCAAATTAGAACGGGCTCGAAAGGTAAAACCCTAGAGAGTTGACTTGAATTGTTCACCTTTCTACCTATCCTGCTCTCTTCAACCTTTGCGTATCTTTTAGTTTTCTCTAAAAAAGACGAGAGAAAACAGAGGTGCTAATTGGCTTCAAAATTCCCTCACTGTATAAACTTGTTTAAGGAAATGAACTCATAATTTATCCTAGATGTAAATACAAAAATATAACATTTTCTCAAATTATCATTAAAGTTTATTTTATGATATAATAGATGGATTTCTTAATAGGAATCATGTTCTATTAATTTTGTGACTTACTCATGTTGAATCATCTCATAAGAAAATCATCAATAATAATTAATGATTTCATGAACAATTTAAATATCTCATGTAATGAAAAATAAATTGCAAGGATAATAAGTAAATTTTAGTCAGACATCATGAGATTTTATCTAAGGGGAATTAAGGAATGTTAGTGAATGATTAATTAATATTTTAAGTATAATTTTTACATGTATTTAAAATAATGCTGACCTACGTCACATAATACCGTCAAAATATGACTTCATCAGATATAGTAATTATGATTCCTATCTTTTGATTCAATTATCTGCATGAATAAATTTTACGATGTAATAATTAATTGAATGTGCTTTTCTGCCTAATAAAGTATGTAAGATAAGAAATATTTTTCTAAAGTTTATAACGAATAAAAGATAAAAATCTAAATTGAAAAATCTGTCGAATTTCAAGTAAGAATAATATTTCTTTTCAGACAAGTTAAACCTGAATCCGATACTTTTCGTGAAAAAGAAGAATTGAAAATCATTTGTTCTTTATCGTTATATTTATTTTATATCTTATCTACATTCAGCTACGTGTATTTTTCTTCAGTGATAAATTTTCTGTAAACATTTTTCGTCACAAATCTTCTTAAACTTACCGTTTCCTGTTGCTGTCATCAATTGTCTCAATTTGCTGAATGTCGTTCCTGAATCATCCGAAGGTACAGCATCAGCTGTTTCTGGTTGTGTTGTTACCATCTATAAATTAATAACAAAGTAATATAACAATTTGTTGTTTTTTTTATATTTCATTTTCTTTTTATCAATCAATTTTCATTCAAAATTTAGTAGAAATAATCAAAAGAAAGGGTCACTGACACTTGAAAAAAAAGGTCTTTAAAAAATGATTTCCCCCATGAAGAAAAAATTAATTTCTTTTAAACCTGACATTTTAAAAGATTACACAATTCGACATTTGAAAAAAATAAAAGTCATTAATATAAAAAAAAATGTCAAACACGATTAGAGCCGAAAAAATGTCATTGCTGATAGAATAGAACTGATAAATTATATCAATTATTATTATCAATGAAATTTCATGAAGAACATAATCATGAGTTAATGACCAGCTTATTGAACTATCGAGAAATTGACTTTGATGAAGTAGGTGTAGTCCACGAACCTAGACATGAGCTTTAGAGCGTTGATCAAGTCCATGCGCACGTTCGATCAACCATCGAATGGATGATATTAAGCTTGATATTACTTGGAGGGAATATAGAGAACGTTATCATCCTTAAAATCTCTCAATGAATAAATCTATAGGGAAAATAGAGGTAAGCATAATAATGTCATGTCCAGGCTTATAATTGATTATTCAAGGTTAAATCGGATGACACAAGAGACAGATTGGTGTTATAGAGGACTCTAGCAAAATAGAAAATAGAAGCAACCTAGAACTAAGAAGTAAAGAGCAAATACTTGTGTAAGGGTTCTAAGAGGCTGAGCAAAGCCAATCTCGTAATCACGATGTAAATTGAGGAATATTTGGTGAGCCACTAGGCTTTCAGCTGTCTAGATGCTTCTATACTCCCTATTATCTTGGTATTATTCACCAAAATCTCTGGATCACTGCCAGGAATGTCTTATGTTTACACTGAGAAAGGGATTTATTAGCATAACTGATATTTATTTTTCATTTTCATTCAGTTTTCAATCATCACCTACATCTTACTAAGTATTTGAAATCTAATAAACAAGGACCTGATAATGAGTTAGTTGAAAAGATAATGAAAGAAATTTTTTCCAAAGTTGAATAGACAAATAAGTGGACCGTCTGGCTGATTAATATTGAATAATTCATTTTATTTCTGCATGAAAATGAAATGTTCTACTTTTATTTCATTGGATTATACTAATTGCACTTTCATCCATTTATTGGCACTATTTTATTACAGTGGAAGAAAATTTGCTCTATATTGAATCATTTATTCTACAGATCAAAAAGAAACGAGAACTTGGAAGAAGTGAAGAATACTTATATCTAAAAGGAAGTTACGTATTTTCTTTGTAGTTATAAGGGTTTCTACGTAGTCTCTTCATTTCTTTTTATCAATCATTTCGCTGCTAATATATGGGTTATGTCAAAGAAAATTCTTATAATAGATACTACCTTAAAGCGATATATATATTAGAAGTAATATTAGAGGGATTCGTTGATGATTAATTGAGGAAAAAAAAAATTTTCTCTTCTTTCCAATTTTTTTTTTGTTTTAATGTTTGAGAAATATGTAAGAAGTAGGAAGTTGTTTCATAATAATTATTAAGCCATCGTATTACTTACGTACGATATAAGTTTCAAGGATAAATTGACAAGAGAGAATATAACGTCACCTACGATTAGTTCAACCGCCAATATCGAGTCGAGTAAACTGCGGATGCGTGATATTCCGTAAGTAACTTGACGTTTGGAGTAGTCAAGGAGAGTATTGAGCAAGGACTTGAGAATCCTCTCCTACAATTATCACGCTCAATCGACATTTCCTCAATAAATCGATAAGAGTCTTCATATCTGCTACGCCAATCCAATCATAGTTTCGTCCTAACCACCTATTTACTTTACTCTATTAAAAAAAATTATCTGATACTTCTTATCTTTTCTCTCCAGTCTCAATGCAGTGAAACTTTAAAATTTTTTAATCCTAAGAACAAAGTTTATACTTATTTTCTATGAACTTTGAATAATTTAGTTATTCGATAAAATTATCATGAACATCAAATCCATTTAATGATAATTGATTTATTAATTTAAAGTTTTATTAAAATTTTTATTATTTACTAAATGAACAAAGTTTTCATTTAAAACTTACTCATTAAAATATTAAAAGCCTTTTTATTGTTAATTATTAATTTAATTTTTTATTTCAAATTATATCCCTTTAACATTAATAAAAAATTTAATACCCCTAAACCTAAATAAATATTTATGAAACTTCATCAAATGAAATATTCCTCAAGTTTGAAAGGATATAGATTTAGTGAAAAGCCTAGAGGAGGTGTAATGAAATATTGATAAATAATACAAAATTAAAGTAAACATTCACGAGTGTAGGAAATGTAAAAATCAATAATTAAGTATATGAAAGCGGAAATAATTAAATTTACTCATATATAAAGAAGAAAAAATTAGAGGAAATGTTTGAGGAGAAGCAAGAAAAGTCGAAGAATTAAAAAGAAGAAAAAAACCAGCATCTTAAAGGAATGCCTTGACGAATGGAATTCACGGTCGTGTACAGAGAGAAACGAGAGCGAGGTCATTACTTGGAAATACCGGATGCCCTGAAATGGTATAGAATAAGGGCGAGAAATAGAAGAATGATGTAATAGATAATAGATAAAAGTAAGAGTAAGAGAAAAGATAATTAAAATGAATATTACTAGAAAGAAACATCTGAGAAAAAATTACACGAAAACTAATTTAAAGTCGATGTTAAATTTAAAAAAAAATAGGTATTAAAGTTTTATTTACTTTTTATATATAGATATATATTTTTTACTTGAAAATTTCTTTTTTATTTGGACTTTTATTACAAAAGTAAAATTAATTGGTTTCTGACTCTTAAAATTTCATTATTAATTAAAAATGTAGAATAGAACATTTACGCGATCACAAAAGACAATTTAGGTCATCCTTAAGTAAAAATTGTTAGTATTTCGGTAATCTGAGATTATTTGAGGGGTGGCCGGAATGGGCGAAGAAGAATTTATCGTCTCGCGTGCAGCGGAGAAATGTCTGGTCATATAAATCAATCAGAAGTAACTTAATTTAAACTGCACTACTGCACCATACAGAATTATTAATGTTTGTTTTGATGAAAAATTCATCAGTCATCGACAAAAAAAAAATAACAAAACATTTAACATCCATTTACAATTAAGAAATACTGTTAAATAACCGTAAAATTTCATGTAAAAGACATACCTTCTTCATAAAAGACATGACATTTGTCGGCAACATTTTGAGGCTTTATATTTCCCTTCTTTGATCGATGCAATGAAATTTTATAGACCTTGGGGATATTTAATTTTCTTTTATTTCTGATATAACTTTGTGCGTTAAAATTTCAAATAACTTTTAAGATGTGTCGATGAAATGTGGCCACCAGGACGACGATTCGACGTCCTGCTGATGCTCAAAGACGCCCATAAATGCCGTGGGACTTGATTTACTTTAGCTGAAGACAATTTATCTTTTTTCTCACTATCGTCGTTTTCTCTCTTGACTTTCTCACGTGTTTATGTCTTTTAATGTTGATGTTTTGCTATGCTTCTTTGGTAATCTCCTTTCTGACTCTCAAAGATCACATCGAGTATTCGATTTGGCATGGAAAACTTCAGTAAACTCGTAAACATCACTTCCGCTCGATTTTATTGAATTCGGTTATTTTATTATCTTCTGTTTTATTTATTTCTGCTGGGCAAATCTATGGAAAAAAAATTTTTATCAGTGTGAATATTAAATGTTTAATATTGTTTTATATTAAATAAACATTTAAAAGTAATAAATCAATTTTAATGTACCGTAAAAATGAAATATTATTCATTTTATTAGTTACTGTGCCAGAAAGGGTTATTTGTTATACTGCATTGTAAGGTTTATGATTTCCTAAATAATTTTTTTATTTTAATTATAAATAAAAGTGAATAGTCTTCGTTACGATGTAATTTTTAGTAGGATTGAGTGATTATTATCGAGTAATAACAAATAATTATAAAGAATATATTTACAAACTGTTGTGATTAAAATTTAAATAATATTTGAGAATAAATTCACTGATGAAAATTAATGGTGATTGACAAATAGAATTACTTCGGCATATTTACACACAATGTATGCAAATTGTTATTGCTCAAATGCATTTATAAACGGTTAGGTTATATTAACAAGCAATAGTGAAAATTGAACGTCTGCTCTAAAAGTATATTATCCGAGTGGTAAGTGCAAACAAATAATTTATAATGCTAAAAATTTTTGCACCAACTGTACACAAAGAAATAAATTTAAAATATCTGCCAGTATTAATATTTTTCAGGGTGAATTTACATTACACTAACTGATTTATTGAAATGTCAAGATCTCTTACTGCATTTGAACTTATGCATACATTTATACATATATATATATAGTTTATGATGTTGTAATAATCTTAACAGGATGACTCGCTAAAGATAAATTTAGTGTCATATTCGTCGTGAATTAAGGAGCTCTTAGTTCCTTCGGAATTCATGCTCGTAATTTCTGGTTCACCATCAATTACAATCTGATTAGACGCAAGTTCAAACTTCTCGTTAACTACATACTTCTAAATATATAGTTATGTCAGTATAATCAACTGTTCATTAAATTCAGGACAACTTTACAGTTCAGTTCATTATATTATTTTATATGTCAAAGTTAATAAAAGATTTTTTGTCGTCATTTTTTTAAATCCTGATAGGTCAAGAGATCCATAAAAATATATGCTCTTCGAACTCTGTACTTGATTGGTATATTAAATTAATTTCGACTCCGAAAGATATATTAATATATCCCTAATTAATCTATAAAGTTATATATGTATTAATCAGTTCCATCAATAATTTAATCACGTCCAGTTTCAAGTGGAGTAAAAATATACTATCATGGATAAATGATTACGCAACTTGTGCAATTTATTAACTCATGGACAATGGTTAGAAAAAAAATCAAAAAGGTTTTAATTCACTCGGTTATCACAATAGTAGATTTGAAAAATATTAATGAAAGTTTTTTCTATTCGATAGATTGAAAAACGTTATGCCCATTGAATTCAACAATGAAATTTACAAAATGATGAATTGTTTTGAGAGTTTCAGAATCAATGGAATAAAAAAATTGTCTCCAAATGATTTTAAATTTGAACAAAATCCTACAAAGACTTTGAAATTTAAAATGAATAATGAAATGAAAATATGAAGAACCGATTACACATAGAGGTTTAATTCTCGTCATTGAACAGATTATATGAAATCATAAATATTTAATTAACATAAATGGAACATAACGTACCGAAAGCATATATTTGTAAATAAGATAATAACAACAATAACAGCAGCAAAAATTGGTAAAATAAAACAATACTTTCTATCATTCAACATTCGAACATTAAATTTGCTACAATTAAGGAATTAAGGTAATTTTATACTTTCACGGTCCCCTCGTTTTTTGGTTTTAGAAAATCGAAAAATCAACCAATTTTAATGATTTTTTTTAAAATCTTCGTGTTCACGGCAGATTTATAGAAAAAAATATAGGAAATATATCACTTGAAGATTTCATATAATTTTATGAGTTCAAATGTGATCAATTAATTTTGATAATAAATTAAAAACTTTAAATATCGATGTTTTATTTATTATATCAAAGATTCAGCGGTATTGTACTTAGACTATGTAATGATTTTCAAGTTCAAATCATAAACATGAGCACGTGGATATTATCATTATATCATTTACGTATAAACTAAAAATAAGTAATTTGATTTATTTTTAAATAAAGTAAAAATTTAATTTTGTTCATACTTTAGCTGTTGCTTTAAATAATCATCAGCTTTAGATACAATTTTCTCTGATTATTTGTCCTTTGGTTAGTCTGAGGTTTCTAAATAAGTAATTTTTACAAATTAGAGGGCAACTCATTGAATTATCGTATCCAGTATCGACACGGAATCACAAAATGAAACCCGTGAAACGCAATATTTCGTGTCTAGTGGTCATATTTCACTCCTGAAATACTTTAACACTATTCCCATGCTTTCGATTCGTCAGGTTAGGGTTTTTTTTCCTCTCTATCGGTATTTTCTATGCTTAAACTAAACCGCTTTTTCTGTCGATATTTTCACTGAAACTTTCGTTATTCTATTAATACAAATAATTTAAATTAAATTTATTTGACAACAAACGTTAATTTATTGGATTATTTATCAAACAACAGATTGTGTTGATGTTATTATATATAGTGTCTTTGTCGGAACAGATTGTTTCAACATGCACTTGAAGTACGTCAGACATTGGGGTCATGTGGTTCACGAAGGCCGACCAGTCGCAGCTTGACTACTTGTTGCGGGACTGATCAGATACACATTTACTCCCCTTCTCGGTCAAGAGACGAAGAGATCGCGACCACGACCAGGGATAAACATGAGTGTAAGGGTAAAGATGTTTCTATAAAAAGCATTAGATAAATTCACTTGATCACTCAATCTTCGATGGCAATCTTTTATCAAGAATCAAAGGATAACAGAGAGGGATAAAGGATTTAAATTACTATTGTCTATATATACTTTCGCGATTATTCAATCCGTGTCTTTTTTTTAATACTTTAACATTTTCAAATGTCGTATTCACTCAGCTGTGACTCAATTCTTAGATCTAATTAATTTATTTCTTTCACGTCTATCACAAAGAGTAATTACTACTACATTCGAGGCCACGGATCGAGTAATGGAAAAGAATAAATTTAACTGTTTTTTTTTTAAATATATTGGAAAAGCAGAAGAAGCAAAAATTAGAGTAAAAATAGAATAACATGGGAATAATACTTGGATATAGTCGTTGAGTAAAATTGAATTAAATTAACGTCACGTATGGAGAATCACCATTCACCTACGTAAGAATTTTCTCTTGAGCTATTTTTCTGTATATTTCACTGATCGATGGATATTCTTAAAGCCTCTTAAGGTCATTCTACCTACGATAAAAAAAAAACCCTCTACCATGAAAAAATATTTTTCATGATTCTTCAACTAATCCACTCTTATATAATTTTGACCTTTTGTATATTAAAGCCTACAAATTCCTGTAGGTTTAATAACATATGAATGTTTTGAGAAATAATTATTTGCAAATATATGAAGGAAAAGTTATGAACACTAACTTTGAAGTTTAACAAATGAATATTTCTTCGAAAAAAAAAAATATTGTGTTGAAATACAAATATTTATAATCATTTAATTATTTGTTAATAAACATACAGTGACAAGTGTGCTAAAAAAATGTATAATGTAATGTCGAAATAAGGTTAAATTAATTTACTGAGGATAATTACTAAATAATTTGAAAATTATACTTGAATAAAATTTATAATTATCCAACACCATCGTATGTTATCACCTCATTGTTATAATGTTATCTATTAAAATTAATTATAATCTCGATACATAATAAAATGAATATTTTTATTATACCGATTAAAGCAGTTATTAATATTCATTTTTTTTTTTAAATTCACTAATGAATGTTTATATTACTTTTGATATTATCCTAAAAAATGATCAATTAATGGACAATTAAATATTTCTGCAAATATTTATCCTTTATTATGAATAAAATCACCCATTCTAATATCATTTAACAGTGTCAGTTATGGCGAGTTTTTATATACATTTGATACATATGATGTGGGGAAGAAATGCAGAAGCTATACAATAGGAAAAACAGAGAGAAATAGAAAGAGAAAGAGACGAAGAGAGAAAGCTGTACTAGTTAGAGGGAAATGGCTGCCACCTGTAGCTATTGATCGGCAGGACAAGCTTCCATCCACATTTCCTGTGACTCTTACAGTTCTTTATATCCTATATTCTACTAGTATATAACGAAAAATAGCAAACTACTCTGCTAGTTAATTTTTCAATTAATTCTCAATCTAAAGACCTTTATAAAAATTTTATCTAATAAATTACAGCTTTATTAAATATTTAATTATTTATTTAAGTAATTATATAAATTTATGTGAAATATTTTTATATTATTTCATAAATCTAGCCGTTCAAGGGCATCATTGTGAATTCTATCTGGTGAAAAAATTTTGAAATATACGACAAGAAATGAAAAAAAATGTGTGCAACTTTAATAAACATATAATTAGAGTTAACTTTAAAAATGTAATTATTTTATCAGGAATTTATATATTTTATGCGGAGCGTATTGTTTTTAATTATTTAAAATTATGAAAAAATATTTATGAATTCACATATCGGAGTGTAACATAAAACATTATCATGATATATGCAATTATTCGTACAACTTGTAACTTGCGTCAGTTAAAATGTATAATTTCCTTACTTTAACAAGAAGTTCTACGGAATTTTCGAGTTAATTTATTCAACAATCTCAGTCCCATAAATTCCTTGTGAATTTTACGAAAGACTTTTGAAGGTAGTGAAACTATTTTTTAAGGGATTTCTGTTAAATCTTCAGCCTTACAAGAATGAAAATATTTATCTCCACTTGGAGAATTGATTTTTTATCGATAGAAATATAATAAATAATTTATCCAGTAGATTAAATTATTATTTTATCGGAAAATAAATCTCTTTTCTGGTTGAAAACTAATATAAATAGATAAATAGGAGATGTAAATTAATGGTAATAAAATAAAATGGGTATTTTATGAAAAATTTTACACCTGAACAACAACAAAATAGTATCCACACAATATGGGAGTTCTTATGTAAAAGTTTGATACTTTACTCATTTTCTCTCGTTTACCTCGACATTTCAACAAAGTATTCCCTAGTCTGTACTTTCTCGGAGGAGAAACTGTATTTACGGCAAATATATCTCTATATACTTACAACAACTAGTTCATGAGATAGTAAAGTATTTATGGGTACCAAGTGGAACCCATACTTCTCGGTTGATGAAAGCCAACAAGTTATTGATTTGATATAGTCCTTCGCACATCAAGACAATCAGTTTCTCATTTTGAGTGCGCTTAACAATTCGACTATTAGTGATAATAGTATATGATGGATTTATCTATGGTAGATTTAAGAAGTTTAATAACATTTTAATGTAAACTTATTACTTTATTGGGTTCATTTATTCGTGATAAGTTGATACAAATCATATTTTTCACATTTTACGCTAAAAGAGAAAAAATTGAAAAATATTTCAATTTCTTCGGTACTCTTTTCAATTTGTATTTTCATCAGAAAACATTTATCTGTAAATTTATTATTCCACATCACTGAATAAACGTGAAAATTAATTGACAAATAACAGAGCAATATTTTATAAAAAAAAGATTTTAATTGAACATTTAAATTTTTAAATCTACTCCAATATTTGTTATCATCGTTATCGGCAAATCGGATTTTTTTATTAAAAATCAATGAAAAAATCTTACAAATTAAGTTAATGAACTATTTATATGAAAAAATAATTATTTGTTGATATTTTTCATTATAGTCAGAACCTATTTGTACAATTTACATTCGTTTCAGGGAAATTAAAATGAAAATGTGTCAGGGATAAGTTGATGGTATTTACATAAATATTTTTACAGTCATCATTCGTAAATATTTAAATCTTTCTTAATTAAAAATATGAACAACTTGATTGTTTTAAAATTCAGTAAGGTGCACTCTACCAGAGTACTTCTCAACCACTCTAATGATATTTAACTAAAAATTAGTGCATTTTGCATAAAAAGAAAAAATAAAGACTGAACTAACACACTAGCCCACATCCCCAGCATTTAAAGTAGGTCAACAGGTGATCCTGTCATGGTACAATCTCAGTACAGTAATGGGCATGGCCACTTACTCACGCGCATCGAAGGTAACGGCGCGGAACGACAGCTAGATTTGCTAATAAAGTGGAAAATTGTCAGAGCTTTGTTTCTACAATTGTTCAACAATTCACTTCAGTACAAATGACGGTGTTTAAAATTATTTCTTCGTGCATATGAATCATTTCCGGTTCTTTCCAGCTATCTAGAATAGATAAAGCTAAGCACTTAAGTATGCATCAAACGTGTTATTTATCTGAAAGCTTTTCTACTTAAAGGTAAATCTTTTTTTCTCTTTTTCACCCCTGATATTCTAGTTCGAATTTTGCCGTCGCTATGAGAGTACTATCTTTATTAAACATTTTCTTCCCTATCACCAACCATGACAGTCACTCATGCCCTTTGTTTCGCTACATTTGTCCTTTTTTTTTATATATAACCTTTGCAATTTCTCGTCATCCTAACACCTCACTTAAAATATATTTTGCTTCACTACTCATTTATTCCTAAATTTTTTTCTTCTGAAACATTGAGAATTTCTTTGCGTCATACTTAAAACTCTAGCGACATTCCTATACTCAAGTACTTCATATCAATATTTATGAAGAGGAAAAAAAATGATTGAATAACATAAAAGGTGAAGGAAAAAAAACACCAAAGTGAAAAAAGCGATTGAGTATAACGCCTTTGATCTTTTTTCAATGTTTTTTGTTCACCACCTTAAACTCTGTGTAGTCAAAAACTTTATTATTAAACAAAATGAGTTTTAAAAAAATTGGAAGCCTTGTTTTAAATGTAATGAAGAACAATTTTTTAACACGATCATGAAAAAAGAGCTAATTAAGATCTTGTTTTAATCAACCATTCCTTTGTTCTCTTTTATTTCTCTCATGTTCGGTCTTTAAAATTTTTCCCCTTCACGACAAATACCTTCACAAGATGCAACAGTTTTCATTGCTACATTATTATATATAATGTAATCTAATAGAAGAGTAACTTTTATTTTTATTTTTATGCATTTTTTTGCCATCCAAGTTACACATAACATAAATTGACAAAAAAAAATTCTTACGACTGAAAAATTTTTTTGGTTAAAAAAACAATAAAATTTACAAACAGTTCTTTATTTTTTTTTTTATTAATTCTTCACTTTTGTTTTATCTAAAATAATATTTTTTATGCACAAACTATTTTTTGAAATGCATTTTTATAAACAAAACAATAATAAAAATTGTAACAAATGTAATTTTTATGTCGAAACAGAGAAAAAAATGAAAAAAGAGGGTAGAAATACAGAAGAAATGAGTGAAACGATAGAGAAAATCACCAACCTGTTACTTGTAGTTTCAAGTTGAAGTTTGTATGAAAATAGAAAATATCCACGTTTTATCTACTGTTTCTCTCACTGAGTCAGAAAAAATGTATATCTTGAATTTCTGTTTTTTTTTTCTTGTCAATAAACACAACGTTGTCAATGTGAAATTTATTCACGATGAAGTGATCTAGCAGAGAGAGAACAAAGAAGTGAAAACCGATACCATCGGGCAGCCTGCCCGGCTTGCACTGCCCGGGCCTCCTGTTTCTCCCACCACAGTTGGTTCTCTCGCGCGCTCGACCTGCGGATCGAGAGGGCGCCTATTCCACCCCCTGAATCCTTCCCACTCCCAAAAAAGCTCCAGAACCAGTAAGAGGGTTGAGGGGTAGCAGAGGTAGACGTTCACCACCATCGCGCAAGATCAGCTAAAAGAGTAAGGGAAGTAAAGAAGGGTAGAGAGAAAACGCCACCCTCGAAGGCAACAAGAGAGCTATATTCCAAAAAACGAGAGCTTGCGGCAGAGTTCGTGGCATCTACATTATTTTTTTATATCTATTTTGTCTATTTTCTTTTCATTTTCCTATACTACCCCCATTTCTAGTTCATACGGATTAAAATATTTTTTTTTATTGCTCTCAAAGTGTCATGGATTAATTTTTTTTTCATCCTACTTTCATATTCTTTACTTATAGAAAACATTTTTTATGAATTTTCCAGCTAATTATCGTTGACTTTACTACTTTCCAGGTTAAAAAATATATCTTGATTTTGATTTACTTTAGAAAATCAAAGGTATTTATATATGACTTTTTTCCTGGACTTTTTATACAGAGAGAATTTTAAATTTATTTTATTGAGCATTATAGAAAATTTTTTAACATTTTAAAATAATAATAAAACTTTATATCATATTAGATAATTCATTTTAACGATCACAAACAATTATTTCTTGATAAATTTAATTGTCTATTTAGAGTAACAAAGTTAAATGAAAAGTTTTTTTTTTATCAATTAATGAAACAGATAAAGAGAGATTAAAACAGTCTGCGATCATCAAGTCGTAATCATAATTTATTGTCCGTTTAAGGGTTACTTTAGAAATTATCTGAGACGAGGAAATTAAAATCAAGATATCAAAACATTGATAAATATACTATCCTTTACAAAAGAAAATTATTTAGCTTTGAAATATATTCAATCTACAATTCTGACTGTATTCCAATTCTACAATGATAGACTTCATTTTCTACAATGGTCAGAACAACCCTAATTTGTTGCTGAATTTGTTGCTTAATTAAACAAATATTTTTTCAACTTTATACGAATATTTTTCATTAAAATTTTTATTAACTAGAAAAGTTATCATCCAACTTGTAATTGTCATAAATATATATATATATTCGAAAAAAAGAGTAAGTGAAAGGGTATAATTCTTTTTCTGTTTTTTTACCCCTAGAGATATCTTAGCAAAGAAAATGACAGAGTCGGAAACTTTTACTTATTTTCTTTGCTTTTTATCTTTTCTCTAATCTACCTGTTCTGTTCTTCTACTTTACATAGAAACCCAGATAAAAAAATTAGTTGAAAGAAGTGACACATACTTTCTCATTTTCACAGTACATAATTTTACTTCGTATAGTCTAACAAACTTTTAATATATTTTTAATAACTATTTTTATGTGAATGTGTATCAGAATGTTGCTAAATACCTAATGGTCATGGTTATAGAAGTTGAGTCTCTTAACTTGTTTTCTCGTTTCTATTTATGAAATAAAAAATCGTAATTTTTATGGTTATTTCAATCGTAATTTGTATGTAGAGCATTATACACATATCCTAGATGATCTGTAAAATGGTTCGGGAAAATTGAAGTAACGATTACACATATAATACTGTTGTATAGTAAAAAGTTGAATTCCACAAATTGTGTTTAATCAGCTTTTACGTATTTCAATCACCCCTTTGTGGTTAAATTTTATTTCCTGATATTAACTACACTCGAGAATCAATTATTTCCACTAGCTTCAATAAAAACAATCTATTTTCCTCAAAAGTTTAGATTTATTTGGGTAAATAGTTTACAAATAACTTTTTCAAACATATATCATTTAGTAAGTTAAATAATTGAGACTAGCTGAACTCATGCAAATACCTTGAACTGAAAAAAATTTTTACAGAGTTTCGTTGAAAGTACAAAAAAAACAAATATTCATAATCTTGCACTTGAAGGGTTGCACAATAAATCATTCATATTTCAAAATAAAGTTGGAAAAATTTTTTTGAAAGTTTAATTTACAATTTCACACATCTGAATAAAATGTTCAGTTTCAAAAAATTTTTCTACTCCAATTCGTTTTCAAATAACGGAAGCCTGAAGCTTAAAGAATAGTTTCAGACCCAAATAACTCAATAAAAAAGTATTGTTGTACATTTCTAGAATATAACGATCTTGAAATGGGAAGTGCGAACTTCAGACTCAATCAAAAAAATGAGTTGCAGTATTTTTCGAAAAGAAATGGAAAATAAGAACACGTATACTTTTTTTTTCTTTAACTTCGAAAAAAACAAATAATAAAAAGAAACTGAATAACAAGATGGAACATTTTTTGACATTTTTGTTCATTCAAAATATCAAGGATGATAGATACACATGCATGCATCCGTATAACAATGGATATTGCAAAAGGAAAATGTTCAACAATAGAAGAATAGTAGATTCATTATCACACATCCTTTGAAATTGTTTGCTTTCTTTATAAAATAAAATTTAATTTTACAGTTATATTGTTACCTTGAAAATTATTTCATTACAAATTTTTGAAATACATCATGAGCACAATAACAAAGAGAAACATTGATTTTTAGGATTCATTACATTGACAAAAAAAGTGACTATTTGATATTAATGAAATTTTTTATTTAGGGTTTAAATATATAATAAAGAAAAGATAATTGTTTCAAGAGAATATTACAGAATGAACTTGAATAATTAACAAATTCATCAAATAAATTATTTGTTATTCGATAATTGGTTTATATTGATATTCAACGAATTTAAAATGAATTTGTGGAAGAAATAATTAAAAATACACGGGAAATTAAATTTTAATTGATACTACCATGTTTAAACTTTTTTTTATGACTCTCTAAACACTCTTCAGATGAATAATAAATGTTATATAAATATTTGATAGATGAATTAGATACTAATTATAATTTTAGATTTTTATTTCTAAATTAATATTCGATCCTTCATATTTATATCTATTTCGTTGTTATTTATTAATACATAACATGAAAAAATATTTGAAAATGATAAAAATACATGTATGGAATTTGATTTTAAGAGAAATACACTTTTATTAAAGTTTGAGAGAAAAATTTTTTAAAATTTTTCTCTCACTTTTTTTTAATTGTAGGATATTTGATGTCATCGATTTTTTTCGAGTTTTTATTTGCATATTTATTCAAAGTTATATTCATTTGAACAAAAAAAGTTTTTAAAAATTCAACTTCCATAACAACAAATAATATTAATATGATATATTTTTTTTTATTGTCCTTATCATTTATTAATGAGCGAATGATTTTTTTTTATTTTCAATTTTTAATTTCATTTTCCTGTATTATTTATGAACTTGTGGTATTGGTACGACCAATATCTATGGTAATGCACATACTTTTTGTGATATTTACTCTAACATGAAATGCTCGAAGAAAACGAAATATAAAAGAGAAGTCGTCTTTTTACTTTTACATATATAGTTTGTCGATCGTAGCTGTTCACTCAGCTGGATCCCCTCCCTATAGTTAGTAGTATGATACGTGTACAAGCGGACGATCCGAATTAACCCTTCGACCTACGAACAAACATATCATTCCTTTTTTTTGCGTTCGTTCGTAGGAGGGTTTACATTTACTTTTAGTGAACCAGACTATTCAACACGTGATTCTCATAATAAATTAAAAATAAACAGTTTTTTTTGTCCATATATATTTTTAACTTTCCATCATTTTTTTCAAAAAAAAAATTGCGAAAAAATTTATTTTGTAAATTTAGAACATAAAGATATTTCTAAGAAATTAAAACTCTGCAAATCAAGTTCAAAATTTACATTTTAAAATTAAATTTTCTATTTTTAAAATTCATTCTCGAATATTTCCCAGCAAATTTACTGCTTTCTTAAGTAAGAAACAAAAAAAACTAGGAAAAATGCTTGTTAATATTTTTATTACACCTTTATTCTCACCAACTCCGTGAGATATTCTGTCTTTTGTCCTGATTCGCAACAACATTGAAAAGAAAGTTTGAACAATAGCTGTGTATTTTTATTTAAAATCAAGATAAACTTATCTAAAGGTATTCTTGAGTGTAAAAAATGAGAGTTTATTTTATTATTCGCCAAATTAGAATTAAACATTGTTTAATCTTGATAAAATCTTTTAAAAGTAAGTTTAAAAAAATATAGAAGCTATTTAAAATAAATCATTCATTTATTATCTACATAATAAATCTGATAAAAGTTGAGATTGTTTCCTAGCCTCTAGGCTTGATTACTTCGACTAGATTGACGATGTAGTTAGGCAATTCACCCTCTCTTAGTCACGTTGAATTATCTCGATAAGTTAAACGTGGTTGCACGCTCGTGCGAGTCGTAAAAATGGAAATTCTCCAGCTAGTGATATATTTCGTCGTTTGTATTCCTTGGAAGTCACAGTTGGTTTTTCAAGCTCAAGTCACACTTGGGCAAGTGTTGCATCCTTCTACACTTTTTCTTTTTTTTCTTCCTTCTCCTCTTCATTCTCATTGTCCTTTTCTCGTGACCTAGGCTTTTGAACTACTGCGCACCTGCAGAGAGCAGCATTGAGATCGCTGCAGGACATGTGTAAAACATAAAGCCGATTAGACACTAGACTAAAGGATGCTCAGATGAATCTTCGACCTTGTCGTAATCGACAATCATCTCATATTGACCCAAATAAAGGTGTAAATGTGAGTTTTTAGGAATTCACCAAAGTTGCAGTACTTGTAAAACGATAGCTGATAAACAATGATTTCAGATTTCCAATAATATGATACAAAGCTACATGAATTTTTGCTGTTATTTTCTTGTACTGCATTCGTGAGCAAGAGAAACTGCACATGCAACGAGCCATACCTATGTATAATCTTGTTTATTAGCATAATGTATTATGATGATTTACTATGATTTTCACACTCCAGAATTATTAAATCATAAATTATAATTAAACAAACACCAATCAATCTATTTAAAGACAATTTATCTTTATTTTAAGATATAAAAATGTTCAAAGTAAGAAATGATAAGTAAATCGAGATGAAAAATTCAAAAGTATAATTTTTTGAAAATAAACTTATTAATTAGAGTTACAGATTTAATTGGATTTTCTGAGTGTTGAATATTGAAATTATACCACTGCTAAACTTTTTTAATTAATTTATATTCAAGTTGGAATAATTTATTTTATTTAATTGATATCCAAGGACTAAAAGTAACAGAAATAAATAAACATTTTTTTTATAAATTCAAACTTTTTTGTTAGATACAGTGGACTAATGATAACCCTTCTATATGCAGGGAGTAATCAAGAATAATATAATATGTGAATCTTTTTCGTAGTGTGGAAAGCTCACGCAGGAGTTTATACTATATTCAGGATAACGAAGTTGTTAATGTTGGCAGTAAAAAGCACAACACGTGCGGGATTATGAACGAGATTAACTAATCTTCTATTTGTCCATTAGGTCTTTTTTCATGTCATAAATGTATGAATAATCAGTATTGCTTTATTCTTCTGGTTTTTGTTGAATCTTTTTTTTTTCAACTGTTGTAGAATCTTTTAAAACAACGCTTATTTTTGCATGAAATACTTTTTTGGCTCAATCGATGCCTGTCAAATGAACAATTTATTTCAAGCTTAAAGAATAGATGAAATGAATATTTTTATTGTTATCCAATAATTTTTTAGTAATGAATAAAAAGTAAAGAGGGATAATATCGATAATAATTGCAGCTAATTTTACGAAATATTATCTGCATTCATCAAGCGTCAGTAATAATTATGGTATTTAGTTACAAGCTCAAATGAACGTTCATTAAATACCAAAATGACATGACCTAGTGCTTACAACAATGCTGAGCGATATGTAGAATTCCTGGCAGTACTCAAAATGCAATTGAGTTGCATCTAACTTGAACGTACGGTCGTAAATACAAAAAAGATTCAAATGTATTATAGTAAAAACGTTAAAGCTGAAATTTACAAAATGATATTGTCTTTTATATCATTCGAGATCTTTTTATCAAAATAAAAGAAGAAACCATGAAGCTTCAATTTTTCTCTAAATTTGCGTTTCTTCTCCCTGAATGAGCAATCATTCGATTTCCATCGAGAAAATTGGAGACTTGGGAATGACGAGATAAGAGTTTATTTTTTTTTTAATAATGTTGTTATGATACATATATACTTGATATATATAAATATATATGTATATAATGTATTTGTGTACTACACCTCAACGATGGAAATAGTGTAGGAATGATGAAAGGATGGAAGGGGTGAACTCATTGGAGTAAACGGCTGTATTAACGTTGAACGATAATGGCTTCAGCTTATAACATTACGCTCCAATTATTAGCTATACTGTCGACATAATCCACGCATCGACGAGTTTCAAATGATTGTGTGACTACTTGCGTCTTTGTTTACACCATTTCACGTTGGCTTACTCACCGTCTTTCAGACTCTCACCCTAACTTAGTTTTACTCTCTTTCAAAGCAAATTTTGCCGAATAATCAATGCTTATTCGATCAATCTAAACCAACAATCTATTTCTTGCAAATTCTATACATTTGAGAATTTGTCTTTTTTTTTTTATTTTTTGTTAATTACTTTAAATTGAATAATTTCGTCTTAATATCTTATCTTATAAGATAATGTTTCGAAAGTTTTTTTTTTAATGTTTTTGAAAAATCATTATTTTCAATCCTTTTACTTATAATCAATATTAATTTTAAAAAATTAATTTTTTAAATTTCTCATTGACTAATCAATCACAAACAAAAATAAAAGGGTCATGAACAAGTGGCATGTTTATTTGACTTTTTAAAAGTTATCTTGGCTATTCATAAGCAGGTATAAAAAAGAATTATCAAGTAAACATACCATTTCCTATTATATCGAGCATACAGTAGAGATCTATTTTATCTTCTGAGGAAGCATTGTCCTCACAATTTGATTCCAAAATGTCTAGAGGACGTCAGTATCGCTACAAATGGCTTTCGTGGTTAAATTCTTGTTATGAAAAATACGAAGCGATTTTCGTAAATTGTTTTTTCTAATTTCTTAAATATTTTGAACGAAAGTTTTCTTTGTTAAAAGCGTAAGAATGTTATCAGTAGATAATAGTAATAACTTGGAAGATGACGTAAGTGATATTATTTTATTGTATTACTTAAACAATTGTGTAACGTTATTTTCATAATATTTTAAGTTAAACAAGAGGTTACGTTTATAATTTATCAAGTTAAAAAAATGACAAAGGTTTTTTTCATAATTAATGTACGAGCTGAACATTTCTTTGACTAATTTAAAATTCTTAGACATAATCCCTTTTGTGATTTTTGTCTGTCACAATGGTGATAAAAATCAATGGTATATTTTTCTTTTTGACAGGAAAGCACTAGTGAGAATGGGTCAGATGAAAGTTTCAAAGATATTGCCGCTTTAGATAGCCCAAAGGAATGGACATATACTATGAGAAGAAGTATGCAGGTAAGATTATCAGATAAAATCTTTTTAAATTTCAATAAATTATTCTCAAAAATGATTGTTCATTTTAGGAAGTAGCTCCTCGTTTGTACTTGGGTCCTTACAGCTCTGCTAGTCGTCAAAAATTACAGGATCTCCAAGAACGAGGAATAACACACATTGTTTGTGTTAGACAAGACATAGAGGCACATTTTATTAGACCTAATTTTCCAGATAAATTCGAGTAAATAAATAACACGAATATTGATCGTATAAAAATAATGAAATAATCATAGTAATTCAAATGTTTTTTTAATGTAGATATTTAGTGTTGAATATAGCCGATACTGCTACGGAGAACATTATTCAGCATTTTCGAACAGTCAAAGCTTTCATAGATAAAGGATTGCATTCCGGTGGTAGAGTACTAGTTCATGGCAATGCTGGAATATCTCGATCAGCTGCTTTAGTCCTTGCTTACGTCATGGAAACATATAGTTTGACTCCAACGTAAGTAAAAAGCAACCTCTATCAATATTATTTCTAAAGTAGGTATAATCTTTAAATCTTATTAAAAAAAATTATACAAAGTCATGAAATACTAGTATCAATAAATTTAAAAGAATTTCAAATATACAAAGTATACAAAGTTACATCATTTTTTAGACGTGCTTATGCATTAGTTCAACAACGAAGATTTTGTATAAATCCAAATGAAGGTTTTATGGCTCAACTACGTGAGTATGAACCCATTTATCAAGCACAAAATCAATTGAAAAACGACCCATTAACATCAAGAGAAGAAAGCAAACGGAAATGCCATGATATAGAACGTCCAGATGACAGAGCTGTTCTCATGGATAGTTGATAATTATTTTACAAGTGATCAAAGTTACCAAAAGACTTATTAATTATAGATTAATTAATCGGTAACAACATTTGGGACTAATTAAAAATATAAAAGCTGTTAATTTACTTTCATAGATGCTTTTCAACAACTCAATGAGTATATTAACAAAATATTGAAGTATAAATCACCAGAAATAATGTAAAAAGCTACTCTCGAATGTAAAATAATCCATAGTGGTAGTATGGTGTGAAAGTAATCGTCTAGCTCAAAATTTTTGCAGTATTGGAATGTCGTGAATTGAAATAATTGATCGTTTACTTTCATAAACAAAAAAAAAATTCACTTGTACTATAGTATTAATATTATTTTTACTTTCTGTTAGCATCTATATAGTTACGTTTCATTGAATTCGTCTAAAAATGTCGACTAGTCTGATAAACTTCTTGCGTCAAATTTCAGACAATATTAGTCGACAATTATGCAGTGTTGACTGACTCATTAGCATCTCTACCATTTTTCACAATAACCATACCAATGATAATAATCACAGTTCCGTTTATTACTGCTATTACTATTTCTCATCATTTTTAATATGCGAAAAAACATTAAATAATATTTACGTGAAGTATGAAATAATAGAGGTATTTCTCGTCACTAAATTAACATTATTTAATTAAAAATTGAATTGTTTTTATGATTCAACATCAATTGTAATACTTAATATTAAATACTAAATATGTGTTTTATTTATTTGACATTCAAATTTGTTCAATATCGTTGTTATAAAAAACTTACATTACAAATACACATCATATTTTCCAATTTCTTTAAAAAATTTTTTGATCATTTACATAAATTTAAAAGAAAATTCCCCTGTATATAATTTTATCTTCTTAAGTTCTAAAGCTTAATTTCTGATGGGATCAAAGCACAAACGATATCGTCACCATTCTCATCCTTAAGTTCCCATTTGACGATGACCTTGAGCTGTAAAAATACAATTAAAAAAAAAAAAAAAAACATTTTAAAAAATCGGCAAAATTACTTATGTGCATATCAATAAAAAATATATGAAATTTTTTTTATTACCGGAGGATAAATGGGTAGAATGTTCAATGTCGCACTATAAGTGTATGGCCCATTATCCTTTTTGAGAGGACAAGAAAGGCCAGACTTAGAGCATGCATCTTTCTGACTAAATGGGAATGGAAGTGCTGCACCAGCAATTATTCCATGGACCTCTGCATTTACTTCTTTAATATCTCTATCTATAATATATAAATTGGCATTGTTTAAATTAAAGATAAAGAATTTTTGAAGTCACTATAAAATTAACAATGACGGAGGATAATTACCAACGTTAAAAGTAATAGAAATTGTTACAACTTTTCCTCGCTTTAAAATACATGTTGAGGCTTCAGGTTTGCAATTAGTGATACTGATATTGGTGTATGAACCAACTTTGGATCCTGAAAAATAAAAGTAAAAAATTAAATGGTAACGATACATTTTCTGATTCATTATTATAACGATACAATTACACTTGAATAATGTTGATGCGTTTTTTTTCTATTTTTTATCACTAAAACATCTAGATTGCCATAAATAATACCTGAAGAATGGAACAGTCAATACAATTGATAAAAAATAATTTTGTTTCATAACAGATGAAAAAAGTTACAAGGAGGTAATAAATCTCTATGGATGTATTTAATTATGAAGCATTAGCATTTTTATAATCGTATAAGTGTAATATGCACGTTTCAGTTTAGAAAGATAAATGAAACTTAACCCGCTGACGTACAAATGGTGATAACATAACTGGGAGACTTCGCGTTACAAGAAAAAAATTAAAATACTGTGAATTATAATAATAAATAAATAGAGAAATCGAATGGATATTTCACTTATAAAAAATATTACCATTTTTATTGTAATGTAGAAAGTGAAATCCCTATTAAAAGAAAATTTTACTTCGCAAAACCATAAAAAGAGATTTGTAATTAACAATAATACACTAATTACAATCAACTTAATGATTGATTGAATAATAAGTTAGATCATTCTTGACTCACCACAGTCGTTTATTACACCCTGTACTAACACCGCTGAGCACAGCAGAAGACAAAGAATACTTCGATACATGTTGTTCGTTAGACGTCTCGACGGGTATTGAAGTCGCGATAGCTGGAAAGGATAATTTAAATCCAATTTATATGTGTTTGTAAGATGAGTGTATATATAGTTTCTTATGTGTAGAAAATGCTTCCCACTCACCAACACATACAGTAAAGCTTATAAAGTCTATGTGGTTTATATATGAGATGCGTCACCAACCAGGCAGTCAGGTAAGATTCGTGCCCAGCGTTTCTTTGATGACCATCACAAAGACATCCTTCTCTACTCCTTTTAAGAAAGTTTTTAGAGTAACCGACGTTATTGTATTGGTATTTTCTAAGTAAGTCAATGTAGAGAAAAAGTCAAGAAAAATAACAGGAATCGATAAAAATAAATAATGTAATTACTTACTTCTAAAATGTTAGTAAGAGTGAAAAATTGCTAAAAATGTATAAAATAAAAAGAGTTTAGAAATTAAACAAAGAAGATGATAAAAAATAATAAGTAGTAAAACATGTTCTCAGAAAATAAAAAAAAATTAGATACAAAAAAGTTGAAAACATGTGACCACTTTTTTATATTTGATTTATTCTTATACAATTTATTTAGTAAAAAGAATTGATTATTTATTTATAATTATTTGATGATATTTTTTTGTACGGATTCCCAATTTTGCTGTTAATACATTGATATTTTTTATATCATTATGTAAGATGCAACTTCCAAATACCATTTAGAAATAAAGCCATCGGTTAACATATAAAAATAAAATATTAAAATAATTTTGAAAACAGTAATAATTTATGGGTAAAATTATTCTTTTATTTCATATTTGAATATAGAAAGAATTATTTTTCTCATAAATTTATTGCAATTTACTTATAATTTATACCACATTAAAAGTTATATGTAGTTTTTATGAAGGTTAATAAATTAATAATTTCATCTTTAGACAAATGATTGCTTTTATTATTTACAAGGAAATTTCAATTATTAACCTTGAATTTTTTCTGCTCTTCCTTCATCGTGATTAAATTGATAATGAGATGAAACACGTAAATCAAATGCGCGACTTGAAATTATAATTTTGTTTATTGTCTTATTTTAAAATTCCCGCGTTTTAAATAGAGTTACTTCTTATTTCCGGGGATGGCTCCAACGTCAGTCATTCGGAAATGACGTTGTGGATATCTGTGTCCACGTAGATCCCGCAACACAGTCGAAGTTAGCTTTTTGGACGTCAAATTTAACACTTTACAAAGTGTACTCTTACAGAAAGTAACGTGAGTAATTTCATTTGATATTCTTATTGTAAAAAAAATTGTTTTATATTAAATATTCCGTATGATTTATTCTCAAAGACAACTTGAATTGTTTACACTTATAAATAATTTAATGAGTGTTTATTGTTAGATTGACTTACTAGAAGTGCTTTTAATTGGTAAATAATAAATACAAAATATTTCATTAATTTTTCTAGTCTAACATATGTGCTTCAAATTGGTTCAAATATTTTTTTTCTATGAAAAATTGTTACTGCGCGATTGTTTTTTTAAAGCAACAATTGTTTGGAACGTTGCTATTGACGTATGTTTTAAACGAGTTGATATAAATATTTTTAGACTTGAGGGAATTTATTTAAACAAATTTATCTGTATTAAAGCTACTTCGTTTCATTGAGATTTCAGAAGTTGACAACGTGTGAAAAATTTCGTTGTCAAATTAATCTATAGACTGTAACATCGAAAATTATGTATTATTTTTTTCATCGAATGTTATTATTTGCAGGATCTAACAGATTGATAAAATGGATCAAATCAAAAAGTTCGTTGAACCAAGCCGAAAGTTCACAAAGGACAGCATTAGATTAGTCAAAAGATGTACGAAACCTGACAGGAAAGGTAAGTTTGATAAATCACACTTAACCTTGTACATTCTTTCTTCTATCCTTGACTGGTTCAATTGTAATATAAACATTTCCTCGTTAATTAAATAAAGAAAAATAATGCTTTCAAATTCTTCATAGAATTCCAAAAAATTGCAATTGCAACAGCTATTGGATTTTGCATAATGGGATTCATTGGATTCTTCGTCAAACTCATTCATATTCCAATTAATAATATCATTGTGTAAGTATTTTTAAAATATTATATATATATTGAATTGATACGGAAATTCGATTTCAAAATAAATGTCCCGTTACTTATTGTCAGTCAAATATTATTTTTTACTCCTTACATCAGAAGTAGCAATGGCTCTAAAAATTTTACTTAGAAAGCTACTTTGCCTCCGAAAAGATGATCTTGTCCACCTTTGTCTTACATCAATTCAATATATTTAGTACTATTTTATGATATTGATAAAAATACTAAACTATATTTATTTTTTATTTCAGAGGCTCGTAAGACTTATTCTGAAATTATATTTATTTTTTAATTTTGTATTGTATAGGGTAAAACATAGTGATTGGTCTCTTAAGGTATTGCCTCACTTTAAAGTATAAAAAAAATTATAAATATTATTATGATATACATTTTGTCCGTTTAGATTACTTTTATGAATATGTTTTTATGATAAAATAAAAAAAAAAATTAAATAAAAATTTATGTATTCATAAGAAATAATAAAACATAATGAATTATATGAAAAACTACAAAGTAATTGGCCTATTTGGTGTAGTGATTAGCTCATTTCTTATAGAGATTTCAAGAGCTTGAAATTCACGGATACAGTCTATAATATATTTAAATAAATCATTCTAATTGACTAATTTTATTTGTACATTTAATGCAGGCTTAACTGATTTTCTTTTTTAATATAAATTGCTGGTTCTTTAAAATAAAGCAGAATTTTTTCTAGCACAAGAAATTCTTTTCATTTTTGTCTAAATAGATAGATATGAATTGTCGATGAAAATCAGTTCTAATAATTTCAGTAAAAGTACTTAAAACTAAGTTTTTTTAAATTATTTACTTTATCATTTTTATGTGACGATTTAATAGAACTGTTTACACGGTATTTAGAGTAACTTATTGCATCAGGATTCTAGGAGAAAAACCATAAGTCTTGGATGCATTTTTTACTGCAACTTCATCAGCCGAAGATTTATTCCAGTCACTAGATATAACCATAAAACCTCTGTTGTTAGGTACTAAATTGCCAAGTACATTAGTATATAATTAACATTACTTGCACTAAATGTAAACAATTCAGTCAAATTAAGTGTACTATTGTTCTTTTTAAATTGCCGGGAAACAACTTAAAATATGTTATATATATAACAAAAACATAATGTTCGAAAACTATATAAGTTACTAAACATAAGTCAAATTTTTATAAAGAAATTAAAAAGAAATTTTTTTTTATATTTATTAAAAAAAATAACATGGCCAATAATTGTATGTTTTACTCTAGATACATTTTTGATTGAAAACTTATAATTACTGAAAATAAATATAAATTATTTTTTTTGTTAATTAGAAATTGATTGACATGTTACCAAAATATTTTAATGATTTTATTCATTAATATATAATTCATTAAGACATAACTTTATGTTTCGTACGCATAATGCAAAATATAATGGCAGATTTTTATAATTAATCAGAAGCACTTTATTATTTGATTTGTTGATGCTCGCAAGTATAAATATTCTCAACGCTTTATTATATACTCCTTAAATTACGTGAACAAAATTTAACACTTTGTTTTTTTTTTATATGAACACTTACAAAAAATAATTAGTGCTGTAAATAATTACAGCCTCTTCATCTTACTCATTACAAGGTTGCGTTATCCATCTCTGTTATTTAATTAACTTAAGTTAATTATGGAAACGCATTCCAGGTTTAGATATTTTTATGACCGACGAAAAATGAACTTTATGTTCTTGACAACTAATGAGCGGAAGCACCAATTGACTTAGAATATAATTAACGAGTAAAAAAGTAATAAAGCGTATTCGGTAAAAAAAAAATAAGAATAAATTTATTAAATTTGTCGATCGTAGAAATTTATCCTGGAAAAGTAACTTAAAAGTTACTCTGAGGTATATCGTTCGGTAATACATATAATTCTTTTTTTGTCAACAAAAAATAATACATTTCAATTAGTTAATTGTATTATAATATCAAACATCTCATTAATAATAAACAGATACGTTGGTACTCGTAAAAAAAACAGTGTATATATCAGTAATTTTTATAAGTATCATTTATCAATAACATTTAAACTATGAAAAAGAGCTTGCAAAGATTAATTGCTAAAAAAAATGTTTTTATTTTTTAAATCGAGAATCATTACGCCAAGTAAGATGTCCTGCATTTACTCAGCATATTGGTGCTGGCTTTCAAGCTTCTATTTGTTCAATTAATTCAATGACACCGATAATGTTTACTTAATAATCATTAGTTATTTTTGACAAATAAATCTTGAAAAATTTTAAACAGTATTATCTAAATTATAAAAGGAATGTTTTATAATAATAGTTCAACAACGCTAAACATTGTTAAATAAATTTTAGTTTTTCTATAAGTAAAAGCCATTAGTGAAAATCAAAAATTAGCCAAGATATAAGAAAGCAGAGCTACTGAAATTTCAGTTAAGATATTGAAAGTTTATGTAAGCTTCTTTAGATTAATATAAAAAATAATTATATTATTATCTTTATTATTACTACTTTTGATTAATTCAGTAATCCTCAAGTCTTGAGTATACAATAATAATATTTAGTTATAAAATTAAGAAATTACATTATGAATATTTTTATTCAACATCAGCTTATCTTTGATAATATTTAATCTTCCAGTTTCTTTATGAAATTCCATTATCTCTAATTTTTTATCGGTACATTTTTTCTCATGGAATGCATAGTCTACATTTTTTTGCAATTAATCAAATCAACTTAACGTCTTTTTTGTCGAAAGAACATTTGTGTTTTGAAATAGAAGCAGTTTCTTTACAGGTCTTATTAACACAAGTTTTATGTCAAAACTATGAAGAGGATGAATACAAGTGGTACATACTATTCCGGCTATACTGTACAACCTGCATCAGATGTAGGCACAAATGCACTGTCTTGTCTATAAAAATCTTGCACACCTGTATCATAATTTTCCATTTTAATTGGATAGTCTAAACTAATACAATCTTGTGGCTGATTCAATGATGGCGAAGAATAGGTATCTGAGTATGGAAGAAGCAACGACTCTCCAGTGTATGGTTGATAAGCTTCATTGGTATTACCTTGCTTAATACACGTTGGAGTATGAACACTCAGCATGTCCACCAATCTTCGCCTCTGGGTTTCTAACTCTTGTATCTGAGATTTTAGGTCATGATTTTGTGATTCTAGTGTTTCTGATTCTTGGACAAGAATCACTGTCTTCTCTCGTTTCTTTAATCGACATTTAGTGGCAGCAATTTTATTTCGTTCTCTTCTTCTTCTACGTCTTTCCTCGTCTTCTGGTGTCAACTAAATAAAGAAATAAACATAAATTTTAAAGATAACTTTATACATAAACTAATGTTAATATATAATTTGATATTTCATAATGAATATTATAAACTCACCCCAGTACGTCCACTACTGTTATTATTACTAGAATCTTCATCTTCTTCATCATCAGCACTTCCATCTTCTTTTTTCGTCTTCTTTTTACTTTCATCACTGCTATTATTTGCTCGTCTTTTAGTTTGCAAAGTCAGCTTCAGTCCTGTCAAAGTAAAAACATCCTTAGATAAAATTGTACTATTAATACAAGAATTATAAACTGCAGATGTCGAACAAGAAATTAATACCTTCTTTGATAAGCTGACTGCAGGTGTGTTGAACACTAGGAGGACTTGGCTCGCCTCCACTACTGGTTGAATCAGTTCTATCTCTGCTTTTCTCATTAACAAAACCCTCGAAAGGGTTTGTCATAGCAATTAGAGAGTTCACAATCTCTGGCGTTCTGGGTGTTACTTCATTGTTAGTAACACCCAGAAGACCTGTAGCCGTAGGGCTAGGGTTCACGTTTACATTTAAATTGTACATTGAATCTGTGAATAATAAAAAATACCACACTATTTAAAATCATTGATTGTAAAGAAGTATTCTTTTCTGTTTATAATGCATTGCATATCAAATGTGATAGACTAGATATGGTTGACTCGCACTTCCGGCCAAAGAACAAAGGGATAGACAATTAGTACTCATTCTCAACAAACTGACCTTCGTGTTTGAAGCAAGAAAGGTGTAACTATGATATAACGAGCTAGATCTCAAGGTCGAATCTTTCCCCGGGGAACTACGATTAGTGAGAAAGATGAATTCGACCTTAATTACAAACGAATATCAAGATAATGAATGGGTTACTTGCAATAAAAAAATTTTTTATAGTCAACGAGCAGTTTAATTTCTCATTCTTCCTACGTTTTACTTTAGGTATTCAGAGTATTTTGTATTAGTTAGAAATATTCAATTGACCTTAAACATTAATTGAATGAGGCAAGATTAAATTAAGAAAAAATACGCCAAAAAAAATTTCGAATGATATTTGCATACAATACAATTATAAATAATTATATTGTTGTCAATATTATAAATAATTCTAAATTAAACAAAAAATTTATTTCAATTATTAAATTTATATGATATGATAATTTATACTAAGTCATTCAGTTGTCGGTTATCTCATCAATGTTCTATTTTAAATAGTTGTGAATTGATTATCAATATCATGAGATTTAAAATTAATTTATGCTATTTTTTCTTTCAATAGAGGAGGAAATTGAAAATTTTTATTCAACTTATTTGATACGATAGATTTATTTTTACATTATGAACAAAAACAAATGATTAAAAATGAATAATTGATTGATTAAAATTGTTTTAAAAGCTGACAGTTAATTTTTGCATGTAAACATTTTTGTTAAATTATATTTGGATGGTCTAGATTTCAGTTAAAAGGCTGTCAATGCCTGTCAAAACTATTTTCATCTGCTTTAGAAGTCTTACACAAAATGCTCCGAAAATTGATGTTGATAGGTAGTTAGAAGAAAATGTAGGTGACATGTCTGTTTCTGTCTTTTCCAAGAAAACGTTCAATTATGACATATATTACACATGTTAGTATTAAATTATCTTGCGACATGAGAATAATACGAGTTCATTTATCCTACTAAAAAGTATGAAACAAATATTTAGACATCAGATTTAAGAAATAAATTTCACCTGGAAAAATAAAATATGAATGATAGATTTTCTCTCTAATAAAATTTATTTTATCCATCTTTTATTGGTTGAGGGTCAACCAGTAGATTTCGTAATAGATTTTTTTCCGGTCCCTTCTATTTTTCTGGAGGCCCTTTACGACTATCACATTCCCTTACTCATTCTTGTTACTTTATTTCTCTGTTGCTCTTACGTTTGTAAATATGTAAAATATTTCATCGCTTTGATGTGCTTATTTCATTCCCCAGCTTAGTAGTCTATCGTAAAGTCACATTCTGACAGACACAAATGGACTAGGCTGTTTATAAACTCGCGGCTGCAAAGGGTTTGACCGGAGCCTTTTACAACTAAACCAAGCCAGACAAACGACCATACAAATGGCACCCAGTGACCTATATTAGACTTTGGCTAAAATATTCTTCAACTCTTGAGATTCTTCTAGCATTTAAACCCAACATATTGCGCACATCAGACAAATAAAAATATTATTTAATGATCACCAAATTGCTAAGATGCTCCAAAAATTTTTCAACTCATCAAGATGTTTACAATTATTTTGCTTATTAATATAATCAACTTTTCATAATCTTCTTTTAGATTCTTTTCAATCCAAATATTCATACTCATTAAAAATTCAAATTCTATTCCGAAACATTTTTTTTCATAAAAATAATCTATTTGAAATTTTGAATATGTAAATATATTTGCCTTTAAGCTAAATGAAGATTTATTAAGTAAAACTAAATATTTATTTTATCTGTGAAAATTCAATAAAGTAATGATTTATTGTCATAACAATTGATCTACTCCAAAAAGAATTTTCATTCAATTTTAAATTGATTTGAAAAACATTTTCTATCAATTTATTATAAAGTTTATGTATGCATTTTGTTGTTCTTTTGATAATTTTAGATTCTTGATTGTAACTCCTAACTTTCGCTAGTTGCATGTTGTAAAATCTAAAAATAAAGTTCATTTGATTTTGACGTATAGTTGGGATGCTCCGGAATTTGAGGAGTTCCTTTGACGCCGATTTCAACTAACGTCATTTAACAGTATGCCATATCTCGTCATTCATCATAATTAATTAAAATAAAAACAAAAAAAAAAAATAACTAATTTTGTCTCGAGATCAAATAGCATTCTATTGAAATTACAGAGTAGGTGATAGAGACTGTATAGAATTACACTGAGGGAGCATAGTTATCACATTGGCACAAAGCTTTACATTGTAAGCCTTCTAATGTTGCTTAGTATTAAATGAAAAGTACAAAATAAAAAATTTCAACGAGTATATTTCATTTGTACTGAAGTAGATCGAATGTTGAATTTCGTAGAATAGTATTAAAGTTAAAAATATTGCGGAACGTGCAAAGAACATCAGATAATTGGATGATTTTAGGGAGGGTCAACCCTTTAGACGACAAAAGTGCCGCAGGGATTCATATATATGCTCTCACGCATTTCTTATTACGCAACGACGCGTCGTTCCCATCTGGCAAGAAATTTTTATCGTTTTTTCGTACGGTCAACAATCTCTCGTAGGCGGTACTAATTTCTTCATTTTTCAAAAGCTATTTACCAACTACTAAAATGGAATTTAACCATTGAAAGACCAAAAGGAAAATAATAGAGAAAAAAATGCTAGATAAAACAAAGTGGCGCCGAATAGTCAATATTTTAAATACGTTTTAAATACTAAGTACACAAAAAGGAGTTGACAATTTAAAAGTGAAATGTCTGGAAAGACTTGTGATGAAGAAATACCAATGAAGAATAGATCAGAAAGAGAATAATGATGATGATAATAATACTAGACTACGATGAATTTAAAATAAGTGTAAGCAGAATAGAATGCGCCGACACTGTTTAGTTGTACTAGACTAAAGAGGAAACGAACAAAGGAAATAACTAGTGGTACAACACAAGGTCACCGTAAAAAGAAAATTAAAGTAGGTGCAGATAACGTAGGCTGAAATGCAAATGTATATAGTGTCGCTAAATAAAGACTTGGTGTTAAATAATTTAACACAAAAAAACTGTCATTTACTGTTATCTATTCTTTTAATTATTTCCATGATTGAGAATGAAAAAATATTTTTTTAAGGATAGGCTTTTCATTCATCTACTAATCGAAGATTCAATTGTATATTTTCTAGTTTGACTTTTTATCTCTACTTGTATCCTTTACTCTTGTATTCACTCTCTTCTACGTTTGGTGTTCATAAAATTTATGCTTCCTGTTCGCGCACAATGTGCTTGTTGTGTGAACATATTCACACACATGGTAAAACGTGAGTTGAGCTCGAAGAACAGTATTTTGTACAATACTCTATTAACAAAGTACAAAGCCTCTTAATTTTACCTTTTTCTGAGTACTTTACTCCATAGTATTTTAACAAACTTTAATACTTTGAAGACAATTACTATTTTATTAAAAAAAAAAAAAAAAACAATTATCTTTGAAGTATTTATGAAGATTGAGAGATGCAACAGTTTTTGCTTTGACCCAATATATTTAATAATGAGCAAAGTTCAACTAATGGCAAAAAACATATTATTAATTAAATATAAAAGGTTGAGATGAACTTGTCGATAAAAAAATTTAGTTCATGGAATTTTCTAATTAAGAATTATCTTGAGCACTATTTAGCGATAGTATTTTAAATAATAATAGTTATTAATAATTGAATGACTAATTCAAACAATTATTGAAGGCTTTAAAAAATGGGAAATAAAATTGATTTATGCACTTTAAAACCCGCATCTAACTGCAAGTATTTAATTACTTGAAGGTCATAGAAATGCATGGAGGTTTGAAAAAATGTAAAATTAATGTAAATAGTAAGAGAGTTAATTAATTTTAATTATTAAATATTATTTACAGTGGAAAGTTTTTTTAAGATAAAAAGAAATTGACTCTTATTAGTTTATTAAGATCGCCCTCATCTCCAAAGAAGGCGATACGAGAAAAGCCATAAGTTTACACTCATCGGTAATCGTGATATCGTCGCGTAAAATTCCTTTTATCGCAACTGGACTCTTAAGTGAGTGGATAAATACTTGGCCGCACGCGTGCAAGCGCAAGGCTGAGAAATAAAAGTGAAAGAGATTGAGTGAATGTCAGAGGAGAATCTTCGTGAATTGAGAAATAAATAGTGTTTTCATTTGATATGAATCTACACTTCAATTTTATTCACAATGTTGCAAACTGTTGTTGGATTTTGATGTTCTTATCCAACAAACCTTACATAAACAAAATAAAATATGTTTAAATTTTTTTTCTAACACCTAATTGACGATATAAAAACTTCTTCAAGTATCTTTTTATCAAAAGTGAAGAAAAAATTAGTTAAAATAATACTCCAACATTTTTTTTTCAAACGTTTTAAAATGTTAAAAAAATGACTATATTTTTTATATGCACTGTAATAAGTTATCTTACGAAATTCGACCAAGGTAATTTTGACCCAAGTCTCCTCCAAACTTGGAGTCAAGAGAGACCAGGATTATTGCGCATACACATTGAAGAAGTGAAGAGGGGAAGAGAGTAGTAAGATAAAAAATAACCATTTCCAAGATGCAACCCTGGCTTGTGTACCTTCATGTAAACTTTAATGAACTTTCGAAGAGTCTGTAACACAATTAACTCCGATCTCATTTACATTAATGAGGCACTTTGTATCTTCACACTGTTTCAACTTGATTTTTTTCATTAATCCTTAGACATAATACAACTCCACTTGAATCTTTATCTATCACTTAAGATTTCAAGTAATTTAATTAATTTCTGACAAAAATCAATTTTTTATTCATCTTTATTATCATTTTCAATAAATAAGTTAATTATCAATCTTTCAATAATCTATATAATACCCTTCAATATTCTCCATGTGACTATTTGATTAATTTTCAATTAATTATCACGATTGAAGATATAGGCATTAATAGCGTCTATTGCGTCTTGAAGTATTCGATGATCGATACCGTCAAAACAGTTTTTGTAACACGACGCGACATCAAAATTCGTTGAGCTTGGAGTCTGATACAAATATCCAAATACATTTTACACATTGGTGTACGTGATATTTTCAAATTTAACTTTACGATATCGTAATATTATTCTTAGATCAACTCACTATAATAAAACCATACTGCTCTTTTATTAATTCCTGCTATGCATTTTATTTGAATTTATGAACAAAAGGCAGCGACAAAATTTTAATGCCCCAGAGTGTTGATATTATAAATACATCAATTAAACGAGTGAGACACAAGTTTGTATTTTTAAAACATTCTACAAACTTATTATCAATTGAATGATCACAAATATTTCGTACAATTATTTACACATTAATCCAATTGAAATGCCAACTACAAAAGTAGATTGTTAATTTTATTTATTGGCCAATTAATCGTCAAGACTTTTGTATCAATTTAATCTTCCAATGTTAAAATAACAAAATGTAATTAATTAAATCGAATATATAACTGGTTATTAATTGTAATAAGTACACGATAATCTTAATTTGATTGTGAAGCAAGAAAAAAAATAATCTTAAATTGTACGCCACTTTAATATTTGTTATTGTAACATTGTACACTGAAGCGCACATTTCTCGAACAATTTGAAGGCATTGTTTTATCAGTTGTTATCACCTGAAGCGATTTGTTATCTTACCAATAATCCGGATCTAAATACATCTAATAGCCGTAAGGTGTTGAATAAGCACGTGTGTTGTGTTGCTTTCTGTATAGTTGTCACACTTTTATTTTTCTTTTTACATTTTTTTCAAGATAAAATGCATCCTGTTAAGCCTTTAAATATTTTTTTCTATAAAAAAAAGCCAGAATATCTTAAGGAGAACCAAAGTCTGCTGAGAAAAAAATTAGCTTCAAGGTTTACTATATGTATACATAGTCTCATAAATTTCGAGACCAACAAAAAAAGAAATATCAATTTGAAAGGTTGAAGAATCAAAATGGAATGTTGATATACAATGATTATAAACAGATATAAATTTACGTGATTGTTGTAAATAAACTCCTACCTTATGTATTCCCTATAAAATGTAAATCTTAACCTCCTGACACAAACAATTAATAGATTATCTGCCATCGGCTGCCGGCGCACGACTGTGGATATTTCGCGGCCGCGACCGGCCTAGATATATGTAAGTTATTTTTAGCCATGTCGTCAGCATTCAAAGTACTTATTGGCTAGCAGTGACGTGACTCTCAACTCTTATTGGTCAATCCATAAACATAAGAGGAGTGGGGATACTCCTGAAGTTGTTCTTACTATATACTCTGCCGTTCTATCAACTTCTACTGGGTGCGACTTGCGGGTGCGACATTTGTTGACATGGACTTGACAAATTTTCCATTTTATTTTTTCGTACGTTTATAATTCATGGAAATGATCAACGAGATATATCTTGAGATAAAACATTTTAATCATGAATTCATACTTCAGCTTAACTCACAGCATATTAAATATGTATATACACTTACCATACCGTTACTTCTTGGGTACGTGAAGATTTAAATCGATTTCGTAATTATGCAAAGAGATGCGTTGCAATTGTATAATATGAAACAACAAAATATTTAAAATTTTAAATCGTCGGTATGTAATTAAATTGTTTTTATTTACGTGTTTATTTATTTTGTTTATATTAATAATGAAGAAATTTATGTTTTCTAAAATAGGTGTCTGAATAGTGTAGCAATGAAAAATGAATTCAGGGTTGTTATGTGACTCCCGCGCGAACGTGGGCGTCACCTACGATGAAGTAACACTGCAATATCTCGGGATGCTCTTGATTCTACTCGTTCCTACTACTAGCAATAACGTTTCCAGGACAGTTATTGCTTGATGTCATTTTAAGATGCAGAGAGAGCATAAGTATAAATTGCAAGTACTTGAAGATCCATAACATGTAAGGTATGTAGTTTTATAAAGCTTGTGCTAGATAACAAAAATAATTTAGAAAATAAAGAGGTAATTTAATATTCCAGCAGAGCATTTGTGCAGCAGGTAACTTGGCTAAGTTTGATTTTCTACTCTACATATGTAGTTCAAAGGGAATAAAAGTTAATGTAATGACTGATTATTAACGTTCAGGCGATTTAGTATGCTATTAATTTACGCCAAGCTTTCGAAAAGCCTTGACTGTATACGTAGACTTGACAGAGTTGAAGTGAGAATGGTGTGCATTTGTCGTACCACCGGATCTTGAATGAAATCATAGTTTCCCAGCGGCGGTTCCACTTGGAATTGCATAGAAAAATTAGTCATAAGCTGTTTGGATTCTATTCGTCAGATTTATGGATGTGGGATGGGCTTGATGAGCAATAAAAAAAAGTATAAATGTATGCAGAAAAATTGTTGATTTTCTGCAGATATCATTTAGCCAGTTCTGTGATGATTATCGATCAGATATGCTAAACAATGTGTGGATAATAATAGAAAATTCCACAGATTACGTATAATCGTTTCTTGGTGTAAATATACCATATGTGTATTTTTATATGTTGAGATGTATGTCGAGGATCATAAAATATTTTTTATTATTTATGTACATTTGTTCATAGAGTTGCGGGTGAGGTCTTTTCTATGTGACAATCACCTCTTTATTTTATACAATTCATATTTTACACGTGACTTCATGTTAGACACAGAAGTCATCAATCTTATCTATTTATTTATGGATTAAGTGTAGTGTTATGAAATATTGACTGATTATTCTTGGGTTTTAAAAAATAATTCGAGTTCTTAGAAGGTTGCTAATATATGCACAAGTGATTGTCATTTTTTTATAGATCAAAAATAGTTTTCAAATTGGTACTATTAAATTTTTTATTCAGTTTTTTATTGTATGTTAATGAATAAAGATTAGTATACAATGTTTTATGCTTTTTTGCAGAAATTTTTTCTGAATCCATTAAATAAATTACGTACATTTTCTAATTATTGTTCCATTATCGGGTTTCTTAATAATAGGTATAGTAAATCCATTTATAATTAAACATTATATCGTTTAAAAAAAAGCTTGTTGAGACAACAAATTTTTTTTTTGAAAATTTTCGCGCTAATAGAAGACACACCAATAGGGAACGTAGAAATTTGTGTTTCAATGCGCATGTTCACTTGTTTTTTAAAAATGGCTGCGCCCACAATTCACGACATGTTCAAAGACTGTTTTAAATATTACAAAAGCCGTAATCCACCTCCAAATTTAGAAAATGTACTAGATCTTGATAATCCAGATTTAAATAAGGTAATCTAATAAGATCATATTTATATATTTATATACAAATAACCTGATTCTTATCTAATTATGTTTACAGGTTATTAAAGTACCAAATAAGATTACTGAGTTGCCACCAGCTGATTGTTTAGGACTAAAACCAATTTCGTCATGGAAAGTCTATGAATTTGTACAAATTCCAGGTAAGAAATAGGACAACAACTGTTTAATTAAGTAATAACTAACAATAAGATTATTTCTTACTAATAAATTAATTTTATAGGATTAATATTTATAAAGAATCCTTTTACTCCTGCTGGTCAAAGATATTGGATTACTAAGTGTCTAAAAGATTATTCAAAAAAACCAAGTAAATCAAATATAGATGCTCATAATCTTTTATTAGATAATGAAACGTGGTGGGATGTCTGTACAACTGACAAAAAAAGAGCAATCAATTTAATTTCAAAGTTGAGATGGGCCACATTGGGATATCACCACAATTGGGATACAAAACATTATTCAGAAGACTCTAAATCAGAAATCCCTTCAGACTTTGTAGAGTTATCAAGAATTTTAGCAAAATCTGTTGGTTTTATGAATTTTAATGCAGAAGCTGCAATAATAAATTATTATCAAATGAATTCTACTCTTGCTGGACATATAGACCACTCCGAAATGAATATGGAAGCACCACTGATTTCTATTAGCTTTGGTCTAACTGCTATTTTTCTCATTGGTGGTTACACAATAGAAGATCCAGCTTATCCTATTTTTCTCAACAGTGGAGATGTTGTTATAATGTCAGGAGCTTCACGATTAAAATATCATGGTGTACCCAAGATTTTATCTGTAACAGATCCAATCTGGGATGATGATTTGGAAAAGAGTCCAGAAATTTTGAATAATAGTAATGATTGGTACAAAGCAAGACGTTTAATTGCAGGAATTCGTATCAATATGAATGTAAGACAAGTTTTAAAGGAGGGTCAGAGTTGTTTATTAATGAAGACGTGATATCTATTGCCATTCTCAGAAATATATTTGTAGATGATGGGTGGTCAAACAACTTGTTTACGGTGATATGAAAAGTTCTATAGACCTGAAAAAGTTTCTTCTAATCTAACGTGGAAAATAAAGAAATCTTTAGAGCACGAAAAAATCTCAAAGTATAAGAAAGAATGATCATAAGAGGTCGCTAGTTACTTAAAAAAAACGTACTTCAGCCTACATGTGTATCAACAATGTGAGAATGAAAGTGCGCAAAAGCAAATTATCGAGATATATTTCGCTCTAATATTCAATCATTGCAAGGTTAGAAAACTCCACAACACCTATTATGTCGTGAATTGTTTAAAGGTGGAAATGATTGATTAAACTAAAATTATTCTTTGATTTAATATTCATTTGAAAAAGTATTTGTAGTCGTTAATATCAAAATCAAACATCAGGTTGTGATCTATTATGTGACGTGCCATTCAAAAAAATCATTATGAAAATCATTGAAGGAAAATTAGTTGTTCTTGGTTCTCAAGGTAATGTTAAAAACAATTTATATTTATAAATATATTTTTTTATTTATGTTTAGTGATGGTTATTACATAAAAGATATCAAATAATTTTATGTGCCAATGATTAAAAATTTGACTCTAAATGTTATCGCAGGTCTAATGACTGTTGGGGAACTTAGATAATCCGGGATTAATCAAAAACATTTCTTAAAGCTCTTCAATCAACTTTTACATCGTACGATAGCTAATTAAATAGTCGAATAAATTAAAAGTTGATTCATAAAGTATTTTTAATTTTATAAGGGAAAAATCATTGATGAAATTGTCTTTTTTTATAAAATATAATATGAATAACAATGCATTGCTAATAGTAGTATGTGTGTTTTGAAGTATATATTGTTTATTAAAGAAATATATTGACGCGGGAAGTCCCTAGTTGTATATATTCAGCATTTGAGTCATTTTCAGTTATCTAAAATCCCAAGTAATAGAGTCATATTATAAATAATTGAAATAAGAAACTTTATCAACCATAATGATTATTTCTTTTAATCTTCTTAATAATTTAATAGTGAGCTTATATGAATATTTCAATTCATAAAAATAGATCGTCACTGTTATGTTACGATTAAACGAATTTTTGTTATTTCATTTTTAATTCTTATAATAAAAGCAAAGCTCCGTAAAATAATCGATTCAAATATTTTGTTCTAAATTATCGGACTAAAAGTGGAGTGAGTCATCTAGATGTTTACAAAACCAAGTGAGTTGAAGACAAAAGTTATATTATGTATAATTTTCATGTTGAAGAATTTTACGATAAAAATAATTTTTATGACTTTTGTTTTTTAATTTTATTTTTTATATTATCATTTTATATTTTATTTATTATTTATTTATATTTACAGGTGTTGGGAAAACTAGTATGATAACTCGATATGCTGGAAAATTATTCGATCAGCATATAAGTCCAACAATAGGAGCCTCATTTTTCACTTGCAACATTAACATAAATGATGCCAGAATTAAATTGCAAGTAAGTGAATTATCAGCTATATTTAATTTTTAATAGTTGATTTATTTTCAAAATAAATTACGTGAAAAACATTTCAATTTTTTATGTTTACACTAAAAAAAAAGTGAAATAAGTAATAAACTGTTATAATACATTTATCAATAGAAAAAAACAAGATGACAATAATTCATGATTTGATGAATTATCAGGTTTGGGACACAGCGGGTCAAGAACGCTTCCGATCAATGGCACCAATGTATTATAGAAAAGCGAACGCTGCACTCATTGTTTTTGATATCACACAGTACAACACTTTCACTGCAGTAAAATCATGGGTCACTGAATTGCAGAGGAATGTAGAGGACGCGATGGTTCTAGTTGTTGTAGGGAATAAGCATGATCTTGATGATCAACGTCGAGTTGACTCCGATGATGCGTTAAAGTATGCTACTTTAATTGGTGCTACTTATTTTGAAACTTCAGCTCTACATGATGAAGGCATTGAAAAAGTCTTCAGTACAATTGCTCATGGAATCTTAAGGTACTATAATGGATTCCGACAAAAAACTTTTATTGTACTCCGATTACTAATTCATTGAAGTTTAATCATTAATTGCTCTCATTTTATTAATTAAAGGTTAAATAGCGGAAATTACCACTCATCAAACTCAAAACTTCAAGACTCTCCCAGTTCTGGGATAAGTAGTTTTGATTCAGACTTACCTCTGACGCCATCAAGTGAAGAGACTCTCAATAATACATCAATTGCTCATGGAATACATGAAAAACCACCAGCATGTTGTTAACATCGCTTGTAAAAACACAAAAAGCTGCTCATTTAATTGTTGTATTTAATACTGACTAATTATGTTATATTAGTAAAAAATTACCTACTTTTATTAATCTAGAAACAAGCACAATCAAGACTGCTAGTGCGTTTTCTCATTGTGTAAAGTCTATCGAATTATTTTTCTATGAATTTATCTTTAATAAAAGATTAAAACAATATCTCATTATAAATATTACAGAGATAATATATGAAAGAATAATATTTCTGTCAGTCTTCCAAAAACTGTAATAATGCTGGTACGTTAATGAAGCTATTAGAATTCATTACTTTATACTTAACACAAATTAATTTATAATTTTCTTTGTTTTTATAATCTAATATTCAGTTTTTATATAATTTTTTATGATTACCTTTGTTATGATAATTTTTAAGGTAATAAATAAAGTTCCACGATTATCATCAATGCCAATAGTTTTTAAATTTGAGTCATAGTATTTTTTTTTTTAAATATTTCAAATGATCTGAGTACATTTCAGTATTTTTTCCAATTAAATTATGTTTAAGCAATATTCTGTGCCTATAGAAACGTGTGAAATTGTTAAAATGTTAATGAATGTATAATATTATAATTCACTATCGCTCTCACGTTGATGTCAGCTTGCTGTATTGTCTTTTACAATAATTTTGTGTAAGTAAACCTTCTTCAGACTTTGGATATTATATGAGTGTAATCACTCTCATAGCTTGAAGAAATTCGCTTTAGAATTGTATAATACCGATCTATACAGTAGATAAGTTCCTTTTATGTGCTTATTCACCGGATGCCAATGGATGAAACTCATGAACACGTGTTGATGTTTATGTAGCTGTAGAAATGAAATAAATTGTGGAGAAAAACATGATAATTTTTCTCTTCATATCATGTCATTTTTAATTATCCTAACTTTCTACACCGAATTGATTAAAGAAGAAGTCATATACTTGGTTCAGAGTTATTGAGAATGAAAGAATAAAAATCGATATTGCACATAATGAATTGTCTACATATTTGAGATTTATCAATATACAGATTGAGATAAAAAGTAAGACAATACATAAGTATAAAACAAAGACAAGACGATGATGATGAAGAAGAACCGCACATACATGAGGGCAATGCGTCAACCGACAAAATATATGAGTTTCTCGAAGCGTGACATGCTTTCGACTATCGTTCAATTCTCATTGGGTAAGGATCAAGAATCCTGGTGGTATGTCTTCATTAATTTTAGCTAAGATATTCTCAAGGAGAAAATGAAAAAATTAAATGAGACATTATTGAATTCCGTTAACATGCTAATGAAGTGAGTATTGAATTAAAATACCGTTATTTATCATTTTTAAAATTAATCTTTCAATATTTTATTTTAATCTTGAAAGAATCAATAAAATAATTCTTTAAAACTTTATGTATGATTCAATTAGTTGTCATGAGTTTAATTAATTAATTAAATTACTTTAATCTGTATAGATTAATCGTTGATAATAAACATGTAGTAAAAAACGAGAGATAATTCAAAAATAAGGATTTTGTTAAAGATAATAAAAAAGTATTGTTAAATGAGATTAAGGATATCACTGAGCAATTATTCTATTACAAATTGCGTGCATCTAATGACTCTTAAGCACATCTAATTTACGTCGTTCAATCGTTAATGTATGGACAAATCACTCACAAAAGAGTTTCACAAAGCAATACTAATAACAATGGATAGTAAAAATCGATATTCCATGAGTCGCCAGCACCTTGCCATGTCTACTTAGCTGCACGGAGTGGACTAATTAACATTTTTTTCTAATCACTCTGATGCAAGAGTAAAAAAGATTTCTTATACCGCACCTCTTTTAAACCCTTTTCTTCTCTTCAAATATACCTTGTAATGATTTCTAAGAATGATCAATGATCTAGCTAACCAATTGGAGATGGTTTGCCAGTCCAAAAGTCATTAGTCATTAGAGGACTCGTTTTATTCTTCAATTTAGGCGGACAAGTTAAGTTGGTAAAAGTAGAGGAGAAAGACAAGTTAACATGTGAAAGAAGCTCTTTCTTAGTTTTGCTCTGCTATAAAACGCTGATACAGTTACCTGATCCTTCCAGTTGATGCGAATTCTAGACTAGTATACAATTGCTCTCTTCTTCCATGCGAAAGTCCATAATGAAGACTCTCTTGTTTGTTAAAACAAAAAATACGGATACGGATCTTGCGTGAAACAAATTAATTGAACACACGTAACATTATAGAAAGACTTGAAAGTGTTTATTTATTTAATCACCGTAACATGTAATTACTTTTTTTGATTTGTGATCATTCGTTCATCTATTTTTTGATATTCTATTATACTTTAATTGTGTTTTGTCACCCTTTTGTGTTTAATGTGATGTCAGATAGAAGATAAAGTGTGAATCATCGACAACCTTCAAGAAAAAATATTTAATACAAATACAATACACTCGGAATGAGAAAAACACGGTTTATGTGGGAATTTGGTTTCAAAGAAAATGGAAAATCTGAAGATTAAGAGATTGATGAATATAATTAATAAAAAATATTTTTTGTTATTTGTTTTTCAAGCTTTTAGCATAATTCATGAAACCCACACTCTTCAGTTTGCTATTGATAATCGGCTATTTGTTGCTCCTAGTGGTATTGACTCATAAATTATTTTTTGAACTAATTTTTTTTTCAAATTAAAAGCATGTAAAATAATCCTATAAAAATATTACTTTACAAAAAATACTCAATCCTAATTAATACAATAAAAAAGTTATTACCCTTATTTTTACAAACAATTTGTATTGCAGATTGTTACAGAAGAGTATCCATTGGCTTTCGATTGCCAGATTCTTTGATTATTTCCTCCTTCGAAGCAAACTCCATTTCTGATTGCGAAGCCGCTTGTTCAACCAATGGAACACTTTGCGGGTCTTTTAGTTTCGGGTAAGTGATATTTCTCACGTGAGAAAACAATTGAAAAGCCATAAAAAGTAATGACCTTGTGTTCTTTTAAATTTTTTCCTTGAATTGTTTTACATATCAATTAATTATTCATATTTTTGTATATTATACATTCTATTGTTCTCATTACTTGTTGCAGAGTCGGAGTAAGGGGAAATGGTACGTGTATGCTCGGACAAGGAATTCAAAGTGATCAAGATAGTCCACTTGAAGATCGAGACTATGATATTTATGTGAAAGGACACATATCATTACTAGGATGTTTAACCAGATCAGATAAATTATTTAACATTGTTCCACCTGTTTTAAAAAATCAGATGGATGTCAATGCTAATATTAACAATAATACACCAACATTGATGATCAATAGCAATCCAAAAAAAATTTTTGGAAACTCTAGTCTTTTGAATTTTCTCAGGAGTTCTATTTTTTCAAACGATAATAATCAAAGCTTCATAATCAACAATAGTAATAACAATCAAAATATTAGTAACAACAACAATAATAATATGATGCCACGACAACGGATGCCAGGAAGTTTTATGTTACTTCAAACTGATGATCAAACAAGAATTCATGATATTTTACGAAATAAGCAAACTTCTCATTACCATCCTGAACATGAATATCATGATAAGACTGATGAGTTTAATTATTTCCCAACAATATATTATAATTTTGGAACTGATGATTTTGAAAGCGATACGGATAATTTTTGGTCCTTGGTAGGAAAAGAAGAGGATAAAAATAATGATATTCATTACAATAAAAAAATGAGTGATAATAACGATAATAATAATTTATTTGCACAAAAAGTTCCTGTAAAAAACAATGAGTTATTTTTCTCTACTGATGCATCTGATGTCGCTGAATTTGGAAAAAGGCTAAACACTCGTCCTACTTTTGTATTTGATACGAATTATAAAAACCTTTGGCTTAATTCAGGGTAAATACTCATTTTATATAATTTACAAATAGTTTTATAATTCAACATTTGTAATAATTAATTTTTAGGCCGGAGGACACATTTTTATCAGAAAAATTACCAGAAAAGCTTGAAGACTTCGAAGTAGAAAAAATTGATATATTAAAAGGTGAAAAAGGTGAGAATAAATCATTACAGTGATTACAAAAGTAGTATTAATTGATGATAGTACAATAATTGAACGGATGAGCGATATAATAGGATGCAATTCGCACCACCAAAGTGCAATAATTCTAATCTAATGCACGCAAAAGATTCATCATCATCCGTTCGTTCATTAGCACCGGACTAATCGACTATTTGCGATAGAAACGACGGCATTGACACAGTTTCCAAACGACGTGCAAATCTCTGCATTTTCCCCGTTCCCTTATTTCCGGTGGGACCGTATGCGAGTTGAGAATAATAGCCACGCTCATCATTACGTCGTTAATGAACAATGTAAATTGTCCATTTTTACACCCATATCTTTATACATATTCTCTTCACGCTAAGTCGATGAACTTACAATATTCTATTCTTCATTGTCGTCTTTAAATTCAAATCCAATAATAGTATTTACAGGAAATCATTTTTCTATTAAACCATCAAATTTACGTGAATGCAATATTTTTTGGCTTCCTGAATTAAAAAATTATTGTATCTTGATTGCAAATAGATAATTTCAAAAATTGCAATAGTTTTACTATTGTATTTGATTTTACAAAGATAACATTAATTTATAGAATAAGTTAGGTGTTCAATCATAAAACCATAAATAATTGCAAGTGAACAGAGTGAATAATCTTGATTGTAAACGATACTTTTTTTTATTAATATATCAAATTCTAACTTCAAGTTTCCAAGAAAATTATTATTATTATTCTACATTTTCATTTGTTCAAAGTTTTTTAAATTATTATATTAATTTCTTTTATTAAATTGGACTAATAAAAAAATGATTGATTTTTAATTTAAAACAGAAGCTTCATTACGAAAAAGGAAACACAATGATGATTAAAAGTAAAAGTATCTCAAGACTTATGTAAAGGAGGGTAAACTACCGGAAGAAAAGGGAGAGGTGTCCTGCATTGTTTACTACCTTGAATTTTTTAATGAATTTTTCCGCTCCTTAATTCTAAAGGCACTGTTTAATTCCTCAAATTATCATCTTTCGCAGAAAAAACCTAATTGTAAAATAGGCAATAAAATCTAAACTAGAGTATCCAATAATTACAAAAACATTTCATGGCTTGTCCTAGTCCAAATATAGCACAATTTATTCACTGTTTGCGCATTAATCTGGAACACGATGGTGTTAAATAAAAGGAAGTGAAACATTTGAGAATATTTAAATGGCTACTTGAAATAATTGAGTGTCTGAAGGAACCTTCAAGGTTACCTTCTAAAAAATTCTGATGTCATTCTTATTATTTCAACTTTGTTCTATGGTTATTCTTTTTTTTAACTGAAATAATGATCTTTAATACTACGTAAATATCGCCTTTAAATTAATTCTCCAGTCTACGTAATGTTTAAATTAATTCATAACTATAGTAATAGTTATAAAAGCATGTTCTGGGCCAAGTGAAACAATAATCACATTGGTAATGACTAGGAATGGTGTTAATAATAGTAATGACGATTATGATTGCTAAGTCTTACAATCAGTTTACTTGAATCCTATAACTCAACTAACAAAACCCCTCCCCCAACGTGTAACAGCACCTTCCCACCATTTACAAACATTCACTTTTCCATATATAACAAGATGCAAGCCTCTAATTTTGCTACTATTTTTCAAATCTTTTTCACGATCTTTTCCACTCTTTTATTAGTAGTAGTATGATTTTATTCCCAAATTATTCGATACTTTCTGATGTTTTTATTTGAATATTCGGTTCATGGTTGAATAAAGTAAAGTGATAAAAATGCTTTTGACATGGATTAGTTTATTTTGTGCACTTTTCGTTTCAAAGTCTACTACCGTAGGAACTGTTATTGTTGTGCATGATGCTGATTGTAATGATCGTAAGTCCAGTATTGTCAACAATTGTTGAAAAGTTCATAGTTAAAAAAAATTTCTACTAAATAAGGAACAAAAAAATCGATGCAATTGAATTTAATAATTATAATAAAATATTGTAATATTAAAAATAATTAGTAAAGTGTATAATAAATAAGAGATGTAATCATGAAAAAACAGAATTTATAATCACTTAAAATTTTGAAAATTAAATAAAAATTATGTGACAAATATTGATTAATTGAGTGATATATTTTATTAATTTTTAGCCTGTTTTCGGAGGCTGGTATCAGGCAAGCGGATTATCAATACATACGTACGAAGAACAATAGAGTGTGACAGATTGCAAGACTGTTACAGGATGTGTGAATATGAAAGAGGATTTACTTGTGAGGGTTTTAATTATAGGTAAGAATATTAAAATCATATTTCTCCTTATTTTTCTTCTTAGTATCTCATTTCTTTCTCTCACTACTTTCAAAAATACTTGCTCATCATTTCGATATTGTAATGACAACGATAACGATGAGTCTTTGCGATTATCCACGCTTGGCGTGATTCTGGCATCAGTAGGGACATATCTGGGTTAAGTTATAATCATGTGCACCATGCATACAACAGGTGGAGTGCATTGTTTATCCGGTTTTCAATTGCATCATTGCGGATGCAATTTTTCGATTTTGTCATGAGCAAAACGTCTAACAGTTTCATCATTTAAAACCTTTTTATTCTACTCAAATATCCTTATTGCAACATTTAGGTCACTAAATGGCAAATCTATGTGTGAAATGACATCAACTCCACCAAATCAAGTCAACATCCATCGTGACTTTATGCCTGACCGTTCCTGTGATTTTTACGAAAGAGATTGGACGCACAGTTGTTTTCATAAACCTCCAAAAGATCGAAGTTTTCCTCAAAACTGGTGGTCACCAAGTCCTAGACCTAATTGGAATTCAGACAGATATCCGGAATATCCTTTACCGCCAAAAGAGCCAAGACCTCTACCAGCTCCTCCTTCATCAGCAATAATTCCATATGGAGGATCTTTTAAAGAAAACACTCAGCTGACGATAGAGATTCCAAAACCGTTAACTCCACCACGAAGATATCCTGATAATTCTTGGACTAAACCTAGAGATAGACCTCTTCCAGTTCAACCTCTGGAAGCTTATTATCCTGGCTTCGGAGAGCGAAGACCTAGTCATGACGGTTTTTACAGCTACAATAAAATTCCTCATCGAGCATACTATCCTGGAGAGTATGACAGTTACAATGGAAATGGATATTCGTATGGTCATTTGACGGCTACGAGATATCGAGGGTCTAATTATTACCATCGATATCCTCAAAGGAGAGTTGGATACGGAACGGATCCAAGTAATTAAGTTATTGATTTTATAATTTATTCTTTTTTATTAGAGAAATTCATTTAATTAAGCATTTTATTGTAGCAATTAATGAAATAGCTCCTCCAGATTATCGTAAGTTATCAAAATATGGGGGCTCGAATGGATATGGTCATTCATATGCTGATAGTTACCACAATCATTATATTGGTGACCGACCACAATTGCCACCAGCTAATGATCGTGAACCTCCCCCTTATTCAATAAAAATTCCTAGTGATCATCTTCCTGGACCTGCCTACAACTATGGAGGAGTTTATGATTACCCAAATCATCCTAATAAAGTCATGAAACCAGTTCATGAATCTCGACAGTGTTCTGTTAGGTCAGCTGGAGGTTTTAAACTTGCCAAAGGGATTGTTCGAAAAAGCTTTTTAACTCCTAACGTAGAGCAGTGTGAGCAATTGTGTGAGGAGCAAAAAGACTTCATTTGTCTCACTTTTGCATTTAGGTAATTATTGATAATTATTATCAATTATTATCAATGAAAAAACAATTTTCCAAATGAAGAAAAAACTTAATGAAGTTAATTCTAAAAGTGAAAGTTTATGAATACTATGAAATAACGATTATTATTTTTGTGAAAAGTAGATATAACATAGCACCAACATCACCCTCAGACAATTGTTTCTTGAGCAACATACCTTTCGAGAGTCTCGTCTTCTACACTGACCTCGAACCAGACCGAGATTATGATATTTATGCAATGATGGACTCAAAATGGTGTGAAACTCGTATGAAGCCACCATATCCACCAAGTCGACCACATCCTCCAGACGGTAACAAAAATAATTGAAACAATAGAAAAAAATTTTCATACTTATTTTATTATATTATTTTTTATTATAGAATGTTTTTGGAGAGTGAGAAGCGGGTTTGGCATGCCGACTACTGTTATTAAAAAACCAGTTCATGTAGACGGAATAGGAGAATGTCAAATCCAATGCGTTCGATCAAGAGATTTTACTTGTCGGAGTTTTGTATACAAGTAACTGTTAATCAAAAAAAAAACAAATTATGGATAAATGAATTTAAAAATAGATCAGAAAATTATATTGATAATCATATTATTAATTTTTTATTAGATATGAAGTGTATCCAGTGCATGGAACGCCCAACTGCTATTTAAGTGACTGGACAGCAATGGAAATAAATCCAGAACAAATGCCAGATATGAATAATGCTGAATTATACGAAAGAGGAAGTTTTGGACGAGGTTGTGAACCTCATCTTCCAGCCCCTTCAATTGCTAGTCGCCCGGATGATCGTAAACACTATCTACCAGACGATGGTAAAGTTTAGTAAAAATAAAACTATTTCCAAAAGTTATCGAACCTTTGACAATAATTCTGACTATAGCTTCCTGTTACACGGGTTATGATAGACCTTGCAAATTAACTCCCTATGCAATTGTTTTGGCCACAAGAGTACATTCTGAAGTTGAGTGCCGTCGAAAATGTTCATTGATGAGAAGAGAATCAACACCTTGTATGTCTTTTAGCTATAGGTAATACATTTTTTTTTGTAAATTAGGAAAAAAGCATTTAAAGACCATGATTAATTGTATCATATCTCATTATTTATTTTTCAAGAATAAATGGTGATCATCGTGGTGATAATTGCTACCTGAGTGACATTCCGACCAGAGATTTACGACCTGGATTAGATTACATCCATGATGATGGCTATCTCCTTTATATGTGGAAAGAATTAGAACCAAAATGTCTATGGTTTGCTAATCATTATGAAGAAAAACCTAATTATTATCCTCTTTCTCATCCTTCTGGAAATGACAATGGTCACAACCCGAATTTAGAACGACCTCCAATCAGACCGGAAGATCCTTACATTTATGAAATTACCATTCCAGAACCCAATAGACCAGCATCGATACCTTCAGGACCAGGATCTTTAGGGCCAGTTTATGAAACTGAACATCCAGGCTATCCAGGAGTTAAACCAGAATATGGAATTGATGAAAAATTTTTTATAACAATCCCTGATGAATTTTCAGTATTTCGACATTTCACTGTAAATGGTTTTCCATGCAAACGAGGTACACGATGCGAGAGAAACTGGGTTGCAGGATTTTGGACTTGTGAGCCAGAAGGATCAGAGCCAGGAGCATGGGATTATTGCTGTGAACCAAGTCATCAATGCGGGTATTCTCCAGGTCACAATTTCCCGTGGTGTTACGTAGGATCATCTAAAGATCAATGGAGACCTTGCAGTGAGAAATATTATCCTTATCAGCTGAATCCGCGGTCAAATAGACCAATAGATCGATCTTCAAGACCACGGTTTCATGAATGTGATAGTTATTGTCAAGGTAGACATTGGCCAATTGCTTTTCTTCATGGAGAAGCACCACCAAACAGTACTGATTCTGTTGCATTAGCTAATGATGTTACAGACCGTGATGTAACGGAATCTTCAACTTTTACATATGTAGAAACAACTTTACCTGATATGGAAAATATGACAAATCAGCCATCAACTAATCCCAGTACTTCTTCAGAGAGTGTTGCGAGAAAACGTGGAGTTAGACTTTCAGCTCCACGCATTTTCAAAAACAAAAGGAATCTTATAAATGGATTGCCCGTTAAAATCGTTAGGAATCGTTCTAATAGAACACTTGAAAGAATAATGAACCTAAAATCGAATTCAAGTATTAAATTGGAACAAAGAAGAAATACTTCCATAGGATATTCGCCTCAATTTACAAAAGATCCAAATAGTGGGCAATATTATATTACCAAAAAATTAAATGCAGGTCTTGCAGCTCAAAACAACGAAGATAATAAAGAACAATCGAAACCAAATATGGCTAAAATTGAAAAAATATCGAAAAATGATTTAAGTAAAAACGTAACGACAGTAGAACCTCATTTTGTGACTTTGGCATCATCTATAGGACCCAAATCAACAACTAATAGCTTAAAAGTGACTTTACCTTCAATTAGAGTGGTGTTTTCTAATGAAAGTAGTATTAGTAATAATACTAGACAATGGGAAAAAGTGACTACAATAGGAAATATTGAAGAGTAAATAATTTATAATTATATTTAAAAATAATCAGGCCAGTGGATTGTGCGAACCGTCCTGAATTTTTTTACCCTTGAATTCACTTCATAATTTGTATATTATATGTGAAATATTTTGTGCATATAAATATTATTTTAAATAACTTTTTTATTAATTTTTTTTTTTAGTTTTTTAATAATTATGTAAGCTTAATAATTTTTTTATGTAAACACATTATGTTGAATACTTTACAACAACGTTTGTCAATTTTTAATAAAAATGAGCCATTAATAAACTTATATTGAATTGAAATAAAATAAACTATGGATTTGAAAAGAAAAATTAATTATCTGTCGAATACAGATAATGAATTCAAATAAAAAATGTAAACACATTTTGATGTATTTTTTACTAAAAATTATAATTAATACTACCTATGTTTTTTATTGTAAAACTATAAATAAATACTGAAATATAAAGTAGACGTGACAAATAGATGATCATAATGTGTTATTGGGTTTAAAACTTATTAAATCATAATGATAATATCATTTTTTACAAATTGATTATTGACCGATTGTTAAGTGATTTCCAAAAATAAGCACATTCAAAATTGATTATTATACGATAACAAATTAAAAATTAATCATTATCTTGGAGTCATTATCCCTAAAACACATGAATACGAAAATTCAGTAAACGCTGTAATTAATTTTGCAATTTTCTAAAACTAAAAAAAATATACAAAAATTATAAAACAAAATTTATTTTCGTCTTAGTTTTGCTCTTAAAGACGGCTCTTTAAGTGTAACTGGTGCTTTTCGTCTCTTAGGTCGATGTGAAAGTTTTATGCTGGTGTTGCTATTATCTGAATCACTTTGTGGTTCTAAGCATTCTCTAAATTCATTGGATGTTCGACGATTTTCATCTAATTTTTCAAGCACAACTTTTGCAGATCTAGGATCTTTCTTTTTAAAAATTTTTTTCTTAAGTACTATATTTTTTCCTGGAGTATTTGAATATTCAGAGTCACTGGAGGATAGCTCACGAGGTCTTCGATTACGTTTTTTCAATACTACTTCTGTAGAGTTTGAATCTTCAGTACTTTGATTATTTTCTTCAGGTGAATCGGTAGAATCTAAACCTGACATTCGCATCGATTCTTGAATCATTGGAATAAACACTGAATTATTAGGTTGCATTGGTGATAACCTGAAATTTTCTGAAGATAATCTATTATTTGATAACATTTCAGCATTTGGTGGTACAATTTTAATTGTTGTAGTAATTTCTGGTTCTGGTTCAGGAGGTTTTAGTTGAACAAGTGGTCTTTCGAGTTGAGGAAGTTGTAATTCATTTAAATCGAAGGCTAATCCATTAGACACTGGATTTGGTTTCTTAATAAAACACATGGTAAAATCATCATCATCTATTGTGACAGGCCTACCTCTAGAAACAGTTACATTTGCCGAACGAGATACTATGTCGGGTTCAGAATGTTCATCATCTGTTTTTTTGTTTATCGTTTTTAAATACGTTTTGTACTCATTCATATTAAAAACTCGACAAACTTCACCATCGTCGTCGTCACTAATTTCTTCATTAGGAGTTTTATTTCCTAAACTTTTTTTTTGAGCTGTCGCTTCTACATTTTTTTCAAGTTGAATTGACTTTTCAAAGAGCCATCCTTCATATTCTGTATGCCTAACGGTGTTTTCTAAGAGTGAAGTAGAGTTTGATTCTGTTGCTCGTGAATCATGAAGCCAACTGGGTCCTTCAAGAGGATCATCAATATTATTACTTGTGTTTTCTTTTTTATTTTTCCTAGGATGTCGATGGAACGTTAATGTCACATCAGATTCATCATCATCAATGTTTTGGAATGATTTTATTATAGACGCTGTTTTTTCTACGGAAATTTCGGCATTCATTTTATCATCAGATTTATTATCTAATTCATTCGTGGAATTTAATTCATGATTCGTTTCATTATTATCAAGCGATGCTAGTAATTCATTACCAGAATCGGAATTGCCAGTTGATTGTAGAAAAGTTCGGACATTAACACTCTGTGAATTTTGTAGTAATTTGGATACGTCATGTAGTGCTACAGTGGGATTTCTGATTGTTTCATTAAAGTTCCCACTAAACCTTGATTCAAAACTCTCTGATCGAGATGAATTTGATGATCTCCTTCGAGAATATTTACTTGATGATCTTTTACTTCTTTGTCTTAATAAGCTCTCACGTTCATCATCAGTTGGAGTAACAATAATCCTTTCAGGTAAAAGTCTTTCAGCTCGCCTGTGAGTAAATCTACTTTCCTGATTGATCGCAACCGGTGTTGTTTGTATTGTTGAACGCACTGGACTACTTTCTGGAGTAACTTCTTCATCAATATCACTTAAATTTGGTGAAATTTGAACTCCTGGCATATTTATTCTACTCAAATTAATTACTGGTTTAGTTATTGTGTGGCCACTAACCATTGGTTGAACGACTCCTCGTGCAGGAGATTTCGTTGTAACTGATTGACGTTTGGAGTCAGATGTGGATATTGAATATCTTGGAGAACTTACCGGACGCTTATCAGTTATTTGTTGACATACGGATACTATACTTGATGTATTCTCCGTTATAGCTGTCATCAGTTGATACATTACTTTTAAATTTTCCTTTGAGGTACGTTCTATTTGCTTACAGATCTCTTTAAATCTATTAAGACATACTTCTTGCTCTTGAACTTTACTCTCTAAAGCAACACATTGTTTAAAATATTCTTGTTTCTCTTGTTTTTCCTTTGACAAAGCTGTTGCTAAATTATTATTATTCGCTTTAATTTTCTCGTACACTGAATAAAAATTTAATTGATTAAAATTTAATTTCTTACATAAAAAATGAATACAAAATTATTCTTACATGCGTTTCGTGATGCAGCTGGTCGAGGTTTTCTTTTTAATTGATTTCTTAGCTTCCAAACTCCAGGTCTTCTAATTATACCAAATTTCTTGATGTATGGCATTTTGACAAATTTTCGTACAATTCTAAAAAATATTTTTTCAACATTAAAATAATGTAAATTGAATGTTGCATATTTTTCTATTACACATAAATGAATTACTTACTGCGATTTAGAAAAAATGCTATGTTAATTGAAATATTTCACAGAATGGAAAAAAATTATTATGTACTTAAATAGTTCATTTTTTTATTTAATTAATATACAATTCGTTTAATTGGAACAAATCAAATAACCCAATATTAATGTTTTAAACATCTAATAAATTGATTTTCAAATATTTATATGTACAATTAGCTGCTAGTTTCATCAAATCATTCTGTTGCTGAATACACCTAATTTACACACTTACTAGTACTTATTGGTGACTCTGGCTTTATTTTTAATTTATTACAACCGTTTTATGGGTTTTAATTATTGCCACAAAAGGAAAATTACACAGAATATTCCGGAACCAACATGTACATAATGACGCTTGTGATTATTTCAGTTCGATAGTAGAAAAAAGATAGAAAATAGTAATGCCGAATATAAAAAATTACTGTCTGATAGATTAGGTTAGTAAAATTGATTATAACGCCACCATATGGTAAAATTAAGAAACTCGATCAGTGCTGCCAACTACTGAGCAGACACGTTTGAATGTAGTGGAGAACAAAGCTGGATACAACGCGTAGAATTTTTTTGTTTGTTTTTTCACTTATTTTATTTGATTAAATGTTAAATAAATTTTTCTTATAAGTAAAATGATAAATATATATATTTAAAGTTACCAAAAACGTTCTAAAAGTTAAATTAATTGACGTGACAATATTAAATGCGATGAAATTATTTTCATAAATCCAAAGTAATTCAATTACATTTCTAGATTTTCTTTATGAATGAATACTGTTGATAATTATTGTTATATACAAATTGATTCCAATTCTATCTAGAAAAACATGAATGGAGTTAAAACTTGCAAATGCAATCAATTGAAAACTGAATTCTAAGAAAAACAGTTGATACTCAGTGATTTTTGAGTTTGATTTCCCAGAATTTACAGGGATTCATTATATCGTGTACCGTAGATTTATCATTTGTTTGATGTTTTTAGCTGCAAATGGTAAGTTGAAGTAAAGTATATTTATTAATTAAAAAAAATTAAAATATATCGTTGTCAATATATCGAAGTACTTATGTGCATAAATGTACATAGATTGACCACAACAAACATTTACATTCAGTTATTTTTAATAGTCCTTTTTTCTCTTATTTGGAACTATTAATTACTCATGTGTTAAAATGTTTCTACATGTAATTTTGTTTTGGAGTATTGGAGTCTAGCTGGCGCTATTCACCTTTTATTTTATCCAGATTCATTCAGTAAAGTGTTATTGTTTAGTTAAGACATTGAACTTTTATAGTTAACATTTATCATGATTTGTCTGTCTACCAAACAGTTCAGTACACCTCAAATCAACGTCAGTAATGGTCATGAGTTGTTAGGAGTGTTACATTCCAATTAAAGTAATCAGTATTTATTATTACAAAGTTCTTTCTAAGTGAAACTAAAATTATAATTATGACAGACATTCTACTTATTATGAAGATTAAAAAAAAATAATTGTTAAAATGAAATCAAGGTTTTGAAAGAAATGGAATTATTTTTTATCAATGATACATACAAATAGTAACCAAGTACTTAAATGAACCTTTCAGTTTTCATTATCAAAATTAACCCATGATAAATTGTACAATTTGAATAAAAATTGAAATTATCAACAACAATGATGAATGTTCGCAAAAAAATTTGGCCAAAAACCATTGCTGATGGATTGTCAATGTTTTTCATATTGACTATTATTCCATTAATTTATTGGTTTGAGTTATGGGTTGTGCTCCCAAATTTATATGAACCTGGAGCTGTGGCTTACATGATTCACTTTGTTATTGGAAACTTCATCATGATAAACATTGTGGGAAATCTAACCTACACTATATTGATTGATACAAGCACTAGACCTCTGATAATGTCAATAAGTAAAGCCAAAGCAAAAGAAGGCTGGAGATTTTGTGCATCATGTGAAGCAGTATCTCCACCACGATCATGGCACTGTCAGACCTGTGGAGTTTGTATTTTAAAACGTGATCATCATTGTATCTTCACTGGATGCTGTATAGGACATTTTAATCATCGATATTTTCTTATGTTTGTGTTTTATCTATTTCTTGCCACAGCCTATGCTTTTTATTACAATAATAAATTCATCTGGAGCAGGATTTCATTTGAATTTCCATTGTCAATCATCAAAATAATTTTTCCCCTAGCAATTTTTGTCTTTGGATTTGACGACTCTTGGGATCAATTTTATCTGATGCTCTACATCGTATCTGTTGTTGGCATGTGTTTTACTGGTGCATTACTAGTTTATCACTTATTACTGGTATTTTCTGGCCATGTTGCTCACGAGAAAGATAAAAAAATTAATAAATATGATATGGGATGGAAACAAAATATTAAAGAAGCTCTAGGAGAAAAATGGTACATAGTTTGGCTATTTCCTTACATAAAATCAGATCTACTTCATAATGGGTTGAATTGGAATGTTTCACCATTGTGGAAAGATAGTGCAAAAAATAGATAACGGTCAAATCTTGGAATAGATTGTAATGTTGAGTTTATAAATTTTATATGTGTCAAAAATGTAAATATAAAATATGCTGCTGTAAATGAAAAAATAAGTTTCAAATTAAAGTATTTTTATAAAATTATAAAATAAAGCTGTTAAGACTTGATTCAAGTATTTCTTTAAAATAGTATAATCAGTTTGTTGAACTGAATCTGTACGATAGAAAATAAGTTTTTGGACCACGGGCTAATTGACATCATTTACTAATTCTTCATAAATGTACGTTAGATGTTTGTTAATTCACAAAAATATTTTTGTTTGTTGATGAAAAAAAGAATTTGATGAAAATAATATTGAGTGTGATAAGTTTCAAATGTTTGTACATTAATGTTAAATATTTTGTCATTTTATTAAATTTACTATAATACAATTTATATAAGACAAAGTTGTATAAATTTTTACTTTCAATTTAAGTATTGATTCTACATAAAGAAGTATAGGTCCATATTTCCTTATTCTTCTATTTGTAATGTTGATTTTAGTTTCTCCCGTAAAACAATATGTACATTTTTTCCGAGATTTAAGTTTTGTATTTATATTATAGTGAATTATTTTGTTTCATAGCAACATTCAAAAACTATTCAAATATTCCTAGTTAAAAAATCAATGCTAATATGATTTATTCATGACTTATAGTCCCCTATTAATTTAATTTTACTGGTAAAAGACTGCAGTTTATCCAACCAATTATTAACTTCTAATATCACCGAGCGTTTAATTTTTGTTGTAATTGCTTTTCCAAGTTTTCCGGCTACAAGTTTTCGCTTTTTAAAGCATAAATTTTACAAACTTTTCTATTATGAATTTTGTAACAATTTTACCAGCATGACAATTTATTTTGTTATTGATTACTAAGCAATAAAAGATAATTTTTCAAAGGTATAATTTTGTTGGAATATGAACGACATGAACTTTCGGTCCTTGACCCCAAAAAAGATATTTATAAATATGACATGAATAAAAAATCAACAAGATTTAATCTATTATTTACTTAAAGCTGTTCTTATGGATTAGATATTTTCGGATCTTGGTATAAAACATATCGTTTACTGACATGACTGTCTTGATTAATAAAACAAGTATTTTGATTCATGCTTTTTAATAACCATTGATTGAAGTATTCTAAAAATTTTAGGATAGCGCAAATAAAATTTTAATGAAAACTTTTTACATAGTATGGTTATTTTTATACCAATAACTTGGAGTTCAATCATTTTTACTTCTTCGAATGTATCTACAAAGTAATAATTACTAAGAGCTTCACTAAGCCCTTCGTATTTATATTAAATATTCACTAGGTGGTACATTAAAGTGACATACAGAAATAAAAACTTTATTAATAATGAAAAATTTTGAAAGAGGCTATTCTGGATCAATATTATTGAATCTAACTTTAATATTAGTTTGCTGATATTAAATTAATGATACATGAAAAAATGTATGAATTTTTTGACTGCTTTAATTTATTTATAAAATTTGCAAAGTATGTAATTTATTAACTTCCTTTCTAATTAATTTAAAATGATATTCTGCTGGTTTATCGGGACAGCATCGAATGGTAAATATTTAAGTTTGACCTAGAAATATAAAGCCATGATCCGGATTTATTTGAAAAATTTTCGTGTCCATTTCCGAGCTTTCAATACTTTTTTTTGACAAATTTATTTGAGATTGATATAAATCTCTTTCTCGATAATATTCTTCAATATCTTCAACATCATATTTTAACTTACTTCCATAAGACTAATTTGACAGATGATCTGAGATCTGTAAATTGAGTTATAAATTCCAATTCAATTACTCTAACTCCATAATATTTACAATCACTTGTATTTATAATTTTAAAATACATCTTTCTTGTTTAAAAATTCAATTTCATGCCGGAAACAAACATCAAAATCAAGTATGTAGGTCGAGTAAACAATACTTGATGGCATTGTAAAACTAGAATCTGTCCTGGAAAGTTTTTTATTTTACCGTTGATTTATTTGACTTGTCAATGTCGTCCATGATGCTTGGAGCAATTTTTACTTCAGGTTTTATTGGTTCTGATAACTCTATCAGAGGTAATTTATCTAATACCACTGTCTCCATAAAACCTTTACCAGCTGAATTAATCATTCAATTATTGTATGTATTCTTTGCAATAGATAATCGCCCATGAGTTTTATAATTCTATTTATTATATATTATTTTGATCTAAAAACTTCTGATAATTTTTTAACATCTTTAATATTTAAGAATGATCGTTTTTAATTATTTCATTCAATTTTTTAACAAAGCTTTCAATGTAATAAATATTGTGATTCAATTTTGTGGGCCATTCGGTGGGCAGTGAGATCGAAAAGGTTTTCGTTGATAATAATAATTTGATCGCGGTGTGTAATCAGGATTTTCTAGAATTTCTATTGCTGAAGTTTCCCAATTAGGTCGTGGTACAACTGGAGGATAGCATATCTGCGTTAATTCTACTGCATCACATGGTAAATTTCGTACGAGACAAGCATCAGGAGAAGTAGATGTACTTGGATAATTAAAATTTTTTGAAAATTCTAATTTATGTGGGAAAGATGAAAGTTGAACATGCTGTTGAGATACTGATGGCTTTTTAGAAACGCAACAGGGGTTACAAGAGTTACTATTACAGCACATTCCTGGACAAGGTCCTAGAGGACATCCAAATGGTGGGCATGATATATTGCACTCCTCTGGTTCTGGTTTTCTACATTTCGAATTATGAAAAATTATGTATACATTGTGATAATGCATTGATGGTGAAAGAAAAATATTAGACTTACAGACGTTCTATTTCAGCAATTAATTGGCTCATATCTTCAAGATAATTTCGATTTTTTTCGTAGTTATAATTTTGTTTTGCCATTTTTAGTTATTCGTTCTGTATAATATTTATAAAATGTTAATATTTAATAAATTATTACTCAAAATTTAGATATAACCAATATATTTATGACGTTAATTTACAGTTTCAGAATGATATACAGCAGTTATTCTTTTTTTTTCTATAGATAATATTTAAAAAATTAATATAAACAAAAATAGCTGACTAGAATTATTTTTTTTATTCATTACAATTTTTATCATTACAAACAACCGGATTATCCAATATTCTATTATCCATTGAATAAAAACAATTATTTAAGTTAGGCGCATAATTAAATTTTCTTGCAAAATATTTAATCCCACCAATAATTCTAGGTTTTATCATCTGATAAACTCCTTGAAAGTTGGATAAGTTGTTTGGATTAATTAGTTCATTATTAAGATTATAGGAATTTGGATGCTTATTATCATTTAAATCAGAATTTAAATTTCTTTGACCATCGTTACAATGATTTCCTGATATTTTTATCTCCTGCGTATTTGGTGGATTCCCTTGACACTGATGACGATGAGAATTTATATCACATGGCATAGAATTAGATCTTATCAATTGATAGCCACTTTGATAGTCATAGGGACCAGCAGTTTGCCCTTGTACTTGATAAACTTGAGCCATGAAAGAATTCCTTCTTGAATCGTCATAAATATTTTTTTGAGCGGGCAAAATTAGTTGATACTCCTTCCCATCAATTGATAATAAATTCCCATCCATCATATTCTTTGGAGGAACATAATGATAATTTTCAGTAGATAATTCATCCTTTCTTCTGGGATATTCTCTGAAAGGCTCATTGAAATTTTTCATATGCAAATTTGGTGGCGGTGGAGGATTATTTGAATTCCTTCTATTTTCCAACCCGTTCGCTCGTGGTTCTTTCTTCACCTCTTCATCATTTTCTGTTGGTTGTTGGTGAAAGCGGAAATTTTTCATCAGCTCATCCTCAGGATCTTGAATACCATTCAATACCAACCTTTTGTCAGTTTTGTTTAAATTCGCTAAATATTCATATCCTTCATGATTTCTTCGATTTTTTAACTCCTCCATAGCTTTCTTTATTGACTCGTCATCTTGAAGTCCATTGTTTCGTTTAAAATCTGTCTTATTATTTTTCTCAGGACCTTCATCACTATAATTTTGAGGAAAATGATCATGAGGAATATTAGTATTAACATTAATAAAATTATTCATATCATAACATTGTTTTGAATCATTATTTATAATGTAATTATTAGGCCAGACTGGAAAATTTTGTTGTGGTTGGGCAAAATGTTGCATTGAATTATACATATTATTATCATAAGGTACCTCCTGATGTTGTCGGATCGAATAATTTTGATAATTAGCAACACAGTGATGACAATTACAATATTGTTGACCATCAGTTGTTCTGGTCATCATATTTTGCCCCATAAGTTGTTGAGCATTTGGATAAAAATGATGATTAATATTTTGTAGACCATTTTTACTGCTGAAGGGATGTAATTCTTCATTTCTCAACTCCACGTGTTTTTGTTCGTCATTGAATCTCACATTTTTATTATTTTTCTGTTTTGGATTTTTCATAGTTGATTGATTCATTTTCTCGAAAGTGGCATAAGAAATTCGAGGAGGAGTTATATGAGCCATCCATTCAGGCTTTTCATCTTCTTCATTTTTAGTGATTCTTCTCCTTACTGGCAGTATCTCTTCTTCTATTTCTTCTTCTGGTTCTTCTAATTGTTGTAAGTACATCAATTGTCTTTTCTGTTCATTCAAAAGTGCATCAAATTGACGTTTCATTATATCTTCTTTAACTCCTTGCTGTCTCATTTTTGCAATTAATAATTCTTGATCATGAATCATAGCTGGCGTAAACTGATAAATTTTTTCCTTAGGTTTTTTTATTTGAGTCGCTAATCTTCTTGGCGGATACCCATCATTCTGAATTTGTTGAGATTTTTGATGGATTATTTGATTATTTTTGATATGATTATCATATACATTATTCTGTAAATTTGTAGAATAGTTTGGTTTATTATAAAAATGCAAATTTTCTGGATGCGGACTGATTATATTACTTTGATTCAACATTGGATTCATCATCTGATTTTGAAAATAAGCCATCGATTCATTTAGATTTTGATCAACTGGTCTTTGAACATTATAAATACTTGAATAGGCATCATTGATATAATTTTGCTGAGGAAAATTACATCTTGTCGAAATATTTTCTTCAGGACTTTTAATTTGTGGAGTTATTTGATCCTGTGGAAATGAAGAAATTTTTCTTACTTGTGAAGATTCAGTTTTTTTCTTTTCTGTCATGTGTTTTAATCTATGAAGAAGAGCATTACGGCCTCCAACTGGTTGCTTCTCACATTCAACTTCTTTTATAATTTTATCAATTTTTTTGTCAGTCTCTTGAACTTGTGGAAATTCTGAAACTGTTTGTTTTTTTTCAACTTTAAAATCATCATCAGCATTTGATGGACCTGGATTTATTATAAGAGAAGTAGTGACTTGAGGTCCTTTTACATGAGAAGCTCGCGGAATGGGAACAAAAGGTCTATGAGGTTGTGTCTCAGCAGAGCGTAGGTATGAAGATGGAATTATGACTTCAGGACGTGTTTGACGGCATTCAGGATGTGATAAATGATGTTGATTATTCAAAAAGATTGCATTTGAGGGAGGAAAATGGTTAAGTAAGCCATCACCTGTACCATGAATAATTTCATGGCTCAGTAATTGTTGTTTTGGATGTTCTGGTCTTTGGAAACTAGATGGAAATATTTCAGCTCTTGGAGAACATTGTATTCGTTTTATTTCTTCAGCAGGAAAGCTTTTTAATCTTGATGATGTAGACGAACAAAATTCCGCTGATCGATCTCTTGTAGTAAACTTGGTTTTGGGAGTAGCCAACTTTTTTTCTTTCGACTGTGATTTAATTGGAGAGTTGTCATGTTGGATTGCTTTTTCTGCATATTGAATAGCATGGCTTGACTTGGGACGTGAATTGAAAACACCAGGGATTTTATTGGGAACTTTCTGCTTACGATTTGTTTCAGCCAAGATGGGTCTTAAATAAAATTAAACAAATAAATATAGCCAATAGAAAAATGATTAATATAATTTTTTAAATCATACATGTAATGTATTTATTATTGAAAACAATTTCTTTTTAAATAAGATTAATATTAATTATTTCAACTAGTTAATTTTTTTCTTATTTTTACATACTTTTTATGCATACTTTTTATCTTATCCAAAATGGATATGCAGGTAATTTAAAATTTTTTTATAATGAATTCATTGCTCTTGATAAAAATACGCTTTTGACAAATTTTGGTCGTGTAGCTGAAGCATTGAAAAGCAATTAACGACAGAGAATAAAACTGAATGCGATTTGATGTCAACAGCGTTGCCATGACAAATTTTCATTCAACAATACAATTATATGTTTATCATGCTTACATAACTAAGTTACATCTCTGAAGTATGTTTAAAATCACATTAAAACTCTTTAATTTATTTTTTAAAAATTTGTTATAACAAGAAAAGTTGTTAACTGGAATATTACTGAACGTTCCTTATAAATAGACAACAATAAATAACAATTTATTTTTAAGTGGAGATAAGTAAATTTCTCTTATACTTAAAGATAAACTTATTTATAATTATTTGAGAATTAATAATAGATTCCATTTCAATTATAATTAAACAATACAAAAACTCGGACCATTCGGAGGTTGAGCAGGTATAGACCTTCTGTTCATACGACAAGCATGTTCTTCCAAACGTTGAGAAGCAATATTAATATTATCAACATTCTTACTCCAAAGACGTTCTGCTGCTGCACTAGCGCGTGGCCAAATTCTCGGGTGTACATTATGACTAGAGAAATAAATAGTTTATTTAATAATAATTTCAGTGATGAAAAAGGAGAAATATCAAAAAATTGACAACAAAACTTACGTGTCAACAAATTCACTCCACATACATGCTTCTCCACCAAGCATTAATTTTTTATCTTTTTCTGATCCTTCAAAGTCCATAGGATCACAGTAATAATATTTTTTCCAATCACCACCACCTGCTACATGATCCAGGTACCAGCAGGCTGATAGAAGAGCAGGATGACCTGCTTTGGTTACTTTAGATAATTTATCAGACCATAGTCCTGTCCATATATGCACAACTGTGTCTGGTGTTAGCTCTACTCCATTATCAAACACCTAAAATACTCAGATCTTTAGATAAAGTCTATCGAAGACGATAATTACTATATAAATTTAAACTAATATTACGTACTTCTTGCCAAACAACCGAACTTATGTTACGACTAGCTGGAATCTTAAGTAATTCTGCTATATAAGCGCTTTCCAATCGAGTAAAATCACTTCCCATATTGTGTTGTTCCATGTACGAAAGTACCTCTGGGTTACTTCCCCAACAATCAAATGGAACTTCGTCTCCTCCTAAATGTATATATTGATCTCTAAACAGGTTCATTGCTTCAGTTAAAAAGTTCCTTAAAAATGGCCAAATCAATGGATTTGATGGATTGATAGGACCCAGGCGGCCATCAGGAAAACCATTGGAATCTATAAAAAATTATATATAAAAAAGAGGTTTGATATCAAAATTGATTGAACGGAATTTATTCTCACCAAAGCATGTCGTTAAAAGTTCAGGATGAGATAGTCCCCAAGATGATACATGCCCTGGAGAATCGAATTCAGGCATCACACGAATTCCTCGTAACCTTGCATGCTCGATTACCATTTTAACATCATTCAAAGAATAAACCATGGAAGGGTGGTAAGAACCTTTCTCAGAAAGTTCTGGATATATTAAACTTTCATATGGAAAACTATTGTCGTCGATGATGTGCCAGTGAAAGACATTGAGTTTATTATATGACATAGCATCTAAAGTTGAAAGAATGTCAGGAACTGGAAAGAAATGTCGTGACGTATCCAATAGCAAGCCACGATGTGGTAACATAGGTTCATCATGGATTGTTTGATTCTTTACAGCCAACTGGAATATATTTAATAAATTTCGTTTAGTATTTTTTCCCTTCTTTTATGATGATTGACTGTTCATAAAAAATTTTTTACTTTCTTTCCACTGCCAGACGCTACTAAAAGTTGAGAAAACGTTTCAAGTCCACGAAGTGCTCCCCATATTGAGGGGGAATGAAGATAAGCAATTTTACCAGTTACATTCAATTCATCTGAAAAATTTTTCAATAAATTAATTATAAAACATAAACTGTATTTATAAAAACAAGCTGATCAATTGATTGGAAATTGTGTTGAAATATTAGATAATCATAATTGTATGCATGAGAAAAAATTTAATCAATAGCGATATGAAAGTTTATATAATCAGTAAAAATAGTAATAGATAAATTTAGTCAAAGATTTAATTTTTATCTTGAATATGAGCCAAAAATGATTTTATCAACGTTTTCTTATTTATTTATTGGCAACAAATAATATTTTATTAAATGTTCTGATTGATTGAATCGTTTTAAATAAAATAAAAGAAAACTTACATTTTTCATCCATATATAAATAAGGCATCTTTTCACATGTTCCTGTTACATGAATTTGAAGACTTGTAAGCATCCCTATGAAATTTTGATTATTTTGATGCAAGATATTTCGTTCTTTTAGTATCAATTTTCGACCTATTTTAGCTTCCTCTTCAATTATCATGCTGTATCTCACTTTGGCTTTCTCCAAAATATCACAGATAATATTAGTCTAGAATAAAATTAATAAAATGAATAATGATTTCGCAATTATTATTTTAAAATTTGATTCAATTTTATCGTCTTTATTTTTAGAATTCTGATTATCATAACTATTGAAGCCTTACCTCAATATTAAAATATGAAGGTTGTAGAAGTAGAAATCCATCCCCAATAATTCGCCTATTAGGCATAGGCCAAGGTTCACCCTGGGTAGGCTCAACCCAACGTCCAGGGCTAGCATGAAAATCTGATCTTACTGAGCATACTGATAAAGATAAAAATATTAAATAAATTATACTGAAGGGATCACCCCACATTTTTGTATTCAACTAAATAAAATGAAATGAAATAAACTCGACACAAAACTTAAAAGTGAAAGTCTTCTTTAAGTTAATAAGAAATGATGTCTGTCACGCGAAGGCACATCATCGACTAACATTCCCCTTATTGTCAGTAGATTTGAAACTAGAGTTGTCTGTGTTATCATGTTAAACTTGGAGGGCACTGGTCAAGTGGGAATAACTTTGAATAAATATATCAATCACTTAAATCGATGATGATAATAACATCAGCCGGCAAATCATCTATTGTTGGATTTTTTTAATCCACATAAAATTTCGAATGATAAAAAAAATTGGAAAAAAATTTGTTGATAAGTATATTGAGAATTCTTCAAAGAAATTATTAAATAGTTGTATTTTTATTATTCAATAAATTTATTTAATCTTTAAAGTTCATAAATAATTATTTATATTGACAGTAATACTTATACGTTATTATTATTTTATTAATTATAAAAATATATGACAAATTAATAATTAAAAATTGTCTATAATATTTATTAATAATTACTATTAATATTGAATAGTTTATAAATGTGTAAATAATTTTTATTATTTTCTTACAGACAGCAGCACTTGTTCTTTTTCTTACAATTTCCTAAAATTAAAAAATTACGAGAAAAATTAATTAAATTGCGTTTATAAAAGTTATCGTTAATAAACTAAGTGAATAACAATGAATAGAATTGAGGGTAATATCAATGATAAACGATTTATTTTTTTCAATGAGGGGTGAGTTACCCCTAGATGCTATTACGGTACTGCTCGGTGACTCGTAGCTTCATTGATTGCAACGTCGTACACCAGGACATTAGACGCCATCGTATTTCTGATGGTAAGAGAGGGGAATAAACGAACAAAGCATGCGCTTATCAAAATGAAAGCGACAATGACAGAACGATATAGTAAGCTGGGAAAGAAGAAAAATCTACGCGCGTGAATATGCGCATGCGGTCCTTCAAATTTAACATCCATTCACTCTTGTTTTTTTTCTTTTTTTTTTTTACGCGGAAACGCGGTCGATCATAGAGGTATGAACAAGCAGTTTAGCTATCGATTTTGATATTAGCCGGATACTTTGATACCCTTTTATTTGTACAGAAGAAATTATTTAAATCTTTGACATTTCTATCATTATTGTTAGTTTAATTTTATTATTTTTTTTTATTTAATCTGTCTTTAGTTTTAAGTTGAAATTAAGATCATTACTATATTGCTTGTCAACGAGATTATAATCTATACTAAATATTGTAAAGGTTGGATGTTCAAAATACTTTTAATTAAGCGCTAATTATGATTTATTTTTATTGATGTTTATGGTCATTTTTTTATATCTATAAGTAAAGATAAATGAGATAAAAAATGAAATCTTTACTTTTATATTTATTTTATTACTCAACATTCTCTATATTAAATTTTAAAGCCACAAAAAATTTAATATATATTAATTAATATTTTTGCCCATCAATTTTATGAAAAAACGATAGTTGGTTGAAATTAACGGAAAATCTTTTTTAGAAGTCAGTAATAAAAAAAAACTGAAATACTTCCCTATTAATTTAGAATTCCAATTTGGTTGGAAAAAACGACAGTTTCAGTATCAAAACTACTTCAGGATGCTTCATTTAAAAAACCATTACTAAAAATTAAAAATGTGATGATGAACTTACCAAGGTTATAAACAATTCTAAACATTCGAAAATAGCTTAATTCATAAGAATAAATGTTACCACGATGGAAATAAAAAAAGTACAGAATATCATGATCGATTTTCTCATGCGCCTGGTGAACCGGGAAATTCTGGGTAACACCGTGAGTAGTAACGGCCGGTTATCGTACGCCATGGATTCTCAACTAGGCCGTTGAGGTTAGATGACGTGAAACTACCACTGACACTGGGAACTAAAAGTATATCTACAGGGGTGCCTATTACGAAGAATTCGAATAGCTTACAAGGGAATTGCTTATTGATCTTCAACTCCTACTTTATATATCCTCCATTTATATCTCATACATTTGTGAAGAAAAAGGGATTTCTGCTCCATATAAAATGAACAATAAATTATTACGAGAATAATAACGACCAGTTAAGAGTATTGAGTTTTGTGTTATGTCATCTGTAGAGGAGATGCGTTTAGCCGGGAGTCATCGGGGATTAAAGTAGGGTGAAAAGACATTAGTAAAGGTAGAAGTAAAAAGTGATGGAGATTGAGATAGTTCCAATTCATTGTAGTTGCCAGCAAAGCTACCGCACGCATTTGCACTTTATTCGAGTGGTGCTACTATTAAAATAAGAGATGAGGGAAGTAAGAAGATGTGAAGGAGGTGGAGAAGGAGATACCAAAACTTGAGATGGTATTTTAAAGCTGCTGTCAAGCTCTATGGGAGAATGCTCGTTGTGTGAATGTCGTGTCTTTTCGCATAGTATGCACGATATTATCCTAAACGCGCAAGAACACGTCTTGTTTTATAGTAGTAGTATCCACGCGACGATATCGAACGCGGAAGAATGTGTTTGTGACGAGGAATATCAGTAGCAAATGGTGTTTCAGTGATCCCTTTGCTTGCATTCTCCCTCCTCTAAGTCTGCGCATGTGTAGAGAACTAGGGTGTTCTCTGTGGGTGCTTGCGGCGCACGCGGAGAGTGTCAGTGCTCGCGGATCCGTCGCGGCGTCGATCGAGCCCTCTTCCACCTTGTCACGTAAAATCGTGCGGACACCTCGCTGGCTATAAAGGTCACCCATTGGCCAATTAAAAGCCGGTAGAGGCGTCAAGACGTGAAAGCAAGTGAGGGAAAAAGTTGTGGACAAACTACTGATGAAAAACTACTGGTATTCACAGTGGATCAGTGAGCTAGAGAGTTGTGAAATAAAAAAGTAAGAGGCAGAAAGGGTAGAAGAGTGGTGGAAGAGGTAGAGAGGATGAGATCGATTAGATAGTTGGTTCACTCGTGAGAGACTTGGAGGATTTGCGACAGGCTTGTGAGTGATGAGTTAATGTGTGATGATTTCCTTAGGGCTGAAGGACGATTAACGTGAGAAGTGAAGATACGAAAAGTCAGAAAGCAAAAACGAGGACTTCCGGTTGATATACACATATTTATATCGTGTGTGGGTAAAGAAGAGTAGCTTTTGGGGTGTTCTTAGAAGAGACACGAGGAGGAGACGAGGTCAAAGGGTGTGATTATAGGACAAGGGAGACAAATCCTCTCATGGTTTTGTCCATGAAAGACCAAAGATTGATTGTTCTGAATGTGGGAAATCTTAGGGAATCGGTGATAAAATTAGAAAGTCCTTCCGCGCTGTTGGGTCCATTTAACGCGAGAAGGACGATAAGAACGCCGGTTAAGCTTGGGGTATGATTCATTTTTGTGTGAGGGGCAGAAAAAAAAGAGTTAACAAGTGCAAATGAATCGTAGCAGGGATACTAATTGGTGGAGGACGTGTGGAGTGTCGAGACTCGCTTTTACATCGGTTGGATGAACTCCGGACATTTATTTGGATCTTGAAACTGGAGGACAATTGAAGGTCGATCGATACTGGCGATTCAAAATTTGGAGAAATGTTTGAAAAAATTGATGCCTTGCATCGACCACGTGATATAATCGATACAAAGACTGAGTCCCGTTTTTAGAGCTCTTCACATCCTCCAAGTTACAAAGCAACAGTAATACACTCATCAATAATATATATGTGTATATATATATTCTAAATGCTCGAAAGATCAAAGGGAATTAAAGCTTTGCAGGTGGTCACATGCAGGTTACAGAAGGTAGCAAGTGCTGGAGTGCGCGTGAGTGGTCCACGAGGAGTGCGTGAGACCAATTGAAACCGGAAGACGAACAACTCCTGTGAAGAAGGGAGAAGTGGGTCGCCTCTCCCAACACAGAAAGTGAGGAAGTTGATTGGTGGATGAAAGAGTAGGGTGGATAAAAGTGTTGACGGAAAAAAGAGAGCAAGTAGAGCATACGTGTAGTTTACCAAGATATGTCCAGGGATCCTTACTCCTCTGGTGGTGTGATCGGTCCAGGTGGTGGGACAAGATCCCCACGTAGTGGAAGACGTCTTGGTGAACTTCCTACTGTGGACCGTAGCCCATCTAGGAGTTATGCTAGTGGTCGTGGAAGTCCTCTGGGTCGCAAACGCGGCACCAGAAGTGGAAATAATTCACCTGAACATTTAGGATACTCTAGCAGTTATCATCATCACCAGTTGAGTAGCCCTTTTTATTCCCGCGACGAAGATCTAGGCAGCCCCGTCATGCTTGAAGAACGTGGTAGAAGTATGTCCACGGGTGCTAGTGGTCATCACCGTTCTAGAAGTGCTTCCAGACCCGCCATGTCTAGCTCCGGTGTCTTATCTGCTAGATATACTAGCCTAGATCGTGCCTCTGCTGGTATTTTAGACCATGATCGTGAATTTGTACCCATCCGCGATCCTAGAGAACGTAGTCGAGATCGTGGAGGACTTTATTTAGATGATGACCTCTATGGATCCCGATCTGCTAGACAAAGTCCTAATCCTCACATGCTAAGGGATGGTGGAATGTACATTGGTGAACTTCAACATCAGAACAATGATCTCCAAAGAGAACTTGGCAATCTAAAAAAAGAACTTGAGCTCACTAATCAGAAACTTGGTAGTTCTATGCACAGTATCAAGACTTTTTGGAGCCCTGAATTGAAAAAGGAAAGAGCACTGAGGAAAGAAGAAAGCACTAAATATACTCTCATCAATGAACAACTTAAAATACTTAATTCAGAAAATCAGGTATTTTTTTTTGGTATATTTATTTGTTTATCTAATTGGGTGAATTTGTTATGGAAATCTAATGACCTTAACATTACTAAGTTTTAATGATATTTTTCGATCTGAGTTAATTGAGTTGCCTTCGTTACCTGAAATTACCCTAAAACAATTATGATCGATCAATATTGCTTTTATTTCATTCGAAAATTTTCTCATTGAAACTCAATCAGTTTAAAACATTTGAATAACAAATAATTGATAAGTTTTCATAGCTAATGTAGATATAATAAGATTGATGACTTTGCATTATTCGATTAATGTAAATTTATCTTCTCCATCATATTTTAATCAACTTTATTTACAGTAACAATTAAAAATTCTAAAAAAAAGTAATAATTATTATTATAAATGTAAAATAAAAATACAATAGTTATTATCAGTTTACTATTATTTGTCAGCATAATTCTTCGTCCAATTATTTTATCTTCAAGTATACAGTATTTCTTGAGAGTATCGTCTCTCCTAGATAGGAATAAAATTCAATTGAATTAAATCAACATAACCAAGAGAATGTTGATGATATGGGCATGCTAACAAAGCCAACTTCAACACACTCTTGTCATTACTTCTCTTTAAGTGCTCTGTCTGTGTGAACATCCCACACACGGTCCATACACTCAGACACTTGATGAGTCATTGGCATCAGTAGTAGAAGAATGGAGATTCCCTGACATTTTTCAAAAAATTTCCAAGTTTTACTTAATCATTTCTTTCTCATTATCCTGAAAGCTTTCTTTTATCAATCAATTTTTCTTTCTGATACTAATAAAAATTCTCATTTCATATAACATCAATTTTTAAATGATTAAAAAAAATATTTTTAAACCATTTCGAAAGCTGTAGATATTACAAAAGGCTTTCTCCAGAATGTTCAAATGTTTTTAACTTAATTAATATAGTTTTTGCTGTATAAAGATTTAACTTAATTCTAAACTTCTGAAGTAGATGGTAATAAATTAGCAGCACCTTATATAGCACCATGAGCTTATTAATCTTTTATTAATAAGAGAGATGAGAGGATCTTAAAATATGTACCAATATATTCCCCGCCCTCCATTGTTTATGATCAAGTTTTCTAAGAACCCGTAAATAATTCTTTATTATTTCCATTATGTAAATAAAGTCTATATCTCGTTATGATTCGAATATCTTCAAGAGGGTACATATTACCAAGAATCGTGTTAAATGTCGAGAATGAGATGACACATGTGTGACCTCAAGACCTTCTATTCTTAATATTTATATAACTCTACTAAGAGGATGCTGGATAGGAGTAGGTCACAAGGTCGAGGGAATATGAGAAAGAAAAGATGAAATAAAAAAAATTGGCAGCATACGAAAAATGTAATAACGATTGTGCAGAGTATGTAGAGAAGTAGAAGTTATTACTTCTATTGCTTCAGCTAGAAAATTACTTCAAGTGGGTCGTGAAAATTATCGCTCATGCTTACATCAACAACTATCGTATTTTTTCTTTTTAAAAAACAAAAAAAAAATTCCCTACTGCCTTCAAGTACTAATTAAATCCTTAAATAACAAACATTTAAAATGAAGAAGCAATTTTTTTTCTGTTTAATGGCTTTTTTCGCCTGTGTACTAGCAGGTAAACATGAGAAAATGTCAATAAATATTGATCAATAGAAAATCAATTGACTTTTAAAAAATTCAAAGCCATGTATCGTGACGATAGATGATGCATATAAGTTTAATAAAATATAAGCTCCAATCTAAAGCAAGAACAATGCAGAAGTCTCTTAAGTAGATTCTATATATTGTTGAGGAAACGCCGGCGACGCGAGAGACCGTAAGTTATTCGCGTGTACTGTCGGCCACACTCTGCTAACCCAACGTTATATTTAGGCCGATCGATATAAATATACATATACAGATTTTACACACATTGAAAATGAGAAACTTCCTTAAACATTATCATACACATCATTATTTTCTTAATACTTATTAAGTGATCGTTTATTGCTCAATTATTCGTTAATAAATGGAATATTGAGTTTAGATCATTTCATTTATTTATTACAAAAAGATTTTTAATTAAAATAGCCTTTGTCATCACAATTTGACTCTCTTAATAATTAAGCAAGACTTTAATTAGGATGTGAAAAATTTTTTTAAATTAATTTATCAGTTCGAATAGCTTTTAATTTGCAGACAGCAAGCATTTGATGTCAAGGCCTCCAGTGGCGCAGACGACATGCTCAGTAAAGAGATTGATTTGATGATGAATAAAACAGAAGGTCCATTCTCTCTTGATATAGCCTCTTTTTTTATTCCACGACGTAGTAGCTTAATGTACTCGATCATTTGAATCTTACAACACATAAAAATTTTTATTTTATTAATTTTACTTGATGTTTTGTAGAATTAAACTGAAGGAAAAGAGAAAAAATATAGACTTTAAATTTATTAATTAAGAAAAAAAAAATTTTCAAACATAAACAGAGATAAAGAGGCGAGTTCATTAACCGATTAGAGACCTGACATGTTCCATGAACTCTAAAAACTTTCGCAGTCATTTTGGCATGCGACCAATGAGAAAAGTGAAGCTGACATGTTAGAGGTAGTTGGATGCAAGAGGGGAATGAGAAAATAGCGGAAACTGATAACCCACAGGTTTTATTTCACTTGCCAAAACTCTACGGTTATATTTTGAACGATTACGAGCAAAGAAATTAATTATCATTTCCGCCTTTCACACTTTAATTTAATGCAATAATTTGAAGACTTTCAACAAGTTGAGAGAAGTCATTTATTTTATCTTTACGTTACTAATAAATTGTTGAGTTAATTACTCATTGCAGTTTTAATTTCACGATATTTATAAACTCTGACTTGAAAATTGCATGATATTCTTATATTTTTTTCCTCTACTTCAACATTTAAAGAAAAAAAAAAAATAATCAAAGGGCTTGTGTGAAACTCGTCGAGCATGAAGTTATGAGAATATGACCAAAGCAATACATTTATACCACGTGTTTTAATGAGGAAGTGACTGGTGACGTGTGACAAAGCTTCGCTTATTCTCACTTTCTACAGACTAAAGACTGGAGATTTTTTTTTTATTCATTTACATTTTAGTTTGCATGTATAAAATATGGATGAATGTCACTACTATAATCATGCTTGCTGTCTTCCTAATATGGTTTTCATCCATTTTTCAACGTCTCTGGTTTATGCTTGAACATGAGAAAACGAGTAGAAAATAAATTTACAGAAAATTTTATTAAGAGATGTGAGATTGAATGAAATTGAATTGAAAAAACAACATAAGTTTTATATTAATAGTCTATAGAATTATTTCATCAGTGAATTTAGCTGTTGAGGAGAACAAAGCTAAAATGTTTACATTTTGTAGTGTTTTATGAACTTATAAAACAATTTGTTTCCTAGATTAAAAGCTAATTACTTCTTTTAATTTTTGTGAGAAAAATCATTCTCTTTAACAAGAGAGACTATTCTATTCTGTAAAAGAAGCAAATAGTTTTTATAAAATATTTTTCTTCTTAATTGTGGATTATTTATTTATCTCATTAGAATTACATTTGTTTTTTATTATTTTTAGTTTCCAAAGTTTCCGGAAAATTTATTGAATAAAAGTTTTAAATTGAAATTGATAACTGAATATGTCGAAGGAAAGTAGATTTGTTATATCAAAACTTTCTTAAACAATATTTTGAAGACAGCTTGACCAAATTTGAGCACTTGAAGTACTTTTAGTGTATCTTGTTTTAAATTGTAACAATATTGTAGGCAGAAAGTTCGAAGTCTAGCCATCAAAGAGTAAAATAACTTACAACTTGTTTGTTGTTTATTTAATAATACTTTACTTGTTGGAAAGCACTCAAGATAATTCAATTCAGATTAAAGAGTTGTTTGTGATATAATATATTATATTATACTATACTAAAAAGTCACATTTAAATTGATGTACGTGTCGTGACCCTTTGAACAAAAAAATATACCTTAATATTTCATGCTTCGATAAAATATATACTTTACTGAGAGGGGGGAGGGGAAAATTTCAGAGTTGTTTTATGTCTAGCTTGACCATTAGTTCAAGTTAAGAATAACTCTATAACTGCACCCCTAGTCATAAACTTAGTAATGCTTAAATAACAAAATCATTAATTAAGTGAATATTAATATTGAGCATAACAGGTTATTTTCTTGGGTGTAAAGACTGCAGAAACAATTTATTATTCAAGAATCTCATTAATGAAACATAGCTCTATTGTGAAAGTTTGCTTGTGGCATGTAATGCTCTATAATATAAAAATTTTCTATGATAAACATCAATTGGATGAGGTTTATTTATTTAATTTTTATTTAAAAATAAATTTTCATCAGATAATATTTTATAATATATTCTAATAATTCAGATTATTTGTTTTTTATAGATTTTCGAGAATATTAATTTTAAAAAAAAATGATTTCATCAATGTCACTTTTGAATTTATTACATCTTTTTTTATGAAATAAAAATCGTAAAGCAATTTTAGAAATTATTCAATGAATTTTCTTGTTATTTAAAGTCAAATAAAGTTAATTTAGGTGACTTGATTCTATTGTTTGAATAATTAATTTTTGCATTTCATGGAAATTTTCTAATATATTAGTTTATATTGATGATAGTGAAGCATACTTAAAACGTTAATTAGGATATTTATTACTGCTCTGATGACTCTTAAAGTGACACATATCATGTCAATATTGGCATTTAAATCATCAACTGGTGCTCAATTAATAAATCAATTGAGCAATTAATTTTCAGATACGTTATTAAGAATACGTCACATTCATGGTCTTTTTGGATTTTTCGTTAGAGTAATAGTGAGTGGTCGTAGTATGGTTAATAGGAAAATAGGTCAGCTGACGAGAAGGAGAAGAGAAATAGGGCGAGCATTCGGGAGAGACATCGAGCGAGAAGGAATGAAGTGGAGGCATTA